AGCAGATCAAGTAATAGACTATATCTAAAGAATATTATTATATTATAATTAAATATATATTATATTTTATATATTATTTATATAAGAAAAGTATATATATTATAAATTAATCTATAATTATTAATTTATTTATTATATCTAATCTTTCTGATCAGCAGATATAAATAATTAAAATAATAATTATATCTTAATCTAATCTTAATTATATAATTAAAGATTTTTTATATTTTAATCTGATTATTAGATTATAGCCAGATTAAGATTAAGATATAACAGTCAGATTAAGCCACTCTAACTCAGATATTAATTAGATATTATATAATTTATTTAAAGAATAATAATTATTTTATATTATATTAAATAATCTTATTTCTCTAAGTAATCTTTAATTTATAGATTTAGATTTAAAATTTATTATAAAATCTTAATTAATAGCTATAGACTTAAGTATAAGTTTATTAAAAAAAAAATTAAATTAATAATTAAATCATTTAATTTTATATTCTTAAAACTATCAGTTACTGTGACTGATAAGAATAATCTTATAACTAATAATATAATTAATAAAAATAATTCTATTATTTTAAATAATAATATTAAAAATAAGAAAAAGATCATAACTCTTAAAGATAAATCTTCTAAAAAAAAAATAATTAAAAATTAAATTATTTTAATCTAAATATAATAAATATTTATAAAAATTATCTGCGAGACTCTTAAAAAGTTTATAATCTAAAAAAATAGATAAAAATTTTAAAGAAAATATTAAATACTTTGCTACAGAAAGAGAAAATATAGATAATTATTTAATATAATATATTAAGATTTTTCTTATTTTTATTTCTAAACTTTAAAAAAAAGATTATAAATATAAAATAATAAAAAAAGCTCTTATAAAATCAAATATTTAAATATCTAGATTATATAATAAAATAATTAATAATCAGATCTATAGATCTAAATAAATTAAAATTATATAAAAAAAATTTTTATATTAATTAGCTTTAGAACTTAAAGAATTATTTTAAGAAAGAAAATAAAAACAATTATTTTTTTTATATACTAAATTTTTAATATTAAGATTAATATTAATAAAAAATTAATTAGTTTAAAATAAGATTAATAATTAGAGAAAATAAATAATTAGAAAATAATTTTAATAAAATATTTATTTTAATATTTTATCTGAATAGTCTCAGAATTATTATAATAATATTAATAAAGTTAGAATATAAAACTTATTTTCTAGATATATTAAATATTTTTATTAAATTAGAGCTAGATAAGTCTAACTATATAAAAATATTTTAAGAATTTTAAGAATTTAATTATAAAATAACTAAAAATATAATATTAAAGCTCAAAATATTTTTATATAAAATTAGATAATTAGCTAATCTTTAAAATTATAAAATAATTAATATTTTTAAAAGAATTAGATTTAAATTAACTATTATTAATCTAAGTATTTTTATTAATATATAAAAAATAATTATTACTTTATATATTAATAATATTCTTATTTTTAATTATAAAAAAGCAGAAATCTATAATATTAAGAAAAAATTAAAAAGATTTTATTTAATAACTAATTCTGGCTTAATTTAAAAACTTTTAAATATTAGATTTATCTAAAAAAAAATAGATTAATTAAGATAGATTAGAAAATCTATATTAAATAAATATTTAATAAATTTAAAATAATAGATTATAAGTTTATTAATATATTAATAAAATTAAATATCTAATTTAATATTAATAGTCTATAACTAGATAAAAAAAATTATAAAATATTTAAAATAATAATTAAGAAGTTAATATTCTTAATATATAAAATATAATTAGATATTACATTTTTAATTAATTAATTATTCTAATATTTTATTAATTTAAGTTAGATTTATTTATCTGCTATAAAGTATATTTTAAGATATCTTAAAATTATAAAAAATTATAAAATAATACTTTTTATTAAAAAAAGTAAAAAAAAGATTTTTATTATATATATTAATTTAGTATATATTAATATAAGATTAAAAAGATTAATTATTAAATATATAATAATAATTAATAATTTATTTATTTATTAAATTAATAAAAAATAAGTTATTATTACTCAGAGCTTTATTAAAGTAGAATATATTATTATTATTAAAATAATTAAATAAATAATCTAATATAAATATTTTTATATATAATTAAAAAAATATTATATATTAAAATATTTTTATTATATTATATAAAGATAATCAAGAAATTATTAAAATTATAAAATATCTAATAAATTACTAATAAATAAAGTATATTTTTATTTAATATTATATTATTTATAATTATATTATAAATAAAAAGATTCAGATAATCTATTTATTTATAAAAAATATAATAATAAATAAATTAATAAAAATAATTATATAGATTAGTCAGATATATTTTATTAAAAATTTAAAGCTTAACTAAATAAGTAAAAAAATTAGCTCTAATATATTAATATATTTAAATTCTTTTAAATATTTCATATATTTTTAATTTATACTTATTTTAATTATTTTAATTTAAAAAATTAATTATATGTTAAATAAAAAAGAGTAATATAATATAATTAAATTTATAAATAAAAGATAATTTTACTCTGATTTATTAAAAATAAAATATAATTATTTTATTTTAGCTGAATAAGTATATAAACAGATAAATTCTTATAAAAAGTCTATTAATAAATACTAGATAGAAATCTCTAAATACTTAGAATATTAATATTATAACTCTAAGAAGTACTTATTCTATTTATTACTAGCATCCTGCACCTGCGCCTTAGACTGTGTACAAGTAAAGCATCCGGAAGCCCCTACACCCCTGAGGATCCACTTCACCCATCATTTGTCGGGTTTTGAAATATGTAGATGCGTGGCGTATTGAGTCCTTTCGTGGACCATTGAAACTCGACCTTGACTTCTTTTTTGTGAAGACGCAGTTCCAAGATAGCATCAACAGGAGACACTCTTAGCTTAGATCCAGTTTGTCCTAGGCCTCTTCAATTAATACTTTGGATTGTCCAACTTGGAGAATCTGATAAAAACCTCCGGGGTAAATCAGCGTTTGGTGACATTGTATCCTCTATGTCTTCGACGTTTTCATTCCGTTCAAGTCTGGCGATAGTTTCATGAAATTCTTCCTTGGACTGGTGTCAAATTGGTCAAGTGTAGTCTGATTCCCACTTCTGGCGACATGAGACCGAGACAGCATCGGCTTTCTGGATAGAGTTGAATATTCTTTTCAGATCAGGAATTTCTGATTCTCCCCCGTGACTTGCCAATACACGTGTCTTAAGCGATATGGAAGCAAAGAATTATGTTCCTCGATGCCTTCATGCTCCTTGGATTCAGAATTAAGTCTGTCTTGGGGATTTGCTGTAAGTCTCGCCCGTTTCTCGACTTCGCCCCGGCGAACACGAATGTAGTCGATGGCGGGTTCTAAACCTTTCATCTCATATACCAAAACATTCACGGCTTCGTTGCTCGAGTCAACTAAGAGAATGATTAATCGACAACGTTGAAAGAAGATTACAAGATCAGTCAGGACAATGACCCTTCCGCACCCAGGATAACCCTCCAAAATCACGCAACCCGCTTTTGTTTAGCGAAGGGATTTGAACAAATTTCCGTCCTGCAAGTTCCATTAATGAATGGCACTTTTTATCTCTCAGAAAATCTCTTAGAACTCTTATGAGGAAGCTTGTTCTGCTTTCTATGAACGGCAGTCTAACCAGCTATCCGCAGGGAGCTGAAAAAAATTCCGAGCGCCCTTAGAATCCGTCAGATACCCTGCCGGTGGCACGCGGCATATACCGGGGCGGTCCAGGAACATCGGGTCCCCAGAGAGTAACGTATGGTCTGACCCAATCATGTGTCGATAGACTAGCCGGGCACAGAATCAGTGTTGGCCGGAAAGGGGGTAGGCGGGGACTGTCGCTTTGCCTGGAAGCTCAACAGAGCCATCATCCACGCCACCCCCGTCACTTGCCATGGCTTCAGAAGCGGACTGGATTGAGTGCACGATGTATGTGTAAGGAAGGCCAGGCGAAGATTTAAGAGTTCGCAGGCCTTGATGTACTCCGGCGCCATAATCGTGCAGCGTGGGATCTTCCTGGCATTCCTCCACGTCATCCAGGCCAAGGCTTGAGATAGATTCGCATCTTCCCCTTGATTTCGTCTTCTGATCGGCGTCTTTGCGTATTCTTTTGATAAATCCGTGGAAGCTTGTCGCGGCTTGTTTCTTTGTTATAAAAAAGCCACTTTGGAGCAGCATTTTAAACCCCAGCAAGTTGTAGCATGATCTTCGATATGTTGGTCATGAAACCACCTCGAGAGGTTATGCGCCGGGATGAATATTCCAGAATAAGAAAAGTTGTCCATGGGTAATCACCCAGGAGCCTGAAATTCGATCTTGACAGGGACACAGGCTTCCGCACATAGCATTTGCAGCAACCACACAATGCAAAGAGCTGTCGCCATCATTGTAGAATATTGTGTGGGGTTGGGTAGAGATTTATGAAGACTTTGACATTATAGCAGCTCAGTATCTTGGAATTAGTCATGATGACTGATGACTGATGACTGGGGTTGCTGGAGTAGAATATGGCCATATATCTTGAAAGTTCGCCGGATAAAAAATAGATTAAACTCTTATTGCATGAGTCCGAAAGACATGTCAGGTTGAGGCGGGACTAGAAGATGGAGATGGAGTGGGATCGGGGTCTAGGGGGGTTGTTATAGCTGCCCGCCGCCCCGATTCACCCTGACTCTTGACTTCACTCCCTGGGGCCACTCACCATTATTCGCAACCTACAGTCACTGGCTGCAATAGAATCTAGTCTACGATCGAGTGAAATGCCAGTTGTTAAAGCAAAGCTTAATTTTCTATTAAATATATTTGTGGATGTGAAGTCAACACATACTAATGTACACGCGTCCTATGGACGCCCTCAATCACACGCGGATTTAGCAAGATGCGCCGGAGGGAACGTGCTCGCACTTGTCGGACTTCTTGCCACCAGAGATCTCAACATCCTTCCAGGTCCAGTCAGAGCAGCTGCCGTCACCGCAGATGATGTAGATGCGAGTGGCGTCGTCATCGACGGAGCCGGTGATTCTGTCCAGGGTAACATCCTTGATGGGGATGGTGTTAGAGGGATAGCCGGTAGGGCTGCTGTTCTCGTAGTCTTGCTCGATGACAACCCCGTAGCTTGAAATACCGGAGAGCTTGATATTGGAGTAAGTAATGTTGTCAACATCGCCAGTCTTTTTGTAGACGGTCTTGATGCGGACACCGTTGGCGGAGTCAACAATCTGGGAGTCCTCGATATGGATGTTACTGACGGTGTTGTCGCTACGGCCGCCGACGGAGCCGATAGAGAGACCGTGGCCACCAGAACAGTAACCGCCGGTAAAATGGATGTTCTGTACTGTGATTAGAGATGCGCTCAGTGGGAGAGGAATAGATATATACTATACCTCGCCAGAGTTGATAGCAAGGCAGTCATCTTGGTTGTAGACGGTAGCACCGGTGATGTAAACACCATTGCTCTCGCTAATGTCGAAACCGTCGGTGTTATGGCCACCCTTGCTATCACCCTCCTTGTTGTTGATGGTGAGGTCGGTCAGGTGCACGTTGGTGGCCATGACGCTGATGGCCTGAACGGGTGTGTTCTTGATTTGCAGGCCCTTAATGGTCGAGTCTTCGATATCGTGGACATACATGAACTTGGGCTTCTTCTTGCCTCCGTTGGTGCCCTTGCCATCCCACCAGCGCTCACCGCCGCCGTTGATGAGGGCACCGTCGACCTGGGTGATGGTAAGACCCTTGCCACCGAGGCGGATCAGGGGACCATCCCACTCCTCGTAGCCGAAGGTAGTGGTGCCCTCGAAAGTGATGTGGATGTATTTAGCGTTTTGCCAAAACTATCTTCTCATCGGACTTTTATCGAAGAGGGAAGCATACGGAGGCACCATCGGCAGCCTTGGCCAGATCGAGAGTCTCTCCGGCGGGAACCTCGATATCCTTCAGGATGATATCGGAGCACTTGGAGATACCCTCCTTAGCGGCAGATGCAGAGGTGAAGGTGCAGCTGGACTTCTTGACGAGCTCAGAAGTAGGAGCCGCGGCAACGAGAGAGCCGAACGCGGCCAAACCGAGGAGTTGGAAAGAGTGCATTGTCGTTGGTGGATAGCTCTGGTCAACAGAACGAGTTGTTTATCAAGGAATGAATAAGGTCTGGTCAACGGAAGGAAGGGTAAAAGAGTGAAATGTGTTTGCTGGTGTTGAGTATTTGAACGGCAGCAGGTTTCTCGGGACCTTTATATCTTGAAAGCAACATGCTGACCTGCTGTCACTTATTCAGAGTGTGAAATGAGCTTCTCGTTGAAGGAAGAGAACATTCCATCCGATCCACCTGGGCATTACTCTCTAACGACGATGGGTCCTCTAGCTAAAGATGAGATGACACTAGGACGGAGCTCTATATCAAATGACAGGATTTGGCTCTCTGCAGTATATTGTGCTTCGTGCCATCCGACCAAAGGGCGTGTCCAGCTCTGGTGCTGGCCTGGTCGGACCGTCGGATGTGTGGGGGAAGGGGCGGTGCGACTAGCAGGGACCAGGCATCACCGGTTCCCAGTAGCTTGGCTGCGGATGCCGTGTCTCACTCTCATTAAACTACCGAAGAAACGGTAGGCTTTCCCTTCCAGTCTCACTTGGCGGTCGGATGGAGTTTTTCCTTTCCCATCTATTGATAGATGCGCCCCGATGCCGACAAATCAGGCTGCCTCTATTGGCCATACGGTCTGACATGGTTGATATGGACTTGGAAACCGACTATTAACCATCAACGTATGCAGTCTTCAAATTTCGTACGGCGACATGCTCTCGGGTCCACGAGGTGAAAGGACTAGCCTGAAGAATCCGTCGCGGGGGCGCTCCGTCCAGATCGGAGAGCACCCGCGACAGTCTTCTGTCGAGATTCAAAGTGCCGATCTTACCAATCTCAGTCGGAAGTCCGAGTAGGGTCTCCGAGTGAATATAGTAGTCATAGAGAAATCTCCGTGCATTCGGCGTCTGTTTCATGCCCCAGTGAAGTGCAGATGTCCCTCTTCAAACACTGAGGGTTGCCTTGTTGTACTGTGTAGTCACATGTCTCATGAACTGTAATTTCAAGAGAATCGTCAATCTGGTAGAGATATAGGGTGTTTGGGTGAAGAGAAACCCCAACTGATACTCTTTGCTACCACTTTATCCCAGAATGGATGATACCGGTTGAGTGTGGACACCGCATGTAGCAGACGCTCTTAATGGCAATAAATCCTCAGGCCCACTGACCGAGTCCCAAGGCCCCACCGGCCAGGCTAGAAAAGCTTGACCCTCAGGGCTCCATCCGTCCGGCTCCGCGGTTCATCATCGAAGAAATTCACCCGACCGCACTGCACGAGTACATATGCCCGCAGTTTATTATGGTCCGTTTTTGACAATGACATTTTGCGGAAGTTGAAGACTCTCGTCAACCACAACAGCACGCATTTAAGAGCTATGCAAAAGGCTTACCTCGATATTCTCATGTTCGCCAGCTATTCTTAGTTTGAAAGCCCCGCCTCTTGTAGAAAGTGGAGGGTGACCTGATCCAATTGGATCTTCCGGGTACATAGCCTCGACATCTAGGCAACAAACATTCGATGCAGTTGTAAAGTGGAAATGCCTCGTTACGGTGCTGCCACGCGCTTCAAGGACCCTGATGCTCCGCTGATATCTCGGCTTACTTTCTGTTTCACCGAATCGCCCCCCCAAATAAAGTACCGTGCGTTGCAGCTTGCTAGGGTCTTTGTTTTGATTGCAGCTAGGTTCTCGTACCCGGAAGAGGCCCATCCTTGGACATTTCACGACTAGACCTACCACCACCGTTAGACTTGGATTCCTGAACATTATACTCCGTATGTGGTTGCGGTACCTGGTAGAAGTGGATTCGGTGCGGAACGAAACCGAGACTGGTCCGCATGCCGTCAATGAAGGTAGAGCTCAGCGCTTCAAATTCGCATGGTATAGAAAGTTCAATCATTAGATGCAGTTGCTCGTTCAGAGGTGTCATGTCGATGGGTTCTTTTGGTAAGCACATGAGGCAGTAATTCGAGTCCCATTCTCTCCCGCATTGTTGTCATCGACCCCGCTATCTCAGGCCTTAACGCCGTCTGCCTAAGGCGCCGTGTGTTCTCGATTCCTATAAACCCCCCCTCGCCCGCGCCATCTCCCAGGTTTCTCGTCGATCGTTTCCCGCCATCCCTTGCCATTGTCGCGCTCTGCTTTGCTTCTCGCAAGCCAACAAGGCGCTGCCAGTTCCACTTGACCACGCATCGACATCCCAAGTGAGCTCTTGCGAAGCAAATCCCCTCGACTAAACACTTTCCGGACGCTAGAAAACCACATGAAGGTTTCATTTTGGACATGGTAAGGGAGGGCTATCTGTACCTGGCCAGCTGGAGTCATTATGATTGTGCACAGCGGCGATTCCATAGAAAAGGGACCCGGGTTCCGAAATGCCAGACCAGTAGCCATCGTATACTACACCCAGGTGCTTGAATAAATGATAGCTTCCTATACAATCTGCTTAATTGGTAGCATCGAAGTTTGCTTTGCCTGTATGGAGACACGGGGCAAGCATTAACCACAGACAGAGACAGAAAAGGCAACAAACAGCTCATAAATAAATTCGAGAGGCTTCAAGCATCACTCCACCACCACTACCACCTGTTCCTCTCCCTGCTGTACTTCTTCTTTTTCTTCTTTCTCCTCCTCAAGTGGTGTTTGAATCAACGGTCCGACCTCGCCCTTCAGTTTAGTCTCCCATGCCGTCAAACAAGCCGCGCCACCCCCGTACTTATATTCCTCCAAGCTCGCGAAAAACCGTCCTCCCATCCGCTTCAAGATCTCACATCTCTCGTCCATCGTTCTCGCAAGAAGAACTTGTGTTGCCTCGTCGGGCACAATGGGCTCATCTTTAACAGCATGTTTGTCATACCTTTCCCAGTCGGCATCAAACTCCGCAATCCAGAATCCAGGACCCCGACTCGGCCAGCCCACTCTTACCCAACGCCTCTCCATCCGAGTTGCGGCAGTGACCCGCCAATTCTTCATCCTCGAGGGATATGCCCCTTCTTTATCTTCGAGAATTTGAATAAAATTATAGCGGTCTTCACTGTTGAACCATCTGGCACCCAGGAGCAAGAGGCGCTGGCACATCTTGTCTTCTGCATCATGGTCTCGGTCTCGGAATAGTGGGGGGTTGACGGGGTCGAATACGAGAAACTCGAAGTCTAGCGGAGTCGCATGTTCCAGCACGATCAGTCCACCGCGAGAGGGCCAACCCCAGACAGAGACGCTGTGACGCAAGAACAGGATCCGATCTATCGCCGGGGCCGGGTCAACTTTTCGGCTGGTACATATGGGGCCTCGTCTCGCCCGGGGGTTGGCGGTCGGCTGTTGGTTCGCATCGTTGAAAATTGCTGATACAGAACTTGAGAAGTAATGTCAGGTATGAGGCCTGACTGAGGGAGTTGCTGGAGATAAGAAGATTGCGGGGGGATATATTCCTCGAAACCGAATCCTTGGTAACACAGTCCTGCGTTTGACATTGGCTTCGTGCTACGGTATCTTCAATTGCTTCTTTGTGCAGATCGCTATCTGTACTACTAGCTACGTCATGGATGCTAAGCGGAAATTACACTTGATGATTGAGTATTAGACCAAAAGGCTGCTGGAATGACACCCATGTTATTCTTCGGTTCATAATTGACTTTTACTAGCAAGAAGTTGCGCTATCATTCATTTTGCTTTGTCGTTTTCTCGGACAATGATTTGCGTAACCACAGTTTACTGATGAATTCCCGGGGCTCTATTCCATTACATCCCCCTTTCATTGCTTGATCACATAGGTTCTCTGGTATGCGTTATCGATGTTCTCCAAGTAGTATGTTCCAGGTACCAGGGACGCTACATCACCAACGGGCTTGTAACTCTTGCTCCCGTAGGCATTCATTCGGAGGGCGCAGGCCTTGGAACTATGTCAGCCACTTTCACAAACAGTCTTTGATCTCAGAGCTTACCTCCTCGTACTCCTCTGGGGTCGAAATGTGTCGCTGCTTTAAACGATTCATCAGATCAATCTTCTGGACCATATCCGTGAGATCACCAGTGACTTTTAGGCCAAAAAGGGTGCTTGCAGCTCCACTTCCATACTGATGCGCCATCCATTTTGGTCAGCTTGATCTCGTTGAGAGAGGGTTCAATGAGCAAGAATGCTACTACTTACGCTGAACATCCCGATGGTTTTTCCTTCCGCGTCTTCGAGATCAATGTTGCTTACCAGACTGATGAGTGAACAGTATAGACTGGCAGTGTACATGTTGCCGCATAACGAGGGTGCAACAATACACGGCTCCACTCGCTCCTTGAACTGGTTCTTCGTCACAGCCACGAGCGCCTTTTCTAGTGCTTTGTCTTTAAGGGACTCTTGGTAGCCGAGTTTTTGAAGTTCGTCGGGAATTCCCTCCCAGTCACCATCATTCAGACAGTCGTTGTACTTGAGTCGGCCGTACGACTTGCTGACAAGCTTGCAGTTTGGGGTATGGAATGCCATGTAGTCAAAGAGGTCAAGGACTTTCTGTTCATCATTCGATCCATTTCTCACTTCACCCTTCAAGTCACCTTTTGATTTATTCCTTCCGAGCCTGTTTCTGTCAGCATTGGCACGACGGAGCAGGTCCTTGTGACATCCATCCACAGCACTGAGGTAACAGACAATAGAACCATAACCGTCGAGAATGGGAAACTCCACTTTGAGATCGGGCTTATAGAAATCGTAAGTATGGGTCAATAAACACCTCTTAGGCTTGGCTCAAAAGAAAGCAGCGCATTCGGACCGACAAGCATGGCGACGCAACCCGCGCCACCGGTTGGGCGGGAGGATGCCTCCTTGTACAGGGCTATGTCCGAGGCAACAACGATTGCATCCCGACCATCCCAAGACCGTGACTCCACCCAGTTGACGGCGTTGAATAACGCATTAGTGCCGCCGTAACAGGCGTGTATATTGTCAACTCCTTCCAGACTTGTGTTGCCCGATGGCTCGAATAGCGTTGTGAGGACTGATTTAATGGACTTGGCTTTGTCGATGAGGGATTCGGTGCCTACTTCTAGGCGTCCAATGGAGGTGGGGTCGATGTTGAACTTGCGGAGTAGGGAAGACACGGCTGTCAGGGCTAGAGAGCAGACGTCTGCGTAGTATGTTAGTTCGGGGCTGGTTTGGTTGGTGTCCGCTCTTTTCCTGGTTACTTGGAACTTACCTTCTCTGTCGGTGCAGTAGTTCATGTACTGGAGGCCCAGTCCAATGGTGTATTTTCCGGCTGAAACACTTTGGTGTTTCTCAAAGAGAGATTGGTCCAGGCACTATTTTTATCAGGTCGAAGGAATGTATGGACATGAAGAACGGTGTTACCTGTGCTGGGACATAGATTTCCATGGCCTTGATGCCGACATTCTTTGGGTACGCCATGATGTGAGTGTCTCTCTGAGATTTTGATATTCTCAAAAAGATGGGTGCAAAAGAGAGAGTTTGATGGCACAACCGAGGGTTTAAATATAGAGGACCTGAGTTTGTCCCGAATCCTGGAATGAATTCACCTGGAATCCCAGCACAGATCCACAGCCATCCTGTCCACAGATCATAAATTTCGAATGCTACAATCAGGCTTCGCTACATAGCAGGCTACCTGGTGAAGCTGGGAACAGTATCAAGTATACCGAGTACTTCCCAGGCCGCGCATTAGCGCCGCCTTCTAGTCGCCGAGAGGACGGATGTTACATGGTTGCCTGTTCTTCTCACTCCCTCCACTTGGGATGCAATATACGGAGTACTTTCCAGACCAACTCACTGATCCTGGGCAATATCTAGGTCGCTTTGCTCTTTTCAGGGCAGATCCCTGCTATCTGCTTGTATCCCAATCAATTTAGTGCTCACCCTCCAATAATTCTCCTCGGAATTATCACGACTTGCTCCAGAATCCGTACTTACTATCGATGAGGGCGGCCAAAATTCAAGTCCTATCCGAAGAAATTCGAGTTGGGCAAGATTTGTTGTAAACACACCTTAACACCTCCATAGTTGACTTGATGCAGTTGGGGTGTTGCTGTACCGACTCCCTTAGTTCCCGAAGCGGTATAGACCAAAGATGCATGCGATCAACTCAAGTTCATATGATCACCCTTTTTTAACTCATTCCAAGTCTTTGAGAGATTTAATCGGTCAGCATGAAGCTATACTCAGTAGAGAGTTCCTGACTTTTGATATGCCAGCAGATCATGACGTTTTAACCAATGTGCCTAAATTCCATTGGAGCTAAGCCGCTTTAGGATTTCAGGAAACGTAGGGGGTGTCGGGATAGCAAAGGGATCTCTGGGTTCCATATGTTAGAAGAAATGCTACTCCGTCACGTTAATAAAAACTCTTATAAGTTGGAATAAGGTACCCTTTGCTCTGATGATCGATAAGTCATCTCTGAGAATAGTAGAATGGCATGGCTTCCCTTCATATCATTCTATTGCCCATGCGACTGCGACCCAAGCGTACCCTTGTTTCCGGTTCAAGACATGTTTCTGATTCGAGGCAACGATCAACAGACACAGGGACCAACCTTAATCTAATGTTTGACCGGGGTCTGCCGCACGGAATAATTCTCGGGGATCTATTGCATGATCCGCATTATGCTACTGCCACGGAGTAGTTACACAGTAGTTAGTACTGTTGCGGTGTCGGCTTCACTAAGTGCGGGCCAAAGATCAACGTGCAATCACCACCTCCGATGGCGTCAGCAACAAGCAATATCTCGCAACCATTAGCGCCAGGAACCCACGCGTCTCGGTCCACCGCCGATTGATAACCCCTCATACCACTTAATTAACCAATGAGGGCATCCTCCGTTGGTATAGAGATGCGACAGTTGCCCCTCAGTCAAGCCGTACTTAATGGGGATCCTCCCCCAGACCCGAATTCAATCCCCTCAATGCCCTGATTCCCCGTCACACCAGCCGCCAATATGACGTCCCAACCCAACTTCATCTTTATCATGGCCGATGACCATGCCTCTAAAGCAATCAGCTGCTACGGAGCCGGCATCAACAGCACCCCAAACATCGACCGCATCGCCCACGAAGGCATGAAGTTCAACCACTGCTACGTGACCAACTCCATCTGCACCCCCAGCCGCGCCGCCATCCTCACCGGCACTCACAACCACGTCAACGGCGTCATGACTCTCGACAGCAAGATCAACAAGCATCTCCCCAACGTAGCTAAGCACCTCCGCACAGGCGGCTACCAAACCGCCATGGTCGGCAAGTGGCATCTCGGCGAGGGAGCCCCTCACGAGCCCACCGGTTTCGACTACTGGACCGTCGTTCCGGGCCAAGGCAAATACCACGACCCGGAATTCATCGAGATGGGCCAGAAGATCGTGGAAAAGGGATACGCGACCGACATTATCACTGACAAATCGCTTAATTGGCTGAAGCAGCGCGACCCCAAGAAACCTTTCTTCCTCATGTGCCACCACAAGGCGCCGCATCGCTCATGGGAGTGTCACCCCGACCACAAGAATCTGTACCAGGACGACATTTCCCTCCCGGATACCTTTGACGACGATTACAAGAATCGTGCCAAGGCCGTGGAGGTCGCAAAAATGCGCATCGAAAGCGACATCACGTACTTCGATCTCGGGCTCGTCCAGCCAGACGGCGGCTCCGAGGTCGGCGAGCTCTTCATCCCAGGCGGATCGAATATCGATCGGAAGATCCCCAATGTCTCCGACGCGGAGATCCACAACTTCCGTCTCATCGACAAAGACACTGCGGAGATCTTCACCTTTAAGACTGGCGAAGAGCTCCGCCGATTCAAGTACCAACGGTACCTGAAACGGTATCTCCGCACCATCCACTCCGTCGACGAGAACGTCGGCAGACTGCTGGACTATCTCGACGACGAAGGCCTCGCCGATAACACCGTCATTATCTACACCTCCGACCAGGGCTTCTTCCTTGGCGAGCACGGCTGGTTCGACAAGCGGTTCATGTACGAGGAATCGTTCCAAATGCCCTTCGTCATCCGGTATCCGAATCTCATCGCCCCGAACTCCGTCTGCAACGACATCATCAGTAATGTCGATTTCGCGACCACGTGGCTCGATCTTGCGGGTCTAAGGGTTCCGTCCTACATGCAGGGTATTTCCTTCGTCTCGCTACTGAAGGGTGCCACGCCGCCGGACTGGAAGCAGGTCGCATACCATCGGTACTGGATGCACCGGGATCCGATCCACAACGCATATGCGCATTACGGGGTGAGGAACCAGCGGTATAAACTGATTTATTGGTATGCGGAGGATTTTGAGCTTCCTGGGACGAGAGAAGGTGGGCAGCCGAGGGAGTGGGAGTTGTTCGATTGCGAGAAGGATCCGTTGGAGTTGTTTAACGTGTATGCGCTCCCGGAGTATGCGGATGTGGTGGTGGACTTGACAGCGCTGCTGGATGAGAAGATGTTGGAGATTGGTGATACCCCCGTGCATTGACTTGTGTATGCTCTTTCGGTTGAGAAAAACATTTTGCTGTCGGTTTGAGGTGTGGGGGGTAGAAAGAACACGATATAACTAGTCGATAGAAAAAAAGTGTAAGACACTTGATTCGAGGAATTGAAGGTTCATTGACATAGAAGGGCGCTTGTAGGAAAGGAAAGGCTAGCAAAGAGGGCGGCGTGGTCTTCTGCTGACTTCGGCACATTTAATAGATCTCTGGTTCGATTGGATGTTGCTTCTGCTAAACGACGTAGAAGACTGAAGAGAGGTGTTCCTGGGATGTTGGCGGTAGTATATAGTATATTTCCAGTCCACATTCACTGTCCCTTTATCCAGTTTTGTGGTTTCACAGCTTTTCAACGTACATGCTGTGTGACACCCTTCAAAAGTGTCTGTTGAACCCCACAAAATAGTATCTCGCTTGTACAACAAACCCATGCCAAAATAAAAACCAACAGTCCCAGTTGAAATGCCAATTCAGATCACGGGAGAGCAAAAGCAAAAGTCAAAAATAGGACCGAACGCGGATCGAACGCGTGACCTCGGGATCTGCAATCCTGCGCTCTACCACTGAGCTACCGATCCTTGTTGAAGATGGCCTTTGACATACGGTATATAGGCCACCGTCATTATTGCATAATGAGGGGCTCATTCCATGGTCTAGTGGTCGTCAGCCGAGGTTCTTTCGAGGTCCGGATAACAGGTCGAGTCTTGGCGTGTAGTCTTGGCGTGTTTTACACTGTGGCCGCGCCGTCATCAAGAGTGCGCTTGACCAGCATTTCTTACCATTTTTAATTCACGCCATGTAAGAGAATATCTCGACTTGATGGACCCCAATGGGGGCCAGGTACAGTGTGATATTGGATCACCTTTTTTATTCAATAAGATCGCAAAGAATATTTTTTTTCTAACCAACTCAGCTAACGCTGACGTTCCCTGTTCCCCTCAGTTCACAACCTCCTTAGCGAACCCAAGAATCAACTCATTCAACACCTCTGGCTTCTCCAACTGCACCCAATGCCCACAATCCACCAACTCGACTCTACCATTAGGGACACATCCCGTCATCTCCTGACGCTTGATCTGCAGATCCGCCCGGCAGACATAGTCCTGCGTCGCAGCCACAAACAAATTCCGCACGGGACAAACCTTTTGCTCTGCCGTCAAGCCCGCCTCATCCTCGGAATTCATCCCACGCATCGCGGCCTTATACCACGATAGCGGGCCTGTATACCCGCCTTTTGAGAAGATGCGATCATGCATCTCGTAATCCTCCTGGGTGAGCCAGGAGGGAAGAGGGGTGGTGCGGCCAGAACGGACGAATTCGGCGGCTTTGCCAGTGGGCCCCAGGTCGGTCTTGAAGAGGAGGGGGTCGTGCGGGTAGATGAGGTTGAAGGCGGAGGCGGGCTATACTTTGTTAGTGTCTTTGGTGGTGGTGTCTTGTATAGAAGGGGGTGGACGTACATGGGCCTCCATCTCGGCTGCGGCTTCTTCGCTGTTGTGCCATTTCCAGTAGCCGTAGGTTTCGTAGCCGACGAGTTTCTGGGTCAATTCGCAGATGGCGTCTGGGAATGTTAGAAGTGGCAGATTTCAAGGGGATAGCCGTCTGGTCCATCGACTTACCGATGCTGAACCCTGCACTTGGCTCGGTATATGAAACGGCGACGGTCACGAGTCCATAGAATCGCTCAGGATAGAACAGCGCCATGCGAGAAGCAAGAGCGACACCCCTGGTTCAGTCAGCCGGTAAACTCACAGTCATGAGAGAAAGAACGTGCCAATCGTGCCCCACCAGAACAGCGCGAGACACCTTCTCAATGTCCATGATCTCGACGACTTGGCTACTCATGGTCTTCAAGCGATACGCCTTCAGATCAAGGGGCTTGTCGGTATCGCCATATCCTAGGAGATCCGGAACAATAACCCCATGTCCTTCCTTCTGAAGAGCAGTGATCTGAAGTCTCCAGTCATACGAGGTCGAGGGGTATCCGTGAATGAGCACAAAAGTGCTCTTGTCAGCAGACACAGCGGGGATGGCTACGTAGCCGTATGTGGTGCCGTCCGAGAGGGTGGCCTTTTTGGCCAACGAGGGAAACGCGATGGATGCCATGATTACGGTTTTGAGGGTGAAACTGAAGATTAAAGAGAGTAGGGGTCTTATTTATATTACAAATTACTCATCCCACGAAGTTGTAGCAACTCAGCCTGCCAAGGACGTGAGATATCGGCCATATCGGCGCCGTCGTGGAACGACATCGACGTGGACTCAACTGAGCGTCCTGCCTCTGCTCCACTCAGGACAAAAATCGTCGGACAGACAAATCATCGTTGCTGCAGGGGCCATTAGCGCGGATCCTTCTCTCAGGAATACCCAGCCAGCCTTGGCCGTTGTTTTTGTCCAGTCGTCGATGTGGTCTGCCGCCTAAAACCAACATCGCCCGCTCTACCCCACTTGCCGTAGATGTCTGGGCCCATTTTCTGGACTTGATGAGGACATAAGATCAGCCTCATGAAGCATAAGATTGGAATACGTAAACATACGAAGATTCCAAACTGAGTGATATCAGCAGATTATGAGAGATCCGCTAGATCTAGGATCATCTAACGTGGGCTCGGTGTTCTCACCCGACGCGTTTGGATGGTTGGCAAGAAGTATTGTCGCCGTTTCTGACTCCAGGGGGGATAATCAACGAACCCCATCGCGTATTGCTTAAATCTGAAGCGCATATTGATGCTTGTAGGATCGTCCGTGGTGTTTTGAACAGGTAGTCTTATGGTCTCCATTCAGGGCGACATTGAACTGCGTGGGAATCAATCAGCTTTGATACCGGCACTCGAGAATATTGGACAAAGACGATAATAAGGTGTGATCCAAACACCTGAAAATGGAAAGAAAGGGTGTTGGAATATCCCGAAAAGCCGGCGGAAGGACAGTTGAGTGAATAATAGACACAAGGCTAGGCCTGACGGAGAAGTTCCGCCGATCGTCCTCTCCAAACACTCAATGCCATCTAACACCAACTTTGACGACAAAAGCCAAAGCTCTGACAGGCTTCTATAATTGCTATGAAAAATTCGTTTGTGTTGGAGTGCTTCAAAAATCTGAAGTGCCAGCAACTGGTTGTTTCTCGCGAGGACATTTGAAGTCACATGCGGATGACATCACACCTCCTGCGGCCGCTTCTTCTGCCATAACACACGGAGCACTGTTTTCGGTCTTCATGCTATTGATAAATTAACCTTTGCAGGTTCTAACAGAATATGCCAGCTCTCAAAGACAAAGCTGTCAGTCTGGCGTCATGAGTATTGCAGGTTGCAGGTTGTGGTTGTGAGGGCCAAGAAGCCAGCCCACTATCATCATATGCACGTCATGGAATCAAGTCAACCACCATGATCATGTAGTCTCTCGCACTTCCTTAACCCCCAATAAAAGCACCCATGCTTCTGCAATTTCCGGCCAGAATTTCCTCTTTCCGCCCGTTATTTCGGAATCCTACCTGCCAATTCCTCCACCTCCAGCGCAGAAACTTCTCCATATCCAACACCAACAACAGCAAGATGAGAATCGCCATCACAGGTGCCCGCGGCACCGTCGGACGCGCTGTGGTCAAAATCGCCTCGGACCAAGGCCACTCCACGGTTCAGGTCAACCGCACCGACCAGGAGTATGACGGTACGCCCAACTCGGAGATGAGGACCGCCGACACAGCCAGCGATTACGAAGCGACCGTGAAAGCGTTCAAAGGATGTGACGCGATCATCCACCTCGCAGCTATCCCCGACCCGGTCGACAAGGACGACCACAAGGTGCACAACAACAACGTGAACTCCGCCTTTAACGGATTCCTCGCTGCCGGAGAACTAGGCATCAAACGCTTCTGCTATGCGTCATCCGTCAATGCCATCGGGCTCGAGTACGCCACGAAACCGCTCGAATTCGAATACTTCCCGGTAGATGAGGAAGTCACACCCCGCCCAACGGATTCATATGCTCTTGCGAAGGAAGAGGCCGAGACTCAGGCGAAGACATTTGTGAGGTGGTTCCCTGGGACGAAGATCGCGTGTATGCGTATCCATGCCGTGGCGTCTCGGGCGGAGGCGCAGAAGGGACACAAGGAGAACTGGGATGACTCGGCTGTGAAGAGTCTGTGGGGGTGGGTGAATCCGGAGGAAACGGCAAGAGCCTGTTTGCTGGCAGTCGAAAAGAGCGACAATCTCAAGGGATGCGAGATATTCAATGTTGTTGCGCCTACGACTACGCAGGACACGCCGTCACATGAGTTGGCGAAGAAATACTATCCCAAGGTCGAGATCCGGGGCGACCTTTCGGGGAACCGGTCGTTTTTCACATCTGACAAGGCACGCAAGCTTCTAGGATGGGTACATGAGGAGAATTGACTTGATGGGTATGTGAAGGGTCGGCTCTAGGTCCTCGGGACGAGTACATTTTTAGGTTGAAAAGGAATCCAATATGAGCACCACCCCGCTAGGGATGGCAAATATGATTACGCCTATTTGCTGGCTTCCGTAGGGAAAAGGTCTAACTGTCGACAGCGGTCACATGCGCGAATCAGCGTGCTCATTGGTTTTGTCCGGTCTGGGGAATTTTGATGCTTCTTATCGCTGCGATATTCGCAAGCCATTGCTACCATCACGTAACGCTACCCCTCCAAATGACGCCATTTCCCTACAAGGCATCAACATATCGCAGCATATCTCTTTTATCTGGGAATGATAAATCAATTTATCTGAAAATAGAGCGGCATTCGTTTTGGAATGCCTTAAGTTCTGAATATCCCGCCCACAATCGCATCCTCGTCAATCAAACCGAGTTGCAACATAAAGAGCCCGCATACATACACTGCGATGAAGCAATTCAAGGTCAAGGTTGCGAGATGCGGCCAAGCCCAGGCCAAGTCGCCTCCGCCCGACCCAGCCATGCATAATCAAGCCCCTGCTAGCTTTTTAGCTTCATGTTGCGTGAATTAATTTCCCTGAGTGGCCAACAGTGAAAATGATCCCTGTTAGCCTTGATTTGACGGCCGGTTATCTACGACGCAACCATCCTGAAAATGGCGTGCCTGGGCAGATGCTTGCGATATCGTCGCTTCCATGTCTTTAAAGTGTCCGGTCGCTGCCTCCTACAAGGGTAGTATCAGATCATCGCCACAGGATTTGTGCGATTCCTGGAAGAGACATGGCTACCTCTAAAGATCTCAGCCAGAGGCTGTTTGACCAAACCGACCGTCGGTCGTACACTGAGCCATCGCCTCAGGGTTCATTCAAGGACAAGTCTCAGGTTGAGACCCACCAGTGCGATGTATCCGATACGCACCCCGACAATCCCTTCGCGGACCCCGAGGTCGCAGAGCGCTATGCCCTCATCTACGAGAAGGCGGAGTACGAGTGTCGACATGTGTTTGACCCCACACTGACATGGACTCCTGAAGAGGAGAAAGCACTCGTGCGGAAGCTGGACTGGCGTGTGTGCTTATGGGCGGTAAGTCTTCATATTGAGAAAAAACCAGATGGCATGGCTTATGGTATCTAGTGTGTGATGTTTTTCGGTCTCCAGGTCGACCGAGGAAATCTCGTTCAAGCTGTGTCGGATAATCTGCTTGATGATCTTGGTCTGACAACAGACAGTGAGACTACCCCGTCGCCATTTTCACTGACATAGCTAACTGGATTGCGCAGACTACAATACCGGAAACACCATCTTTCTCGTTGCTTTTCTCTTAGCCGAATTGCCCTCGCAACTGGTGTCCAAGCAAATTGGCCCTGATCGGTGGATTCCCACGCAGATGACCATTTGGTCCATTGTTGCAGCAGCACAAGCAGGACTAACTGGGAAAACGTCGTTCTATGTGACGAGAGCTCTACTGGGAGTACTCGAGGTATGTTTCTTGATACACAATTGATACACCCAACTGACCCATGTAGGGTGGCTTCATCCCCGACATTGTGCTCTGGTTGTCCTACTTCTATACCAGTCGAGAACTCCCAACTCGTCTCAGGTAGGCTCCATCACCTGATGCTGTCAATCCCTCCTAACGCCAATAGTCTCTTCTGGACCGCTCTATCCGGGACAACGATCATAACCTCGTTCATGGCATTTGGAATTCTCCACATGCGCGGCGTGCAAGGCATGGCCGGCTGGAGGTGCGTATCATTGCTCATTATGGTCCACACCCTCTAACAGATCATAGATGGCTCTTCCTCATCGAAGGTTTGATCACTCTAATTATCGGTCTCGCCTCCTTTTTCCGCATGCCCGCCTCAGCAGTCGACACCAAGAAATGGTTTCGACCCAAGGGCTGGTTCACCGACCGCGAGATCAGCATCGTGGTCAACCGCATCCTCCGCGATGATCCCTCCAAGGGTAAGCCAACTGATTCATTACCCCCTTTAAGAACAACTACTGACAGAAAGCAAAGGGGACATGCACAACCGCCAAGCCATTACCCCCCGTCGACTGTGGAACTCTATCCGCGACTACGACCTCTGGCCTATCTACCTCCTCGGTCTGGTGGTCTATATACCCATGACTCCAGTAACATCCTACATCACTCTCACCCTGAAAGATGTCGGATTCAGCACAGTAAGTTTCTATTACGAGTCTATTTGTACCCATGAATAACCGAGACCAAGTTTGAAACCAACCTTCTCAACATCCCTTACAACGTTGGTCACATCATCTGCCTCTTGGCTCTCACACGCCTTAGCGAGTGGCTCAATGAACGCACCTTCGTCTCCATGATCCAGAACATCTGGACCCTCCCATGTGTTATCGTCTTGCGGTTTTGGCCCGGAACCATGGTCAGTGCATGGGGAACGTATGCGATCGTGACGGTAATGCTTTCGTATCCCTATTGTCATGCTATCTTAGTCGGATGGTGTTCTAAGAACTCGAATAATGTCGGGACGAGGACGATTTCGGCGGCCCTATACAACAGTATGCCATCTCCACCCCACTCTCGTTTTTCTTTCACATGAAGTTGCTTCATCAAGGCTAACGGAATAATTAAAATAGTGTTCGTCCAAGTGGGCGGCATCATCGGAAACAATATCTATCAAGCAGATGATAAACCGAAATACCATCGCGGAAACACAGCTCTCATTGCTATTAACATCCTTGCTATCTTGCTGTTTATCTTCACAAAGGTGTATTATGTCTATAGGAATAAGCAGAGGGAGCGCGTGTGGAGTGGGATGACGGAGGAGGTAAGTTTTTCTTTCCCTTTTCCCTGGCGGTATCTTTGAGTGATTTGACTAATTCAATGAAAATAGCAACGGCAGCATTATCTGCAGACCACGCAAGATACTGGGAGTAAGAGGCTGGACTTTCGGTTTGCGCATTGATTGCTACTGCAGTGTGGATAATGTTATCAAACTGTCTTAATTGGCCTCGATCTTCAGAAGGGTACTGGGTATGACGCAAGTGAATATGTGCATCTAATGCGAGTTGCATCTTCCAGAGGGACATTCTGGGAGACGAAGAGCGGGAGATCGATGATAAGGATACGTATCCACGAAAGCTATCCTCGATCATGAAACAAGTCTGGGATATGGGTACATTCTGGTTCAGTCTTGCGCTCTCCAGCCCAATCGGGCTCTTTGCATTGTTCGATAAGCAGATCCAACCGATCATGACAGAGAAATGCCCGGACCATGAAGCCTTCCATCAGATAATGCCATGGTACTGGACAAGAGATACAATAGGAACATTGACCCGCAAACTCGCGGACAGAGAGGACTATGATTATCGCCTTCGCAAGGCATTCGATGAAGGCAGCGACAGAACCTCAACCTCGTAGTTACTTAGCTTTTGGCAGGCAGAAGGGATTATCCAGCCTCCCTCTTTCCGGTACTGTCATTGAGAACCCCACTCGGAACCTCAGGCAGCGTATCTCCAGCGCAGAACTATAAACCCCCCCCTCCCCCGCTCTCCCCCGCCCTCCCCTCGCCCTTGTCCCCCTCATCCACCTCCCCCCCCGACTTTCGCTTTCATCTCCTCGTCTCAACCACCTCCCCCAACCGCACAATACAAAGCCTCCCTCTATCCGAAAACCGATCCTCATCCTCCTTCAACAGCTTCGCCGCCTCCGGCGCCCTCACCCTCGCCTGAAACCTCTCCAACGCCGCCTGATCCTCAAACGTCAATTCCGCGACCGAGTCGAACTCGAAATCCGATTGCTGACCGACGAGGACGGCCGCGGGAGTGGTGGCATTTCGGGCTGCGGGGCGTTGCCTCCGGGCGCGTTCTCGGACGCGTCCTCGACTGTCGTGCGTAGGATGTAGCTCCGCCGGTGGGCGAGGGGGAAAGCGTCGCCAGTGAGGCGCTTTATGAGCTCGACGTGGGATTCGAGGTGGGCTTTGAAGGTTGAGGGGGGGATGGTGGGGTTGCGGGTGCCGAGGAGGAGGAGGGAGATTGTCATTGTTCTGGTCTGGTTGTTTGGTTGTTTGGTTGGCTCTTGGTTTTTGGCTGCAGAGGGGGCGGATTGGAGTTGGGTGGCGTGGTGAGGGTGAGGTGAGGTGAGGTGAGGTGGGGGGGTGCTGTTGATAAGATGGCTCGCGGTGGAATGTTGGGTATACATTAAGGTATGCTGGCATGTACGTGCTTGATGAGCTGGAGCTGCATGCGCCTTGGCCTCCGCCCCTCATCCGCAGCAGAACGGAACTGGATTTCGAGGAGCTTGGAATAAATTCGATTCGATCCAATCCAAGTTGTGTTAGCCTAGTAATTGAGCCCGACAATTATGCTAGTCATGTAGGCGCTTCTCGAGAGAAGCAGGAACTAGATTCCATGTGCCTGATACCCAAATCCCTCAAAACTCGCATGAATCACGCAAAGGAGCTCGAAAATGTGGCTCCACAACTCAAATAACACCAGAGGCTTGGAATCAAGGTTGTAGAAATCTTGGATGCGGTCTGTCAGTTATCTTGGGCAGACTGAAGTACTACATAAATGAACCATCAGAGTTGGCCAAGGACGAATAAATATGATAATATGTTCTCCAGTAAAATTATAGTATTAGTCGCATTTGAAGCAATGGGTATCTTTTTTCTTTTTGCAAACCAGAGCCCGGTGGCAACCCCATCTAAGGGAATATTGTTTGGAGTACAGCATGATGTAGTCTACAGTTACAAGTCTAAACCATGCAACATATCAAACAATGATATTAAGAAAGAAAGAAGAATTGAAAGAACTTTGTCTGAAGTCTGACAGTAGTAACTATTTACAAACACAGAAGGAAATCAATCAGAAGGATAGTGTAGTATAATGTACACACAAAAAGGGAAAAAAAGAAAGGATAGACAGCAGTGAGAGTGCTCAAAGGCTAAAAAAGGCCTTAGTAAAAGAAAGTGCCGTATGGCTGTTGTGCTTAAAAGTAAGCTTGAGTGGTTGTTCTAGGCCGCGCAATCAATGTTGAAGCATCAGTAAAGATGGGGAATGGAGGAGTTCTGACAGCCGTCACAGACGAAGATGCAGAAGCGGGTGCGGGTGCAGATGAGCATGCGCCATTCTGGCTGGAGGCCCATAGAGCGCTATTGGGATCGTCTCCGTACCAGATCTGCCACAAGGGCTTATCGCATGAGTTGGGGAATTGGAATAGCCATTTGCCTTCGCCGGCAGTTTCTTCGGTGCTGTAGTAGTACTCTGTTGGTGCGGCGCTGAGGCCAAGGACCTCGTTGACAGTGATTCCCACTCTGGATACCTGGGCCGGGTACTTAGCGGTGTTCTTGCCGGATTGAGCCTGGGGAGTGCCGATGTAGACCTGGGTTCCGGGGTCGGGGTATGCGGTCGAGCCGGTGAGTTGGGGCATCTTGAGATTTGAGTCGTTGGTGAGGTAGGTGAGGACGGTGTTTTGGAACTCTGCCTCATTCAAGACAGCCGTGGTGGCGTCGTTGGTCTGTGAGACGAAGCCGGGGTCTTCCCAAATGTGAGCCTGGTAAGCAGCATACTTGGAGACGACAATAACAACGGTACAGCCGCGAATGTTGGTCTGACTGAAGTTGATGGCGCTGTTGTCGAACACGACCGTTTCGGAGGTTGTCATGCCGCTGGCGTCCTTGGTAAGAAGCGGGCCGGTTCTCATCTGGGTGAGCATCCATGTGAGATAGTCCGAGGTTCTCTTGGACAGCCCTCGGTCGAACCAGTTGGATCGCTTGGATGATGCGCTAGAAGTATCGGTCAGGTCGTTGGATATGCATTCAGTACATTGAGGACTGCACAGCTCATCGTCCGAGACAGCAGCGCTGGAGCTGGTAGCGGGAGTAGCGTACGTCGAGCTGGCGACTGGGGAGGGGGTGGTCGTTGTAGCATCGCCAGAGCCAGTGGAACTGGAGCTTGTGCCAGAATCGCCGTCAGAATCGTCGTCTGAGCCATCGTCCGAACCATCGTCCGAACCATCGTCCGAACCATCGTCCGAACCATCGTCCGAACCATCGTCCGAACCATCGTCCGAGTCATCATCCGAGCCATCGTCCGAGCCGGCGTCAGAGTCATCGTCTGAGCCATCGTCAGAGTTATCGCCAGTGTCATCGCCAGTGCCATCACCGGAGTCATCGCCTGAGGCGGCCACATCGGATGTAGCGGCTGGAGTGGCAGCAGTTGAAGTGGCAACAACCGAGGAACTAGTTGCAGCGACACCGGTTGAGGTAGCAGCACCTGAATCATCACCAGTGTAATCCGAGTCGTCCCCTGACTCGTCACCAGAATCATCGCCCGACTCATCATCCGACTCGTCTCCTGAATTGTCGCCTGAATCGTCGCCTGAGGCAACAGCGCCAGAGCTGGAAGACGGGGTAACAGCAGTTGAAGTAGTAACAGATGAGGAAGTAGTGGCAGTGGCGCTGGTTGAGCCCGACTCATCACCCAATTCACCCGAATCATCGCCCGAGTCGTCTCCCGATTCGTCACCGGAGTCATCAGTATCGTCTCCAGTGTCGTCTCCTGAGTCATCACCGGTAGTAGCCGCACTGGAAGGAGTGGTCAAGGTAGCAGCAGTGGAGGTCGCAACGGATGAGCTGGTTGCAGTGGCAACAGTCAAGCCGGTATCATCACCAGAATCATCAGAACCATCGGAGCTATAGTCGGAGACATCGTCGGAGCCATCATCTCCAGAGCCATCTCCCGAATCGTCACCAGTAGTGGCAGCGGTGGAAGTGGTGGCGGGCGTAGCGGCAGTAGACGTGGTGATGGACGAGGAAGTAGTTGCGGTAGCTACGGTTGAGCTGCCCAAGTCATCGTCGGTGTCATCTCCAGAGTCATCAGTTTCATCTCCAGAGTCATCGCCGGAGTCATCATCAGTGTCATCATCCGAGTCGTCTCCAGTATCATCGTCAGAGTAGCCGGATTCATCGTCTGATTCATCCCCCGAATCATCGGCTTCATCACCAGAATCATCACCAGATGCAGCGGCGGCGGTTGAACTAGAAGCAGGGGTGGCGGCGGTTGATGTGGCAACTTGGTATGCGCTGGTTGATGTAGCAGTGGCTGAGTTATCATCACCTGAGTCGTCGCCAGAGTCATTATCAGTATAATCCCCAGTATCATTATCGGTGTCATCGCCAGTATCGTCGCCAGTATCGTCGCCAGTATCGTCGCCAGTATCGTCGCCAGTATCGTCGCCAGTATCGTCGCCAGTATCGTCGCCAGTATCGTCGCCAGTATCGTCGCCAGTATCGTCGCCAGTATCGTCGCCAGTATCGTCGCCAGTATCGTCGCCAGCGTCGTCTCCGGTGTCGTCGCCAGTATCGTCGCCAGTATCGTCTCCGGTGTCGTCGCCGGTGTCGTCTCCGGTGTCGTCGCCGGTGTCGTCTCCGGTGTCGTCGCCGGTGTCGTCTCCGGTGTCGTCTCCGGTGTCATCGCCAGTATCATCGCCCGAATCATCGTCGTCGTCGCCCGAATCATCGTCATCGTCGCCCGAATCATCGTCGTCGTCGCCCGAATCATCGTCGTCATCGCCCGAGTCGTCGTCGTCGTCGTCGCCCGAATCATCGTCGTCGTCGCCCGAATCATCGTCGTCGTCGCCCGAATCATCGTCGTCGTCGCCCGAATCATCATCGGTATCATCCCCAGTATCATCTCCAGTATCGTTACTGGTGTCATTACCAGAGTCAGTACCCGAGTCATACCCAGATTCATCGCCGGAGCCACTTCCTGAATCATCGCCGGAGTCATCACCGGAGCCATCGTCAGTTGGCTTGGCGCCTTCAGAGCTAGTAGGAGTACCGCTCGAGACAGCCCCGGTGCTGTGAATGATTGCAGATGACTCGGTCTTTGTGATACTGGTGCTTCCGGTCAGGCGATGAGACTCGGTGCCGGTAGTTATGGCGTGGGATCCAGTGGTTGTAAGGTGATGGGATTCGGTTACAGAGTGAGAGCCAGTAAGGGCATGAGACTCGGTTCCGGTTGCAGTATGCGATCCAGTTTCTGTCAGATGATGAGATTCAGTGCCGGTACTGATAGGCTGGGATCCGGTGGTAATATGATGCGATTCCGTGCCGGTTGTGAGGCGATGAGACTCGGTACCAGTTGGGACGGAGTGAGATCCGGTGCTTTCAGTGAGATGGTGAGACTCAGTAGCAGTTGTGAGATGGTGTGATTCAGTGCCAGTTGTGAGGCGATGAGACTCGGTAACGGTAGCAATAGTGTGAGATCCAGTACTATCAGTGAGGTGATGAGACTCGGTAACAGAGTGGGTTCCAGTTGCTTCTGTCAGAGAGTGTGATTCAGCGGCAGTCGGGACGGCGACGGATCCGGTGCTTTCGGTGACTTGATTGGATTCAGTGCCAGTAGAGACAGCGTGAGACTCCGTAGCAGCCGGAACGCCACTGCTCTCCGTGACATGATGAGACTCAGCACCAGTCGAGACAGCGTGAGATTCCGTAGCAGCCGGAGCTCCCGTGCTCTCAGTGATATGATGAGATTCCGTGCCAGTAGCCGCGTATTGGGTCGAGACTTCCGAACTGACGACCGGAGACTCTGTCTTTGCTGTCGTGGAGGCGGAGGCCGACGTCTCCACAAACTCACCTCCACTTGCGGTTGAGGTCTCATGGTGAACGGTAGAGCTTTCAGTGCTGTTATCTTGTCAGTAACATGGCTATATAGCGGACGAGAAGTCACTCACTGAGAAGTATGGGTAGCGGCATGAGAGGTGGTGAGTTGCTCGGTGTGGGATGTCTCAGTCGCAGTCACAGTCGGGCTGTGTGTGGTCTCCTCGGTGCCAGAGGATGTGTGGACGGCTGCGTCACTGGAGGAGGACGAGGTGGAAGCAGTGTGGGACTCTCCAGCGCCGACAGCGATTGTGCTTGTTGCTTTGTCGGTGTCACGCGTCGAGACGCTGTGGGTGATGGAGGAGGTAGAGGCAGTGTGAGACTCGCCGGCAACAGCGATAGTGCTGGTTGCTTTGTCGGTGTCGAGGGTGGTGGTGCTGTGAGTTTCCGCGGCAGCGGTCGTGGTGGTGCTGGTGTGGGTGGTGGTGTCACTGGTCGAGTGAGACGAGGTGGGTTTGGCCTCCTTCGTGCTGGTGGATTCGGTTGTCGTGGTGGCCTTCTCGCTGGTAGAGGTAGACGAGGTTGAATGAGACTCAGTGGTGCTGGTGGTGTGAGGCGTCGTGGTGGTCTTCTCGGCGGTGGAGGTGGAGTGAGACTCGCTGGTGGTGGAGGTTGAAGTAGTCTTGGGCTCAGTCTTGGTGGTGCTGGTGGTGGAGTGGGTGGTTGAGGTGGAGGTGGAGGTGGGCTTGGACTCGGTGGTGTGAGTCGTCTTCTCGGCGGTGCTGGTGCTGGTGGTCTTTGCCTCCGTGGTCGATGTAGTCTTCTCTTCCTCCTTCGAGGTAGTCTTCTTCTCCTCCTTTGTGGTAGTCTTCTTCTTGGTAGAGGTTTTCTCCTCCTTCTTCGAAGAAGAAGACTTCTTCTTCGCCGAGTCCCCACTACCCTTGCGACTTCCACTCGATGAGCTCTTATGCTTCCGTTCCGCGAGGTGGACGGTCTCGATATCATCCACCTCAACCTCAACGTCACCGGCAGGCTCCAAATCACCAGGATAGGAGTCCAGCACGGGGGCGGGGGTCACAGTCGGGTCAGAGACGTCCACCGCACCGGTGGTGGACGTCTCAGCCAAGGAGCCAGAGAAAAGGCCGCCGGCCCACAGGGCCAGCAGCAGCGTTTTCCTGACGGTGACAGGCATGATCGCTGTCGCTGTCAGTGCCACTTTCGCTGCTCGGAATGGTTGGGGATGCATCGGTCTGGGAGAGCAATCCCCCCTTATATGACCATCCTTTTGGCATAGCCGCATCTGATTGCAACGCTAGCATGCTGAAACAAAGTCGACAGGGTCTGCTCTGCGGCCCCGAGGGTGGGATTCCATGCCTGCCATTGGTGTTTGAGGATCTGTCGACCGAATTACCGAGCCACCGAAACAGCTTGGACGGGTTATACCAATGGCAAACAGGCCGACGGTGGGACTGGGTGCCCTTCATGGCATTTTCTGGGGCTAAAGGAAGCTGTTAATTTCGTATTAGAGCCTGTTGTATACGTACATGGATCAGCTGGTGCATATCATATCTACCCCGTTTAATATCAATCTTTCTGCCCCCGACTGGAATCACTCCATCTCAGCGAGCCTTTCGTAAACTCCCCATTCCCCATACAACATTCCACCTTGCATCGAATTTCAAACAATCGACTACACCCGCACACGTTTGCGTCACACAACCCCCAAATGCCAAACTCGCAACGCTAGAACATCCTATCCAGAGCCAGGATCTAGAGCCAACAAACTGCTGCGGGTCATATTGGACAAAGTCGCCTTATAGTTGATCAGGCCTTAACCAACAAGCCTCACGGGGCACACAGGCTAGCCCGATCGATGCCTTTCCCCTGGTGATCTCCAGGCTAGAGACCCCTTTGGCCCCATCGCCCCCAAGTAGATAGTGATACTAACTACTAAGCTGTGCTCTCGATCCACCCGTTCGCGCTAGGGTTAAAGGCTTTCCCAGTGCTTGAGCCCGGCTGGTCCCGCCCCCACCCCGGCCCACCGTCAGCCAACAACACCGCCTCCTCCTGCCCAAGCAAGCATCAAGCAACAAACACAACCTTGATCTGATCAGATGATTCTCACAATTGCCTTCAACTTGGGTTACATGTCTTCTTGATTGACATACCCCGGACGCTGCCCCTCGCAAGTCCATCTGACGGAATCATCCAGAATGCAGGGTCGGGCACTCCCCCGCATCCAATCTAACCCCCAACATGACATCTCCAAAGAAAGCAAACTCCAGCATGATTCCGGAAGGCATAATGCAAATGCCGACTTGCGATAAGGTTGACTTGATGAAAAGCTGACGCGGCCGTGTAAGCATCCTGAGCGACCCCTCAACGGGGGGTTTCAAGTCCTGCTTGATCAGTCTTACAAGCCCGATACTAATAGGGTCAGCAGTCAGGTAAGCCTTCTTGAAAGCCCACTGGCCTAATGTCATACTAATCTATGACAGCGCAATCATAAGCCGCATCGGCGTCGTCCGAGACTACAGTCCTCAGATTAGACTGCTAGCGAGTCTAGAAAGCTCATATCGCCGGATCTCCGAGGACTTTCGTGCCGCGTGGCGAGCCCCGTTCACTCAAAACATTACATTTCATGTGCTTGAATCTGTGTCAGACCTGTTGACCAAGACAGGCACATCTGTCGTGAGGTGCGCTAGCAGACCTCAGTATTAGTGAGCATTCTCCGAGACCGTCTCCTCCCTCCGATGTCTCTGATTCCGCCACTCATGGCCCCATTTCCACACCACCATGAACGCCGGCATACACAAGAGCACAAAAAGCCCAACGACCGTGAACGCCCACCCCCTCCCAATTCCCTCGATCATGGGAAGAATCACCGCCGTCGCACAGGCCCCCAGCCAACACCGCGTAATATTATTCGCTGCCGTGGCCGTGGCCGGACTCTCGGGGTAAATATCCACCATCAAAACGCTCATGATATTCAGGACCGCGCTGGAGGTGTACCCGATGAAGAAGAGCAGGATTAACGGCCCAGCGAGGTTAGTCTCGTAGTGGAGGACCCAGCCGTAGGCGATCATGCTCACGACTTCGATGACGACCATGGGAAACACAATTTCCGTGCGAACGCGCTCTATGGGGAAATTGTCCAGACTCTGGCGGTGGGTTTTGGAGACCGTGATTCCGAGCCGTCGCGCGTGGCGCCGGTAGTTCCAGTCTGCTATTAAGCCTTGCGTGTAGGCTGCTACTAAGCACCCGATTCCTACCGGGATAAAGCACAGCCCGATTTGCACGTCGTTGAAGCCGTAAATGCTGCCGAATTGGGAGGTTACGCTCGTGGACGCGGCGTAGTAGCCTGCGAAAGCGAGGCTGTTTCCGAGCAGGATCATGAAAACTTCTTTTTCGGCAATGATGGCGAGGGTAGTAAGGGGGTTGGGGAAGTGCATGCGGGTTTTGACTGGTGGTGCAGTCGGTTCAACAGATTTACGCCGGGCGATGAGTTGGAGGACGGACAGGTTCCATAGTGGTGGGGGGCGGGAGCCGTTCCCTACGATCTTGCGGGCAGTTTCAGGGAGGAAAATAACGAGGGGAATGAGAAATACACCCGCACAAATGGTCAGGAACCAAAATGTGGACGGCCATCCTAGGTATTGCGTTAGGATTCCCCCGATGATGGGGCCGATGGAGGGTCCGAGGACGCTGCCCGCGGAAGAGTATCCGATGTAGAGGCCGCGTTCGGCGGAGGTGACCACGTCTGCGACGATGGCATTGGCCAGAGCAATAGTGCTGCTACTACCGGTGCTTTGGAGGCAGCGTAAGACGAGCAGGGCGGCGTAGTTCCGTTGGAGAGCGAGTCCGATGTTGGCCGCGATATAGATCGTGAAGCAGATGATGTATGCGGGGCGTCGACCCGCACTGTCTGCGAGTCCTCCAAAAATGGCTGGTGCTAGGCCTTGGAAGATCTAAAGCGATGTCAGACTATCTCCCTGATCGGTATGTATCATAATTCATTGATCGATAATTTTTTTTATTGTATTACACCGGAGTGCAGCACCCTGAAAGGCTCTTCCCGGGTCGCCCTGATCGGGATGTAAGTCCACGCACCATGTATGTTGTCACAGTCAGGTTTATCAAGGTGTCGCTCACGTGGAGCTCATCGGCCAGGGTGTCGAGCGCGGGGAGATAGATGTTGGCGGACAATGGCGAGAACAAGCCGGCAAAGGACGCGGTCATGACGATCAATATTTTGGCCTTCTTGCTGAAGATGGTGTAGACCTCCTCATCGTCTTGAGCGGATGGCTTGGCATCCTGAGACACCTCTGTTGCGGATGAGACGTCTTCAGCGGAGAAATCCGCATTTTGTTTCTCGTTGACGACTGATTTTGCCATATGGACTTACACTCCAAAAAAACTTGGGGTAAGAGTGCTACCTCTGGGTCGTTCATCGGGGAGAGAAACGGACATATATCCCCGCAACAGATGGAAGAAGCAAAGATTTCAACTTCCTTGTTTTGCGTTATCGGCAGTGGATCCAAGGCAATCGCGAGTATTCTGAATCCATCCATCCATGGCCCTTGTATCTGGAATGTGACCGGGCCGGAAGTGGGGCCAGAGTCGTCCTGGCGAATGGTGTGTTGTTCTGACAAGGCGCCATTCCATTGTGATCTTGCCTGTGGAGTTGGGAACTTACTATGTAGATAATATGGGTTCTCACAGTCGTTGATATGACATTTGATACAGTGGACAGCAAACCGTAAGCTCGTTTTCTTGATGATGGGCGATCTCTAAGAGGATGCTAGGCAGCAGGCGATGTGATTGTGATGGCCGCCTGGTTGGGAACCGCGACCGGCATGAGTCAAGACAAGGGTGTTCCTGCCTCCTGCCCGCGCTAACCTTGAAATCGGCCCACCGGAAGTGATGAGCCGAATTGACTGTTGTGCTCAATATTCTGTGCTACACGGTAGGGATGCTATCTTTCATGAAGTTTTGACAAATTCAATAAAGTGTGGCCATCAAGTAAATCTTTAAAAAAAAAGATAATATTAAAAAATATCTCTTAAAATTATTTAATTTAATTGATTAGTTATATTAGATTATATATATATATGTATAAAATTATTAGATCTCTGTAAGACATCAACCTAGGGGAGTTGTTGCCACTGAGCCAAAAATGAAGGCTAACATTACCCGCAGTTACTACCTGCGGACCCCTAGAATCCCAGATATATACTCAAGTACTACACCCGGGAGGAGGTGGGCTTTATCCTTGTAAGAGTATGCATATCCCCGCGGATATCATCCCTTCCAGGCTTCAACAGCTTTATAATATAAGCAAATTTTAATAAAGTTTTATATTTTGAAATTTCACCGAGGCTTCCCTACTACACGGACGCCGATAAAAGGCTAGACCCTGCATCTCTATCACATTTTGGATAAAGGGGACCTTCCTGGCCTCTGATTGTTCAATTACATCAATACCATATGGTACCGACCCTTTATGTCTTGTGAATCTTGAACGTGAAGCTCGTATGATCACATGACAGTTATATCGAAATCATGTACTATAGAGAGCAAGCGAGGGTCTGGGTGGGCTAAATGTTTGATCTAGTTTCTTTACTTTCTATTACAGCCTGTATTAGGCTCTGAAATTCCTTCTGTTTGCTTTAGTATCCAGGAATCCCCTATCCGTCATCCCGAGTAACGGAGTCAAAGGTGTGCATGGGTCATGGATGATGGATGGACTCTGAGTCAAATAACAAAGTGCAAGATATCAACCATCTTCAAAACACCAATACAGAGTACCAGCCACGGGATCCCATATTGACCTCGACCCAGATTAAACGGGAGTCTGATCCTGTGGCTAACTCCATACCCCGAGATCTTCAACTGCCAATCACATCCCGGCTTTAGACAAGGAACAGTATGGCAATCCCGTGGCCAATGGAAAGGAAGCGGGTTAATTAAATCTAACTACACAGTGAGTCACCAACACATACCGACCAATGTATATCTAGTACAAATCTCGAAGATAAACAGGCACCGTCTCCACCAATTCTCTCATCCACAATTCCAATGCCCCCGAAATGACTAATTCAGACCCCGAAATCACCGTTGAGGCATCCGCCTACACGACAGACGAAGTCATTGCATGGCTTCACCACATTCGCCTCCCAAACTCCTACACACAATACATCCAAACCCCCACCTCCTTCCCAAAGACCTATGACTCCCTCCGAACATTAATGAGATGCCAGATCTCGCGGTTCCCATTCGAGAACCTCTCTTTACACTACTCCCCGGCACATAACGTTTCTGTGAGCCCTGGCATTCTCTACGAGAAAATGATGGGTCCGAACAGAGACGGCGGGACCGGAAAGGGCGGTTACTGCATGGAATTGACTATCTTCTTCCATCACATGCTCTGCGGATTAGGATTCCAGACATACATGACGGGGGTTCGGAACCGCCCCAGAGTTGATGGTGTGCCTGGGGGAGAATATACCGGACTGTGAGTCTTTACCCCCCGAGTCTCTACCACATGCCCCTCCCAATTCACTCGGACAAAGCAATATAATGCTCATACTCAGACGCCAACCCAACAGGACCCACATAAACAACATCGTGCACCTCCCCACGGGCCAGAAATTCTCCATGGACGTGGGCTTCGGCGGCGACGGTCCCACCAGCCCCCTCTCCCTCGACGACCCAGGCCAAGTAATCAAGAACCTCGGACTCCAAGAAGTCCGTCTCATCCTCGACCATCTCCCCAAACAACGCCTCAGAGGTCCCAAATACCGGATCTACCAGTACCGCAACGGGCCAGACAAAGAGTGGAACTCATTTTACTCTTTCACTGAAACGGAGTTTTTCTAGGGTGACTTTGAAATCCTAAGTTGTTTCGCGAACCATCAGGGCCTGCATAGGTCGACGGTCATGGTGGTGCGGTTTCTCCAGGAGGGCGAGGAGGTCAGGTTCTCTGATTGTCCAGGAGTGGTACGGGATGGGGAGGTGAGGATTGTGGGGAAGGTGATACTGGTGGAGAATGTTGTGAAGGTCAATTTAGGGGGGAAGACGCAGGTGGTGCATTCTTTTGACTCGGAGGTGGAGAGAGTGAGGGTTTTGAGGGAGTATTTTGGTATCGAGCTGACGGATGAGGAGGTAGGGAGTATTAGGGGATGGGATACAGAGCTTAAGCAATTTGGTTGATCCTGATATATGTGGGGGGCATTTTATAATGTTTGGGGATAGAGATGATATGGTATGACTGTAATTGATGGTTTAGAGCGGTGTGGTAAGTATTAGAGTTAGTTGCCTTCACATACACTTTCCCAAACTACAGGGCTTTTCCTCTGTTACTCCAAACTGAGGAACCATCCCGTAGAAAGATATATATAAGAGAGCACGCAGACAGATTTCTTTGATATAGTAATTAATGGACCATCAGAACCATGTTCAAATTCAAAGACGGAAATTTCGTATCACCAGTAGCAGCATAAACAGCAATCTACTTACATAGAGAAATCCCTAAGAGAGACCTCTCCAAGCGCTTACCATTCATTAGCTTTCCCGCCAACTCACCATTGTTTTTTCACTTCCCGTATTTACTAACCTCATGTTGCACTGTTTTGATGCTTATTAATATATCAAGCCCGGGTGGTCTAGTGGTATGATTCTCGCTTAGGGTTACAACCCAAGCATATCTGCGAGAGGTCCCGCGTTCGATCCGCGGCTCGGGCCTTGACACTTTCTTTTTTGCCTTTGCTTTTGCGGAGGGTGGTGGATGGATGGAGATAAGTAGCGGATGGTCGTGCAAGTAGGGTTTCCTTACACCTAGCAAGAATACTAGCAGCATCCATTGTCTTAATATTCCTTTAATCATGCCCCTCTCTGGCTCCATCCCCTCAATTCCCGCTAGCGCGCGACACGCACAGGGTCTTGCTTGATTGAACCACTTTAACCCATAGCCTGTCCAGCCTTTGGACACATTAGGGCAACAATTCTTCAGAACATATCTATCTCTTTCCAACAGAATCTCATATTGCGACTCATCAACACATAAAAAACTACATATCATCTGTGAGAAAGTAATATGACCATCACTTGCAGATTCCACGCCGTCAGGTGGGTCATTGGGGATAGATAGTATCCAACGTGTCAGCACGAGAATCCCACCGAGGAAAGGCAATACGAGGCAGTGAAGTGACTGACCTTGGCCGATAGTCTTGATAAAAGATGCTAATGCAGACCCCGCGCTGATTATTAAATCTTCCCCGCCATGCAGCACTAATCGTGGGGTAGATTGACCAATAGCAAAAGCTGGGATAAACAGTCAAGGGCGCAAACCCCGAGTCTTCTGGGGCTAGACCCCTTCGATGCATGTCATGGACAGTTGTTGCACAGAATACTAGCCTTGCGATATCTTGAAAGCCATAGCCCCTGCAAGCACTACTCTTCCGGTCATGCATTTGGGCAGCCAACGGCTCAATCCCTGGCTGCGACGTGTTCGGGGGCAGTAGCCAAGATAACAAAGTGACAAATCAAACAGACCACTCGACTAAAAAGGTGTCCAGACACCTAAGTAGGTGTGATACTGAATGATACTAGGTTTGACACAAAGGCTCGGGGAGAAGAGCGAGGCGGATATCATCACTCCATTCGGCCACTCTCAACGCTGTCATGGCTCTGTACTCGTTCTTCGGCTGCAGCGGGGATGATTAATTTCCAGCAACTAAGCCTGTGACTAGTTTGGAGATTTGATTGCTCACATAACCTGCCTGCTTCCTGGTTCTGGACCGGACTTCAATCTCCGCATTTCCGATTACCCTCTGCGGCACTTGACATGGCGTAGCCGCTACGGCATTTAAACCCATCTTCGCACTAGATTGTTGTGTCGTCCATTGCAATCTCCAACACACCATGTCTTTACTACAGAGTCTTCACTACGAGATCACTGCCCCCGCATCATCTTTGTCGCACCCGGCAATCCCTTCCCCGCTCCATTCCATCCCCCCAACACCTGCAGAGAACCTACAAGACCCTCTTAATGGCTGCATTGAGCGAAACCTTACGCCCGTTGCAGGCCGAACGGTATTTCAACGCGCACCATCGGTTCAAATCACCCAGTCCCGTCGGTTAGCGATCACTGTGCTTCTTCTGCTAGCGAATCTCGTGCAGGTACGTCCCAATCGAGCTATCCAGTGGATGCTTCCATGCTAAAGCGCAGCAGATGACCGTTAACTTTGCCGGATATGCCGGTGGAAACCGGCTTAGCGATGCCTTGGGGGCCAAGGAAACATATGCCTCCTGGATTGGTGCCAGCTATGGGTAAGATGACATCGTTGATGGGTGTTTTAAATGTCCTAACACAGTACAGAATGACACAAGGAACATTCGTCCTTGTAAGCGGTCGGCTTGGCGATGTCTTCGGACATCGAGAACTCGTACTGGCAGGCGGGGCGTGGCTTTCCCTATGCACCTTGATCAGCGCTTTTTGCAACAGCTTCTACGCATTTGTCACCATGCGAGCCCTCGCAGGCCTGGGTGGTGCTTTGGTCATGCCTAATGTCGTGGCTATGATTGCCAGCACAAACCCCCCAGGTCGCGTCCGAAATCTCAGCTTGGGCTTTTTCGCTGCATCTGCGCCCACGGGAGGCTACTTTGGCGCACTTTTCTTGGGCGCCTTTATGGAGAAGGCGGAATGGAAATGGTTTTTCGTATTCATGTAGGTTGTCCTTAGAAATGGCAGATCAAATCTAACCTTCACTGTAGAGCCGGTCTCGGCGTTGCCACTTTTGTCCCTCTCTGGGCGCTCAGTTCGCGAGAGCTTCTCCTTGACACGCATGGGAAAATCGACTGGATCGGGTCGGCTCTTGGAACGAGCTCTCTGATTTTGTTCAATTTTGTCTGGAAGTAAGCACGGCCTGCCTGTCCATCGTGAGACATGGGCTAATCCATCTCTGCCCAGTCAAGCTCCAAGCGTGGGATGGGCCACATCGTACGAAATCGCCCTTCTAATCACGTCGCTCATTCTATTTGGAGCCTTTCTTCTCTGGGAAAAGAGTGGCACCGATCATCCAATCATGCCGCTTGAGATCTTCAAAGCACCCTCACTCCTCACACTGCTTCTAGTCGTTCTCTTCAACTACATGGCCGTGGGGACTCTGATCTGGTACCAGATCCTCTGGCTGGAAGAAGTGTGGCACTGGTCTCCGCTTCACTTCGCGGTCGGATGGACTCCCTTCGTGATCTGCGCCACCGGGGCAGCCTGTCTAGCCGCATGGCTCATCCCTCGACTAGACGCGCAATGGATCCTTGCCATCGGAACGGTCACCATACTAATATCCAACGCATTAATGGCTACCGTCCCTCTTCACCAAACTTACTGGGCACAGATCTTCCCATCTATTGTTCTTTTCTCCTTCTGTCCGGATTTTGTGTACACCGCCGCACAGATCATCGCCAGCAACTCCGTCCGTCGACACCAGCAAGGCATTGCCGGTTCCATGATCGGCACGCTGAATCTCTACGGTAACAGTCTCGGACTGGGCTTCGCCTCCACAATCGAGGATCAGATCGCCCAGCGCTCTGGGGATCGCATCACAGGGTATCGCGCTGCGCTGTACTTTGGTGTTGCGATTAGTGCGGTGGCTCTCGTGCTGGATATCTGCTTTGTTAGGATGGTCAAAGATGACCGCGAGGGATGGCACGAGGATGATCGTGACATCTCTAATTCGGATGCGCTCGAGATGACCGGCCATGCCGCTGCTACTGGAGCCGAGTGGCCGGCTCCGGTTGAACGGCCTTAGTTTCTGTCACGATGACGTGGAGGAGAGGAGCAATGATCAAGAAGGTTGGTGGTTGGTAGAGAGTTGGTTCTAGCCAGAGTCACATGATAGAACGACTGCAGGGCTGCTTGTTGGCTACAACACCGCCCCCTAGATCTGCAGCCGAAACAGGAAGAAGTGAAGCCAAATCTATGATAGAAGAAAACTTATCGCCAGGAAAAGTAGGTGAATATCAAGTTCGTGGCGTTTTTCAAGTCGTTAAACAAGGTTGCCGCCTACTAGGGCCGGTTCTTATGGTGGTAAAGAGTATGGTGGTAATCGTTTTAAGCGAGTCCTTTAATCAATGAGGTTTCTCGGGGGCAGCGGAGGCACCGAGGCACTCCGTGAGGTCAATGTCATCTGCGATCATAGATCATCAAGGACTCGATCCAGAGATTCAGTGGGTGAAGCCGCTGAGGCGGTTTGTGAGGTTGATATAAGGTGCTATATTCTAGGGAAAGGCCTTTCGCGAGTTAACCGGAGGTCAATATTGAGATAAAGATAGAGGGCTGGTCTATGAAATGCTCCGTCGCAGTAAGAATACGTGCCATTCATGGACAACGCGAGACGCTATTTTGCTGTATATTCGCAGTGGTCAAAAGCCTGTTCGGATCCAAGCCCGATGAGGGGAATATCAAGGAAGGTGGGTGCTGTGGGTTGTCAAGAATGTCAAGATGCGCCGATCGTCTACGGCCCCCGCCACCGCGCAGCCAAGTTGTTTTGCTCTTCTGCCGCTTTTCCGACCATCGCACGGAGTGCTACCTATAAGACCGCAAATACATAGTATACATGTAGATTGATATAGTCTTCTCCCCAGAAGCCGACACTCACCTCATTGCGCAAATATCTTGAAATTATCTTGAAGATCAGCAGAGCAAGAACATTGGAAAGAGGATGAACTAGCTAGTTATATGCGCCATCAAATGACCTAGTGTTTCAGTAGGAGAAAACTATGGGTCTCGGGTAAGGTAAAAAGCGACCGTGGTATCCGTACCGTGGGACGCTGTATATACCTAAGCTGTAAGCTTGTAGCTCGTTGAAACTTAAAAGATCGTCGCTGTTAGAAGTGGACCTCTAAATGCTGCCAGCCCAGGAACCGTCTTGAGGGCGCAGATCACATCGAAGACTTTTGGACTTTTATACTGTTGAAGCATGTGGAAATACCCGCGTACCCCATACAAATTGGTTGGACATTTCCCATCAGACCCTTTGATTTCACTCGAGTCCCCTTTGCAAGCCGGGGCATCAGGGACAGGCACGCGCGCGCCGGGGGTGCAGGGTCCGGGCCCGCCTGCTCCACGCCTGCTACCCTAAACCCAACCCAAACCCGCCCGAACACTAGTCGATCCCAATCAACCCAATCGCCCTAAGCAGCCAAGAGACCAAGAAACAACATGAAGTCAAGTCCAACCACACCGATCAAATCCGAATCCTTCACGCGGGATGTTTCCCCACCTAACATCTCTTGGAATGTGCCTCCGTGCGTCGGGTAAAACCCAGGCTCACTCAGCCTCGCGCATCTCCTTCCTTGTCCTCTTCGTTCTCCTCCCCACCTCCCTTCCCTCCAACTGTCTCACCTGCTTCATATCTCTCAAGCCGACTGAAGTTCTGAACACCCCCGAGAATGGCCACCTCCACCTCCACCTCCAGCGCCACCTCCACAGCCGTAATTGAGGGCTTCGCCATTCGTCGCAACAACTCCTGTCTCAGCGACGAAGTCAGCTGCGGCTCGACCTGGGAGACCTGGCACGCGTGCTGTCCGAGCGGGTCTTACTGCCCCGGGTCGAAGATCTCTATCCCCAACAACGTCTGCTGTCCCAGCTGGACGGACTGCACGTCAGAAATCGAGGATCCCCCTGTCTGCGCAGACAACAGCTGGGGTCTGTACAACTATACCGGGTATTTCTGCTGTCCGAGCAGCGACGATGGGTTTATGGTTAAGGATACGGTTTGGGTGGGCTGCTCGGCGCCGGACTCGCCGGGGAATGCGAGTTACAGTGCCCTGAGGGAGATTGTGACGGGTTAGTATGCGGTTATTGTGCGTGAGAGGTATGAGTGTGAGTGTGTGTGGCTGACCATGTTTGTGATAGCGAGTACCACAGGTTCAACGATATCAACGTCGACCGCCACATCGGGCGCTTCAAGTATAACATCCGCGCCAACTGCCACGAGCTCGAGTTCTGGTAGCGGTTCGTCGCATACAAATGCCGGTGCCATAGCTGGTGGTGTTGTTGGTGGTGTTGTCGGGGCTGCTGCCATCGGGGCTCTCCTCTTTTTCTTCCTCAGACGCCCCAAGAAACAACAAGAAGCGCAGCAGCTACAGCCACAGACCTCTCAGCCGCCGTATTCAGAATACAGCTATATAACGGGCACGTCGGAGCCCAGCGAGCTTGACGGGCACACGATGCCGGCGGAGCTCATGTCTGCGCCGAATCAGGGAAGACATGAATTGCCTGGGAGTCATTGACATACTGCAGGGTGTGATAGGGTTGTACATTGCCAGCGTGAAGGCCAAAGAGCTATTGAATACTGGTAGACTTCTGGGTTGTTTGGATGTATTGTGCAGATTAACTTGGATGCTCCTATTCCGCAGGCGGAATTGGGGTCCTGATGCCTCAAATGGTGCTCTTTCGTCTGTATATATTTTCGTTATTCGAGCTATTGCTCATAATCTATTGTTTCTTCTTGGCTGTTGGAGCAGACAGAACGGGGATTGCTTGGTTAAGTTGTTCCGCTGATGCTTCGTACTGAGGGTTGCAAAAGACAATTAGGGGACAAGATCGCCTCATCATCATGGGCATCTCCTAGCATGGAAAGAATAATTAAAGTCATTATTTGCTCGATCACATCATGCTGGTTTGGAATAATGGCAATAGTCCATTAAAATCCGAGGCCTGCCTTTCAAAATTCATTTTCATTTTCAAATTATCTCCACCTCGTCTACCATCTCTCAATCCCATCTTCATTTCCACCTTGGAACAATTACCTGACCCCAACGCCAAAAACCTACTGCCCTCGTCACCAGACTTCGCAACTGTTCGGGTTCGGGTAGCTCTGACCGGTCAACATATGCCAGGAAAACATCCCCAATATCAACCACTCCATTTCAGCACCACCGAAATAAATCCGACCAACCTCTCCTCCAGGCAACTACTCGAATTAATGATTTTCCAATTCTTCTTTCCGCTGTTATGCCCGTCTACTAGCTTATTAATCAATAACAGCGTTAGTGGTGTAGCGGTTAGCATTGGTGCCTTCCAAGCACTAGATCTGGGTTCGACTCCCAGCTAACGCAACTTGAATCATTTATTCTTTTGCTGCCGGGAATGACACCCAGGTACAGAAGTTCATTTTTGGCGAGGTTTGGCTTTTTCTTTGACAGCTTCGAAGTCCCCCCCCCCTTTTACTTGTTTATCTGGGTTTGTGGGTCTGTTGGTGTTTGGCGTTTGGAAATGGGTTCTACTTGCGATGGAAAACACATACCAGGATTTCTTATTTTGATAATCAGTGTGTCGTTCTGTTACTGTGACAGATTTTAAATATAATAATGCCTGGAAACACCACACGCAAAAGAAATAAAGTCAAAGTAATCATGTATCATCAAATTCCAGATTCCATTTTTAATTCATCCAATCCGTCGTGGCAAGTCAAGTATCCAAAACCAAAACAACTCCTCGGCCGATCTCCAACATACCCAGAATATCCCACTTCGAAAGGTAGGACATATATGTCCATGCCGTATTGTGGTTCGTCAATCATTAGGCTTCATTTCCCACCCACCCATCCAATTTACCAGAAAGTGTACCCAATACCAAAACACAACACACAACAACGTTCACTTTCATCCTGATCCTGCCACACGCCGTGATACTTCAAGGATCAAGCCAAGGATAACATGGTTCTTTCTGTAGGGCCGCTCTTTAGCCAGGTCCAGTGTTGTTGCCCCGTCCATGTCTGGAAGAAGAGGATTGGCGCCTGCGCCGAGAAGGGCTCTAACGCATCCGACGTTGCCAAGTACCACTGCGATCGAAAGGACCTTCCTTTCGCCCGGAGTTGCGTAATTCGGGTCAACGCCCTGGGACAAGACGAAACTCACCAGACTGGAATAGCCAGACCTATGTCTTGCGGCTTTCACCAGGAGGCCTGGAAGTTGAGATTTTAACTCGGGGAACCGCGCCAGCAAGAGACGTGCGATCTCAATCGGTTGGCTGAGGTTCTCACCAACAAGTAGGAGGGTCTCTTCCTTGAATGGTCTAGCACCGTGATCTAGGAGCAGACGAACAATCTCCAGGGTTCCGCGTGCCACTGCGATGTTCAGAAGAGGTTCGCATTTTCTCTGGCTCGGCTTTCCATTTGGAGAGACCCCCTTGCTCAGCAGGAACTTGACCACGGCAACGCGTCTGCGACAGATTCCCCAGTACAATGCCCCGTGCATAATCGTGTATGAACGATTGAAATCTCGGTGTTGGGATACGAGGTATTCCAGCATACGTAGATGTCCGCGTTTTGCTGCGGCGATAAGAGACCAGTCGGGGTTGACGACTCGAAGACCACGCTCGACTAGGATCTGGAGCATGGGCACATTGCCAGTTCTGACTGCGATGTCATACAGAAAGTATTTTTCCACTCCCCCGGGCCCTTCGCGATCTATCAAAAATGCAACCATCGCCACATGACCTCTACGGCCAGCCATGATGATCCGACTTTCTCCTGTAACTATGCCAGTTGCATGTCAGTCAGACTCATCACTGCCTCGAGTGTGATTGGTGCGAGGGATAATCACTGCTATAGATTGGTGGGACATTAGCTCCATACTCGATGAGCCTTTTGAGCGTCGAGACGTGGCCTCTGTAGATGGCCCGGTCCAGTGCGCGGGACTGATCGCTTCGGAGGATAGAGCGGTACAAGGATGGGTTTAGCAACTGATAGTTGACTCGGCTGGTTTGGGCCAGAGAGTTCAAGTCCTTGTGTCCTAGGAAACCTGAAATCTGGAGAATCAACTCGGGTGGAAGGTTGGCGAGAGGCATGACGGTCGAAGCGTGGGTAGATATGTTGCAGGGAGACGGAGATTGTAAAGAGATGAAGATTGCGGAGAGATGAAGATGATGGAGTCGTAGAGAGACTTGTCAGCTATATATACCAACCAAGCTCGAGTGCGTGAATACTAAACAGATTGAATAGTGAATCTTGTCACTGAGTACCAGACAATCCTTTGACTTATGACTGTCTGATACCCGCTTGATACCATTCACATCTCCGCGCCAACAGTGAATACTGCACTAAGCTGGGCTAGTTGTTTATCCATCTGTGGTTCTTATACTTCCACCTTCATTGCCTCATACCGGTTGATTTATAACGGACCATGGTTGAAGGCGTCGAGTCACTGTAGATATGTGGCTTTGAGGTTTCATATCCAGCTGAGAGCGATTTCTAGTCTTGATCATTAACTTCGGAGAGCCTTGAGTGGGGACGAGGCCATACCCTGCACTTCGCGGCTGGTTGGTGGGTGCTTGATTACTAGATATAAGAATGTGGAGGAAGAAGGGAGAAGCTGGCCATCACTTCACCAACAGTCACCTGACCGGACAACCGTGGGGGGTAGCTACTAGCTTTCAATATTCTTGCTGTTGTAGTTCTCCTGGGACTTCTATTAACGCCAATTAATACCAATGGTATGCCCCTCAACCTCTCCATTGAAACACCCGTTCACTTTGATCCTCTCTTGACATGTGACCGCCCCTTCCAGGACATCAGATTTCACTGTCGCTGCAACAGCCACATACAGCTCTTCCAGTGCGAGATTTCTCCCGATGCATGATCGGGACCCCAGACCAAATGGAAAGAAGCATAAATCGCGCCTTCTCTTGTCAGACCCCTCCAGCCAACGCTCAGGTCGAAACGCGAGAGGATCAGGGAATGCCTCCGGATCATGATGCAGTACGTGAATTGAGGCACCTACCGAGACGCCTTCGGGAAGATAGACACCATCTACAAGACATCCACCTTGGGGAACAGTCCTGGTGAGGGGCGCAGGGTTGGTCATAGCGAGCCGAAGGCCTTCACTAACTACTGCGCGCAAGTACGGAACGTTTGGTATGTCGGACAAACCAGCCTGACTCGGTGAGTCCTGGTCGAGTTCTTGAGCGAGTCTTTCGTGAACATTGGGCTGACGAACAAGGTGGAATAGGATAATCGCCAGGGTCTGTCCGGTCGAGCTCGTCCCAGCGAATAGCGATCCCTCACATATACCGATGACCTCGTTCGTTGTCGCCCCAGCCGCGCGCAAACGGCCATGATAGGTAGGCGATGTGGGATTGGATGGTCTCATCTGTTCCTCGGCCACGAGCAACTGCACGAATGCGTCAACTCGGCCCAGGGCTGCCCCTCGGGCGGGATCCCAAAGGGAAGTATGGACAGCAAGCACCAGGGAAAATAGCCAGTTTGGGAGCATGGAGTAGTACCCAAACGCTGCGATCGCTTGCAGCCAGGGACTCTCCGTGAACTTTGGCGACTGCGAGCGAGCTTCCGGCGTTGCGTTCTCACATAGTGCTCCATACGGCCTATCGAACATATAGCCCGTCATGACGTCCATCGAGAGCCGCAAAGCGAGGTCTAAGATGTCGACGCGATACAACGCTGTTGAATCAGACCGCAGCGCCCGCCTCTTTTCCTCTTCCAAGCGCGCGACGAATCTCTCAACATGCTGCTGAACATTCTGTGCCCCTTCCCCAGCCCGTATAGTGGCTGGGCCAAACAGCGTCAAGACGGCCTTTGCGCGGACATCGCGATAAGCCTTATCGATGGCGGAAAAGATAGTAGGAGCCCCGTTGACGTCGAAGTTGCAGTATCGCCCATCTTTGAGGAAGCCCCCGTTAGCCACATAAATGGTCGTCAAGGCGTTGGGATCGGAGATCGAGACCAAATTCGGGGCGATGCGCAGGACCCGCGTGTTGTAGCGGCGGTGGTAGCGGGCAAGGGTCTGTGGTTCGATCCCGAGGAAGACGGCGATCCACTGAGGGAGGGAAGATACGCTGAAGATCCATGGCCCGGGCACATGTGAGAGCGGATGCAGGGTAAGTCGGTGGACAGCGACCGTGGCCAGAATGAGGCCCACGAGAGCTAAGACATTGACGGTGTCCGAGAATGGCATGGTGAAACGGCGACACCTCGACTATCATTAGAGTGTATCTTTCTGAGATGCTTCAGTTCCCTAGAGTTGACTAAAGTCGTGTTGAGTTTGCATTTCCCATTTTCCGGCTCGATCATCGTGTCTCGGTCACTCCCAGACCGTTGGCCTCGCCGATCCGCGTTGGAAGCACGAGCGGTGAGGACACATTGTGATAAGGATGGTCAGGGTGGTCTGACTAAGATGGCTGGGCTTGAACCATGGCCAGCAAAAGCAAACAAGCCAGTTGACAAAAAAATACTCGCATAGGATGTTGAAGATGCTACATGTCCCGACCTCGCGGTTGGCGCGGAAAAGGAGTCCTGCCTGCACCGGCTTTCCAGGGATCAGTCTACAGAGTCTAAAAGAAGTCGCGCTGGATGAGGATGGGGCAATACGGAGGATTGAAACCACCAGCTCAAAGCCAGGATGGCCTACAGACTCAAAGTCGAGCGCCGAACACGCTTATTCTCGCGGTCGCGATATCCTCGACCAATCTCGACGCCAGGGCTGTGGCCAGATCACGTTCCGATCGCTGCAACAATATTAAAGGGGAGGCGACTGCCCATCAAATGAGACGCACTGATAAATGGGAACATCCCCCACAGTCTAAGCGCACAGTCCCTCGTCGATCGCCTGGGAGGACCCAAGGGTCGGTCGCTGAAGCCCCTGAAACGCCTGGAAATCACCATCGAGATCCGAGGTTTGCCGATCGCCGGCGGGAATGGGGTTTCATATGCAACGACGCGCTCGGCGGCAACCGATTCCTACATATAAGCCATCGCTGTCCCTCACCTCAGCTGAAACCAACAATCCCATGACTGACATTCTTTACCATCCATCATGACTACCAACGTTCCATCCGGCTTCATCGGCAACCTGTCCCAGGACCAGGAAGCCAAACTCCAGCAGCTCTGGTCTCTTGTCCTGACTCTCCTTGATATCCAATCCCTCCAGCCTCAGAATGGGGACCCAGTGCAATCCTCGCTCGCCCGCGCCGACACGGCCGTCTCTGCCAACAGCGGCACGGCTTTCACGGATGACCTGTCCCAAGTCCTCCGCGATAGCGGCATGACTCCCGCCGAGATCAAAGCGATCCGCGACAACCTGGGCCACAGCTCGATTGACGACCTCCGCTCGGGTTTTCTTTACACATCCAAGCACGACTCCCCTGACGTCTTGCTGCTTCGCTTCCTGCGGGCCAGGAAGTGGGATGTCAACAAGGCCTTTGGAATGATGCTGAGGGCGATCGTCTGGCGGGTCCACGAACAGCACGTTGACGACCAGGTGATCGCCAACCCCGAGCTGAACGCGGTCGCCACGTCGCAGAACACAGCAAACCCCCCGGCTGCTAAGGCAGCCAAGGACTTCTTGGAGCAGCTGCGCATGGGCAAGTGCTACATGCATGGCACCGACCGACAGGGCCGGCCCGTGCTGGTGGTCCGAGTGCGACTCCACCAGCCCTCCAAGCAGAGCGAGGAGGTGCTCAACCGGTTTATCCTGCATACCATCGAGACGGCCCGGTTGTTGCTGGCGCCTCCGAGTGAGACAGTCGTACGTATCTGCGGTGTCTTCAAGAATGTATTCCATACTGACCATGGCAGACTATTATCTTTGACATGACTGGTTTCGGGCTCTCGAATATGGTATGTCCGTCTCTCGATATTTTTGAATCAATACTAACCAAGGTTAGGAATACGCGCCGGTGAAGTTCATCATCAAATGTTTCGAGGAGAACTACCCGGAGTCGCTGGGTAACATGCTCATCCACAATGCTCCTTGGGTTTTCTCTGGTTAGTTCCCTGCTCGCCTTACCTAGACTCCATTTCCCCTACTCTTTCTATCTGCCACGCTCGCATTGCTGACCGACCCAGGAATCTGGAAGGTTATCAAGGGCTGGATGGACCCGGTGATTGTCTCCAAGGTGCAATTCACCAATAAGGTGTCCGATCTCGAGAAGTTCATCGCTCCCGATCAGATCATGAAAGAGCTGAAGGGCAAGGAGGATTGGACTTACTCATTCGCCGAGCCCGTCGAGGGAGAGAACGATCGGATGGCCGACACGGAGACGCGCGATCGGATCTACAACGACCGCCTGCGGATCGGCGAGGACCTGCTGCTGCGCACCTCGGCGTGGATCACCGCCAGCGAGCAGAAGGACCGGGACAGCATCGCAGCGACGAAGAACCTCCGGGCGCAGACGATCGAATCCCTGCGCCAGAACTACTGGCAGCTGGATCCTTACGTGCGCGGGCGCACGTACCTGGACCGGGTGGGAGTCATCCAGGAGGGCGGGACGATTGATTTCTACCCCAGCCCCAACTTCCGATCCAACTCCGCGACGGCCAAGACCTTGGAGGTAGGGCACTTCGAGCGCACGCAGTTGAAGGTCGTCGATTTGTGATGAATTGCTGAGAGATTGGCATGTGTAGGATCATGTAGGCTAGTTTGCGGCGTTTGCTCCATCAACTGGCCGGTTGGTGTAGTTGGTTTATCACGTGTCCTTAACACGGACAAGGTCCTGGGTTCGAGTCCCAGACTGGTCATTTTTTGGTGTTGTTTGTTTGTTTATATCCTGGTGGGAGGAGTCGCTTCGTTTGGATATCAAGATACCTTGCATCGAGGACGCGATTATCGTACATCACAGTTTACTTAATTAATAGGAGTTCTACTTGACAGTTCTTATTTCTTCTAAGCCTAGAACTTCATGGCTCAATCAATTTAACCATTAAGCAGTATCCCAATTCCATGCAGCATGTCTGAATTGTTATGTTTACACTGTGCTGTAGTAGTTCAACCTCTGCGCCGTGGAGCCGATGTCGGATCCATCCGCGGGATGAGCCAATCCCCCCTTTCTGTCCAATGGGTCCCGTCCGCCGCTAACTCGGACCATCCGGGACTATTGATCCTTCAGGGCTTTACGAACCACTTCCTTGTATGCGGATCTTCCCTGTCCTTCATCGGATCATGCTGGTTATTTTGGTCGAGCAGGTGAAGGACGACGGTCCTCCAAAGGCCAATGCACCGAAATTCTTAATCCAGTATCCTGACAGGGTTCTGTACCCCTGCCCGTCATCCCCCGCACTCTTTCAGATGACCATCTATCGGTCATGCACCTGCCATCGTGGGTTCTATGCAAGTGGACCCTTCGTCGATCCCTTGCCTGATCTCGCAGCCATCCAGGCACCCTCTCCTCTGATTTGCGACAGGAGATTAAATCGGGCTGTCTAGCCCCTAGGCCTGCGGCAGTCTCTCCCGATCAGCTCCATCACCACAAGCCATCGACCCCGGTCGCCAATGCCACTAAAGGCAATTATCGATTAGCCGTAGCACCAGCTGAGCCCAGCTCACTCGGGGTAAGACAATCGCTGCTAATTCCAAGTTTCCTTGTGTCCTGATTGGGCTCTAGGCAGTGGACCGGCTGACATTCCATCTCCCTTCTCCTGCCTGTGACGCGATATTTATCTGTCTGCCTTCCCCTCACTTCTCCCTGACAATCCGGTACTCAACCTCATCGCATGGAATGCTGTCCAACATGGACGCCCTTCTCCGCCCTCTCTCTTTCCTTCTGCTCTTCCTCGCAGTGACAGCCACAGCCTCAGCCTCATCTCTGCGACAATGTCTCCTGGCCGCGGTGCAGAACGACGCGACCCTCGTCGCAGTGAACGGTGACCTCCTCTACCAGACTCTCGACGTGAAAGTCTACAACCTCAACTACCCCGTCACACCCGCAGCCGTCACCTTCCCCAAATCTGCGCAGCAAGTCGCCGCCATCGTCAGCTGCGCCGCATCCCTGGACTACAAAGTGCAAGCCAAGAGCGGCGGCCACAGCTATGCAAACTACGGTATACTCCATCCTACTCCATCCCACCTCTCTCTCCTCTCTAAACCGCCCACTAACATTCCCCTCTACCCAGGCCTCGGCGGCTCCAACGGTGCAATCAACATCAATCTCCAAAACATGAAATCCTTCAGCATGGACTACACAAACTACCACGCTACCGTCGGCGCCGGGATGCTCAACGGTGAGCTAGACGAATACCTCCACAATGCAGGCAACCGCGCCGTCGCACACGGCACGTCCCCACAAATTGGTGTTGGCGGACACGCAACAATCGGCGGACTCGGACCCACAGCGCGACAATGGGGGATGGAACTCGACCACGTCCTCGAAGTAGAAGTCGTCCTCGCCAACGGGTCCATCGCCCGCGCTTCGTCCACCCAGAACCAGGACCTCCTCTTCGCGATCAAAGGCGCGGGCGCGAGCTTCGGCGTCGTGACAGAATTCATTCTCCGCACCGAAAAGGAACCCGGACAGGCCGTACAGTATTCGTTTACTTTCGGGCTCGGGAATACGGCGTCGCGCGCGAGTATATTCAAAAAATGGCAAACATTCATCACGCAGCCCTCTCTGAGTCGGAAGTTCGCGTCTATCTTCACCATTCTGAAGGGGAGCGTGGTTGTCTCGGGCACATTTTTCGGAACAAGGACAGAGTTCGACGCGCTAGGCCTGGAGAAACAGTTCCCCGGAATGACAAACTCCAGCGTGATCGTCTTTACGGACTGGTTGGGCCTGGTGGCCAACTGGGCAGAGCAATCACTCCTCGACCTGACCGGCGGCATTCCTGCGAACTTCTACGCCCGATGTCTCTCCTTTTCGGAGGAAACGCCCATCTCCGCGGACGGAATCGACAAGTTATTCACCTACCTGGACAATACCCACACGGGGTCCTTAATCTGGTTCGTCATCTTCGATCTCGAAGGCGGCGCCATCAACGATGTCCCCATGAACGCGACCGGGTATGCCCACCGCGATACCGTCTTCTGGATGCAGTCGTATGCCGTGACGCTGGGGAAGGTGTCGCAGACGACGTACAATTTCCTCGATGGCGTCAATGATGTGATTCGGGAAAATACGCCCGGTCTGGGCATCGGGGTTTATCCGGGGTATGTGGATCCGAGACTGGAGAATCCGAGGGAGTCTTACTGGGGGTCGAATCTGCCCGAGTTGGAGAGGATTAAGGCGAAGTATGATCCGACCGATGTTTTTCATAATCCGCAGGGCGTTTTGCCAGCTTGATATCACGGGTGAGATGAGCTGGGATGTATTTACTCGTACATAATTTTCTAACTAATCTATGTATTTCTTTCTCCTTGTATTTGTTGTTATTTGGTGGATGGCCTCTTCTTCTTCTTCTTCCTCCCCCTCCCATTGTTGTTCCAACTGTTAGGCCTCGAAGGAGTTTGTCCGCAAATTATCAAACTGATGAGATCGCCATCCCTCGTACATATCCACTAAGTAACAAATTTCAATTACCAGTACCATGACATTATCTTCCTTCACATAGTAATGAGACACAGTATACACAGTAGCCATTGTCTGCAGGGGCAAATGATGATGGTGAATATATGATTTACATCAATAAGTGCTCCTTTCTAGAATCTAGCCGTTGGCCATCTGCGTGTCATTTCATTGCGAGATGAGGACTGAATTCTTCATTGCACCTCCTCTTCTGTCCCAAGTGATTATAGATCTAGCTAAATCTCAAAAAAAAAAAACATCATCCTGATTTTTCTCCACAAGTCAGTTCAATATCTTCTACTACGTAATTATACTCACCCGTCCATCCTACAGCCTCGCCACAGGCCCATCAGTCCGGATGATCGCCAGCGCCGCGGGGGAGATGTCCGCTAGAGTACGACACCCCGTCAATTGCATGCAGCGCTTGAATTCATCGTATAGGATGTCGAGCACACGGGTTACGCCTTGTTCGCCGTCGTACTGACTCGGTTAGTACTTTCCACACACACACACACAGAGGGAGAAAGAGGGACAGGGGTAGAGGGGGCGGAAAGTGAAAGGGTAAGGAAGCAAGAGAAGAAGAACTCACAGCCAGCCCCCACAACGTGGGCCTCCCGATCCAGCAACATTCCGCCCCCAAAGCCAACGCCTTGAACATATCCGCACCCGTCCGAATCCCCCCATCGATGTGTACGCGCAGCTTCCCCCCCGCGGCTTTGACACACTCAGGCAGTGCATCGATGGTCGGAACAACGCCATCCAACTGTCTCCCGCCATGATTACTTACAATCACGCCCTCACATCCGTACTCCCTTGCTAACAGTACATCCTCTGCCGTAAGAACACCTTTAATCCAGATCTGCATGCGCGTGACAGATCGCAACCAGGGGATTTCCCTCGCCCAGGAATGCGCGTCAGAGTTTGTCGCGACGAACCCCGCGTCGTGGGTCTGGCTCTGGATTGCCTCGGAGGTGACGCCCATCATGGGCCAGGATAGGCCAGCCGGAGTGCGAAAGTCATTCCGCTGCTCGTTGTATCGTACGCCGAGCACGGGGCTGTCGGCCGTGAGAAAGATGGCTTTGCAGCCTGCAGATTCTGCACGCTGGATGATTTGTTTTTGGAGATCGCGGTCGCGGAGAGTGTATAGTTGCATGGCGTGGGGGATTGGGTTGATGGTTTTGGAGGCGTGCGTTATGTCTTCGATCGGGTATGTGCAGAAGGAGGAGACGGCCATGGGGATGTTGCGACGGGCGCAAGCGCGACTCGTCGCGAGTTCGCCGTCGGGGTGCGCCATTGCTTGGATGCCGGTTGGGGAGAGGCCGAGGGGAAAGGAGAGGGTCTGATCAAAGAGCGTGAGAGTGAGATCCAGGTTGGAGACGTCGACGAGGACTCGGGGGCGGATTCGGTATTTGTTGTAGGCCGTGGAGTTCTCGGTAACGGTTACTTGGGTAGTGGAGCCGGAGTTGTAGAACTCTGGTGGTGATTGTGTGCGTGCGTCAGCGAAGAAGTGAGAAAGAGGGGTTGTTTATAGAGAGTGACGTACCTCGTGCCATGAGAGGAAGCTTCTTCGACCCAGCTATCTTGATGTCTTCGATGCTGAGCATCAGGTCGGGAGAAGGGGCCATGGTGCCGTTGCTGTTTGCGTAAATGTGTGCAGCGCGAAAATTGTCTCGACGAGTCTCTCGCTGACGCTCTTCTTGGTGTCGCGTCTTATTTAACCTTTTTTAATCGAGGTGCGGCAAGAAGACCGGTGATGACTTGTCCGTGCATTTGCAGATCGAGATCCCACCAATGGTCCTCCCTAGTTGAACATCCAGTCTCATGCGTGGGTGCCCAGTTTTGACAGGCAGCGCGTACTGGAGTATTATGCTTTGGGACAACATGGAATTCGTGTGAGATCTGTAGCATCTAGCGGTCTACAGCACTTCGCGATGCTGATCGATCTGGTATGCCTATGCGACACGCGGAACCGCTGAAGTCCTTCTAGTCCATGGCTGTACCGCAAGCTGACGATGTCGACTAAATGCAGGATTGCTACATTGAAGCCTTCATGTGGTACCATTTATACAGCCTTCCGTTATTATCCTTCCTTCGTTTCTCGAAGCAGTTATCCGCAGAGACGGCGATCGACGAGTGCGGGGAATAGGTAGAAGGTGGGGATGTGGCTAAGAGAACGGTTGTCTGTCGGCCTTAGTTATCCGATGAGAGCAAACGGATACCGTTCCACTCTTACCAAACAAAGTATCTAACCCGAAACCCCCAGTAATTATTGCCCGTTTAACAAACCTGGGACACGATGCCAAGCAACGGCCACGCGACCCACCCGAGATCGATAAGCTAATGGTCGGATACGGTTATGATGACGCCAAGTTGTCTGGCCCGGGGATTCAACTCGAATTTAGTTCAATATAGTTTTATGCTCAATCAGGATGGAAATATGGTATATGTTAATCGTACAAGTATGTTGTGGCTGGCTCTCTGTTGTGTGCATTTTTGTTGCTTAGCGATGGGTGATGTCTTCTCGTCGTGAACAAGGAAGATATCGATCTTAATGGATTTAGAGGGTTAGTTAGCTGAGGTACAAGCAATAGGAATGACTGAAACATGAAGACTGGGTAGTATCCTTCAACTCACTATCATTGCATAAGGAACGGTCGCAGCTTGTAATATCCAGGTAGGTAAGCATCAGCGCAGAAAGTCTAACATTATGGACGCGTTCTAAGAAGTAGTCAATTAGGACGCCCGTAAGATAAACGCGGAAATTGGATGGGGATAATAAAAAGAGGTGGGTGCTATTGCTTCATCTGGGCACCTTCCTGTCGCGTCAGGAATATAGATAGAAAATACGCGTCGGGGGTAAGAGAAATAAAAGGAAATACGTGAGAGTGCGTGTAAAAAAAATACTCATGGTAGTAGCATTTGAGCAAAACTAAATTATCAATTTACGGTTAAGATTTGCAAAATTCTGGTACTGGATTCAAGTCGGCAATTTGAGGATGGCGTGAGCATCAACGCAAAAAAGACTTTGTATGGCTTCAGACTAGCCGTGGTTGGGAAAAACGCGCTGCAAGAGTTTGGGTGGGAAGGGAAGGGGGGGGGGGGGGGGGGGAAGGAAAGGAGTGAATAGGGTGGGTTGGGGTGACAGTTTGGATAGCATCAAACCAGACGAGATGGGTTTGTACTAATTTACCTGCCTCAATAGATTGTAGGTACCTGCCTGGCAGGGATGGACGCGGATAGCTTGGCTACAGTAGTAGGGATCCCACCCTTCTGAGTGCCTCGAGACAACCACCACAAGGTGGTTACTGGGTAAGTAGGTGGAACTTGTATAGCTTCACCATTTGCAGAAAATAGAGCTTGCACTGATTCCTCGCCCTGAATAGATTGTAGGTACTCGCCTGGCAGGAATGGTCGCGTATAGCCTCATTCCTAGGGATCCCACCTCTCTGGGTGCCTCAAGACAACCACTAAGGTGGTTAGTTACTGAGCAAGTAGGTAAAAGTTGTATAGCTTCAAAATATGCAAAAAAAGTAGAGAGGCCGGTGACACGTCGGTACCACAGCTACTCGCCCTCCAATCCACATAGTCTTCGTGCTTAGGAGCGAGCATAGCCGGCGGGATCTACACTCTCCCCCGAAGGGGCGCACAAGGAAGACGTCCGTCCGAAAGGTCTCGATACCACCCAACTTCTTCGAAAAGAAAGCCGGCCCTGTGGTTCGAACGTAGGTCTCTCTCTCCACGAGGAAGAGGACGAAGGAAGAACACTACTGGACGTTCCGGGAATGGAATTGAAGTCCTCAAGCCCACTGGGCCATCATGGGGTTCACTGGGTACCAGGACTCCGTTTAATGGGAACTTATGGGCCATTTTTGTTGCCTGAGAGCCTGAGGGCCTGAGAGCCTGGCTGCCTGACTGCCAATTAGGGGTGGTGGGGGGGGGGAGGGGGGAGGGGGGAGTGAATGTGAAAAGAGGCAGGAGCCTGGGGTGTATACAGAAGGTGGTGGTGGTTGCGGGATATGGTAGGGGAGCCGCGGAAGAAGTATTGGCAACCACCTCACCTCAGTCACTGCAGTAAGAACACCAGATGTTGCCATCATATAAGAAGACATGCTTCTGGTGGCTCCATGTAATTCAGTAGACGGAGCATAGTGGGTGCAAGAGGATCTCGAGCTCGTGTATGCCCCGGAGCCACCCTCGCAGGGAATGGGTGAACCTCGTCTCCATCACTTTCTGCAAACAATGTTAGCACGATTTATGGCATTGTTTGATGGGTAGAATTTAACCATAGAGTAAAGAAGGACTCATCTGTCTACTTCTCATGTTTGATTGTGTTCCCTTGGACAATTTTGGATTTGTCTTAAACTGTCGACCCCCTTTTGTGAATTGTGCGGTTGCCTCCACCCGCTTAGCCGATACATATCCATGGCCGGGCGGCAAGATTCTGCCCCCCCCACCGGCTGCTTCGGCCGACAGCAACCGTGGGCTTTTGGATCTGACAACCTAGGTACAGAGTACATTCTACAGATCAACACACTCTGAAAGTTCCTCCGAATTACATAAATTTGCTGGTTTTCCACGAAAGACCATGCAGCTTCACCCAGGCTGTGAAAGGATCTATGTCGAGCGCTTGCTAATGTAATCGACAAGGCGCGTAGCTTCCCTCCGCGTTGGCCCTGGCTTCCTGTTTCAACTTATTATACCAACAACCAACTGACTACTACTGTTTCTCGGATTTGCCAAGTTCTTCAACCTAGCAATATCATCATTGAATTATTTGTTTTCAAGCCTATATACCACTTAGACAGTCTGACTTTCTACATCTTTAGCCTCCCGGCTCACCACGGCCTGACCCGCCGAATTCGCCGACCCTGGCGGCGGGAAGATCCAACCGTTTCGTATACATCCCAACGCGCTTCAACAGGCTAAAAACGCGCCAGTCTTGACCAAATCCTCCAATTGGAGGTGGTGCCATCCGACGTTTCACCAGCTTCATCGGGACTTGCCGCCAGCCTTGGGGTCATCCATGGTTACTCGGCCGCTGTTTCGATCATACGATCTTCCCGCTGGATCTCGATAAGATGAGAACCGGCGCAGCGGCTCGGGCGAGTATCCCGGGGTTTGCTGGTCCGGGATTTGCGAAAACGGCATTTGCATAAATCTATTCCACTGTCGAGACAGCTCCCCTCACTAGTAATGGGACTTCCAACCGGTCTAGGGTCATTTCTACGCCATGGCCTCTCCCAAGACTGTCCTTGACGTCACTCGCCCCGGGCACCGCAAGTTCTGCAAGCCCCCCGTCAAGGTTGCCTGTTTGTCCTGGTATGTTCTCCGCTGATTCCATCTAACTCAAGCTCATAGTAGTCAGTCGCGCGTTGCGAGTCCGCTGCGATGGCCAGGAGACGTGTGCAAACTGTGTCGCCAAAGGCATCCCATGTTCCTATCTCCCAAGCAAACGAGGGGGCCCGCGAAACTGCCAGAACCGCAAGCGCAAACGACTCTCGACACCACCCACAACCATATCAGATGCAAAGGATGATCGGGACAATATGGGGGAGACGTCTTCAAACTTGGATGAAGATGGTACGTCGCATCAAATCTCATTGCTATGTGGGTGAAAGCTGATGTTTCCAGGCTGGTTGAACCAGCTTTTAAGCCTAGGTGCACCAGGGGCCGGGCTTCGCAGAATCGAGAGCTCCGTGACGGAAATGGAACAGATCTTTGACTCGATCTTCACACAGACTATCATACCCGAGCTCGCTGAGCCGGTGCCGGACCTGTTGCAAACTTATGCAAGCGATGCGGACATGTGAGATCCCTTTCCACCACCAACTTCATCGGGGCCTGCCAAGATGTATGGCAGACTAATCTTCAAAGTACAGACTTGACGCCTACTACGTCTTTGTTCATATCTATTACCCTGTGCTGCCTCCTCCGGAACGAGTCCCCGCGCGCAACCGTCCGCTTTACGAAAGGTCGACATTTCGACCATCGAGTCCCTTGAGTCTTGCTATATCAGCCATCCTAGCCCTTATACCACATCCTAATGTGAAACAACCCTCTCGAACAGAGTACGTCAAGCTCCGCCGAGAACTGGCGCATTCATTTGCACAATCCGCGCTGGAAGGCGTAGAGGCAGACCTCGAATTGCTCGATTCCTCATCCGACCCGTCCAAGGCTCTCTCAGATGGTGTCTCTCAATTCCGACGGCAAGCCTTTCACAATAAAGTCCCCATATGCTTGGAAGCTGTTCTGGCATTGGTCCTGCTGAGTGTATACGAATATGCTCAGCGAGGAAATATCAACAAGATGTGCAATCGAGCAGGCCAGGCCTTGACGGCTGCGATGAGCATGTCACTGCATGAAATGGTGGACGAGGATGGATTTTCCGAGTCTCGCCGGAGGGCTTGGTGGATTACGGTAAGACAATACCCGGATCAATATGGAATGTATTGACATCATCTAGTATTTGACGGTCTGCCAGGGATCAATTGTGAGCGGCAGGGTATGCAAGGGCCTTCATCTATATCCACTCATTTGCTCACATATGAGTATAGCCTCCTGCAATCAACCCATACGACCCCCGATTCGTCACGCCCTATCCCGAGGTAAGTAAGCATTGTCTTCTCCATGTGCAGCGAGATATTCTGAGTGGTAACCTCTCAATTTTGTAAAGCCTGACGGTTGCTACAGGGATGGAAACTCCTCATCGAGGCTCAGCAAACCATCCTCGAAGCCACAACGTTCGTCCACGATTTGGATTTGACAACAAAGTCCCATTTCAATGCATCGTGGATCTCCCAGCGGATGATGGAGCTCGATAACCAGATAACCTGCTTGCTGGATCCGTGCAGAAACACCTCTTGCCCGTCCTCCAACCCCCTCCCGCCCGTGGCTCTGGACTCACCCGACGTCGTCGCCTTGCATACTTTGAAGCAGATCGCAGAAATAAAACTACAAAGGTGAATTCGCGATTAGAACTGAAGAATTTAAAACTGACTCTCTCAGTGCACGGATTAAGACCCACCGCTTCTGCGCCTTCCAGGACATCCCCGTTTTCCGCAAGCGCCACTGTGACTTGGATGCGACTGCAGGTCCCGAGTGTTGTCGTCTTCAGGTACTCGAAGCAAGTAATCCCCCGTCACCCGGGAGTTACTTCTCGTCAATGCTATCCGAATCATCAACGATTGAGTTCCCCTTCTCTTCACATGCATCCTCTAAAATTTGCCTCCACGCCGCTCTCAACATTGTCAGTCTTCTTGATAACCTCCCGTACCCAAACCCGACAAATGAGATTCCGTTGACTCGGCCACCGTACCTGTCCCGAAATGCTCGGGTGGAGATCCCCCGGATGATGCCGACCTTTGCCTGTTGCGCGATGCAATCCAGCTACGCGATGCTGATGTTGTGTCTGAAGGCGCGGGCAATGCACGACACGGCTGACGACTCCTTGAGCAACCGACCATTGAGCGGATTTCTGGATGAAGTGCGTCAGAGTCTGCGCCTTGTCTCGAAGGCTCTGGGGAACTACTCCATCGCGTTCGAGGCGTTGAATGGGATGAGGGGTGAGTTGGCTTCCTCCTCAATTTCCTATCTTGTCTCATCGACTGATGCTTGCATACAGACGAAATTACTCAATCAGTTGAGTGGGCATTTAGTAATGATGCCTCGTCCGAGGGAAATATTGACCCGCAGATCTCGTCGGAATTAGTAGAAAGTATAAAAGACCTATCATCCATTAATGATAATGCTAGAGACGTTATTTGAGTTAATGATGAATCAGCAGTAGAAGAATATTTCACTATCAGCTAATCAGAAAAAACTGAAATAGATCTATCGTGCTGACTTCAAGGCTCAGTTCGCGGCTTGTGTTGACGTAGAATATGAAGAGTGAATTGTGGGAGAGAGAAAGATCACGCATTAATCGACGCGCAACTCGCGGGCAGCAAGCAGCGTTGAAGGGTCTATGAGGTACATACACGCTGCTTTTATCAAACAGCGCCAAACCGACGCTCCTTCCTCCACCTGCCGCTCGACCACAACCTCCGGGCTTCGAGGCTCGGCCTCGTATCCGACATCTGCAAGCCGGCGAAATTGCCGCCCGAGAAGTGGCCTGATTCAGCAAATCCCATCCTGCTGGTCCGGGGTTTGCTTCGACCAGACCCACCCGCGTGAAGATGAGGCGCTCTGACCCTCTGCCGCGGAGATCAATCTCCACTCCTGCTCTCGCCCGACTGTCCGTCCGCGGAACGGGATTTGACCAAATGCTGTGTCTGCTAAGCAGCTTCACCGTTATCCCGCCCGTTACACTGCAGACCAAACTAAACAGCTTACTCCACAATCATTCTAGATGTCTCCGAGATTGACCTGATCCTCTACCCCTCACGGCCTCTCCCGTCAGTGAAAGATGACCTCCGCACGCCAAATCCCGGATACGTGATGAGACGGTGTTTCCGATTGCTTGTGAACGCCTCGAGTGAGATCTGCAGGAAAGAGCAAAGACCGTTCTCCGTGGCATCCGGATCAAATGATCAGTCTTGCTGATGTGACACTACAATGGTGGATGTGGAGGGTATAAAGAGACAATTGTTGCGCATTCAGAAGACTCATCTCCAACACGATCAATCTGATCTACATCACGGTTTCTACATCATCAACACCACCTCCCTTCAACATGGCTCCCGTTCTCAAGAAGTACAAGGCTGCAGCAGTCAACGCTGAGCCTGGCTGGTTCGACCTGCAGGAGTCCGTCCGCCGGACCATCCACTGGATTGACGAAGCTGGCAAGGCGGGCTGCAAGTTCATTGCTTTCCCCGAGCTCTGTATGTCTTCCTCAACTAGAGCAAATGCTTCCAACGGGTCATACTAACGAAGACAGGGATCCCCGGATACCCCTACTGGGCCTGGAAAGTCAACTACCAGGAAAGCCTCCCCTTACTGAAGAGGTATCGCGAGAACAGCCTCCCCTCCGACTCGGATGAGATGCGCCAGATTCGCAACGCCGCCCGCGCCAACAAGATCTACGTGTCTCTGGGATATTCTGAGGTGGACCTGGCCAGCCTGTACACCACCCAGGTGATGATTTCCCCCTCGGGTGACATCCTCAACCACCGTCGCAAGATCCGCGCCACTCACGTTGAGCGCTTAGTCTTTGGCGACGGCACCGGCGACACCACCGAGTCAGTCATCCAGACGGATATCGGCCGCGTTGGACATCTCAACTGCTGGGAAAATATGAACCCGTTCATGAAGGCATATGCTGCCTCCCTGGGAGAGCAGGTCCACGTTGCTGCTTGGCCACTTTACCCCGGAAAGGAGACTCTGAAGTATCCTGACCCCTTCACCAACGTGGCTGAGGCGAACTGCGATGTAAGTCTCCCCTTTTCTTCGAATCTCTCCTTTCACATCTTGTGATTCTGAGGCTGATCAAGCCGCAGCTTGTTACTCCCGCCTACGCGATCGAAACCGGCACCTTCACGCTCGCGCCCTGGCAGACGATCACCGCGGAGGGAATCAAGCTGAACACTCCCCCGGGTAAGGAGCTGGAAGACCCTCACATCTATAACGGACACGGTCGGATCTTCGGACCTGATGGCCAGAACCTGGTTCCTCACCCGGATAAAGACTTTGAGGGTCTTTTGTTCGTGGACGTAAGTATTTACAGGAACAGGATACAGGCAAATAGCTGACTTGTACAGATCGACCTGGATGAATGCCAGCTCTCCAAGTCCCTGGCTGACTTTGTAAGTCTACCTGATCAAATGTCAAACTCAGCCTTGCTAACACATCCTAGGGCGGCCACTACATGCGTCCTGACCTGATCCGTCTACTCGTCGACACCAACCGCAAGGATCTGATAGTTCGCGAGGACCGCGTCCACGGTGGAGTGGAATACACACGCACGCTGGATCGGGTTGGGCTCTCGACTCCTCTAGATGTGCTGAATGCTCAGACTGAATCCGAGAACTGAGTCTTCAGCCGCGTTATTATCTCCACTCTGTCTATATTCGTTTGATTTATCTCTAGATTTGTATAATATCATAGCTATGTAGCTGAAACAGCCAAGAAAAAAAAAAGGTCCAAGGCTAGCTAAACAAAATCCAGACAACACAGATCACAACCTTTCAAGAATAAAAATATCCATCCCCCACAACAGCAAAATACCAGACACATGATCCCCATCAGTCAAATTCAACAGCCACACAGCCCACCAGCAATCCCAAGCGCCAACAAGACTAAACCACACACTCAAACACACCTCCACCATCGACCTCCTCATCAAACAACATCAACCCCACCGCGCCCCAAATCACCCAAAACACAAACCCTCCAGCCGTAAGCATCACGATCACCCCCCGGAACGTATCCCTACCAGAATATCCCCCCTCCGGAGTTTTATCGTCATACCCACCCTGAACATCCTCCATCTCGCCCACGTATATCTGCATCTCCTCCTCCTCCTCCTCCTCCAGAGGTAGTGGTATCGATGACCAGGGATCCGACAGCAGCAACTTCCAGATATCTCCTTCATCTTCATTGGGATCTTCGTGCCCGGTTTCGTGCTGTGGTGGAGGGGGAAAGAGTCGAACGCAACTACTTCGGCAATCGCGGTGGATTGTATCGCAGAGTTCGAGGGAGGGGGGGTTGTCCCTGTTGGTGTTGGTGTTGTCGTCAGCGTGGGTGTAGCATGATTCTTTTGCGGTGGAGCATATTTTCAGGCAGGAGTGCGCTTTTAAGGGGCCGGCGGTGGTGGAGGCAATGTGCGTGGTGATGTGGAGGAGAGAGAGGATGAAGGAGGATGTGAGGGGAGTAAGGATATGCATGATGGGTTGAAAAATTGGTGGTTTTGGTGGTTGTGGTGATATGTGGGTGTGAGTGGTGGGGAGAAGGGAGGAGGTTCTTTGTTGGGGGTTGGTGGTTGGAGAGTTGGTTCTTGGTGAATGGTTTGACTTGAATGACGACATTTGGGGGGGGATTTCTGAGGCACAGAGGGTGGAGATACATACATACATACATACATCATTGTGACTTTTGTGGCAGGATAGTGTAATGTTGGCATTATTGGCGAGGCTTTGCGTCTGCGTGTGTCTGGTAGGAGTGAGGTAATAGAGGTGAGAGTAGGTGTAGGGGAATAGGAGCAGTAGGAGGAGTAGACTACATTGTATCTGATCTAACATCTATCTGGTAGGTACAGGTATCAAAAGGAAAGAAAAATATCAGAAATGTCTTCAGTAGCAACCGCAACCCTTCAAGCTAAGCCATCAGAAAATCGTCATCCCCATCATCATCCCCTAAAAAAGACTCCTCGTCTTCCTCATAGTCAGACTGATCAGATCGTTCCCAACAGAGCAGTTACACGACCAGACAGAAAGCATAAATCGTGCCCACACCCGTGTAAATCCACTACTCGTAATCAGCATCCATCCAACTCACCATATCCTGTCTTATAGACTGGATAGTCTCGGGTCAAGCATCAACATACCGGTACAGCCTTGTCAGGCCTTGACCTTGAGCTTGCAGAGGAATGAGAAGCATCATCTTCATGCACTAATGTGTAAAGGTCGCAGGTTTCGTAGCACAGCGTGTATTGTGCATCGCATTTTGCGAGCTCTGTGGGTCTAGGGTCAGGGATGTTGTTACCCTCCGGCGAGTATCCCTGCAGCGTGTAGCAGAGGTCGAGGCCATTGGAGCAGCCATCCTTGCTTTGCACGGAGGAGACCCATCCTGCTGGGACACTTAAGTGGGCTGTTTCTGCTGTTGCGAGAAGGGGGGTAAGGAGCTTCATCCTTATTTTTATCTTGTGTTGGGATTGGGATATTGGGGAGGGTGCTTGTAGTGCGGGCGGACTGGTCTGTTCCTTCTTCTGTTTTCTAGCAAGGGTGCGAAAATAATGACGAGAACAATGACGCTCAACTCCCATATTTTTGACGTCAAGGCCTCACCTCACCTTTATATGACTCAAGTATCCATCACAGAGCCGGGAAACCAGTCAGCGAAGTAATATAGATTAGCGTCTGCGAGCATGCCACGGGCATGGCCTAATAGTTCTTCTTGGAGGATGTATGACAGTCGCCCTGTCTCGACGTGGCTGCTGAGCTGTTTGTCCGTTGGGTTCATTATGTCGTTGATACCACAAGAAACCAGCCATGATCAAACAGATCACCCGGATGGGAGTAAAGGTACGGTTGCGCGCAAACTAAGTCGAGTATCGTACATATCAGAGAGGGTCCGAGTGGATTTCATTTCAGACTTGATGTGACCCAACATACCTTGCCCTTTTTCTCCAGGCTACCTTGGCTCTCTCGATGGAGTAGAACCGACACATTTTGAAAACGAGGAATCACAGGCCTTGAGGACATCAAGGATGGTGGGCGAGTCAAAAATGTCTCAAGCGCGGTGGCATTGTCAGTGGTGCCTGAGGTTATCTCTTCTGCCAGTGACTGCCTGCGCCGCGGCCCTGACGGTAGCCACCCCCTCTTGCCTCTTTTTCCTCACCAGAGTTAGCTAGCCATCGCCATCGTCATTACAACGATCTTACGGCGTATAGGCATGGCCATGACGTCATCTTTGCCGACTCAGGGGACGTCCGACTCGGCCAAAAGGTGACCCCCTAGTCAGGTCCGCCACTACGTCCGTTAGTTAGCTTAATAGGAGGCCTTGAATAAGCGCATCGTCACGGCAGTTCCAGCATCGAATCTTGCATCCTGCATCCTGCAGCCTCGGCTACCAACCCAACTATTTTTCACCAGGGAGATAAGAGGCACTATATACTTACCCGCCCGATTCGGTCACTTCATCCACCGGAAGCTGAGAAAACGACCGGGCGCTAACCCTCCTGCCAAAGTCTGCTGCTAAAATAAGAGCAAAGTGGAGCGCGACGGAGTCCGAGAGCGCACTATCAAGACACTACCGCCAGACCAGGGATGCCGGCAATATCGGCGGCTCCTCTGGCTGGGGAAAACGGCCGAATCCACCGTCAGAACCATGCTGGCGAGCCTGGAATCGCACCACTCATGCCAACATGCAGCCTGGTGAGTGGCCGAGGCGAGGGCTGGCTGGGTCGGTCCGCCGGAGGAAAAGTGGATCGCGACATTAACGTGAAACGCCACGCCGATTTAAGATTTGTTCAGGAACGCGCCAGGGGCCCGCGACACCGGTTTAATCAACGACAGACTGATGGATGTCTCACGAGGCGAGGCGAGTTGCTGCGATGCCTGCCGTGCACGGTCGCGCTAACTCAGGGTTTTTCTTATAAGGTCGCCGTGGATCCGGTCGGCCTGTCGGGTTGTCTCTTGTTTCAACCGCTACACACGCTCTTTACTTTTCGTTTGAAAGATTTCGAATCACCACCACAATGGTCGCTTTCTCGTCCCTCGTTCTCGCCCTCTCTGCGGCTTCTAGCGCTTTCGCCCTCCCCAATGGCAAGGCCATGCTGGAAATGGCCAAGCGTAGCGTCACTCCCAACGCCGAGGGCACCAACAACGGCTTCTTCTACTCTATGTGGTCTGACGGCACCGGCGACGTGACCTACACTAACGGCGACGCCGGCGAGTACACCGTTGAGTGGACCGACTGCGGTGACTTCGTCGCCGGAAAGGGCTGGAACCCCGGTAGCGACTTGTATGTATCTGTTGTTCGTTAGCAGAATGTACTCGTGCTAACATCTTCTAGGGACGTCACTTACAGCGGAACCTGGGAGACCACCGCCAACGCCTACCTCTCCGTCTACGGTTGGACCGAGGACCCCCTGGTCGAGTTCTACATCGTCGACAAGTACGGTGACTACGACCCCGCCACTGGCCTGACCGAGCTCGGCACCGTCGACAGCGACGACGGCACCTACAAGATCTACCAGACCACCCGCGATGACGCCAGCTCCGTCGAGGGCACCTCCACCTTCAAGCAGTACTGGTCCGTGCGCACCGAGGGCCGTATCGGCGGTACCGTCACCACCAAGAACCACTTCGACGCCTGGGAGAGCCTGGGTCTTGAGCTGGGTACCTTCAACTACATGATCGTTGCTGTTGAGGGCTACGAGAGCAGCGGGTCTGCTACCATCACCGTCCAGAGCTCTTCCGAGAGCACTGAGTCTCACACCACCGAGTCCACTGACTCCACCGAGGAGGACTGCGAGTAAGATGTCGGATCTCTTCTGTATATAACTTCCCGGTCTCCGGTTTAGATTCTTGTATCACTTGAATTAGGGGTTAGGCTTCGCCATTCGACCGACCTGTTGCTATTTGTCAGCGGATACCGTATGGAGTATTTTTGATGCCCGGATCAATGTTGCCTAACGATCACATGCATTGAAACCCACAATGAAAGAGATCATGACATCGAAGAACAACTCTGTAGTAGCGAAGCTGAAGTAATGCACCAACCGTAGAGTCCGTGCAGGTCTGATACCTGTCAGATTGTGTCTGTTATGACATCAAGAGAATGCCAAATTCTGACCGTCGGTGCATTCTTCACTTCGCAGTTGGCTTAGATAGACCGCAAGTCAGCAGTGACACTTCCCGTTCGTTATTACTTTCTTGAAAATGGACCACCACCCCGTCCACCAGGAGATGAACATACCAATCAATATATATAATTCATTGACTCCTATAATCTGCCACCAGTATCCCCGCTGGCTCATGTCAACCTTCTCTCCCAGTCAATTATCCCTGTTATGTGACATTGAGGCCCATCCAAGCAACTGCAACGCGTGATAAATAGGAGGATTCCGCCACCGTTGTTTCAGATTCTGGAATTTGAAGTCCCGTGTTTCACTATCCGGCAGCAGGCATTGTCATCTTGGATTGTGAGATCCGTGTGCTATATTGACGTTATTGGTCATTGAGGATAGCTAGTTAGTATGCCGGAGGAGATGAGGGACTTTATTTAGTTGGGGGGGGGGGGGGTGCAGTGCTGTTGTTTGAGATGCGAGCGTTAGGTGGATGGTTGGATGGTTGGACGAAGGAGGATCGTGGGTTGTGGCCGGGAGGATATGTAACTCTAGCTTGGGAGTGTCAGTTTGAGGTAGTTAAGTGTCCACTCGATATTAAGTCAGTATAAAATCGATATCAAGTCAGTGTCAAGTCAGTGTCAGTTCAGGTTCCAGGCCTGGAGAGGGGGACTTGATCCACTCACAGTAGACTGAAAAGGCGACCGGACATCAATGGTATGGTGCTCTATACCCGACAGGAGAGAATGGGGTTCCTAAGAGACGTGAACTTGCCTGCAAGACGGGCGGCTAAACAAGACCATCGACGGAGAAGGTGTCCAGACAAGAAGAAAAGGCGAGTGTATCTTGCAATCCTACAGGAGCGAAGACGATACTATGGCCATCCAGTAGGCGCTAAGCCGGATTCGGACATAATCAGGGTGATTTCACGCCCTTTCCAGAAGAGCGGGTGGTGACCGCAGTTTGGCCAGAAATATGAACACCACCACACGCCATCTTTACCTTCTTCTAGCCAGGCCAATAGGCTACTATTTAATCTTGTCAGCTCCCTGGATATCTCCCCCGGGGAAGAAGATATAGTTATTGCCATCCTTGTTTCTCGTTCACTTTACTTTTCCAGAGACAGCATACATTATGCATACCCTTCCCACAGTCAACCCCGCCTCATCCCGATGACCACACCCGTGTAGGTGTCACCGGGGAGCCTATCAAGCCCAAGCAAGGGATGCCAATGACGATCCGAGCTGAATAAAGCCACCCCGGACGTCCCACGGGGCACCCCGCATTTCGGCACGATGATCCCCCGACTACCAAACCGTTGACATGCCCCGATCCGTCGATTCCTGACTGTGGCACTCAGAAGCTCAGATCAACCCAGCCCAACTCGTCTCCGCCAAGCTGCTGCTGCCTTGTGCTGGGGTGGACGCTGCTCGGGGTATTATCCCGCGAGGGGGACTATGTCCTCCCTCTGTCGGATGCTAGGCCGTGTTCGGGATTAGATATAGAGTGCTGCTTCCGTAGAAACAGGGCTTGGTTGAGCTTGATTGTTCCCCTCTCTCTGTCCTTCTTTTTACACGGTCTGTTGGATGCCAGAGAGGCTCACGAGCAATATGCGGCTATGGAAACATGAGTTCCGGGGCAAGTCCCTGATCATTGCGATCACTATGGCCTCTTGCCAGGCTTTTCTGCTGCTGGGGTTTGACCAGGGTTTGTCACTCACTCAAGATTTCATGGTGGTTGGCATGGGCTAACTCCTGATCTACTGTAGGCGTCATGTCCGGTATCGTGGGAGCGAACAATCGCTTCGCGCGCGACTTCAACAACCCTGACGCGGCTATGCAGGGAAATATTACCGGGCTCTACGATATTGGATGCGTGTTTGGGTCTATCGCGTGCTACTTTATCGGGGAGAGGATGGGTCGACGGACGATGCTTATCACTGGTGGGGCGATTATGATCGTGGGATCGGCGCTGCTGGCTTCGTCGTTTAGTCTGGCACAGCTGCTTGTTGGTCGAATTGTTACCGGGATAGGCAATGGGATGAACTCGTCCACTGCACCGGTGTATCAGAGTGAATGCTCTCCTGCAGAGTATCGCGGTGCCTTGCTCACCCTGCAGGGAACTGTCACGATTCTGGGCGTGGTCATCGCGTACTGGTTAGTCTACACCTACCCATCAGACTGTATCGCACTCGCGCAACTGGCTAACCCACCGCAGGATGGACTACGGCACCAGCTTTACCGAATCATCCCTTGAATGGCGATTCCCGCTCGCCTTCCAGTCCCTGTTCGCAATCTGTCTCATATTCCAGCTGATTGGTCTCCCCGAAACCCCCCGCTGGCTCGTGCAGCACGACCGTCACGAGGAGGCGCGCGCTGTGCTCGCCGCAATCGAAAACACGCATATACACGACCATCGCATCACCAAGTCCATCCTCGACATCCAAGTCGTCCTCGACGAGGAACAAAAAGACGGGCCGTTCCGCTTCAAAGAGCTCTTCAGCTGGGGGGAGATCCAGAACCTCCGCCGCCTCCTGATCACCATCACCATCGAACTGGGCCAGCAGTTCACTGGATCCAACATGATCAACTACTACGGCCCCGTTATGTTCGAAGATACTATGGGTATGAGTCGGAACCTGGCGCTGATCCTCGGTGGCGCTATGCAGTGCACCTACCTCGTCGGATCCGCCATTCCGGTCTTACTCATGGATCGCTTTGGACGTCGCTCTCTGCTGATGATCTGCTCCTCCGGTCTATGCCTCTGTTTCGTAATGGTCTCGATCTTGCTCTCTTTCGACCGTGAGGACTGCGCATACGGTGCCACCGCCTTCATATTCATCTTTCAGATATTCTATGGTGTGGGATGGCTGCCCGTGCCGTGGTTCTACCCCAGTGAGATAAACACGACCCGGGTGCGGACGCGCATGGCGGCGATTGCGTCAGGATGGAACTGGATGGCGGTGTTTGCGGTAGTAAAGATAACCCCTATCGCTTTTGGTGAGTTCCCTATCCCTCCCACACAGAATCTTTCCTTGCCGCATTATATATGAACCACCTGGCCGATAACTCGATTGGTAGATAACATCGGCTGGCGCACCTTCGTTATCTTCGCCATCCTAAACGCTGTCTTTATCCCCATGGTATATTTCTTCTACCCCGAGACGAAGGGGATAGAGCTGGAGGACATCCCCCTCCTGTTTCATAAGGGTGGGCTCACAGGTGGTGTGTTTACCTCGAAGGGCGGACGGACTGTCGCTCCAGGGCAGCATGCGTTGCAGGCTCATGTCGATCGGAAGATGGAGGGGACGGTGCAACAGGTTGAGGTTGCTTAGGTGCAAAATCCGTGAATGATATATAACCACGTTTGGTATCCGTTGAAGGTTGTCCGGTATAGGCGTTGAGCTGTATATCTGCAAGATCATGTGGCTAGGCTTCGCCATTCTTCCCATCTTGTATGTGGAGTAGCCACTAATCGACCTACCCCTTGAGCCTAACTTTGCTGAACAAGTCCATGCAGTCCGAACACCATTTCTTGACGATGGTCATAGACCTGATGATCGTTGCTGGGAAGGTTGGAGAGTTCCTCAATTTCCCACTCCCCTGTATCTGGTCAATCGTCCTGAATCTCAAGTTTCACCTAGTCTTAGCTCTTCTTCTCGGTAATAGTATGTAAAAAAAATCACGATCAATATTCATATACCGTACAAGATACAAAGCACAACGTAAGACAGTCTGGACCGGCCACATCGAGAGAAATATAAAACAAGCAAGAACCAGAACAAAAACTCACCAGACACCCGACGTAAGTATACAATCTGTACCTGTCAACTCCAATCAACACAACACCGACATCAAGCACAAGCATAAAGCAGAAGATCAACACTAAGCCCACCAGTATCACCCATCGTCAGCTAAAATAAGAGCATCGATGAAGGATCAAGAACAATCAAGAAATATCACATCTCATCGATCTTCGGCTCAAGATCCGACTCCGGCTGAAATGTGTCGTCCAAATGCCCCTTCTTGGTTTTCTGTTGTTGGATGTTGATGTCGCCGCGATCGGCTTTCACCTACATGTCATCACAGAGGAATAAGTAATGCCTCCTTGCCTTGTAACGGAAACATGGCCAAATAGACAAGCGGATATATAAGAAAAGGGGAAAGGTTGGAAAAGAGGAGAAAGAGAGTCTTACCGAAACCTCACTCCATGTAGCGTGCAGCTCGTCCCAATGTCCCGAGCTCTCTTTCTGGTTGTGCTTGACGAGACTAGGGGGCTTTTCGAAGTCGTCGGGGAAGGAGGCTGCTATGAAGACTAGATTTGTCCGCCGTTTCCAGTTAGATTAGTTTGATCATCTGGCACGGGAGGGGAAAGGGGGTGGGGCGTGTCTTGTGCTTGTGAGAGTGAGACAAGCAATGGAGTGGGTGTCAGGTATGAGAGAGGTGAGGGATGACAGATGGAGATGGAGATGGATGCACATACAATCCTCATCCTTGGTGCTGTGGACCTCGGGCGGGTGGTAGTAGCACACTACCGGGCGGGCGAGCCGAGCGGACGAGGCGGGGCGGAGGAGGGCAGACGAGCGGCGGAAGATAGTTGAAGACATTGCTGCTGCCTTGTTTTTGGTGCTTATTGTTGAAGGCTGATGAAGATCACGATAATAGGACGGAGAAGAGATGGAGTCCTGATGGAGTCTGGGGATGAAGTGGAGTAGATGGTGATGGTGGGGATATGGGGAGGAGGCGAGGCATGATGGGTCGTGATGTCATTGGCGGTGGGCGGTGGAGTGGGCGGGCTCGGTTGCAAGTGGAAGCCTTGAAGGGCGGGAAAGCCTGACAGCAGAAGCCTGGTTGCCTGACAGGTGAAATGAAGGTTGGTTGGTTGGTTGTTCTGGCAGTGGGAGGGTTCTGGGTTCCTGGTTGGTCCAAGAAGATTACTCTTGCCTTCTTCCTCGCCAGAGTTAGCTAGCTATCACCATCATCAATACAACGACCCTGCGGCCTCTTTTTTTTTTTTTTTTTTTGCTGCCGTAGGTGCCATCCATATCATGGTACTACCTTATACATCAGAAGCAGCAGTCAATGCGATACCTCTACATCGTATCATCAACCCCTGCACCTGCAAAGTATTAAGAATGCCGATGTGATTGGCCGAGGACGGTGTCACAATAATCAGTTTGCACAAAGTAAATTGAAACGGTACTCCGCAATGTAACTGCTGATAATTTCCCTGACCCTCACTGGTGGATTTGTGTGCTACTGGTGACATGGTTATGATGCTTCAGACACAGGCCGCCCTGTCCCTGACCCTGACCCGCCGATCGCGGCGACGAGGCACGAATTAGGGAGGAGAGATGAGAAACAAAGGGAGATGTATCACATCGGCGCCACTATACTCCAAACTACGGAGAATGCTCCCAAAAGACGAGTGGCCGAGGCTCATATCCGTCGCTCGCAATTCTCCCAGTTGGGAATGCCGGGGGCCCATCCTCTGCGAGTGCTTCGCAGAAGAACTCCTGGAGCAGCAGCCTAGTCGGTGCGATGAACCCGATCACCACGAGAGATTTGCCGAATCCCTGCAAGCCAGTGGGGGTGGAGGGGATGGTCACGAACCACTTTGATGAAGATGATGATAGAGTTCCTGTGATTAGATTACACCTTAATTATCTCCGGCTCGTTAGCGTGCCCCTTTCCCCCTTAGCACACCGCAGAGGATGTTAGAATCATATTAAATCATCTTATTGAGTTCCTCACCGGTCGTCGGTCGAACCCTGCCTATCTCGGAATGACACCGATCACATCCAAATCCACGACCCTCGAGCGGTTCCCAAACTTCGGCCCCTTCCCCTGACATTTCCAAGCTCCCCCACGCTCTCAACAAATGTTCTGTTGGATCTCCAATACTCCAACCCCTGGCCCCAAGGGGCGACGGGAGGGAGCTCCACCGGTCTCCATCCGACCCGAATGCATCGTCATCCCCCGAGTAATTCCCGGCCGAAAGCCAATGGCAGCGACAGGTTGAAAATTTTCGACGCACTAGCCGCCTAGGCAGCCACCGCTGCATGCATCCCTCGATGTGTGATGGTGTGACGAGCGAGGTGAGATTGGATGAAAAATGTCCGATCGTGCGATCCTCTCGGATTCAAGCACCGGCCTAGTAATAGTAAGCAGGGTTAACTTCAGTGGGCAATGAGCAGTGGACAGTGGACAGTGGGCAGGGCAGGGCAGTCGGCAGTGGACTCTGAACTGGGTATGTAGCGCCAAGATCCCAGCGATGAGGGTTGGGGACAGAATGGATATAAAGACCTGCGCTATCTGGATTCTAGAAGCGTCGGGCGCGGGCTGTTGTGAGGCAACGAGTCGAGGACGAGCAGCAAAAAGGAAAGATTGACGGCGAAGCGGAGCCGAGCTGTCAGCCGTAGTGACAGTGGCAGACAGTCACACAGTCACCGACTTTGTCGGCCGCCCCACCGATTTGCTGTCCCGTTTCCCAATCGACTGATGGAGGGACTGGGACTAAGGAGGGGTTTCATTTCAACCGGCTGCTCCTGCCAGCTGCTGCCATGAGGGCCCAGGGAATCAGGTATATACCCGGCCGGGGTCGGGGTCGCCCCCAAGAGTGCGACGCGCTCACATCAAATATAACTATCCGTATCCATCCCTACCCCTCCTACCATCTGGTATCTTCTCCCGACTCCTCCCTCGCCCCCCCCCCCGTAAACCATGTCTGCCCCGGAACCTACTCCGGAGCCGACCAAACCTCAGCCCCGGCACGTCGACCGGAAGGCCCTGCACACCGATCTGGAGGCCCGAATCGACTATCTGCACAGATTTCTTGACTTTAACGCCGGTCGGTCTCTCCCCCCCGGCTTCCCCACCTCGTGTTTGACTTTCCGCGGAGATACACCTCCGCGCGTGGCCTCGGTGCACCCTCCAGACTCCAGACGGGCAAAAGGCTAACGAGTTGGTTCCCCAGACGACGTCGCAACCCTGATCGCCGGCGCCAAACACATCAAGGCCCTCGCCCCGACCGTCGTCGATCGGATCTACAAGAGGATCCTCCGCTACGACATCACCGCGAAGGTCTTCCGTACCCGAGACACTGCCTCCGATGAAGAAATCGAGAACTGGCCGGTGCTGGAAAGCCCGCCGGTCCAGCGCCGTCGCCAGTTCCTGCGCTGGTACATGACCAAACTGTGCTCTGACCCCTCCAAGATGGAGTTCTGGCGGTATCTCAACCAAGTGGGGTGCGTGATTCCCCCCTGCTCCTGGCCAACCATCCCTTACCCCCCCTACTAAACCGCAACTCCAGGCGAATGCACTACGGAAAGGAGCGTCTCCACGCGCTCAATGTCGAATATATTCACATCGGGGCCTGCCTCGGCTACATCCAGGATGTCCTCCTCGAGGCCGTGCTCGGCTACGACAAGCTCCCGCTGCCGTTCCGGATATCGCTGGTGCGGGCGCTGGGCAAGGTGCTCTGGATCCAGAACGACCTGTTTGCGCGATGGCGGTCCTACGACGGCGAGGAGTTCCAGGACGAGGTCGAGTCGATCCATTCGGGGCATTCGCAGCCTTCCAGCGCCGCCGTCACCCCGCGACCCAGCTCGACCCACCTCCGGACCGAAGGCGCCTCCTGTGTCAAGACCAACACCGCCAGCTCAGCCGGCTCTTCTGAGTTCACCAGCGTCTTCTCCGACACCTTCAACACCACCTCCACCCCCTCAATAATACCCCCTCCCTCCCACCCCCAAATCGCCACCCCCGGCTCACAGCGGCCCGCCTGCCCCTTCTCCCACGCTAGCATCAAGCAGTCGTTCGAGACAAAGGTCTGGTCGAATGCGAAGCAGCAAGCCGGGCCGGGTGCTTATAGGCACAGTTCATAGCGTGTCGGTGTGATACCGTTGGCAACGCCTTTGCTTTTTTTTTTCTTGGTCTTTTTGTTTGATGTCATGATACTCGCAATACCTAGGTACTATGCATACCATCACGAAGGGGGATCTGGAGTTTAATATAGGTAATGAAGATTGGTTTTTACACGATGAATTTGATATTTTCAAGAAGGTTTATCAGGACTCTATGGAGCCTACGAGCAATTGATTAAGGAGAGAGATTGGTTGGTGGTTGATAGAGAGGTGATGCTAGCTAGGTTACGTAAAGGATGCAGAGGATAACACCTCGCAGAGGCGAAGCAGTCACATCTGCACGGTTGCCGGTTGGCTCCAACAGGTTCCTTATAGCCCAAGGATACCGGGTAATTAACCCCGTCTTCCAAAGCCTCCATCACGCGCTTGCATTCCTCCACCATCTGCCATGGCTTGAATTGGGATGGGGTTTTGAGACAAAGAGTTTGGATGTTTGGCTGTTTCATTGGAGGCACCTGTCGGTTTGATAGAAGACGCAGGAAAGTTAGACTTGGTGGCGATCGGAGCGCTGGAATGACTTGTGCAAATATTGACTGGGCACCAATTCGACCTGAAGACAGGTGTAGTCGAGATGATTCAAATGTTCAGAAAGGAGCGAGAAAAGTTAGACGGGTCAGGGAGGCAGGAATCAAGCACGATGGGAGGACAAGCTGTGAGTGAGAGGAGCTCCCTCACCATCCCTCTTGCCTTCTCCCTCATCCTCTATCTTACTAGCTCTCCTTTACTCTCCTTCACTATCCTCAACTCTCCTCCACCCTGCTCCACCCTCCTCCACTAACTCTCCTCTACTGACTCTCTGCCACTGACTCTTACCTACTTCAACTGCTTCACAACCCCTAGTTCTTCCTCATCCCACCAAACCGATCCTCACATCACTATGAACGAAAAATACGTCTTGAACGCGCTTGCCAGTCATGTTGAGAAGATGATCGCTGAAAATGGATCGGGACCGACCATGAAACCGGCGACTGACGACTGGGTCAAAACAGCTCTCGGCTCTATAGAGGAAGCTAGAAGCGCGCAGCAGAAGATTTCCGAAGAAAAGCAAAGTCTGAGAAATGAGATCAAGGCGTTCAAGAATGCTATCCGAGAGCGTAAGGATGAGATCATGTTTATCCAGTATCAGATTGAAGACGATGAGGATGAGGTCAAACGCCTGCGGGACAACCTTAGAGAAAAGGAAGTACTGACACCTTACCTGGCTACCTTCGAGAAAGTTGTCGGGCTCGTTGCGGTGAACAAGGAGGACATTGAAGGCTACACCCGCGTTATTGCCGCTTTGATGGATGCACTTGGATCACTCACTTCTTGAATTTTTGATATCTACAGCTTGAGTCTGGGAAGCTTGGAGTATGCGGAGAAAGTGATAGGATGTGGATTACAAACGGGCAATGGATGTATCTAGTGAGAGAAGATATTCAATTGAAGCCAAGGAATTCTTGATCTATTCCAATAAGCACTCATGATTAACGACAGCGCTTGGTGCCAAGGAAACGCAGAAATGTATGGTTGGAGACACCTTTATAGCCAAAAGGAAAAAGAAGATGAAATATTCGTCGTCACAAGTTAACACAGACTCGTCTTCGAGGGCGGAAATTCTGAATGAGGACTGTAGCACTTTTGGAACTTGATACAGCAAGCGCACTCCTCCGCACGGTGCCTCTTCAGCCAAGTAAGTTGACTTCCAATGATACATGATTCCCTCCAGCATTTCATCTTCGGCTTTCTCAAACCGGCGCTTGCATTCGTACTTTTCCCTCTCTTGTTCCTTTTGCTTTGCCTTCTCCGACGACTTTTAGTATTGGACCACAGCGGCATTTTGGATACTTCCGGTGTTGTTTAGTCGAAAGTGTATCATTAGGGATGGGAAGTGATGGAGAGGCGCTATAGGTTGAACAGGCGGAACGTGAGTTGGCGGAATGCAGACTTTTTAATGGGTTGTGATAGCGGCACGATATAATATCGGGTCATAGAATCATCACTGGTGCACGATATGGAGTCATACTCGAGTAAGCATGTCAATATTAATAGCCCTGCTGACGACGGCGGAGGAAGGCATCAAGATGGTCGAATACCCACGCTTTTCACTTTTTATCCTCGGTATCTATCTACTACAAATCTCCAGCCGGTATCGCGGCTAGGAAATGAAGCATTCGTCATGGCCAGTCATGTTGCGAGCAGTGTGGTTTTACTTTTATGCTTTTCATTATTTCCTGTTGGGTAATTTTGTAGTGTAGAGTTGGTTGCTACTTTGCACGGCCCTTACTAGTAGCTTAAGCTGTTGAAATACCGTCTTGTATTGGAGTCTTTGCTAGTTGTACGGAATATTTAGCCTTATAAGACTTGGAATTTGTGGCATCTCTCGAAAGGCCTCATTCTATTCTAGCCACCACAGGAGCGTGGAAGAAGCACCCCAACTGGCATTCTCTCCTGCCATAGATGACCGGCTCCACAGCCACCTTCATCCTTTTCCCCCATGCAGACAGCAAAGCACCTATCGCCAATACAACAAAATCTGTATCCATTCTCTACTCAAGGATGCACCCTTATTGCCAAAGTCCAATTCATTGCTCTTCCATACTACAGTTTCCGCTCCACAGTGATCTGTCATTACACCACGTGCTGCCAGTCTGGAAGACCAAGAGTGCGAAACTCGCAGAACGATTCGATCGACTTAGATCCTCCGACACAGATGTTATGCCCTAGCCCAGCTCCAGCCCTTCATTAAGTCGATAGGCACAGTCCACGGCTACATCCATTCCCATAGCAGCAGTCGTCATCCGTTCTACAAACCCCGCCGTCCTCGCTGCACGGCCAGTTCGGGTCGGTAACGCGGCACCGACTCGCCGTGCAGTTGCCGGAGCAGCATGCCGATGAACCGCCGGAGGAGCAGTCCGCTGTGTCGGTGCCAGTTAGCCACGTCGTCATGTTGACATAAGATAGGGAGGGGGGAGGGGGCTCACAGGAAACGGTCAGACAGGTCGGGGTAGGCACGCAGGTGGAGGTGATGGTCGAGGGGCTGGTCAAGGTGGCAGAGGTGCAGAAGCGACCGGAGGGACAGCGGGTAGCACCGCAAGTGGTGTTGGTGGCATTCCGCTGAGCGGCTGGAGGTTGTCAGTGGGGTCGTTTGTAAAGAGGGGGAGATGTACTGCTCAGGGTGACGAAGATACAGGCGATCAAGGTCTTGAAGTGCATCGTGTTGATGGGTGAGTTGCTTGGTCGGGATACAACAGGAGCTGCGACTCGGGATGCGAAGTGTCATTCCAGACCTGGTTGATACTTATACCTGACGGGTTGCTCTCTGGCGCATGAATGCTACATCGTCCGGTCCAGGACGAAAACTACACCTTAGTCAACGCGTTTCACTCATCCTGTCGATGTTCTCGACCATTGAGGTAGCGATAAACTTCTGGGATGGAAAAGAGTCCGATTGGAAACCAAGAGATGGTTGATGACTTTGCTATCTGTTGCATGGTTTGATTGGCCCGAGAGGCAAACTCTGGAAGTAGCCATAAACAGATCAGGATGAGATAGACCCTTTGCCAGGGGGGCGAGCAGTATTTCTAACAGACTCTGTGTTAGGGCCACTAGGAGCCGCCTCAAGACGAGAAGCGCGAAGCTATACTCTCCGGTGACTATCATTGAGTAATAAGTGATATTTCGTCTATCTGAATGCCTGGTGAAGAAGAGCGAAGAAAATGCAATTCCAGGCCACCAGCAGGCTCTAATCTCTGACACCGCTGACACTACCAGCAATACCTCCGATCATACTCCCCAAGTCTCAGAGCAATGTAAAGCCTGTAGCTTCCTAGTCATCTTGGAATGCCCTGAAGATTGCTTCTTCATCAGTGGTCTCCTCCTGTTCGAATATTCTTATTCCGCGTTGCACTTTCCTCGGCCAATGCAACAGGCCCCGTTCATAAAGATAGAGGAGCTCCAGGTTTTTCAAATCCGACGCACGGTATTGGCGAGGCACCAGCCGATCCTTGGCATCAATCTGTCCAGATTTGCGTGTGGTAGAGCCTACAGCCTGCAGATTCATGTTGGATAGATTCGATCTGAGTCTACGGGGCGGAACGGTCGAGTCCGCGAGGGAATCCTCGTGGTGAGAGTTGAAACGACTTGTTGAATCATGACTAAACAGACGCAAAGAATTAACTAACACGGCCCACCGCACTTTTATGATTGGGAGAAGAGGGGAGGGGACTGGCACAAACGAGATCTCCATCGTATTGGAACGTTTACGCTTGGAAGATTTACGCTTAGAGGAGGGTTACGCTTCGACCTGCCCAAGCACAAGATGATTAGTCGGGATCAATCCTGAGTAAGGGAGTTACTCACTTCGCCCTCGCCCTCCGACAGGGTAACAGTCGCCATCGAATCCAACCCGTAATCCAGAATATCTGATAATAAATTAAAACTCGAGTTGCTAAAAGGTAAGCCAAGGTCAAGAATAGCAGGCTACTACTCACGGAAAGTGCAATATGCACCCCTGCCCGCAATCACACAGCAACCACAAGAGCCCGCATCGATCATACGCCCATTGCGTCCACACGCAACGAATCATTGTGGAAACGCTCCGTAGCCTTCGCTGCAAAGCTCACAGGGATTCGGAACTATCTCGCCACGTGTATATCCGAGAGCCGCCTGGTAAGAGCGCCGATTGTTGATGGACCGAATTCTCTCCGCCCCAGTCGCCGGGTCACGCACAAACTCCAGTCGTATCTGCTGTGGGCGATTGAGGAGAAAAGTGACCTGGTTGGATTTTACAAAGGGAAGAAAGTTCCGGTCGGCGTCGTAGGCAGCATTGTTATCCTCATCTGTAACAGGAGTCATGGTGCAGTGCTGACGCGGTTGGGAGTATTCGAACAGGGGAGAAGAAAAAGACGATAATAATGATAAATAAAGGAGAAGCGGAAGAGAGTGGGAGTGAAAAATCAACAACAATAATACACTTAGTGCCATTCACTGGCAAGCTACGTCTATATAAGCAACTAGCGCTCTACCTTGCAAGCCTTGGCTAAAATAGGTAAGATCTTGAGGTCCCCGGGAATACATGTCGTTTCTGGCGAAGCGTTAAGGCATATCGATTGTAGCGTTAGCTGACACCCTTCAGTGCAGCCAGCGGCAACGTAATTCATGGTAAATCTCTGTACTGGCTACCGACCAGATTGGATATGTGGATCCAGTCCTGGGGGTGACGCGAGTCACATGTCCCACGGTGCCTTCCTTGTTGTTACCTACTAAAACCCTCTCCCTGGGGCTTCTTCTCATATCACTCGTACTCTCCCTTGCGATAAAAAAATCAAATTTTATTCTTCTCTGTTGTACCATTCTTTTCCATTATTCTTATCAGACGAAGCCTCTCACTCCTCCTATGAGTACAGTACATACACGATCGGATCCTCCTCTGCTCTCTTAGATCGATCGGCGATTATCAGCACTTCGCATAAACAGCATTTGCAAACAAGGCATAGGTGTCCGCGTTCAGAAGTGCTTCTTCTGTTGACAGCCGCCGACATGCGTTATAGCCATACGCCTTATCGTCCGTCCCGGGGCTGCAAACTGCCGGGCAATGGGCATATTCGTGGATAAGTGTAGTAGCCTGATCTTGCCAATGGCACCAGGAGTTCACGGGAATTAGATATCTCCAGAATATCGGGCAACTGACCACAGTGTTCGTGTCGACCCAAGTGTACGCGAGGATGTGATCGGTACAGACCCCATACGGATCCTCGCAATATATCGTTGTCTTCCCGTCCGCTTCGATGGACGCCTCCGACGCGATGAGCAGGTATCTGTTTGTCACTGCGTCCCGGACCGACTTTTCGGAACTCTTGAAGTACTCTTCCATGCGAGCGGCAGGGCCGGCATAGGACTCGTTGGCTGCGGCGAGGCTGAGGTGGACGGCTGCGAGCAGTGTGGTGTGCATGCTAGCCTTTTTCTCCGCGGTGCAGCTTGTGACGACGGTGCGCTCGCGGAGAAGGCTCAGCGCTTTTGGAATTGTCGAAGCTTTGATTGCGTCGACGGTCATCTTCAGCACATTGGAGTAGTACGGCAGGTATGAAGTGACCTGAAGGTCGGTAGTGACGGGCACAAATCCAGAGGTGTAGACCGTGACGTCTCCACTATGAGCGATGTCGATGGTGGATGCAAGATCGAACTCGTCGGAGAGGATCTGGCCGGCTGGGATAGTGGTCACCGCGTCTGGGGTCAGATTGTCAAAGGACAGACGCGCTTTGATGCCACTGAAGCTGAGCTCAGTTTCTACGGAATGTCAAAATTGGAGTTCTTGTCAAAGGGATGGGATTGATTACCATTGTGGAAGACAGAAACCTTCTTGATTGGCGCAGTATCTCCAAAGAAGTTCAGGTGCACGATAGTGAGGTCCTCAGCGCCGGTATTTTTCACTTCTGCTTTGATACGCGTGTTGGTCACCTGGCTCAGAGTGACGGTCAGAACAGGCATGTTGGAGGGGATTGCCATGATGCAGTGCATCATGGCCGCGAGAATGCAGAAGAGAACAGGAAGCAACATCATGAAAATATGCAATGCTGCAATTACATGTGGCAAGAACAGAATTCGTTTGTGCGAAAAGATTTGAGAGTGTGAAGAAATGGGAGAAAAGTGAGGCCGCCATCGCTTTTCTCTACAGGGAGGGAGAAGCAGGGAGCAGTGAATAGCCAGCCTGCTGTGCTATCCCGCCTGGGGGCAAGATAGGAATTTGTTACTGGTCACAGACAATAAGTAATTCGTTTGTCCCTGATACAATAAAGTAATTAGTTTTCCGCAGCTTTGTCTTGGACGAGAGCTCATATCCTTGCCAAACTCCTCAGGACTTGGATGAAGATAGAGAGTCTAACATGGGGGGGGGGGGGAATCAACACTCCGATCATGGAGCATGCTTTTGGGTATTCTACTCATAAAGTCTTGAAGATGGTTAGTTCAGGCGCATGCAATGGTATGTTTTAGTAGAGCGCTCCCCAGAGTTCAGTCCAGAGGTGGAGGCAGTAAGGCCGCAGGTGATATTGTTATGCGAGATTGTAGGTCAGCTGGGACGCAATCAAACAAGTCGGTAGATAAAGCTGCTGGGCGAGTGAGTGTGAAGGCTGAAGCCACTGCAGCGGCTTTTTCTTTCCTTTTCTTTTCTTTTCTTTTTTATTCAATGAACCATATGCGAACTGAGGGCTTCTATCTGTCAGGACCGCAGGTGTCCCTCTTTTGGAGCGCCATGCGGGGGGGGTACTCCTTTTGCCGCAGTGGCACTCGTCACTATCACGATTGGTTGTACCAGGTGGGTCCGTAGCTATCTCATATGACGGCTTTCTAATTGGCTGGTTCTAGAAGAGTATAGTAGAAAATCTTTTTATAGTGGAGTAAAGCTCTCATAGGTGAGTAGGTAGGAATATACAGGACGTACTCTGAGTATAGTCTATTCGATAAATAGATAAGAAAGATAAACTGGGGGTTGGTTGGAGCGGGTAGCCCCGAGTATAAAAAAACACCAAAAGTCTAGCGTGCTGACTACTTTATCGCTTTGTTCTAGACGCCTCTAAGCGACCAGTTATTATTTTGAAGTCATACGCGGTGATGACCGTCAGATAGGCCCTCTTTGAAAGCTTTCTGGATCCTGCAGCAGGACAACAGGTCACTAGTAAGAAGAGATAGATATCTGGGCCAAGTCACAATTACCTGACATGCCGGCTGTTTGGCGCTGCCGCGCTATTTCTTAGCCAATGTCTTCATTGGTCTCAAAGCAGCGGGTGTGAAGATGGTAGTTAAGTCTCTTCTCTGGTTCTGAGAGTACTAGCGTGAGATGAAAGACTAATAACGGTATGGATCTTTTTTTCATCTAACACTTTCAATGGCAGACTGTCTGGTCTGGTAATTTTGTATCAATTGGTGAATCGCACCTTCCTCCTATGGGTGTTTGTTACACATTTGATCCTCTTCAGCCCCTCCATCTTCCACACAAACTACTCTCTCGGTCTCCCTGCTATAACTTACATGCGAATACTATCCCCTCTACAGCTATTTCATACTGCCCTGCATGAAATGTCCGCCTCTGCCCTCCATATCCACCTGGATCCTAACATCAACGACTCCGGGTACGTCTGCATCAACATCACGATCAGCAACTCCAACGAGACACCTATCACCCTTCTGAATTGGTCCACCCCCCTGGACCCCCATGCAGACATTCTAGGCGTCTTTGAGATGAACGACGAAACCACCAATAAGGCCGTGCAACTGCCCACCCTCAAGATCTCTCGACGCCTTGCCCCCTTCATCGACGATCTTGTCGAAGTTCCCGGCGCCGGCTGCATCGAAACCGAGGTCACTATGCCGCGCCTGGCGCTTACCGAGAACCATGTCTATTCTATACAAGCGAAGGGGATCTGGCATGCCCTGTGGGATGGGCCGATTGAGAGCGTGACGAGCCACCACTTGGATAATCTCTCGCTAGCTGAGACTGGCGAGTTTAAATCGGATGTCGGGATTCTGTTCTTGGATTAGGGGGTTTTCTGTATCGGGTTTCTTGCGTTTTGTGCTTCCTTATTTTATTTTCAGTGCGCCAATCTCTTTTTCCTTACCCGCAAGGTTCAGATTTTGGCTATACCCAGATCCCTTCGCTCGACAGGCTTTGGGAGGTAAAGGTATCAAGTAAGGGAGATTAAATTCCTGTACCAGACATTATTTGCATAATTCTCAGTGAATGGTCCATAGCCAACACGCTACCCGGGGACTTTGTCTGTTTCTTATCGGCTGTCGTGGCTGCACATCCTCTCACTCACCCGCCAACGGCACAAATAGGCATCAATGTTGCACCGTGTATCATTCTATCTTCATGTGACCCGGCGAGTATTCCTTCAGTCCCCCCTCTCCCTCTCATCTTTTGCATCTTCATCTAACACCCACCCAAGCACTAACAATGCCACCCATAAACAGCGACATTGACATTGACATCGACATCCCCCGCGACGCTCGCCGCGTCTTCTTGACCCTGCAGAACGGCGGCATCGCCATTATCCCTGCCAGCGTTGGCTACGGCCTTGTAGCCACCACCCCCTCTGCCCTCGACCGCCTCTTCACCACCAAACGCCGCAAGCCCCACAAGAAACATGCCATGCTCGGCTCCGACGCCCTCCAGCAGAGCATCCATATCCTTCCTCCCCGAGAAGCATCCATCCTTCGCACATTGACCGTCGATCTTGACCTGCCTGTTGGCGTCGTTGCTCCTTTCCGCCATGATAATCCGCTCATCCAGACCCTTGGGTCTGATTTTCTGGAGCGATGTACCGTCGACGGGACCATATCTATGCTTGTAAATGGGGGGCCGTTTCAGGAGGAGTTGGTACGGCTTTGTACTGATGCTGGGGTGCCGCTGCTTGGATCGTCTGCGAATCTTACCGGGACGGGAACGAAGGTGCTGGTTGAGGATATTGAGAGTGAGATTAAAGCGGCGGCTGATATTATTATTGATTACGGACGGCGGACTTTTAGCAATCCACGGGCGTCGTCGACTATCATCAATTTCCGGGATATGAAGCTCGTGAGGTACGGTGCTTGCTATGATACTATTCGCGATGTCCTGCGGAGGTTCTATGGGATTGAGTTTCCTGTGGACCCGGGAAAGAATGAGCTTTTCTCGGGACATGTGGATGCTCAGGCGAATGTTTATTGATCGAGGTCCGTCTGTTCGGTGGTAGTTGGTGTGGGAATACGTGGGATATCCCGTAGATATATTAATAGTATGCAAGATATATATTGCTGACATGTGGCATATGCAGGTAGATTCTCGAATAATACGTTTGCGAGATTGACAATCTAATGCTCCAGCGGCTGAGATGATACCTTGCTGAGTGTAGCTTGCGTTTCAGATTGTGATGGTTTTTTGGGTAAAATCTTTCTTTCCGTCTTTAGCAACAGCTGGGGATATATCGGTGCGCGTTGATATCGTCCCCCCCTGAGAAGCATGCACGCTTCGCCTGTTATTCCAGTCTGCATCCACATCTTTTTTGGTAAACTCTACGGTCTGTCAAGAGGTCAATTTATACCGATCAACATGCTTCGTTCCCATTACTAGATTGACCGGAATGCCCTGGTCCTCTCAATCCCATCTATTTGCCCACAAACAATATCCAACACTATACACTACATCGATACACCTCCTCCTCTATACACCCACTTCTCACCAACCCCTATTCATACCGATAACAATAATCATACGCCGTCGTATCCATCACCTCCCTCAGCTTTCTCGCCCGGCCCACGACCCCCCACTCCGCCACCGTATCCAGCGTGACGTCCGGACTACCCGGCGGATCATAGATAATCGTCGTCCCGTTCAACGCATTCGTCCGCGTCGCCGGGTCCTTCCCCTGCCAGATCGTCCACATTCGATCCACCATAGAATGATGCAGAAAGAACGACGGGTCCTGCGCCGCAGCAAACACATCCGACATGGTCGAGCCCACGGCCCGATGTCCGCTCCCGTGCGCCCCGAAATATCCCTCCCCGCTCGGGTCCATGTACTCGAGGAAATCGATGATGTTGGTCGTTGCCATCATCGCGTCTAGGAACTGGTGCGTGTTCTGTGCGAGAAGGTAGCTCTCGCTGAAGGATCGCGTGAGGCATCGCGGGTTGTAGGTCCATGCGTTGGACGGGAGGGGCGCGTAGGACTTTACGTCTGAGAGGCTGATCGGGCCCATGTGGATTGTCCAGTTCGTGAACGGGCCGGAGTGCACGCAGCCGCCCCCGTGGCCGGGTGAGCAAGCTACGTTTTCGGGGCAGGGGGGTGAGGCGAGAGGGGCTGTGGGGTCCGGGAGACCGTCGCCGGAGAGGGAGGTGTCGCTGCCGTCGAAGACTGGGCTGGCGCTTAGGTTGGAGGTGAAGGAGGGCCAGTTCCAGTATCTGTGAGGTTAGTGAGGGGAGGGGGGTTTGCATGAGGGGGGGAGCGTACGGTAGGCCGCCTTTATAGCCGCATTCGTCTTGGAGGGCCTTTTCGAACAGGTAGGACAGCTCGCGGTGCCACGGGAGAAACAGGCCGTTGTTGTGAATGACGAGGGTGTAGTTGATGTGTGTTCTGGAATGGTCTAGTGGTGAGTGAGGTTCTGAAAATGGATACCTGAGGCGAAAGGAGTACTCCCCGCCCGGGTCTTCCGCTGAAGACCCGACAGGCTGTTGGTGTGAGACTTACGCGACAAAGTCGTCGTAGCGATCTCGCACTCCGGGGTACTGGTCATTGGGCAGCGTCGAGGGGAGGCGTCGCAGGCACCACACGGCGTCGATGAAGTCGGTCCGTTGTTGCTTGCTCAGATCGGCCCTGGAGCTGTTAGGTCTGTGCAATGCAATGGGATGAAATGTGGGAAGATCTACCAATCTCTTCGCACGGTGGTCTGCTCAGGACGGCATCGTGGCTGTGGTGCCGCGAGGGCCACCACAATTGTGAGCAGGAGACCGACTAGAAGCCGCATAGTGTCTGCCCTGAGCACGGAGATGGTTCGAATCGAGAACCATGGCTATGGAGTGACGGCTTCTTATACGGATTAGAGAAGCGTCCTCTCGGACCTTTGACCTGACCGACAATTGCTCTGTATCCCCATCAGTCCCCATTGAGGAGCAGGTAGGGTTAGAGTTCGTGTTTACACAACGACTCGAGGAACATGCTTCGAGTGGAGGCGCAACATGTCGATCTTGCCATTGTCGTTCGTCGTTATTCCTGCTTCGCGACCAAACTAGGTTGCATACACGCAGTCACCTGGAAAACAGTGGGGAAATATTGGAAGCCTGCAAGATTGCGGCTTTACCGGAGTATGAGCATGGGTATGCACCAGTCAAGGATTCATTGATTATTTCCATTAGTTCGGCGTTGTACATATTATACATCAGATGGGTGGTGGTATTGCCCCTTTTCAGGTCTCGCTTTCCTCCGTTCAGAACACCTTATCCTCGCAATACACGCTGCTGACGGGAACGGGCTCCGAGGACGAGTGCTCGCCGGGCATCAACAGCGTCTGGCGTCCTGTGCAGCCCATGGCTCTGATTCTGGTCAGTCTTATAGTCGGACCGAACAGGGAAACGTGACTTACGAGAAGAAGCGACACTCCCGCGACAGAAACACCGACCGGACCTCACTGCAACCACACGTTAACCTCTCTCTCCCTCTCTCCCCTTGTTCCTCCATTCAGCTCACTCACTCTTCCTCGATATGATGACAGTCGTTAAACGGCACCTGCACCTGCTTGCTCCCCTCCAGCGTCTCGATTCCAATCTGCCGTCCGATCAGTCAGCATATCACGCGTCGCAACCACACCAGGCACCGCGCACTTACCGTCGTGGTCCTCTTCTCGGCGCTAGTCAGGCCCGCGAGGAGCAGCACGCTCAACAAGGCAATCGGCTTGAGGGAATACATCGTGGATGTGGTGGGGGCTCGGCACTTGGACGGATGGGCAACAGACAACGGTGAGAAGAAGATGGACAGATCACACAATAGCGCAATCGCATCTGACGCGTATTTAAGGGTCCAATGCCCAGAGACCAGCTGTTGTGTTCGGTGGCGGTTCATCCCTTGCGTCAGGTCGCATTCTCGACGCGACCCTTCGCGGATCCCGTTTCGTCTTCACGGTGGGCGGCTGGGCATAATGGCTTGATGAAGAGGGTGTCACTGCGATGCGCGTGGATCGCGGGGTGAGAGATCGCGGCATCGTTTAATAGGGTCTTCATTCCCAGACACGGCTTGAAATCAACTGTTGGTTGATAGCCTTCGAGGATGTTTCGTAGGTAGGCTCACTGCCAAGAACCCCTCGCGACTTTGAGGGTGTGTTTTGAATTCATGCTAGGCTCGTGGCTGATTAGGATCGTTTGAGAAAGCTCTTCGATTTCTTGCAGCCTTACAATCACCCTGTCAAATGAAGGAACCTCTATCGAGCGTCTTGGAGTCAGATGAACCCGATAAGGTCGCGCCGGAATGTGAGGGAATCGCAGCAACTAAGCGACAAGCAGCTTCCAAGACAAATACCCATACATACTCGAAGGTGGTGGGTGGTTTCACGCCGGGATGTCGTCAGACAATACTACTTTCCTATCAGGTGCCAGCGAATGGACATCGATGTGATAAGGGGTTCATATTCTTGCAGGCTTTTCCATGCCATTCCGGAGTCGACATGAATGAGTCGCTGCGCCGCCCACACCCATCTTTCCAATTTACCTCCAACCCTCCCACAGTTCCTGCTGCAAATCCGTTGATGAGCGCATTCCTGTCGCGCTTATTTGCTACCTAAGATACGGATTACGAGGCCATGTCCGGGCTCAGCCATCTGAAGCTAATCTGCAGGCTCCCGCCAACTCACGGAACGCTGGTCGGCAATTGGCAGAAGATGCCTCGGCTCGGCTGGATCCAGTGCGGAGAAGCCAGGGTGACCGTTATAAAACGACTGTCAATCTCCCTGGATTGCTGCGGCATCGCGGTTTTCGGCAGTCCGAGTGGTCGTCAACTCCCGGCGATCCACCGGACCCTTGACGGGGCTATGATGAGCTGGTCTCTGGGGTCCCCACAATACCCCGGGTGCCCTTATCTGGCCCGCCGGCAGTTGAGTCAGGGCCTCGACCACCTGGACTGAGTCAATGACGAAGGCCCCATTCCGCGGGGTCAATATATTCCTGCTCAGCCCTGAAGTCCATCGTACGATTTTCGCATCATCAGAATCATGCCATCCATCCAGCCAACTCCGTACCCCGAGGACGCCTCCGGGAAGTCCCAGCCCGACTACATCGAAAAGACCGAACTGGGCCTCAGCGACGAGCCCGGCAGTACGCTCTCGCAACAACATAAGACCTACCTGTTGCAGCGACATGGCACGTTGGACCTCGATCCAGTCCCCAGTATGGATCCAGCGGATCCATACAACTGGCCATTATTCAAAGTGAGTGCGAACACTCCAGGTGTGGTCTAGCGGGACCGATCGCTGGCTGTAGCGGCTAACGAGACAGAAAATCATGAACCTCCTCCTGGTCGCTTTCCACGCTTGCATGGGCACTTTCACCGCCGCTGCAGTCATACCGGCCTACGAGGACATTGTGGCCGATCTTGGCGTTTCCCTCCAGCGCGCGAGCTACCTCACATCCCTTCAGATAGCCATCCTTGGCGGCGCCCCGTTGTTCTGGAAGCCCCTCTCCCACCGATTCGGACGTCGCCCAGTCTTCCTTCTCTCTCTGCTGCTCAGCTGTGTCTGCAATATCGGCTGCGCAAAGAGCCCCGACTATGCCTCCATGGCGGCGTGTCGGGCCTTGGTGGCGTTTTTCATCTCCCCCGCCATGGCCATCGGCAGCGCCGTCGTCACGGAGACGTTCTTCCGGCGCGAGCGCGCAAAGTACATGGGGATCTGGGCGGTGATGGTCACATTGGGTGTTCCCATAGGGCCTCTAATCTTTGGTTTCGTGACGCAGCGGGTGGGATACCGCTGGATCTACTGGACCCTGGCAATTGTACGTTCGGTTCAACATATAACCTGTCAGAACCTCCTTTGGAGATCCGACTGGAAAGTACTCAAACACTAACAATCTAGACCAACGGCGTCGAACTCATTCTCTACATCTTCTTCGGCCCCGAGACCCGTTATATCGGCGCTGAAACGACCTCCGCCTTCCGCCGCGAATACTTGACCCTCAAGCGAATCGACCCCTCCCCATTCCGCATCTCCGAGTTCTACCACCCCCTCACCTTAATCACCAACATCCCCGTTTCAATCGCCGCAGCCTCCTACGCAATGGTCTTCCTTTTCGCTTCCGTCATGAACTCCGTCGAGGTCCCCCAGCTCCTCCAGGTCAAATTCGGCCTCAACGCCGAACAACTCGGACTACAGTTCCTCGGCCTGATCATCGGCTCACTTCTCGGCGAACAGCTTGGCGGAGTTCTATCCGACACCTGGATGAACATTCGCGCAAAACGGATAGGTCACCGTCCGGAGCCGGAGTATCGCCTCTGGCTGAGTTATATCGGGTATCTCCTTACCATCGCAGGCATGGTTGTTTTTCTGGTATGTACGGAAAACGCGACGGAGGGGAAGTGGACCGTCTCTCCTGTTATCGGGACGGGCATCGCCGCGTTCGGGAATCAGGTCGTTACGACCGTCTTGATTACCTATGCCGTGGATACGTATCCTGTCGATGCGGGGAGTGTGGGCGTTTTTATTAACTTTGTGAGGTCGACCTGGGGGTTTATTGGGCCGTTTTGGTGCGTCCACCATCTTCATCATTGTCATCGGACATCGGCTAATGGGGGTTTCCAGGTTCCCGGATATGTTCGATAGCGTAGGTATCGCGAATAGCTCGGGTGTCGTCACGGCGTTGATCATGGGCGCGAGCTTTATTCCTACGGTTGTCCTTCAGTGGCAAGGTCGGAAGTGGAGGAAAGATGTCAGTTAGAAGCATGATAGTGACGCAGGTCATGATTGCTTCTGGAATGCGAAGGCCGTGTCTTTCGTCCTTCTCATCCTTTTCTTTACATTAGTCAACTTCAACTAACCGGAATACTTTAATCTCAGTACCTCCCTTCCCCTCTGAGCTCGACGTAGCCAATACAAGCCCATGGTAGTATTAGTAGTAGTAGTAGTAGTATTCATTAACCTGATATAGCCGGCCCATTGAGGCCCGCTGTACAGGTGTTCTCTCGACCCCAGAGATGAGGCTTTCCCTCGCCATATATATACATATACTGCCGCGAAGCATGGTGTTTACCCCCAGACCCCTCGCCACTAGCCTTTATATATATGAAAAAGCTTCACCTTGCCCCGAAGCCCCATTACCCCAGATACTAGTACAAAGTAAAGTCATACTTGGACTCTGCTCAGCCCCTTGTGTTTTGTCCCCTGACTACAAGCCCGACGGTCACGTGTTCGTCTTGCCTGTAGACAGTGCCGTTGTCTGCCTTAGGCAGTATGCAGGATGCTGGTCAACAGACAATTTTGATGATAACCAACTAACCCGATATTCTATAGATACAGTGTTTGGTGACTTGCAGAAATGGGTAGTCAGGAACCAGAAAGCAACCCTGTAGATGATCACATACTCAGAAAAACAATATCTATTTAGGTTTGGCCGAATAGAATAATGAATTGAATTCATGTAACGCGAATAAAAAGGTATCCTGACACCGTAGAGATATTATGCTCCTGCCATGAACCGGATATCCATAACGCCTAGTATTACTTCCTACCCAGTTGCTTAAGGGGGATGCATCCGCCCCCTCCGTCCGTCCGTCCATCCTAGTTATCTCTCCTAGTTATCCAACCAACTCAATCCCCAACACGGTACACCAGTCCCCCTCCCAGTGAACCAGTGAGAAGAAACCCCCTAATTAACCGTATTCAAACAATGACTCCTCACCAACCCGGTCCCCTCATCCTTCCTCGCCGTCACCGGCATCATCCCACAGTCATCCAGCACCCAGGTCAAAAAGCTCAACACCTCCAGATACGTCTCCCCGTTGGTCATCAACTCCACGGCGCGAATCCGCGGCGGCATCGTGAAATGCATATTACACACCAGCGGTCTCCGCTGACGGGATACCTTCTCGACCATGAAGCTTGTTTTGAATGACGAGGAGTTCGAGGCGAGGATGCAGTCTCGTGGTGTTTCTGCGTCGAGGGCGCCCATTACGTCCACTTTGAGCGGGAGTTGTTCTGGGACGGTTTCAATGGCCAGCCATGCGTTGGAGACTGCCCGGGTGAGGTCGTGGAACGTGTCGCATGCTCCTTCTTTGCGCGGGATTAGGATGTATCGCTCGTATTCGGGTTTGTGGGTCGAGATGTAGGTTAGGGAGTCGTTGCGCGCCCGGGAGGAGGGGTCGACGAGGTGTACTGTGTGGCCTGCTGCGGAGAAGACGCTCGCGATCCGTCGGCCCAAGACCCCCGCGCCGATTATGGCGATTGGCCGGGGGCCGCAGATGAGGGGGTTCCAGTTTGTGAGGGTGTGGTGGGGTAGGGGAGTTGGAGTCGGGGTTATGGTATGGGGTTGGAGGGAGTGGTGGGGTGGTTGGTGGATGAGGGTTGTGGATTGGGATGTTGCGGGCAGGAGGTGGGAGGGCGTAGTTTCATCTTGTGATCGTTGCGAGGTTGTGGGTTGAGTGTTGAGTGTTTGGGAGGGAACTGGTTCGGGCGTTGTGAAGTACGGAGGAGTTGATTGAGGCGTTGTGATATCGGAGGTGAGTTGCGGTGTTGCCAGTTGTGAGGCGATTGGGGGAGTCGGAAGCCGGTAGGATGGGGCTTGAGGCAGAGGTTGGATGGATGACGGTATGGGGGTTGCAGGTCGTAATGCCGGTGGTGAGAAGGCTAGCTCAGGTCTGTGCTCTAAATCGGAATGAGGCGTAGGACCAGGTGCGATCCCCTGGCGGTATTGGAGCGCTGTGGATGGGGTGTATATCGGCTGAAAGACCGGCTGTGGCGATATAATCTGGGTTGTCGACGAGGGGAAGCTTGTCACTGGAAGACAGGTTGGCTCAGGGGATAGCGACCAAGCGCTGCCAGGCTCAGGGCTGTCGGGATGCAGGGGACACGGATATGTTTCCATGCTGAATGATCTGTCTATATCTGATGCCACAAGTGCCTTGATAAGACACATGGCCGCGTCGCATCCTATATATACTCCGGCCGGCCAATGGTGATCCGGTTTCCCGCATATGAAGCAGGACCTCACACGGGCATAGTCGGGCTAGCATCCCGCGCTGATCCATCGTAGATTGTTCCTTGAAGGGGTATGCCGTGACATCATGCCTGGGATATGCTTCGCTCATGCCGAATCAGGGCATAGCAAGCGCCGAACCCTGATCAGGGATATAGTTCACGGGTAGGCTGATTGAGTTCAAAGGCTGGAAGGCTGCTCTTCCTGCCGCATTGGGCACCTGGATGTCTGTCGGTCTGGCCAGGGTACAGCACCTAGGAACATGGTTCCACAAAGTCTAACGGGGTTGCGGCAGGTTATTGTTGCTGTCCATGACAGAGCCTTGGATTTCTTGGAACCTTCTCGAAGATCTGTCAGCTGCAAATACCAGTGCTGATCGATAGGCCGATCTTTTTAAATCCACAGCTGCCCTTGTCATCCCTACCGGGGCCATGCAGGTTGCGACAGTTGTGCAACGGTCAACCTTCCCCGTGGCGTGCATCCCGGCGGCACCACTCCCAGGTAATTATCTCCACCAATCGAACAATCTTAGTAGCTTCGGCCGAACCACTTCTCAGTCTTGGGGTTGTCTGGGAAGGGAAACAGGTCGGTCGATCTGTGCGCCGCCACTGGCAGAGACTCCCGTGGGTTCTGTGAAGCGTTGGAATATTTACAGCCGATCGTCGTCGCAACCACTGAAGGCAGTTGCCAGCGTGTCGATCAGAAGGTAAACTGGACGTCATAGCATCGCCTTGTCTTCACTTTGACTACTCCGGCACCTAACTTGAGTTTCTCGACAACGCAACTGCATGTGCAACAATGACAAGGCGGCACGGGAAGGAGCCGGATGAAATTCTTGATCCAGGACGGTGGTAGCAGCAGCAGCAGTATCGATTTGAGTCTGGCGAGTCACAGACGAAGCCTGTGGCTCTAGGATAGACGTACCAGGCTATGGAGTTACGTACGTAAAGTGCGACCACAAAGACAGTTCAAGCCAATGTGGCACTTAGATCGGTGGGATATTTGCAGGTGTCATTCCGTAATAGGGAGCTCTTACTAGTTTTAGAAGTTCGCTGCATAGCAAGTCGAGGCCCCTAGGACCGGGTATACATTGCAGGCAGGTTCACCGCGCAGGGAAGCAAGGCCGGGGGGGGAGGCCAGTGGGTCAAAATCCAAGATCATGGTAGGTCGGTTGGTTGATTGGTTACACGGGGAGAAGAAACCTCCACCTGACCTCTGTTGGCCACCTCACAGTCGGAAGGCTTAACAGCTGATATCGTCCGGCACATTCTCACAATCCGAACTGGTTTTTCCTCCAGTGATATCAACGTCCGTCCAAGTCCAGTCCGTGCAGCTATCCGATCCGCAAAGAATGTAGATATTGGTGCCGGTGTCCTCGACCGTACCTACAACCCCGTCCAGGACGAAATCCGAGATGGTGACTCCGTTGGTCGGGCTTTCATCGGTGTCGTCATAGTTCTGCTCCACCACGATGCCGTAGTCGGTGATCTCGGACAGGGTGATCTCCTTGTAGGTGATTTCGCTGACGGTGCCGGTGTCGCCGTAGATTGTCTTGATGCGAACTCCTACTAGAATTAGCGGTTTCCAGCATATTGTGACAAAGGGGGTTGCCCACCATTCTGTGAGCTTTTGATCTCCGAATCATAGAATGTCACGTTCTTGACTGTGTTGTCGTCACGTCCGCCGACGGACCCGATGGAGAGACCATGTCCGCCAGAGCAGACACCACCAGAGAAGTAAATATTCTAGTATATCCGGTCAGTATCACGAGGTCAATAAATCTGGGAAACGTACCTCTCCCGAATTAATTGCCACACAATCGTCCTGGTTGTACACATTGGCCCCCGTGATGGTGACATACGTGCTCGACCCGATGTCAAACCCGTCGGTATTGGCGGCCCCCTCATCGTCACCATCAGTGTTGTCAATGGTAATGTCCTCCAGAGTGAGGTCCGTGGCCCCATCAATGCTGAAAACCTGCACCGGCGAGTTCTGGATGTAGATTCCGCTAATCAAGGAGGAGGTCAAGTCATGCGCGTAGAAGAACTTAGGCTTCGTCTTGCCGCCATCGCTTCCCTCACCGTCCCACCAACGGCTACCATCACCATTGAGATAAGCACCGGAGGCACCAGTCACGGTGATATCGGTTCCGGAGACGGAAACAAGAGGTCCATCCCATTCTTCGTAGCCGAAAGTGGTCTCGCCCTCAAAAATGACCTGTTTCTGTCAGTTTCTGCGACGTGCTCGGGTGCATATACCCACATAAGTCCCTTCATTCAGGTCCGTCAGGTCCAGGGTGACGCCCGACGGGACAGCCACGTCGGACAGAACGATGGTGGAACAGGAGGTTTTGGACTTGCTCGCGGAGGAGGCACCCTCGGAGCCGGAGAACGTGCAGCTGGTCGCCCGTTTTTCCAGGTCTTCGAGACTGGGGGCCGCAGTGACCAGGGGATCGGCGGGGACGGCACTGGCCACCGAGGCCCACAGGGCGAGACCCAGCGCAATCACCGAGCTAGGAGTCATGGTGGATAAAAAGCGAGTAGACTGTCGAGATGGAGACAAGCTTTGCTAACCTCTTGGCTTGTTCTTGGATGAGCTTTCTTGACATTGGCATTGCGTCTTATTTATAGCCTTGCCAGCCTCTACCGCATGAACATACCACCTCTCGGTGGTGGGATATCGCAAATGAATACGGATCAGGGTGCCGCAGCTCCGTCGGAAGAATTACCGTAGCGCACGGGATAATGTGATAGTTCCTGCATAAGCTTCGCATGGCTCTCTTCAGAGAACGCCACGCTATATTTCCCGTGTTTGACGCGCAATGGCTTTGTCGCCTTCGGGGAGGTCACTGCGATAAGTGGTGGGAAAACGACATCAGCGCACTGTACCTGAAGCGCCCGTTCGTGAGCGTGGCGCCGTGTCAATGTTGCTCTTATCCGGCGGGGGTACGACAGGGGCTCGATTTGGAGGCATCGCTTTTATCCTTCATCCCCCAGGGTACTGGTGGAGTTTGAGGGGAACGATCTCCGCAACAAAAGTGGGTGTAGGAAGCTTAATTCCCGTCTGAAGAAAACCCCCGAGTATATTCCCAGCCGATTGCCAGCAGCGGTGGGTCGATTGTCCTTTGCCAAACACCTGACCGAAACTTGTCCCCGTTAAAGGCAGCAGTTGGCCCCCTGGTCGGAGGTATGTCTCGAAGTGTTTAGATCGATGAAATTGGCTATATCGTACGGGACAACCAAAGATCTCCGATGATGGTGAATATTGCTGTTCGAAGGGCTATATTTTTGCCCGTTGCCGACCCGTCCCTAACACCAACTACTATGTATTTAGTTAGCCGTGAGTTAGTGCGGAGTAGCAGCTAGCATCACGTCACTAACTTAGTAGCCAGTGAGTAGCTCTGTGAGGCAACGGTGCTCGAGATGACACTGAGTGGAAATGAAAGGGCGGCTGGCGCGGAAGTGACCGGAAACCTGGTAAAGTTGGCCATGACAGGACTCGATGGTTTGATGTCGGGGTGTTGTCAAGTCAAAGACGCGTCGAGAGAAAGAAGGGACCAAGACGCATCTGCCGGATTTCGGCCTCAGGCTGTCTGGCGGGTTGCTCATCCAGAAAAGGGTCTGAGCATTCAAAGGAATTCCATGTGTATCTCTCTTCTTCGATTTGCAAAGCAATATTTTTCAATCATGGTACCCAATTCAGCAATGATAGTCGGGAATCAAGAAACCCGGGCAATATAATGGTGATAATGATGGTCACTGGAGGACTGCACTTAACATGGACACCTGAGGCAACATGCATGGTGCTGTCGGCTCTCGCTCCCTTAGTCCGGGAACCGACACTGACTGCCGGCTTGCGGCCTCAGGCCTCATACCGGCAAGGCCCACGAAGCCATCCGGCCTCGGCCATAGTGATGGCCTTGTGGCCTTGTGGCCTCAGGAAGGTGGATTGCCCTGCGGGAGAGCGGGCCAGATAGGGTGGCTCGCCCGCGGGATGGAGGCAGTCGGCCTCTTCCGCGGCCGGGGCTGCCCGCCGCCGACGAATGCGACAACTGCTATTAAAATCATCCTCCCCCCCCGCAATTATGCTGTCCCCCGAACCGCTTCTGGACGATTTGCATCATGGCCCCTACTGTTCACTCCCTACCTCCTCCTCCCGGCTCCGACATCGACTTCGGAGCCGTGATCGAGAACATCGACCTCGAGAACTTGACCGGTGAGTGCATCCAGCTGCACACCGACTGGATTGACCAACTGCAATTGTACTCAGGACTGACTCTCAATCCAATTCGGTAGATGACGACTTCACCATCATCCACAAAGCCCTCTACGAGAACCTCGTTGTCGTCGTGAAGAATCAACACCACCTTTCCCCCAAGGCCCAGTACGAGCTCACCCGGCGATTCGACCCCTCCGCCTCCCAGTACGGCCACGGCAAGACCATCGATGGGAAGCGCAGTATCCTGCACCCGGACCTCAAGACCGTCCCCCATCAACCCCAGGTCCAGGTCATCGGCCATGGCTTCGTTGAGTCCTACGAGGGCCTGTCCAACATCCAGCTGAAACACCCCCACCACCGCACCTTCCATCGCGACGCCATCCCCGACGAGGAGGACTACGACTTCACCCGTTTCTACCGGTGGCACATCGACGCCGCGCTCTACGATTTCTACCCCCCTCGCGTTACAACCCTGCTGGCGGTCCGTGTCCCCAAGGGCCGGAGACAGACTCTGCGGTACGATGACGGGTCGGACGAGACGTTGGATGTGCCTCTGGGAACCACCGCGTTCGTCAGCGGCGAGAGGATGTTCGACATGCTGTCGGAAGAGGACAAAGAGTTTGTCCTCAGCAGTCGCGTGGAATATGCGCCTCATCCGTATGTCCTGTCCCCAGCAATTCGTGATGTAAACTGACGAATTCAATAGCTACATCTGGATGAGCCCCGCGCGCGCCCTCCCTACAGGCCTCGGCCTCTACTCCGAGAACAAGGAACTACCCCCCTCGGAACTCCCCCCAATCGACGAGTCCAAGATCCAGGTCCTGCCGATGGTCTGGAAGAACCCTCTCACCGGCAAGCCCGCCCTCCAGATCCACCCCTCGGCCGTGCGCAAGATCCATCTCAAGGACGGCACGGTCATCGATGACCTGGCTCGGGTCCGGGCCATCGTGTACAAGCTGCAGCGCCCGGCCATCAGCCCCCCTCATGTGTACCCCCACGACTGGGAGGAGGGTGATCTGGTCCTGTTCCACAACCGCGGTGTGATCCACTCCGTGGTGGGCGCATTTGGCAAGGATGAGGTGCGGCTGTTCCGCCAGTGCAATCTCGCTGCGGGCGAGGCGCCTCTGGCGTATGAGTGAGCGTTCAGTTGGGATGAATGATACCTAGACCACATAGATTCCCCTAGATTCATGAATTATGATTGTTTTATTTAACATAAACTCGGCTCACTGCGAACAACTCTCAACGATGGTCATGTAGATGGACAGTCTGTTACCGCAAAGGGAGGCGGTGCTAGCAATGTGTAGCTTCGGGGTTCTGCCGCGATTTCTCGATTACTGAACAAAGTACTAGTACTTAGTACTAACCCCCTGTTACAGACAACAACACGGGTGTCAAGCCACTCACAAGCAAGCAAGTCGGCTTCGGACCACACCCCCAACCCATTCTATAGGCGGAATGAATCACTCAGTCTCCGAATCAAGCTTCTTGGACAGTTCGAGTTGACAGACAGTATAGTTCAGCTCCTTCCTGGAACGGCATCTCCCCGAACGCGACAAACAAGACCTTCCCTCCCGTGGATTCCTTCCCAATCAGGCTACCCACCCTCTGTGCCACGGCTCGCCTGGAGTTTAACCCAATCCGAATGCCCCCGCTCACCGACCTTGTTTATCATCTCTTTCTCGTTTTCTATAAAAGCGAGTTACATCATGACGGTACATACAACCACCGATCCTCAGATTTGCCTTGCTACCCCTCGCAGGTCAAACAGAAACGACCCTCTTGTTACATCTCGACCAGTCTGGAATCACCCCGGCAAGCCAGCCTCTCGTTGCGGGTGTTGCTAGACTGTCCAAGTTGCGGCACATGGCAATTTTCCATGATAGGCATGACCCACACGTGTATCGGTTCCGGAACGCGACGTCCGCATGGCCTACTCCCGGTGGATCTACAAGCACTCTACTATTATCCCCAATCGAGTACAGCAACACCGTTCAAGCCATACTTACATTATGCACATTTATAGCCCGCTAGCGGGACCTCATCATCATCAAACCCACTTTGAGGGCAACTGTATGTCCATGGACTGCGTTACAGCCCGTCTAATTATTATTACTATATATCAAGTCTAATTTTTGGTATCCACAGATCATCGATCATCGCTTTCGTCGTCTCATGTTCAATGCGCAAGTTCCTGCTTCCGTTAGCATACAGTCTGATACAGCACCGCTTGGTGAAGACTTACACTCGCCAGCTTACTCTTCGCGCGGATCTGAGGTCCGTAGAAGATCAAAATCCACGGGACAAGGGTGAGAGCAGCTCCCTATTCGTCGATTAGCACAATACATGTCGAGTAGGAGTGGTCAACGTACAATTCCACCCAGCAGACTCGAGGCCGCCGGAAACCCGAGGTTCGTGAACATCGCGTTGGTAACCAGGGGGAAGACGCCACCGAGTAGGTTTCGACCTGCGCAGGTTAGTTGATGTGTCTTTGATACCAATTCAAGCCACTTACAGCATGACTGGGCCGCAATGGCGGAACTGGCATAGCGATGATACGTATCCGCCAAATAGTTGAAGACAGCCAGGTACACGGCGAAGATCCCCATCGTGGCGCACCCGATGGCCAGTGTCGGCGAGATCCACGGGATGGAGGGGTACGAGGTCCATCCGAACCAGAATAGTCCGACCGGCATGAGGACCGCCTCGAAGCATACGAAGTACAGTCGCGCTTCGGGGGTCTTTGGGAGGAGCCCGTACCGGTTGGCGATCTTCTCTTGGTAGATGCTGATGATGGTGATCAGGATGGCGCCGACGCACATTGCTGGGTCTGTTAGCAATCATCCGGGTCCATATGGAGAGATCTTACAGGAGAAGACAGCTCCGGTTTGCTCAAGATTGAAGTTGTGGTTGGTCTCGAAGACCAGCGGGACGGAGCCAAACTGCAGGTACAGAACAGCCCAGCTGAAGGATACCCAGAGGGAGAAGAAGAAGACCACGGGCTCGGTGATGAGCATGTCTGATGAGGTTAGAGTAAAATTCATGTGAGGGATGCGGAATACGCACGGAAAGGCCGGTAGCAGGATATGCTGATCATCTGCATGAGAGACTCCCGCTGCTCATCGCTCTTCACCTTCCATCGGATCCGTTTGGCCTCGTTCTTCTCTCCCATGATCACACCAAAGTGGCCTGCTTCCTCGAGCTGGTCATAATACTTGTTCAGGGCCGTGGCCTTTCGACTAAGCAACACGCTGCCTCGGGTCTCCTTGAAGAAGAAATATATGATAATCACGAAAACAGCCGAGACGATGGCGTGGGACCAATACACCCAACGCCAGCTGGTGCGAGTCACAATCACACTCGAGATCAGCGGTGCCAGGCCGGTCCCGAAGAGAGCTGCACCCGAGAACAACGCCATGGGGGTGTTGCGGTCATCCGCATGGAAGATATCGCTAATAACGCCGCCGACCATGGTCGAGAACGTCGAAGCACCCACGCCCTGGAGCAGGCGCGCGATGAGCAATCCGGCGAATACATGCGTGCCTCCGCACGCAATGATACAAGAAGTGAACAAAACCCCACTCGCGACAAAAATCGGCCGCCGCCCGTTGATTTCGGAGAATGGGGCCAGCACCATGGGTGCCAGCGCAAAGCCAATACAGAAGATCGTGATGCCTAGGTTGAACACCACGGAGCTGATCCCCCACTCAGCCGTAAGCAGCGACGAGGCCGCATTGTCCTCGCCGGCCGAGTAACCCGCCAAGGCCGTCACCCCGCACGCTATCCAGGTCATCATCCACTTGCGCCATTTCGGCCACAGGAACGGGGAGGTGTACTGTTCGAGACTCGGGGCGTCGGGGGGCGGCGACTGTCCGGGGCCCGGGGGCGCGGTGATCAGGGGGGTCGGGAGGGGTGTCTCGAGTTCGAGGTAAAGGTATTCGATGTCTTGCGCTGAGATATCTTTCTGCTGCCCGAGGATCTGAGGGTGGGGGTTCGGGATTCCCGACTCGGGAGAGTAGACGGTGTCTGCTGAGCCCGACTCACTCGGGGGAGGAACGTCGTGGATATGCATCCCGCGTCGAACAGGCCCTACTGGCGCCGTGAGGAATCGAATTGCCGAAAAAACGGACAGGCTCTCTCAGTGGAATTGTTTGGGTCATCTGCCGCAGGGACGGTGCGGTTTATAATAAAGAGGCTGACCTAGCGTCGCCCTGGGCGGGAATTTAGTGCCGAGGGGGGAGGAAATTGGAGAAACGAGGAATCCATTCTTGTCCGGCCCGCGACGTCGGTACGTAGAATTAGATTAACGCACGGGTGGATTATTCATGAGGCTCCTCTTGTAGATCTCGTCGAGATTTGTGTCAACGTTATCGTCGCCACCCGGGCTTCCCCCCGTGGCTATGGCCGATTCGGTTCGGCTGCTGCCCTCCCACTAACTAGAAGACTCTCTCTTTCAGTACGTACTATAGTCTTCAACGCTCAGGGTACGACCTAGAGCCTATCCCCTCTAGATTCCGCCAGCAGAAAGACAACCCCGACTCGTAAACAGTAAAACTGTAAACACGAACCCTGGTCTGGTCTGTGAGGAGGAGACTTGCAATTAGTGTACGGATGCATTCCGAGCCGGCCCCAAAAATGGCGGGAAGCAAAAACCCAGCGACTACTCCGTATCTCGAAAGCAAAGCCCGGGAATTCCCCTCCCCCACTGTCGCTTTCTCCAATTTGGAGATGTGCCCTAATTGCTAACCCTGACCAGTTATGCACTAGGTTGGTTACGGACTAGTGGGTACCAAGTTAGTGGGCTGCGGGATAGATAACTACTTACCGGTTACGGCTACGGCTACGGCTAACTACTGTGATCTGACTCATCCGAGCCCAGCCCGCCACGCTGACGTTTCCGGTCGGGTGTAAAAGTTAAACAAGGGTTGGGGAATGGGGATGGGGATTCGGGGAAGTGGATGATGAGTCTTAAGCTCACGCCCTACGGTATAGCATGGCTGGATGCTCGGTGCTCTGCTGCGTCGCGGATTCGCGGAGGAGATCAGTTGGATACGTACGGCCCAAGCGCTTATCGCTCTCGGGGAGGGGGTTGAAACTCCGGGGTGGGTGGGTGAGTATGTTCATGTTGATGTTCATGAAAACTTCAACCCCTCAATGAACTGGTGGAGTACCTGTCTATATGACGAGTCTACAGATGTTGGAAGTCGCCCGGTACCCCCCCCCCTAGACTAAAAGGTGTCTCGACATCCTTTCTAGTCATAAAGGTGCACTAGGTAAAACAACAGAGTATAGGCCAGACTGATGCATTCCGGGCTGTTTTTTATCGTGTACTGTAGGTGGGAGTATGAGATGCAATGAGATCTCGTTGACTCAAGCTGAATGATCAATCCACTGATGGATGAGCACGTCAATCCTCTGAAAATGAATCTGTCTATTTGCGGAGTACAGGATTTCTTCCCCGAGTACTTTGTAGTGAGTCATGTGTCAGATGTAAGCTGTACGAGCTATGGGATTTGGGAAGAAATCCCTGAGTCATGAGTCAGATCTGACATGTTCAAAGTACCATATCTCGGGGTTTATCGAGTCATGAAAACTGCGGTTGTTTGTCCAAGCTATCTCTCCCTCTCTCTCTCTCTAGTATATAGGTGTATACTTCCACATCTGTCCTCGGGTAGGTAGATAAGTAGCATGCATGCACTCCAACTGCATCCGTACCTTGGAAAAATTCGATAAAGAAGAAACTCTGTCTCTGTCTACTTCTGTCGCCGTGCGAACTTGCGGTAAACACAACCATGCGCAGGTTTATACAGGGTTGGGCACCCGTTTGCTTTCTATGCTGACGCGGCTAGAATGAATCGAAGCGCTTTCCGCGGGTAGTTACTGGATACTGTCTACGTGGGAAGTAAATTGTGGACAGGTTGTTGTAGAGTGGCTAACGGCCAGGTCAGGTCAGGTTAATTAGAATTTTTATACCTAACCGCCAGGTTATGATTAGGTTAAGAAAATTTTTATATCTGACCGCGGTATAGCTAAAAATCAGGCGGTTAATTATCTTAATTATTCTTAATATTAAGATCTATCTGCTATATTTTTTTAAGCTTTAGTATAATTAAGATATACTTAGATTAAATAGTTATTAATCTGGCTATTTTTATTATTGTCTAAAAATATATAAAAAGAAGCTTTTTAGATTAAAAAAATATAACTAAGAAAGAAATTAGTATCTTTTTTATTATTATTTATTAAAAATAATAAGAAAATTCTAGTTATATTAATAAAATTCAGCTTTTTATAAAATTATTATTTTTATAGTAAGAAATATATATAAAGATATATAATTACTACTCTGTTTTAATTGTATATTTTAATTATATTATAAAACACTAGAAAAACTATATATTAATTATTAATTAAAATACTAAGAATAAATATATTACTTCTATTTTACTATTTCTTCTGGATCAGACTATTCTTAGATTTATAAATAAAATATAGCTTGAAGAGTTATTAACAGAATTAGAAACTAACAGGCAGTTAAGAAGATTATAAATAGTCAGATTATTAGAATAGAGCGGGTTAAACAGGTTAAACAGATTAAATAGATAGAATAAATAAATAAAATATATTAGATCTGTATTATAATATTATAGCTCTTATAAAAGATTTTATAAAAGTCTTTTATAGATTTTTTTTATAAATATCTATTTTTTATTCTAGTTTATTATATCTTAAGCAGCTCTATTTAAGAGAAGAGATTATTTTATAATTCTAGACTCTAGATATAAATTTCTGCTTATTAGATTTATTAAAATAAATAAAATACAGCAGGCATCTCAGCTGTATATTAAAATATAATAGATTATATTTATATAAAGTTATATTTTAAAATAAAATAAACTATTTTTGCAGAGTTTTCTGCTTTTATTTTTTTATATTTATTATTTATAGAACAGCTTCAGAATTATAAGTTAATTATAATTATTTAATTTATTTTTAAAGAATATTATTAAGCCTTTTTCTTCTGTTTTTTAGATCTTTATTAGAGTGGCTAACGGCCAGGTCAGGTCAGGTTAATTGGAATTTTTATACCTAACCGCCAGGTTATGGTCAGGTTAAGGAAATTTTTATACCTGACCGCGGTATAGCTAAAAACCGGGCGGTTAACCGTCTTAACCGTTCTTGGCGCCAAGACCTACCCGCTATACCTTTTTAAGCTCTAGCACGGTTAAGGTATACCCAGGTTAAACGGTTATTAACCTGGCCATCTTCACCGTCGCCTAAAAGTATATAAAAAGAAGCTTTTTAGATTAAAAAAATATAACTGAGAAAGAAATTAGTATCTTCTTTATCACTATTCATCGGAAATAATAAGGAAATCCTAGTTGTGTTGATAAAATTCAGCTTTTTATAAAATTATTGTTCTTACAGCGAGAAACATGTGTAAAGATATATAATTACCGCTCCGTTTTAGCCGTACACCTTAATCATATCATAGAACACTAGAAAAACCATATATTAACTACTAATTAGAATACTGGGAATAAATATACTGCTTCTATTCTACTATTTCCCCTGGGTCAGGCTATCCTCAGGTTCATAGACAAGATGTAGCTCGAAGAGCTACCAACAGGATCAGGAACTGGCAGGCAGTTAAGGAGGTTGCGGACAGTCGGGTTGTTGGGGTAGAGCGGGTCAAACAGGTCAAACAGGTCAAACAGGTCAAACAGGTCGAACGGGTAGAACAGGTAAACAGGGTACACTAGGTCTGCACTGTGATACTACAGCTCTTATAGAAGATCCTGTAAAAGCCTTTTGCAGACCTCTCCTATGAATATCTACTTTCTACCCTAGTCTATTATGCCTTAAGCAGCTCTGTTTAAGAGAAGGGACTATTCTATAACTCTGGGCTCCAGATATGAATTCCTGGTTGCTAGGCCTACTGAAATGAATAAGATACGGCGGGCGCCTCAGCTGCATGTTAAAATATGATAGATCACATTTACGCGAAGTCGTGTCTTGAAGCAAAACAAACTGCCTTTGCAGAGTTTTCTGCTTCTATCTTTCTATATCTATTATTTGCAGAACAGCTTCAGAATCATGAGTCAATTGCAGTCATCTGGTTTATTTTCAGAGAATACTATCGAGCCTTCTTCTTCCGTTTCTCAGACCTTTACAAACCATGATAATGCCCAAACTGAGATAAGCTTCTCAAGTCAGATCTTTCCTCCTCCCCCAAATCTCGAGATTACACGCGTCGCGAAGAATCGGAAGATTGTCCCATATCCAGCTCTCGTCGAGACGTGCGAAGAACTTAAGGCATATCTAGATATTGAAGGTATGTAGCTTCTTAAGACATCTTCGATCGAACTAATACGATTCCAGGTACTACAGGGCATACTGATATTCTTGCTTACTGGAAGTCCCGCCGTGATCAGTTTCCTATTCTCTACCAGATAGCTAGAGATTTCCTCTCGGTCGCAACCAATGGTGTCAGTGTTGAACGTCTTTTCAACAGTTCTCGAGATATCTGCCACTATCGCCGGAGCCGTCTCGATCCTGATATAATTGAAGCAGTTATGCTTCAAATGTGTATCGATTGTTTTACTATAAGTGAGGAGTATCAGGATATGCTTGATGATCTCAATCCAGATTCGATCATCTTTACACCCAAGGAGCAAGAGGAGGATGAGGTGATTACTACCTTCTATATTAGTGAGAATGAGGATATAGATGATCTTGAAGATGACCCAGAGGATGGGTTATTATCAGAATTAGGAGAACTAGCCTTACCTGAGTCTTCGACTATCACACGTACTCAGGTAGAGATAGAGACCCGGCCTTTACAATTCCTACGCCATCATGATCACCGTCCCGGACAGTATAAAGAATAAATATTCTGTATCTTTTCTTATTTCTTCTATACTAGGTTCTGTAAAAGCCTTTTCCAGAGTGTAGTATACCTCTTAAGGCGACCGGTTGAGCAGGTCGAGCAGTAGGCTATATCTAAAGAATATTACTATGTCTATACTGTAATTAAATATATATTACACTTTGTATATTATCTATGTAAGAAGGATGTATATATTACGAATTAACCTGCGGTTATTAACCTACCTGCTATACCTGACCTTCCTGACCGGCAGGTATAAACGGTTATAGTGACGGTTGTACCTTAACCTGACCTTAACCGTACGGTTAAAAATTTTTTATACCTTAACCTGACCGCCAGGTTATGGCCAGGTTAAGGTTAAGGTATAACGGTCAGGTTAAGCCACTCTAGATTATTCTATATTTAGCTCTCTAAAAAAAGCTCTTTATTTTTTAGAATTAATAATAGAAGATAATTTTTTTTAAAGATTATATATAAACTAAAAAACCGCTATTTTATTTTAATCAGAAAAAATTATTAATAATATAGAACAGTTTTTAGAAAGATATATTATTTTCTAATAAAATCTCTTATATCTATTATATTATATATTTTTATATCTTATAATACTTAGAAATTAAAAACTCAGAAACTAGTTCTATAAGCTATTATCTTTATAAGAATTATAAGAAGAAATTATTATTAGTTATATCTAAATAAATAATTAGTTAGATACTGAGTAAAGGGCTATTACAGATATTTATTTATTCTTTTAAGATAAATCTTTTTTAATTATTATTTTTCTCTAGACTTTTATAATTTATAATAAACAGGATTTTCAGAATTAAGTTTTATACTTTATAATTATTTATTATCTATTATTTCAAACTGTTAAGTATATTTAATTTAAATAGATAATTAATCTTGCTGTTTTATTTTTCTACCGAAAATTAAGTTCTTTTAATTAAATATAAATTAAAAAATATTTTATAAAACTATCTAAAGAAATATATATACAGCTGCTATTAAAGTTTCTAAATATTAGATAGATATTAATTATAATAGATTATTAAATTAGTTTTAATTAGAAAATATTTCTTAATTTAATTAAATACTTCTTAATAAAAGATATAAACTATTATAAGATTTTACTAGACTTCTGATTAATATCTAAATCTTATATTAATAAGAATCTAGCTATAATTATTCTATCAGTCTTATATAAATATAATCTTGTCTATTAATTATTAAATATAATAACTAATAATATTAATAATAATAATATAATATTTAATATAATCTCAGCTGAACTTCGAACTTAACTTAGCTAGAGTATTTAGTTTTATAATATTCTAGTTAATTTTAATTTTTTAAAGATTATTTAAAATTAGTATTATATTCTCTGTTTTATTTATATAATTTAGTTTATAATTAATACTCTTCTGCGGAAACTTTAGATTAAGGCCTTAAACAGTACTATTAAATATATATAAAAAAATAATAATAGAAGTTTTAAAATCTCTTTTAATATTTTAAGAATTCTTGAGAAAATATATTCTAAAAATTATCTATAAAAGACTAATACAGAATCTTTTTTTATAAAGAGCTTCTAGAAGTCTTCTATCAGCTAGTTTATTATATTAATTCTTAATTATAGATTTAAAAGATTATATAATTTATAAATACAAGTTCTTAATATTATAAGAAGTTTTTATTTACTTAATAATTTAAATCTAGCTTAGTTTATTATTTTTTTCTTAACTATAAAACCTGCTGGAACTTAATCTATCTTATAATTTATTAGATACTTAAACTCTATTAAGCAATTAAAAGTTTTATTTAGTATTATAAATATAATAATATTAATTATCTTTGTTTTATTATAATAAAATAAAAATAAATAAAATATCTTCTTAAGCTTTTATATCTCTTTTTTTTTTTATTTTCTATCTCTCTGAAAATAGTGGGTCTATTATTTATAAAATTTATAATATTTATAACAATCTCTTTAATTATCTGGATTATTTAATTAATAGACTAAAAAGAAAATAAATATTCTGAAAGAAGAAGATTCTTAAGAGCTTGTATAATATATATTAAAAGCTCTAAAAATATTATTATTATATTTATTAGACAGAAGACTATATTTATATAATTATAATTATTCTAGATCTAATATTAAAGCTTAAAAAGTTTAAGAAAAATATATAGCTGAATAAGAATATTAATTAATATTATAAATATTAAATTATTTTTAAGAAAATATTCTCTTTCTATTTTAGTTAAAATCTAATAATTAATATATTATTAATAGTCTTTGAGTTATTATTAGATCTGGATAAGATCTTTTATAATATTTTTAAATATTAGAGATCCTCACCCGCAGTTGAGATATATAAAGAACTTAAGATATATTTAGATATTAAAGATATATAGTTTCTTAAGATATCTTTAATTAAACTAATATAATTCTAGATACTACAGAGTATATTAATATTCTTATTTATTAAAAATTTTATTATAATTAGTTTTCTATTCTTTATTAAATAATTAAAGATTTTCTTTTAATTATAATTAATAATATCAGTATTAAATATTTTTTTAATAGTTTTTAAAATATCTGTTACTATTATTAGAACTATCTTAATTCTAATATAATTAAAGCAGTTATACTTTAAATATATATTAATTATTTTATTATAAGTAAGAAATATCAGAATATATTTAATAATCTTAATTCAGATTTAATTATTTTTATATCTAAAAAATAAAAAAAGAATAAGATAATTACTATTTTTATATTAGTAAAAATAAGAATATAAATAATCTTGAAGATAATTCAGAGAATAAATTATTATTAAAATTAGAAGAACTAGTCTTATCTAAGTTTTTAATTATTATATATACTTAGATAAAGATAGAGACCCGATCTTTATAATTTCTATATTATTATAATTATTATTCTAAACAGTATAAAAAATAAATATTTTATATTTTTTTTTATTTCTTTTATATTAGATTTTATAAAAGTCTTTTTTAGAGTATAGTATATTTCTTAATATAATTAATTAAGTAGATTAAGCAGTAGACTATATCTAAAGAATATTATTATATTTATACTGTAATTAAATATATATTATACTTTATATATTATTTATATAAAAAGAATATATATATTATAAATTAATCTATAATTATTAATTTATCTACTATATCTAATCTTTCTAATTAATAGATATAAATAGTTATAGTAACAGTTATATCTTAATCTGATCTTAACTATATAATTAAAAATTTTTTATATCTTAACCTGACCGCCAGGTTATGGCCAGGTTAAGATTAAGATATAACAGTCAGGTTAAGCCACTCTAGGTTGTTGGAAGCCAAGCTACAGGGATTATCAGGTCAGATTGGAATCGCGTGGTCTGCTCCAGCTCTTTCAGATCCTTTCTATCTGTAGTTCTACCACGCAGGGATTGGCATCTCCAGGCGTTCCGCCATCTCACGAGTATTCAGCCCACATGGGAAAGCTGATGGGCTGCAGTTGATGTAGCATAGGTCTCTGCTTGAGATAAGGATATATATTTCCGAGGCTAGCCATTTCTCGGCCGAGAAGGTGGGAAAGATGGTTGTTAGTGCAGAGAACCAGAGTGCACTAGACAGTAGTAAGATATGTCAACAGGGGTAGGAAGATGCACTGTAGAGGATGTAATGTGCTGGAGAAGTAGTAGTGGCACATTTCTTTCTACTGTACTCCGTACCCTCGTGTCCCTCCCGATGCGGAAAGCGCCCCGGGATTCAGGCCGGGCTTGGCGGCCTGGCGCCGATCGAGGCCGCGATCGGTCAGCATCGCCACGAGCACATCACAATTACAATCCCCTCCCGTCGCACAATCATCTGGACCTGTCTGTCCGTCGAGCAGTGCTCCCGGCATGGTTAAACCCCTCAAGCAGTACCAGTGCGAACGATGCTCCCGAACCTTTGCGCGGTTGGAACATCTCCAGCGTCATGACCGGTCGCGTACGATCCCCGATCCCCGCTCGCATGATTCGGGGAATCCTGCTAACCCCAATTCCAGACACCAAAGAGAAGCCGTATCTCTGCGATCAATGCCCCAAGTCGTTCACTCGCAAGTACGCGTCCATCAGCCAATGGTATTTTGCCTCCACTGAGATCTGTACTGAGTCACCCCGATATCTAGAGATCTCCTGGCTCGCCATGAGCGCCTCGCCCATGGTGCCGCGCCCGCACACGGACCAGCATCGTCGCCAGCTTCGGCCTCCCCACAGGTCCAGTTCGAGGGATTGAATGTCCTGGCTTCAGCGGTCACCGACCATCCCTCTTCCGCCTCTACTTCCACCCTGCCAGGGACCCAGCCTTTACTCCCCGGCCCTCCTGGGCCTTACCCTCCCCAGTTGGCACCCACAGTGGGCCATCCGATAGCGACCCCAAACCCGCCAGGCCCAGGGCCTCCGGTACCAACTGGCTTCAGTGAACCCTTTGTGGGATACGGACCAGTCACTTCTTACGATGGAGACGATTTCACGACCTTTCTAGACAGCATCCCCCTCCCCAGTCACCCCTTCTCCCCGACCTACCAACCACTCCCTCTCTTTCCCGCCTTTCACTTCGACTCGACATCCGAGTACAGCCAGCCCGTCGAAAAGGCCAGCACCGACGTCGAAACCCCCTCCAGCTCGATTCTCCCCAGACATGGGACCCAGCTACCATCGCTCCAGCCTGAAGGGGCCCACGTCCCTTACAAATCCCGCGACCCGGGCGCTCACATCTCCCTCACGGCGCAATGTCGCGATCGCATCATCGCAACGTTACCAGAATACGCCAACGTCATCTCCCACCCCTACTCCCCATCCCGACACGCCCTGTCAAGGTTCCTTGGTGGATACATGACCAACTTCCACTACCACTACCCGTTCATGCACGTCCCAACCCTGGACCTGGATTCCATGCCGCTCCATCTGATCTTTGCCATGGCTGCCGTGGGCGCCCAGTACTGTCGCGAACCCGAAGCCAGCATGAGCCTATACAAAGTGGCCAAAGCCGTTACCCTCGAACACATCCGCAGAGACCTCCAGTGGGGCTGTATCAGCCCCAAAGCACAGGGCCCGGTCGATCCGGCCGCTAGGAGTCAGGACATCATCGAATCCGTGCAGGCGCTCTTACTCCTCATCTCCGTCTCGTGCTGGTTCGAACGAGACCCCCCTCACTACGAAGCACTGTACATCCGCAGCTTCATGGAAACCCTCCTTCGTCAAGGAGGCCTCAACGATCTCCCCCCACAGGACGGGTCATGGGAAAGCTGGATCCGCAACGAGATGTTCAAGCGGACCAAACTCATCGTCTTCTGCTTCTTCAGTGTCCACACCATCGTGTTCGACATCCCCCCGCTGATCCTGACCGAGGAACTCGCGCTCGATCTCCCCTGCACGGAGAAAGAATGGACCGCCACCACCGCAGGCGAATGGCGCGAGGAGCGCAGCCGCAACCAAAGCCGCGGCGAACTCAAGCTCCAAGACGCCCTCAACTCCCTCTTCACCCCCTCCCAGTCCGCCAAAAACAGCCTAGACTCCTTCTCCTCCATGGGCGGATACGTGCTCATCCACGCCATGATCCAGAACATCTGGCTCATCCAGAAGGCGAGCCGTCTCCCCGTCTCCAACGGCAGCTTCCTCTCCCCGTCCGTCATCACATCCCTCGAACAAGCCCTCGAACACTGGTGTCAATGCTGGGAACATAACCAGGAATCCTCCATCGACCCATTCAACCCCCACGGCCCGCTATCGTTTACATCCACCGCCCTCCTCCGACTCGCTTACATCCGCCTCAACGCCGACTTCAGCTCCGCCCGCCGCCTCGAGACCTGGAACCCAGATATAATCGCCCGGTCGCTCCGCGACAACCTCTCCGTCCAGCGCAGCGACCGTCTCACTCGCGCTGCACTTCACTGCGCCCACGCCCTCAGCACCCCCATCAAACTAGGCATCAACTACGTCGCTCGCACCCTCGTCGTCTCCTGGTCTAACCAGTACGCTCTCTGCTCGCTCGAATGCGCCGTCCTACTAGCCAAATGGCTCGAGGTGGCCACCGTCTCCAACCCAGCCCCGGGTCTGACCGAGCAGGAAAGTAAACTCCTCGAATTCGTCCTCGAGATGGTCATGGAGGCTCAACATGGTGTTTCGCGCGACTGGTTGCTCGCTAACAATACTCGACTTAGTGCGACTGTTACAAGGCTGTGGGCGAGGCTGTTCACCGCGGATTATATCTGGCAGTTGGTTAATCTGATTGGGAGGTCGTTGAATCGGTATGCTGATATTTTGGAGGCGGATGGGTAGTGGATATATACTATACTTGGTTAGGTTAGGTTAGGTAGCCGGTTGGCCGGTTGGCCGGTTGACTGGTTGGGGGATGCTTGTTTTGTATAGGTGTTCTCGATACCCTGTCTTACAGACATTGATTGATTGGTGGTTGTGGTCGTGGCTGTGATTATGGGGAGAGATTGCTGCCCGACAATAGCGGTCAGTTTACATCCCCCGTTCATGGCTGCAGTCTCTGTACCTTCCCTGTTCGGACATAACTAGCTGCAATGCACCTACGTACCTCTCAGCAGTATATTTCATGCGAATGGTTTGCGGGGAAAGCCCAAGCATAAGGCGTATCAGACCATTTAAGGCGTGTCATGTTGCACGAGGGCTGTGCTGCGTAATCATGAGTAAATCATTTCTGAAGTAGTAACTATACTATCCAGCATCTAGCGTACCTGGAATTTCCCCGACGAGACATGAGCGTAAATGACGCATAAAAAAAAACTTGCATTCTATCCAATCTATCAACAGTAACTAACTAACCTATTTATGTATCGGTATCGATATCGGGTTCTAGCAACAATGGCCGTAACATTGAAATATCGAATGATCCAGCTACACTTTAGCGTTCACCTCATTCTAAAGAGAAGCAGCGTAATCCTCCAACACCGCCTCAGACACCTTCAGCGCCATTCCGTAAAACACCGTCATGACGTGCGCGGACACCTGAGTCGGCGGGATCGAGCCATCAATCACGCGCAGCCCTTGCACGCCGTACACCCGCGCCGTGGAGTCAACCACACCACCCAGCTCCTTAGGCATCATAGAGCAAGTGCCCACGCCGTGATAGTTAGGACGGAAGTTATACCGGATGTACTCGGCCCAGTCGTCCAATCCGGCGTCGTAGGCCAGGTTATCGCCCGGGACGTCCTCGCCGGCGAAGTAGGTCTGCATTTCGCCGGAGTTGGAGAGCTCGCGGGCCAGCTTGCAGGCTGCGGCTTGGCCGAGGAGGTCGAGCTCGTTGAGCAGGTACTGCGGGTTGTAGGCGTAGCGGTGCAGATACGGGTCCTTGTCGAGGATGTGCACGTACCCGCGGGTGAACGGGAGGAGGTCCCACACGGTGAAGCTGATGGAGCCGGCGGTGTCGAGAAAGAGTTCCGAGTAGGCGACGTCGTGGGTCACGATCCAGTCGCGGTAGTTCTCGTATTGGATGGTCAGGGCGGTGACGTTGTGGAAGCCGCCGCGGGAGACGGTCTCCGAGGCCCACTGGGCTAGTTTGGTGTTGAGAAGCTCGTGCGCTTGGGGTGCGTAGTCGCCGAAGGTTTCGTTGAAGGTCGCGAAGTACGCGGCCTGGCCTTGCCCATCTCCTGCGGATGTGATGCGCGATGTGACCGGAGTGGTGGTTTGGTCTTGCAGGTTCAGGCCGACGGGGAGGTCCACGATGGTTTCGATGCCGACGCTGTCGAGGATGGATTTCATGCCGATACCGGAGTATTCAAGAATGAGGGGAGAGACGGTCGATCCGGCTGCCAGGAGGACCTCGTGATTGGCGTACACGTTGTATTTGGTGTTGTTGTGGGTGCCGAATTCCACGCCCACGGCCTGCGGGGTCTCGCCCGTCTGGTCCAGCAGGACCTTTCCGACACGCTGTCCGGTCAGGACCTGGAGGTTGGGTCTTTGGAAGTTGGGGAGAAGCCATTCGCGCGCGGCGTCAGAGCGGGTTTGCTCTTCGTTCAACGAGTTGGGAAACATGGAGACGCCGTGCGGGTTGCCGCATGAGAGGTCCTGCTGGATGGGAACGCCTTGGTCCTGCACGGTGCTCATGAGTGCTTTCATGATCGGAGAGTAAGACTCTCCCGTATCACGGGGCCCTGCATGGACAGAACCGTTTTGGCCATGGCAAGAGGGGTCGAAATAATGGCCAGCCGCGATTTGCTTCTCGTTGGGTGCGCGGACGGTCTCAACCTGGTGAGAGTAGGCCACCAGGGTATCCCAGTTCCAGCCATCGTTTCCGAAGACGCTCTCCCAGGAGTCGATCTGAGCCTTGTGAGGACGTGTCCATGTTCCACCGTTAACTAAGGTTGAGCCACCAAGCCCGTTACCAGACCGGATCACTTCAGTTCGGTTATTGGTGGCTAGCTCGACTGTCTCGTAAGCGTGGTCGACAGTGGTGCCGAAGATGTCCCCGTAGGTGTTCAAGTCTTCGATAATTGGACCGCGCTCAGACTCGTAGAACCCAGTCTCGATGACGAGGACCGTGATATTTGGGTTCTCCGAGAGACGGGCCGCGGCTGTCAACCCTGTCAAACCTCCACCAGCAATGATGTAGTCGACCGTGTGTTCGGCCACCTTCGAGGGATCCGTCAGGAGGTTTGCTTCAAGGAGACTGCGTCTTGCATAATGAGGCAGGGCAGAAACTGCAGAAATGAGGAACGAGTTGAAGATGAGAGACCTCATGATGAACAAATGATGAAGACGATGAACCGGGTGTGATGAGAGGATACAGAGTGGCGAGATGGCGCTATATATACCTCATTCTCGCGGTCGAGACTCATCTTTTTCATGTTTCTGTCGCCCCTGATGCGAAATCATTCTGATAGAGGCTGTACATCGCATACACAGTCTCAGCCACATTGATCCGAGGCATCGTGTAGGCAGCCTGAATGGTAGTCAGAGGATCTAGCTCCGTGGAACGAAGGATTGGCATCCTGGGCAGCCATTACGATAATGTGCATCATGCTAACAGCAACCCTGGCATGTCTGAATGGCTGTCGATAATTGGATTCATGCAAGATGATGTTCCAACGAACACCCAGTGCATATCAGCTTGGCGCCAAGGTCGGATTCCGGGATGCCGACCTCGTCGAGGGGCATTTCCCGATAGGTTCTCCGGTAAGTTCCTACCAAGTGCAGAACCATAAGGGTCCTCCTGGTCGCAGACGGCTTCGGAGATGGTTGGTTCGCCGTTCGAAAAAGCCGATCGAGTTTGTGCGCCAGTTGACAGGTGACAGGGGCGTCACCGGCCCGTTTCACAACCATGTAACGAAGCATGAACAAGTGACAGCCATCATATTGTCGCCTGCCGATGTTGGGATAGTATTTCTTCAGATATCTGCATAGTAGCCTGAACGATCTGCCGTCCGTCAGTCGGAACCGTGGTTGCTGCTGATCACGGCATGTGGGCCAAGATTGGACCCGAGACTAGGGTATTGGCGCCCAGAAAGCCCGCCGTGGGATGGCAGGGTATCGCCCAATGAGAACGGCCTCTGCTTTCATGAGAAGGCACTATATCGGTATAGACATCCTGCCAAGTGATGATCCATGCAAGGCAGTAAAGACCAGCACACAATCAACTAGTGCAGGCGATTATATCATCCAAGGTTCTGGACCTTCTGCTTGCAAATCTCCTCAGTCCCCTCAATCATCTCGTTACCAATCTCGCCACATCCAGACAACCGGATCCAACACACCTGGCGTATCTTCACGAAGTCTTCATAAGCCGGGTTCGGAGTACTCTGAAATCTGCCAGTATACGCTATCATCTTCCAAAAGTACCCAGTGCCTAAAATGAAACCATCCATCATACCCCTCATTTTTGGGACCACGGCTGTGGCATCCAGACTCTATGCTGCCTCCTATGCAGGCACCGTGACGACCCTCTCCTTGACTAAGTCTCAGGGGGGTGCTGAGTTGACCACTCTCGCTCAATCGACCGACTGCGGCATCAATCCTTCGTGGCTGATGCTGGACCAAGACCACCGTGTTTTGTACTGCCTTGACGAGGCTGTGGATGAGAGCAATGGTACTTTGACCTCGTTCGCAGTCAATGCCAACGGTTCATTGGCCCGTATCACCCAGATGGAGACCATGGCAGGTCCGGTCCAGTCCCACTTTTATTCAGCCCCAGGACTTTCCAATCGGAAGTTCTTCGCGGTGGCTCATTAGTATGTGATCGCGTTGGTGTTGCAGCCTAACTGTTATCTCACAGCTGACCCCTCTCAGCGAAGGATCAGCCGTCACCTCATACTCCCTGGACCCGATTACCGGTGTCTTCAATCGGTCGCAGACCTTCACATACGAACTCGCCGAGCCCGGTCCGGTCCCGGATCGACAAGATGCCTCCCATTGCCACGGGGTGGTAGTCGACCCGACCGGACAATTTGTTCTGGTCCCTGACCTTGGAGCCGATCTCGTTCGCATCTTTCGCGTCAATCCGTATACCGGACTCCTGGAGCCGCAGGAACCCCTCGTCGCGGCACCAGGGTCTGGTCCCAGACACGGCGTGTTTTGGACCCCTAAGGGTGCCACTAGTCAGACCAAGGATGTCCTCTTCTATCTCACATCCGAGCTGAGCAATCATCTCACCGGGTACAAGGTCACGTATCCGACCAACCGAACCATCTCGTTTGACGAGTTCTACACCTCGAACACGTACGGCGGGTTGACGCCTCCCAATGGCTCCAAGGTTGCTGAGGTCGCCATCTCGGTAAGTTCTCCCGGAATATGCGGCAGCATGTTTATCTGAGTTTCCGGATACTTTTTCCGAGTAGCTTTGCTTTCCATCTCACGTAAGATCGACGCTAAAGATGCTGACGCTGACGCTCGCTTACTAGCCTGAAAACAACCGCATCGTGGTCAGCAACCGGGGCGATAACACATTTGGGGCTGGGAATGACTCGATTGGGGTGTTCACTTGCGCCGACGCCAGTGGCCATTTCCCCACCAATGTCACCTTCGGTGGTCTGTACCCTGCGTACGGAAATACCCCCCGCCAGTTCGAGATGGCCACGCAGACTGGAATTGTCGCAGAGGCATTGCAAAGCAGTCATGCGGTGGCAGTGACTGGGTGGGACGGAGAAGCTGAAAAGCCGGGACCGCTTCTTGCGAGAAAGTCTCTGGAGGGAGAGGTTGTGGCGGTTGTCTGGGATAATTGACGAGGGAAGAATCTCCAGCGTGCCGCTGCCTGTGTTCTGGGGAATGGAGGTCATGTGCTCTCGCCCCGTTGTCCAGTGCAGACAGACTGATTCGTCAAGAGGCTCCGATGCAATTATGAAGATAGTTCACTTTGACACTCTAAACCTGTAGACAAGCAGTGTCTGAAATAAAACCACCCACAGAGTTAGTCAACAGACTGGCGAGTTCTTCAGAGGGAAATAGGCAGTCATGTTGCCTAGAGGCATTCAGAGCAAACGAGTATACAACTCTAGCTTTGCAATATTACATAGCGAATACATCAATCTGCTTGCAGGTAGGGACTTCAGTATGTCTGCCTGCATGTCATGAGGCGGAATATGTCAAATGTATCCTGCCTAATTGCACGATACGGTTCCACATTGTTAATCTGCAACTAGTTTGCAGCATATAGTTGATGCATGTTGTAGCCTGATGATGCCTGAGGCTGCTACAGGGTCCGCGGTTAATCTATTTCGGGAGCGGTCAGGGACCAAGGAGCCAATCGGCGACAGGGCTCGGGGCATTAGAATTTCAGCCCAATCGGATAATCAGAACACCCGGTCCGTCCCACGGGCCACTCGTATTCGGGTTTATGACTGCCTACGGGTTCTTCTTCTTCTCCCAAGTGACATGCCTTGCATCACTACACTAGATTCCGGGCTATCTATCTGTATAGCGCTACTCAGCCCGATGGTCTCACGTGCTGCCTCTCTTTAAATCCAGCTGCACCCGGCAACATGCCCCTGCGTTGCTCGCATAAAAAGTCGCGACATGGGTGCACCACGTGCAAGCAGTGAAGAGTAAAGGTACAAAATCATAGATCCCGATGACAAATAACGAGCCTCTTATCTCTCCGCCAGTTTTCATGCGCTAATCTCGTACTCAGTGTGATGAGAAGCGTCCGATCTGCAGCAACCGTAGCCTGCGAGAAGAGACATGCACCTACACGGCGCCCGGGCCGTATCTCTTTGCGGAAAGACCGACAAGACGATCCTGAAAACGGGCATCGCCGTCGACCGGAAATCATAGCTCTCAGAACTCATTACCCGACAGCCAAAATCTTATCTTACAAAAACGCACTCATTCAGGTGACTCGCAATCAACGGCAGGTGCGCCTTCGTTGGATATGACGCAGCTCGAACTCACACTAGAGTGGATCAACCACACTCACAAGTGCTTTGCACGCAATGAAGAGACGAGGAAGGTCTGGGAGAAGATTGTGCTCCAGGAAGCCCTCAATACACCGTTCCTGTTGCACGGCATCCTGGCCCTGTCCGCTCTACACCTGTCCCATCTAAGAGAAGATGGGCGACATGTCATGTGGCTCGATATAGCCATCGCACATAAAAACACCGCTTTATCTATATTCTCGGAGCAGCTGAACAACATCAGCCAATCCAACGCGAAAGCAATGATGAGCTTTGCCAGTATGGCGTTTGCTTTCGGCCTTGCGAGCGCTCTGAAAATGGGTGTTACCAAGGAGGGCTCGAAACTCGAAGCGCTCACGAATGTGTTCGTTCTAGCTCGTGGAATACAGTCGGTTATCTTCATTGAGGAAACTTATATACATCAAAGCAGCTTCGCGCCTCTTTTCAACATGACTCCTCCGGAAGTTACCATTCCGGAGGATGTCTTGATGGCTCTTGACCGGCTCAAGCACTTACACGATCGGTACAGTTTGCATTCACCTGACCATGATCCTAGACCGTATAATACGGCAATCAATACAATTGAACGCCTTATCTCATATACGTATAAAGAACCAACATCGATGACATTGGCCGGTGGATGGGCCATGCGAGTTCCAGAAGAGTATCTTGATGATTTGAAGAGCCGAAAACCCCTTGCATTGGTGGTACTCGCACACCTCTGTGTGTTTTTGCATCTGGGGCAAGAAAATTGGTGCATGGGGTCCTGGGGCCGCGAGGTCATGGAAGATATCATAGCAATCTTGGACTCTGACTGGCGACCTCATATTAGCTGGGCATCTGAGCAGGTGCTTGGCGCAAGGCTAACTTCATGATCGAGTGTCTACATGTATTACAACTAGCTTTTATATGAAACAAATTGATGACATTTTTCCAGTTAGCATTTATCAGCAAAACATCGAAGAGATCGATAAAACCCCCATTGCTCATCAAACAGCCGTGATGATCCTGGCTATTGTCCACGCGCGAATCACCAAACGGGCTGGAATCAAAACTCGGCAAGAACATAGTCTGCAAATCATGTTCGAACTTCGAGCCCTCTAAAATGCCAGCAATAATATATCCCTTGGTGGTCAGAGTGTTGGGTTCAAGACTGTAGTTCCAGCGCCTATGAAACAAAGATTGTTCCAAAGGTAGCCTTGGGGGGGTATACTCAAACAATGTGAGCAGATGAAAACAATCTAGAGAATTCATACACGGACCCTGGGACAACGGCAGGTTTAATATAATAATCTAGAAGGTAGGAAGACCATTTAGGCGAAGTACATGTAAGCAGCTGGTCCCTGCTCTGATCCTTACGTTGCCAAACAAGCCTGATGCCACGGATTTTGAGGCAAATTGTCTACCCGAGATATATATCGCGAATGTGTACTATATATCAACCACTCACCTCTTTGTGCATTTGCAGATTAGCCATCGCCTGCAAATTGCGTCTATAATGCCAGGACATACAAGTGATTGAAAAGAGATCAGCTTTGAGGCGACATATGAAGAACAAAGCTACTTTCTGCAAACCAGGCAACTTTCTGATAGGGGCGCAATTGGCACTTCGCACGGCAATGAGACTGGGAGCAGCGTAAACGCTGGCAATGAACAGGGTTTTCAACAGCAGAAGCCTCATCGTTTACAATTTGAATGGTATTGAATAAACGAACTGTCGCAACTTGTAACCGAGCCGAGAATACAATAGAACATCGCATTGTAGACGCAGCAACCCTTCAAATAGGAACGATGATCTGGTTGCTTCTGGCTTCCTCGGTGACTGCTTAGGGCTATAAGTCACAGCAACCAGACAACAACGTCACACTACCACAATTAATTCCAAGGTCCTGCAAAAGCAATAATTGTCTGGTTTCGCATTAGTCAAAAGATTATCTTGCTCGATCAAGAATGATGTGTACCTGCGCCGGTAAAATACTCCGTCCTAATCAAGTATTGCACCACTAGCCCAAAGCCATGACCTGCATGACTGCCGTTTCTTTTTGTTTTGTACTTCCATCCCACCAACTCATCGCATCTACCCCCTTTCAACCCCCCACCCAAAGACTAAGCAGATACTCCTCATCCACAGTTCCATGAAACCCAACAAGAACCCCATTCCCGACATCTTGAAGACACAGAACGCCCCCGTTATTCCCAACTACCAAGTGTTCCTCTGACTCCGTATCGATGGCCACCCGATCGACCAGGGGTATTCCTCGTAGCACCATTGTGCATGCGGCTACTGGGTAGTAATAAGTTTGTGTACTCCTTGTGCAACTATCTTCTCATCTTGACAATATCAACCAACACGTCGGGAATCCCTCTTTTGTATTCACAAGGATCTTTGAGATAACTTCACCATATCTAGTAGCTGAGAAAAAACCATGGACATTGGTAAATCCATCACATGTCGTTCAAGCATGTCCGAGAAAAAAAGAAAAAAAAAGAGCAGCCCGTTTCAAATCCCGAAGCAAGGGGTATCGAAACCCTCGCATCAACAAAGCATCGACGAACCGGAAGAGATCCACGCTGCATAGCTTGCCCCACGGGCCACAGTCTCAGTTCCGATCCCCCTATCGCATCCGATCGCCCGTCTGTGGCTGAATCATGGATCAACTACGATGTATAGTTTAGATCTACCGAAGGGCTAAAGTGATATAAACTGGTCTGTCATAAATAGTATCCATCTATCTATGAACTCGAGTCAACGAGGGACATATAACATAATACAGCGAAATCAACATAAACATAACATTATTCGGACCATAACCATGATGTTCCGATTCGCAAGAATATTCGACGGGTGTTCAACACCGTACACCCGACGGGGCGTTCACAATGCGTTGAACCACCCCATTACCATCACGGATGGCTTGTTGCAGGGTTCAAAAAAGCCAATTTGTGATTTCATGAGCCCTGCTCGATGAAAAAATGGCTTAGTAGCCACCAACGGTACCGCTAGGGGTGGGACCGGGGAGAGGCGTGCCGGAAGGAGGGGGGCCAGAGGGAGTGGCAAGAGGACCGGCAGGGGTGGGCTCAATAGAACCGACCTGACGCTTTTCGAAGTCGGGGGTGCCGGAGGGAGGAGGGCCGGAGGGAGTAGCAGTGGGGGGAGGGCCGGAAGGACTGGCGGTGGGGGGAGGGCCAGCAGGGGCGGACTGGCGTTTCTCGAAGCCTTCAGGGGCACCAGAAGGCGCGGGACCAGGAGTGCCGGAGGGAGGAGTGCCGGAGGGAGTGGCGGGAGGAACGGCAGGGGTGGAATCAACAGGACCAACCTGACGCTTTTCGAAGTCGGGGGTGCCGGAGGGAGGAGGACCGGAGGGAGTCGCGGTGGGGGGAGGGCCAGCAGGGGTGGACTCAGCAGGACCACCAACCTGGTGGGAGACGAAGCCAGAGGCCGCGGGACCAGGGGTGCCGGAAGGAGGAGGGCCGGAAGGAGTGCCAGAGGGAGCACCGTCAAATTGGCGTTTCTCAAAGCCTTCAGCTCCTTCGGAAGAAGGCAAGGGCGTGCCAGACGGAGCAGGCGGGGTGGAGAAGTCTTGATTCTGCTGGCCTTCAGGGACAACAGACGGGGGAGGACCAGCTGCTGAGCTGGGAAGAAGAGGCAACGAAGGAGTGCTCGAAGCAGCAGGAGAACGGCCGAAGAATTGGGGCATGGCAGCGACGCAGCCAACGAGGCTGGTCAGGACAACCCCAGAAAGCTTCATTTTGAAGAGTCTTGAAGAGAATTGGATTGAAAATGAGTGAGAATGAGTAAAGTTCGAATTCACTGCACAGTTTGATTGACTTGTACAAGATAGAGACTGAAGAGGTGGAAAGCACGACGTTTTTATAATGTTCGGAGTACCTGCAGAGATGCAGCAACAACGCCTTGACGATCGGTGACCGCTCTATGGGATCGTCAGTCTACTGCACGCTGGCTAGGCAAGTAGATGGGGACATGTGCATGTTTGCCTCCGACGTCGGAACGATTGGGGCATGGAATCAAGGAGGCAGGAGTGAGGTTGGGGCATCCACAGACTGCCGATGCCGAATGGACTGACCTACATGGGCATTTCATCCGCAGGCAAGTGGGACGCTTCAGGAATCCGCCATCAGCTGGCTTGAGCTTAGAAGATGGGGCCGGAAATGGTCTACTCCGTGGAAAAAATTCCCACACGCAGGGTCTGATGTGGATCTGGGATTGCCAAAACACAGCACCATGACAATCAAGTGGCAACACATTACAGCCATTCAACCTGATCAGAACATCTGACGAGTGTTGCCATTGACCGTAGGACAATTAACGCCGCCCAGCGTCATGTCTCCCGTGGTAAAAAGGCTCTCGTCGTTGAAAGCGTGTTGATATCATCACGGTCGAGATTCGGACCGACCTTGTTGACCAAAATTCTAGCCATTATTATTTCCAGGGCTAGGAAACGGCGGGAAACCGTAGTGGATCAAGATCATCACTCCGATAATCTCTCAGCAATCAGAAAGTCGGCCTCCGGGGGATCATCGCTGCAGTTGAAGAGGGCCGCTGCACTTGTGCCTGGACCGGACTGGCGCTAGAATGTGCGGCACGAAGAAGTCAAGGCTAATGCTAACCTTATTCGGGATGTATACCCCTTATGACTCAAGTCAATCCACCCCGTACAATATGCTTGGCTATTGTGAGGGTGGCTCTGAGGGTCCTTGAACAGCCCAGGTAGAGTGGAGAACGGCGATGGGGGAGGGTCGACAGAGGGTTGCAGTGGTTGGTGCTTCAATTTACGGGCTGGGTTCTGTGACGCTACGCTAACCGATATGACAGTTCTGGACCAAGCCGAAATGAAGTCAGAGCACGTAGACCCTGAAAGATTGAACGCAATCGAAACCCTTTCTTGGGGGTTGGGGCTGTGGAGACACCCTGAGGTCATGGGGAGTCGGGATCACACAACCGCTGTTGTTATGGAGTCTTGAAAAGCCGCATACACTATGTAGAGGCAGGCCTGGGCGCATCGACCCACGATGCCTTGACTCAGATCCGGTTCCGGTTCACCAGCCCGAGTGGAGGTTGCTCTGGCGGTGGATGGGGGCAGCTGGCGCGGCCTCCTGCCGATCATCCTCGGTTGGAGGGTGGGTGCGCGAGATCTGCACGACGGTTACCATGCCGTCCGTGATCAGGCTTGTTTCACTTAATTTGCACTGGCAAGGCAGGGAGACAGCTGCCAGCCACGGATTTGCATTTCCTTACTTCCAGCCTTACTTGGTTCCAAGCTCGTTGGTGGCTGGAGATGGGTGCCTGCAGGAGAAATCCCGCATCGATCCAGGGTGTTCTTGAACCCCTGGTGCCCGTCCACTGGTCCGTGCCAGACTTGGGAATGAGGATTGATTCAATCGGAGGCACCAGATCGGACAACAGGAAGGAGCGTATACTGTCGTCTGCTTGGTGACAGCAACGTGGGCAAGCGCCCCCGAGAAAGGGATATGGGTTTTTCCAGTCTCCCGTCCCTTGCTTCAGAATAAGTGAGGATTGATACTGTGTACGGTAGATCTTGTGCCGTCGAATAACGATTCGCATCGCCACTGAAATGACGTCACTGGGTGTTCCGTCTACTGTTTATACCTTTGGATATCGACCGTCCGCCATGTCTTGTACTGACCGTCGTGGTACTCAATTAGTAAATCGAGAAGCCGACCAGCACAGTATGGTCGCGTTTTATGGAACTCATCTAACAGGGGGCGTGGTTGATATTTCGGACTCAGTCTCATGGGAGTGATTTCATGTCTGTTCATCAATATGACCGAGAAATCAGAGGGGGAAGCCGAGCGGAAAACAAGGATCACTACCATGCTGAGGTCAGGCTCGCAGACTATGTGTGTTGATAGAGTAATTTTGGTATAAAAAGACCCTGATTTGGCGTGAGGAATGCGGGGAGTACGACGGTGTGCTGGTCCCGAGTACTGTATGGTAATCCACACCCGAATGGCGAGATAATGGCAACTGTGAACCGAAGCAAACTGTACTCGACTGGTTGAAACTTTGCAATCTTGGTGTTCGGATTCCTAGAGATTATCAACATCAGCATAAGGATGCGTCACCGCTCCCGCACCTAGCAACCGCTCCTAACAAAGGGACAGACCTCCACCCGAACATAGGCTAAATTGGTGTTGTCGAAGGGTTTGACAGGGCGTATCTCCTTTGACAACGATCCCTTTCCCCGCTGACTAGTTCGGTTTAATTAGACCCATTCCAACACCCATGACTGCTCCCTGGACTGGCGCCCACCCGCCCGAGCCTGGGACACCTCGGGGAGTTGTTTTTTGCCGGAGACAACATGCTATCACTAGCACCGCAAATCTCGCTTCCATCTCACAAAACAAAGGCTCTGGAGGGCTGGGCAATATAGATGAACAATCATGATTGGATCGACTTTGATATTGAGAGCCCGTCTTTTCGGTCTGCTGATGGCTTCGGCCGCTGTATTACGTATCCGTCTGAGTTTCATCGTGCGTATGTGGTGAGATTAGGCTTCGTCATGTCTTCGGGAGTCGAGGGTCTTGGGAATGCGCGGCCTATCCCGACGCGCGTCGTGGTGATCAGGAAGACCGACATTTACACCCTCAACAACCCCTTGACTGAAAGGGGCTTACCGGAAGCAGACGAGTGCTTGGTGACGAAACACTCGGGGACGGACAAGATCACAGAGATGCTGATTTCGATGCAGGCAGAAAGAGAAAGGGAAGGAGAAGAACGAGGAAGACGCCAGCAGGAGGAAAGAGGGGGCGAGTCACATGACACGTGCGTTTGCAGTCGCAATGATCAATGATAGAATCATAGATTAGACGAGTCACACCGGGCTGGAGGTTTGCGAGGCTGACTTCAATAGGGAGAGAATGAGGAGTGGAAGGGGAATCTGCACAGCTCGGAAATATCTGCTCAGGGTTCTGCATGATGCAGAAGGTGCCACGATCTCGAAGACTGCAAGATGAACAGAACAGGGGTACAGAAGAGGCAGATGCTTGAGGTAAGAGAGAGTCTCTCATTCAAAGGTTGAAAGACTTCGGATCAAGAGAACTCCGTGGTATCTATCAAAATGGCCTCTTTCGACCAGGGGGCAAAGGGTAAGTTGATTCTGTCCGATCCAGTTTGAATGGGAGCCTTTTTGTCATGGAGGCATTTCCAAAGTACTGCGGGGAAGAGTGTCTGGTAGAATGTCCCGCGGATACACTGACATACTCTGAATTAAGGGCTTTGGAATTGTAATAGAGCTCATGGGTGTGGCTCATTGAAAATTGTCACCATAATCAGCCCGAGACATCGAACGCTGTTACATATAAATCCCGACTACGCCATCTGTTCGGCGCCAGAGGGAGGATTGTCATGCCGGGCAGTTTAGCACCCACACATCTTCGATTTCCCATCGGCGATTGTCAATATTTATGTTGAAGTTCAAACTATTGTGGTCCTTCTCAGGCCCCTGCTTTTACCACGACTGGGCTATCTTTTCTTCCCCAGCTTTGCTCTCTGAGTTACTACGGCGTCATTGTGATAATTTTATTGGTGGCCCTGTAGGCTGGACCCTGGCCATCTGGATTCCCTGGCACCTAGCTCATGCGAGAGCCCACGGTTGCAGGCCGTATGCATTTGAAACGCACGACTGGCGCGCGTGTCTTGTGGAGACCGTTGACATGCGGATTCTATGGTTGGCAGGAGGCGCGTTTGGATATACGTACGGGTTTGGCATCGCTGTTCTGTCTATACCGGACTCGAGCCTGACAAGAGGACGAATAATGAGTCTAGTTTCAGCACATCTAAGCTCTGGTCAAGATCACCCCCTATGTAAGGGACATTATACCTGCTACTCGGTAGCTTCTGGCTATCTTGGATCAGATGGAAGAGAAGACATTCGGTCCCAGACAGTAAGTGACAGCCTAGCGAGCCCATAAAGCATCCATGGATATTATTATGCAGCCTTCTCCTAGTGACCCCCAGCCGCGGACATGCTGGCAGCTGGCAGCTGGCAGGTCCCTCAATACAGGACAAAAAGGTTACACCAAGTCGGAACAATAAAAGGAGCCGTCCTGACGTCCAACGCTTTGTCATCGCGAATCTCCATTCGCGGTGCATCCCTCCTAATTGACCCTCATCCACCACCATCGACCACCACCACTCCCAACCACAACCCCAAGTCTTGACATCTGGTGTGCTATTGTCTCACGACGCCCCCAATCATTGTACCAACTCGGCCAAAAGAAAAGTACAAAATCTGGACTGTCAGCATCGACAACAAGTCACGTACTGGGTCCTAACACCGATATCAAAACCACCCCGCAGCGCTCGCTGCACCAGATCCTACACCTTTCTTCAAGAGTGTTCATGACATAAGATCAAAAGCCCCACTCCTAATCCTATCAGTTGAAAGACATCGTCTTCACCTCCCTTCTATTCCCACTTCATGGATTCAGCAGAGGCTATGTTGCCACAGGCCCGGTCTCTATACAGCGAAGACCGCACATTGATCGACCCATTCAGTTCGGTGGTCACGCCAACTCATCGGAGGCAGCAATCTGTCACTCTTCAACGAGGCCTTGGCTAGCTCACAACGCCAATATGGAGCCCCAAGGAGCCCGCGATTTCAACGATCGACCGGTAGGGTCTGGACAGCAGTATCCCATCACGCTGCCCGCCAAGACAGACGGAAGCATTATCATCCGAGTCATCGTCGAGAGCGCCCACAAGGAAGGCTTCACGGAACCCGTACACCCGCAACCTCAAAATGTGGGTACGGACCATAATGGCAATACGGAACTGCACGTTGCTATCTCCGATGGCCGATACGATGTATCAAGACGAATCCTTCAACGGATGAGGAGCCTAGTCAAAATCCAGAACCACAAGAAAGAGACCCCGCTGCACCTCGCAGTGATCGCCGGAAGGGAGGAACTGGTTCGACTCTGTCTTGAGAATGGGGCTTCTAGGGCATCTCTGGACGAGAACGGGAAAACGCCGCTGCACTATGCCGTCGAAGGGCAAAGCCTGGATATAATCGAGCTGGTTTTCGATGAGACAGCTGCCTTCCTGCGAGATCGGGATGGAAGGGCACCGCTTCACTATGCGGTCCACACGGGCAGGAATGAGGTTATCGAGGCTTTAGCTGAGAGAATGCCCTCTGTCGATGTCAGGGATGAACAAGGGCAGACGCCGCTTCACTACGCAGTCAGGTCCGCAAACCCCGAAATCGTAGAGGTCCTGTTGTCCTTCAAGGCACGGCCCAGCATCAAAGACCAGGCTGGCAAGGTGCCACTGGAGTACTTGCCGGAGATATCCCACAACGACAGATTACAGAAAAACATGATCCTACCGTTCCTCGGCTTCCCCATGAGACAACACTCCTCGACCGCAACTTTCGGCTTTCCCATACTATCAAAGGCAGCTCGGGAAGGTAACGTGGCACTTATTAGGGCCATCTGTCAGCATAATCCATCCCTCGCCACCGAAGTCCCTTCCAACACGGACTTTGAACCTGCCCTGCATGAGGCCATCAAACGGGGGCATTGCCATGCTGCCGATATTCTTTACACCCTCCAAAGAGCGAACAACAACATTCTCGACAGCGAAGGAAATACACCCTTGCACCAGGCCATCATCCACTCGCAAGTCGGACTGTTGGATCGCCTTATCTCCAAAGGGGCCGACAAGGACCGTCCCCATGGAGTTACAGGGCTGCCTCCGATCCATCTTGCCGCCCAACTGCAAAGCTTGACCATGGTAGAAGAATTGCTTCGCAAAGGTGCAAATCCTGTTGAGATAGTCCGTGGACAGCAATGCCCGAGGCAAAGGCGGGGCCAAGGATCACATGATATGAATGCTCGCTGTTACTTGCGCGCTATTCCCCAGGGTGAACGGAACACGGACTACAGCGAGATTGATGGAGTGCTGACCAAAGAGATCCGTGTCTGGAAGAGGGGCGGTTCGAATGATAGTAGTGGGAGAAGGGGGGGGAGGAGAAGATATTCTTCGGCCTCCGAATAAGGGGGATGAGTGTCTCTCGGATTACAACAGGGGTTTTCTTTGAGGATTGTTATGGGCAAAGTCATGATTGGTGATTTCTTATTTCATTCAACATCAAGGCTGTTAGCAAGTTCGGATTCTCAGGGCTTGGTCGGAGGATATGAATTTTGCATGTCACTCTTTCTGGCGAGCATGGTCGTGTTCTGGATTACAAGCGCGCCTTCATTTTCAGCTTCTTTATGCGCAAGTCTCTGAACAGTGATGTGCATTCTGTTGGATCATGAGCGTTGTTTTCAAGTTCAGGGCTTCGGAGGTTTAATCTCGTGCACATCAGACTCTTGCTATCATTGATGCCCATATTTCGGGTTCCAGGCGTGGGTTCTTTTCTTTTTTTTTTCTTTTTTTTTCTGCGATTCTTTATCTGAATCTTTATAAACACTGGTTTGTATTTGTTGGAGTATGAACATTGTTTGCCAGTTGAGGTGTTCGGGACTGTGTCGAGTACCTCACAGATATAAGCGAGGTTGAACTCTAGATCGAGATATATACCGATTGAAGAGACACCCATTCACAGAACCACGAGGTGTGTAGTACAACTTGTTCAAATCTTTGTATATTTGCAAAATAAAATCATCGCATCGTCTCTCTTATCTAGTATCCGAACGTATCATTGCTCCGCAGCAATCTGCTTATTCAACAAGGACAGCAAAATGCCCTGCACGTCCTCCTTCTCCATATACACCTCAACTACCCGGATCCCGTCACCCTCCGTGATCCTCTTATCGACCAACACCTTCTCCAACTCGCCCCACGTCCTCGCCACAAGGTAGTTCTCGCGCGCATGTTCCTCCTCCGCTCCAAAGAAACTCATCGCCAGCGCGTGTCTCCACGGCGCGATATCATTGTATCTCTGCTTCCGGCCGTGGATTGCCCGCTCGATGGTGTAGCCGTCGTTGTTAACCACGATGATGACCAGGTTGAGTTTCTCGCGGATCATCGTGCTGAGTTCCTGTACTGACATCTGGAGACTCCCGTCGCCGACGAAGAGGATCCCCCGACTGGGTTTGGAGGTTTTGTTGAGTTGTTTGTGTGCGATTGTCGCGCCGAGCGTAGCGGGAAGCATGTATCCTATTGACAGCCAGGTTACGGCGGTGAAGTAGGGGGTGTTGGGTGGGAGGGTGAAATGCCGGGTTCCGTGCGCGGATGTGCCTGTTTCGGCGAGCACGAGGTCGTTGGGTTGGACGAGGGGGTTGACGACGTTCCAGAAGTGTTCTTGGGTGATCGGGTCGGATGGTGGAAGGGAGTCGATCGTGGTGATGGGGAGTTTGGGGGGTCCGGTGGTTTTGGGAATTTGTGGGGCATCGAGGCGCGAGATGAGTTGGCGGAGGAAGTCCCGAGAGATGTCGCGGTAGGTGTCCTTGCCGATCTGGACAGTTGAGGGTGAGAGAAGGATGGATACATCTTGGGAAGGCAGGGTGGTGAAGGCGAGGCTGTTGGTCGTGGTGTAGTGAGGGCCCAGGACAATGGCTAGGTCCGCGGAGGTGAAGTAGTCTTTCCATGCTGCGTCGCCGAATGAGGCGTGGTAAATCCCGTAGACGTTATCGAGGCTCTCGTTGACGAGTCCCTTGCCGAAGGGGTTCGTCCAGGTGGGCCAGTTAGTCAGTCGAATCAGCTCGTCCACTTCCTTTACAATGCCCATCGGCCTGATATCCCCGTCGACCAGGATCAGAGGCCGTTTCGCGGCGTACATGCGTTCCGTCACGCGGTCCAGGACTGTGGGCTGGTTTGCAGGAGCTGGAGTTTGGGGGATGGTGATGGGGGTGGCTAGATTCGATGTGTCGACAAGAGCGTCTACCACGTCGTCCGGTACCTGCAGATACACCGGTCGGCTGTGGACCAGTGCCTGTCGTAGCACTGAATCAATCTGGTCCGGCACGAGAGATGGATCGCGTAGATCTGCCCGTGCGACTGTAACATGTGAGGCCATGGCGCCGAAGCGCCCATAATCTCCCCCATCCGCCAACGTATGGTGCACCAAGGTCCGGTTATCCTGGAGTGCCCGTTCGGGGGTCCCGACGATGTGGATGACGGGAGCCTTCTCGGCATACGCGCCCGCAATGCCGTTGATGGCGGAGAGTTCACCCACGCCGAAGGTGGTGATCAGGGCGGAGAGACCGTTGATGCGCGCATATCCATCGGCGGCATAGGCGCCGTTCAGTTCGTTGCAAGTGCCCACCCACTGGAGTCCCGAGGGCTCGACAAAGTCGAGGAGGCGGAGGTTGTAATCACCGGGGACCCCGAAGACAGTCTGGATGCCCAGCTGGCGCAGGCGTGTGAAGAGATAATCGGCGACCTTGATGGACATGATGGCAGTGAGGAGAGGGGGTGTAAATGGCGGGGTAGGCATTGTTGTCGGGGGCTTAGGCTATTTATACTCGCCCGCAGCTGTCCTTATCGCACCTGCCCGGTTCGCCGGTTCGCCGGTTCGCCGCTCCGCTCCGGTTACTCCGCCGTCTCTCCGCAGCGCTCCGTCGGCCGACGCTAACCACTTTTAACCCGTGGATATGACATCACTCAAGTTAAAATCGCGTGTAGAGCACGTGCCGTACAGGGTCCAGGGTCCACGGCGACGCTAAACCGAACAGGGACCCCGACCTCAGGCTGTGACCCATGTCCTTCCTGTTCCTGGGTGCATCCAAGGGGTGCAAGAGCCTCCAAGCTACACTAAAAGTGCATATAATAGAGCGAACCGTGCTCCAACATGACCCTGGGTATAATGGACAGTTCGGTTTCCAACGGGGCTACCGCCACGCGAGGACAAGAGGCAGGGCGACTCCCTGTTCACAACAAGTACTAGTGCGTCTAGTACAAAAGGGTCCCATCTGCGCCCCTGAAACCCCCAAGAATGTGACGTGGTGTGCGATAGCAACTCGATGGATCCCTCCACAGCAACTCGGCAAGCTCTCGCCACCCCGGAGCTCCGAGAGTTGATATTCCGGCAGCTGCACTGGCGCGCACTGTTCTCGGCTCAGCGGGTCTGTCGTTCCTGGAACAGTCAGATTCGGGATTCTTCGTTCTTTCAAGAAGTTCTCTTCCTCAAGCCGTTCAAGCATGCACCGGTTGAACGAAGTGTCAACCCAATCCTCGCAGAAGTATTCCCGTTCTTCTTCCGAAACAATGAGACCGTCTACCCGCAGTGCAAGGACGATGGATGTACCCTGGGCGAACTGGATATGATCAAGAACCCCTCGAGGAAGGCGGCATACCTGCGTCCCGAGGCGAGCTGGCGCCGGATGCTGGTGCAGCAGCCTCCCATCCGAACTCTCGGCGTGTACCGTGCTTCCTTCGGCCCTTTCGGCTTCGGTGGCAAGTATGTCGCTCTGGTACGTTTGTGTTCTGGTGTCCAATTCTCCAATTCGCAACACTCATCAGATATAGCAAATAAGAGAGGATCGGAAGGCGCAGGACGGCGCGCGCATGGCAATGCTCTTTGAGCTGCTCTGTTTGGATAAGACCCTTACACGCACCTTTGAAGATGTCAATGTGCTCTGGTCGGAGGAATCCGCAAACGATCATGCATACTATGAAAATGGAGAGTGGCTGGATATTACCCCGATCCCTGAAGTCATGTTGGTGAATATATTCGCGCGTGGCTGCTCGGACTCGGACTTTGAGTGTGATGATCAGGAGGTGGTGGACGGGATCCAGGCGTCGTATCGATCGCTGGGTCTGACGCCACAGACCTTGGGTGACGAGTGGGAAACCACAGTCAAAATGTGGCAAGGGACGTGGGATTGACTTGTCTTGTTTGTACGTTGCTTTAGCCAGAGGAAAGACAAGTCTTGTTTCAAAAGCAGTAAACAGTTTGTTTTGATTCTTAGCAGGGTCTTTGGGGTGAGACTAAGCATGGTCAGATACTTTATATATTGCGGCACGACTGATTAGAGACAAATATCGCCACAGTTTCCGTCCCACAAAGATAGGAAATATAAAGAAGCAACACATCCTGTGGCCGCCGAGAAAGTGAGGGAAATGTAAACAGAGTGGACGGTGGCTGGTGGAGAATATATTGCAGCCCTCCCTCCCTCCCCGCTGGCCCCTCATCATGTGACCGGCGTTCGTTTGCGCGTCTTTCCTCGACTTCGACTTCATCAACTCTTCTCATTGCCTCGCTCGTATTTCCTGCCATACGCGGTCAATCTACCAGCTTGCCCCGACTTCCCTACGTGGATACCTCGCTGAGGTAGTCACTGTTCTTATTGGTCTCTGTGCTCTAAATATATCGCTATCAGACGAAGACTGACTTCGGCTATGAAGCACAGAAACGAACCTCTCACGGCAAGGCAGATTCATCCTGCGAGTCATCCTCCTGAGACGACATCGTATCGCGAAAGTTCTGAGACCCCGACAATCCCCCCTTGACAACATCGTTCCTCGCCACAAAGCTAATGGCAAATCCGACCAAGGACAGACCCATCATCACCCACCACACCGTCGCAAGACTACGCGCATACACCCACCGATACTCATCCTGCACGGATCGGGGAAAAGCCTTGATCATGGTATAGGCCATCTCTGCGACGTTGCTTTGGATAACCAGGTCGTGTGGGATATTTCCCGCGCTGACCGACCGGTGGATTTCTCTTGTCCATTGATTCTGGAAGATCGCCCCTCCGAGTCCGACTCCGAATGCCGCACCGAGGCTACGCATGAATACTTGCACGCTGGTGGCGATGCCGATGTTCTGGTCCTTTTGACGGGCTTGGACGGCGAAGAGTGGCGTGGGGAATAAAAGGCCTCCCCCGAGTGAGGCAAGCACCCGCGGGGCATAAAGCATGGCCGGACTGCTGTTGGGGTGCATGGTAACCTGAGAACCGTACGTAAGTCTTGAAATGGAGCAGCTGTGATGATACCGAGAGTCCTTTGAGACACGTACATTGGTTCCAAGCCCGGCCGCGAGAAGTCCCCAACCGGTCACGATGATGTATTTGAATCGCTGTGTTCGTTTGATGACCATGCTGGAAACAAACCCTGCAGGAGCTGCATATGCGATGGAAGTCATGGTTTCGCACGCTGCGTGGAGTATACCGTGTTGCAGGGCCCCGAGATACTGGATTCGGTGTCAGTGTTTCCCCGAGACTAGATGCTTCTCACAGACTCACGAATATAATCATATAATATGCCACAGCCCAAAACACCAACCCATGCAGAAAGCTGGTCGTATAGCCGACGATTGCTGACCGGTCATGGAAGATGCGCAGGGGCATTATCGGCCTGCGGGATACACGCCACTGAGTGAGAACAAAGGCAACCAACAGGCAGAAGCCCAAGACCAACGGCACGAGGACGGCTGCCGACTTCCACGGATGAGAGATCCCACCGGAGGTCAGGCCGACCAAGAACAAGGTCGTGCCACAGGTGAAGATGATCAGTCCCGTCCAGTCCATCGTTGCCAGCTTGACCATGAAAGAGGCAGAGACGGCCCGATGAAGATGCAAAAAGGAAACCAACCCGATGATACAGAGGACGCATGTTGGAACATTGATCCAGAATATCCATCGCCAAGTGGTTCGCGAGCTGATTGCGCCACCCATCGGGATCGCAATGTTCGTGCCAAAAGCCCAGGAAAGCGCCATGAAACCCATGTATAAACCCCGCTCGCTCATGGTGGTGATATCCGACATGATCAGTTGAACCAACTGCAGCATGCCACCAGCCCCGACCCCTTGCACCACCCGGGCCCCGATGAGCCATGTTCCATTGCGAGCTGTGGCGCACATGATGCTCCCGAAAGTGAAGACCGAGAGGGCGGCAAGGATGGCAGGCTTGCGGCCAAAGATTTCGCTGGTGGCGCCGTAGAAGGGAATGGTGACGGTTTGTGCCAGTAAGAAGGCAGTCCCCACCCAGAAGGCCTCCACGCTGGTCGTTTCGAGGTCCTCTGCAATCGCCGCGAGAGAGGAGCCAACAATGACAGCATCCATAGATGCCACTAGCGTAACAATGGAGAGAAATAACATCGTGAGCTTGAATGGGAGGGACTTGGGAGGGGATATCTCCACAGAGGAAGCATCTTGGGGACCAATTGCATCTTTCTCGCTGTCGGAAGAGGGTTCAAAGACAGAAGAGGTGACCCCTCCACCCGCCTTAATTTCCTGGCAGCTCATGATGGTGTACAGCAATCAAACCGTGTATTCAAGTGCAAGCAACTTTCCGATTTGCTAGCACCGGGCACCAGCCGACAGGGCAGCCTGGGACAATGCCTTCATATAGTCGGCATCGGCAGAGAGGTCACCAGAAGAAACAGGTAGACTGGCGGTGTAGGAAAACGACTGTAACTGTTATTCGTTCGGCGATGATAGTTGTCTTGCATCCTTGTTTGCCCACTGCATCGGCGATACCAGCGTCGGGTGGGGGATAGTCCATTCGGCCAGGAGATATCATCTCGATCATTGGTGACCTATCTAGGTAAATGCATGTTGGACGAGTCTCTGAGCCGCGATATCTTAGGGCGCCACCCATGTCTCATTCTGTTGACTCGACCAATCGCGGAACGAGCCCTGGCACTCGTGGGGCGGATATGACCGAGAGCAAACAAGCTCTACCACGAGATGAACCAGTCCGGGGCCAAGATACGATTGTTGTTTGTTGACCAACAGCCAGGCCTGCATAACCGAGACGCTTGCGGGAACAAGTGCCTATTTAGGGTGATTCCCGGACGCCACAAATGCTGTGACTTACAGGCACCGCATTATATACAGGGGATTGGTGTCAAAAACCGCCAATGAGGTTGCCACGTGCTATCAAAGATCTCGGTTTCCAGCTCTTAGCCTCAGTAATGCCAACATGACACATCGTGGGCGTCGGCGAAGATTGTTTCACCCTGACCTGGGGTTGACACCAATCAACAAGCAACAGCGCGGCGTTACTCGGTTTTCGTCTCATGGAGTCTTTTCCATGCTGAAAAATCACCGCGGCTTCGGGCTCAAATGCTGGCCTGCCCCTGTTGATCAAGCTCAGCCGTCTTCAGACTTTGCTAGCAGCAACAGCGATGGCCACTGAAAAAGGCGAGGCTAAGTGTTGGTAGACTACCAGTCTCCAGAGCCCTTTTGTCGTGCGCACCCGAGGTGATGCATTTAATTTTAAATGCTCGCTACAAACTGCGTTTTCGAAAGACGACTTCGCTCTGCATGGCGTCACGGCCGAAATCGTTTAAGGGACTTTTCTTTTCTTTTTTTTTTTTTTTGGAAGACCTGATTGGGATGTACTGTCTTTGCCGGACTGATTTTCCCCTGGCAGAAATGCTAAGAGACGCCCACGAGCCGTTGAGCAGACGTCTTTTTGTATGGCAACGCTCCAAATCTAGGCGGGCCTTTGAACAGAAGGAGAATCGCGAGCCCTGAACATGGGCCAAAGAGGACCATTCATCTCAGATAGAGTCCACATAGCGATAAAAGTACGAAGAGATGCGTATGTTGACAGGAGGACTGAGTGGGCATTCTGCGGACTTTGTGCTAAGCGAATATCTCAGGCCCCCACCACAGCCTCCCACCTTCGATGCGGGGAAATTCTGGGATCCACCCGATGGGTCTTGTATCACGGTTCACTTATATACAACGGGATCGACGTGCGAGGAATTATCCGACCAGCGACACCCTATTGCAACGCCCGATTCACCTCCGCCACATCCCAGTAAAATGGCCTCATCTCGGTGATCTGGCCCCTCTCCAGGTCGACCGTGACCACCTGGCAGAAGGGAAAGTCCAGCTCCTCGCCGGTCTTGCGCACCTTCAGATGTATCGTCGAGACCACGACGATGCGGTCGGACCCGGGGCGTTCGAAGATCTCGGGGTTCTGGACGTCGACGACGGAGAACCGGTCGGCCATCTGCTGGGACCAGTCCTGCATGCCGTCAGGGCCGAAGTAGGTGCCAGCATAGGGTAGGGCGGAGGTCTGTTCGAGGCGGCAGGTCGGGGCGATGGTGGCCGCCAGGGGAGAGAAGTCGCGCTGGTCGGGTGGCGAGGCCATGTAGACGCGTTCCGCCGCGTAGAAGGCGTCCAGGATGGAGCGGGCCGTGTGATTGGAGGATCCCATTTTGGGGGGTGGAGAGACGAGAGAGGACGGGGATGATGTGAGATCGAGGGTAAGCTGCAATCGGACTTCCGTGCCTCGTTGTGTTTCTTTCATGAGAATTGAGATGCAGGTGCAACTTATACCGACGACTAGATACTAACTAATTCATTGATCTCACAGCATGCGACTGACACATCCATCGCTTACAAATCGAATGGCCCAACTCCCTTTGCTTTTAGTTACGGAGTGGGGCATCGTTAAACATGGACATTCTGCCATCGCCCCGACCGCCCCTTCAGACTGACTGTTTCAGAAAGAAGGATTGAAGGATTCGTCCAAATGGGAGCCTGGCCCTGGCCGCGTGGAAGCCTGATGCCTGCCTGGAAGCCCGGAAATAGACTACTCCGCATCACAACAGTTGAATGTCAACGGCGTTGCTCAGCTCGATCCATCCATTGCAGTGGTTATGGTTGTGAAGTCGATCATCGAGACGGATCCAAGCCAGTGTTGAATCTCCAGGGGCAAGTTGACTCGAGTCTGCCAGTCTGGCTCACCAGGCCTACGCCCTTCACAATACAGAAGGTGGGCCGGGAATGCCCTGCAGGCTCCTCAGCGGGTACTAGATACTACACTATGTAGATAAAGCGCCTCACAGCCTACCACAGCCAAAGCCGACGCTCTCCGACGGGCCTGTCCTAAAACGGACGCCGACTGTCCGCTTAGGCCCCCACAGCTTCTTATCGGACTTCGGTCTAGCCGCCATTGGAATTATTTATAAAAAGCTTGTGCCCTCTGAGCCGCCACCCGCCATGACTCCACCCCCCGACCCTCTTCCACAGGCACAACCATGGAGCATACCATCCTCCCCGGGGAGGTGGCCGTGCTGCTCTTCGTTCTGCTCTTGCTGGGCTCCCTTGCGCCCGTGAGAAGACTCTTCCACATAAGATGGATGACCCCGAGTCAGCATGAAGACGAAATGCGCTATGAGGACGAGGATGGCACGGCAACCAAGGAGTCAATGGCGGAGTGGTCCAACAATCGGACCCATTTCGCCATTCTGCTCGGGTTGACACTGACTGCTTTCAGTCTCGCATTTACTAACTTCATTTTTGCCTTGGCCACCACCCTGCAAGGGAAGAGCTTCGGCGCCGTGGGCCCCATTTGGCTGCTGCCACCCGCATGGGTAGGTTGCGCCTTTCTGCGGACCCACCACAACTCGAGCGAGGTTACTGACGGTTTCAGGGGCTTTTGTTCATGCAACTGGTAGAGACGTGCTTCCAGGAAGGATACACCGCGAGGTTCCAGAGTGCCCTCTGGAAACAGGCCCCGATGGTCTTGATCGGAGCGATTGCCTGCGCAGCGCTGGCCGGCCATGAAAACTACTACGGAGATCAGGAGGTCGTCACCACGGCCCTGGTTATTCTGCAGTTGGCTCACACGTTGGCTCTCGTGGCCGTCATCTGGTGCGTGAAACGCCGCCCCGCGGTCTTCCGCCCGGATGGCAGGATGGTGGATTCGGAAATGACGGGCAGCCTGTGGGTTCGCTACACATTCGGATGGATTGCACCCTTGCTTGCTGGTGGCAGGAAGGAAGAGTTGAACGAGGCAGACCTTCCGGGCATGAACCATCGCGTTCGCTCAAAGGAAGTCACCGATACCTTCATCGCCCAAGCCTTGCAGGACACCACACCACTTTGGGTTCGGATTGCCTGGCACTTTCGCGGCGAACTGGCCCGCCAGTGGATAGGCACCCTGATATCTAATCTAGGCGATTTGGCCCCAGCGTTGGCCAACTTGCAGTTACTGCAGTATCTGGAAACCCGGGGGAGCGCGGACGGAGATATGGGAGCATGGAAATATGTTGTTACCATTGCCCTTGCCATGACGTGGTGGTCCCTCGGGGATTCTCGCCTCATGTGGTGGGGAGGAGCCTACATCGTTCCTCCTCTTCGATCCACTCTCACTGGGCTGATGTATACCAAGCTGCTGAGAATGAAGCTAAGCAGTGGACCATCGGAGGATAAGCAGGGTGAAGAGGTATTTGCGGTCTCCTTCGCGCATGTGCCGTTGCTAATTCCAGTAGAATGGCCCATCGAAGTCCCAGCAGGATATTATCAACATGTTCGCCGTAGACTGCAACCAGGTGGCCATGTTCGGCAACGAAAGCAATGAGTACGTGAACATGTTCGGTAAGATGGTTGTGTCGGTGGTATTCCTGTGGTTTTTGATCGGCTGGCAGAGCCTGGGTGCTGGCCTGTTAGGCTTGCTGATCGTCTTCCCCGTTAACGAGGCCCTGGCCCGGCGGTACGGAAAGAAGCAGGAACTCCTGATGAAGGTGAGGGACAAACGAGCTGCGATCACAACCGAAGCCCTGCAAGGGATCCGTCAGATCAAGTTCTCCGCTGCGGAAGACCAGTGGGCCGATAAGCTGGAGGCCGTGCGCGAAGAGGAGTTAGCCACGCTGTGGAGCACTCGTCTCGACAATCTCTACATGACCATCGGATCCGAGTTCACGCCAGTCGTGCTGACTGCCATGTCTCTGACCACGTATTCGTACATCCATGGCGCTCTTCAGCCGTCTGTTGCGTTCACTTCCATCAGCGTCTTCCTCCACCTTGAAGGAATTGTCTCTCGCATCCCATATTTGATTGTCACCGCCATCACTGCCAAGGTCAGCTGCGACCGACTCGATACGTTCCTGCGGTCGCCCGAGAGAGAAGTCACTACCCACCCCGGTGAGGCCATCTCACTCCACAACGCGTCTGTCAGCTTCCCTTCCGTCTCGCTCAACCCCCCGGCCGATCGGTTCACCCTGCGCGGCCTGAACCTGGACTTCCCAAACAACGCCCTGAGCATCATCTCCGGCCCCACGGGGTCGGGAAAGTCCTTGTTGCTCGCAGCAATCCTTGGAGAGGTGGAGGTGCTGGAAGGCTACATCCATGTTCCGCGCGATGCCGTCCCCCAGGAGCGCTTTGATGCACATGCCACCGCGGCGAACTGGATACTCCCGACGGCACTCGCCTTCGTCTCACAGACTCCCTGGATTGAGAACGCCACGATCAAGAACAACATCCTGTTTGGTCTCCCGTTGGACCCGGTCCGGTATGATAAGGTTGTCCATGCGTGCGCTTTGACCGCGGACTTGGCTCTGTTTGAGGATGGTGACCAGACCGAAGTCGGCGCGCAGGGTATCAGTCTCAGTGGTGGCCAGAAGTGGCGGTTGGCGTTGGCCCGGGCTCTGTATTCCCGTGCTGGAATTCTCGTTCTGGATGATGTGTTTAGCGCCCTTGACGCCCACGTCGGAAAGCACGTCTACGAGAATGCCGTCATGGGTCAGCTGGCAAATGGAAGAACACGCGTTCTGGCCACTCACCACGTGTCTCTGTGCTTGTCGGGCGCAACATACGCGGTAGGCCTGGCTGCGGATGGCACACTCGAATACGCGGGCTTCGTCGAGCAACTCAAGGCTGATGGAAAGGTGGACTTGACGTCCGATACGGAGGAATCAGAGGTCCTGATCGAGGATGAAGAGCTGACCGATTCGGATACCCCCGTCGCTTCACAGACCGAAGTCAATGCCGCTCCTCGACCTCCGCCAAAGAAGCTCATCGAAGATGAAAAAGTAGAGTTGGGACGCGTGAAGACGTCGGTATACGCCGGGTATCTGGACGCATGTGGCGGATGGCCATTCTGGGCCTTCTTGGGCATTCTCTTTGTCATATCCCAGACCTTCACCGTTGGTCGGACCTACTGGGTGCGCATCTGGACCACTGCCTTTGGGGAACCAGAGGTTTCTTCGCAGTACGCGGCATGCCATTATCAAAACGCCATGCAGACCCAGCTAGGAGGCTATTCAACCAACTCGCGATGTGTCACCGGCGCGGTCTCTTTGCCTATTGAAACCCAGCACCGGAGCCTGCAGTTTTACCTGGGAATGTACTGCCTGATCTCAACCATCTCTGTTGCCCTGTCCGTCAGCAGGCTATTCACCATCTACTCGGGATCTATCCGCGCATCCCGGGCCATCTTCAAGAGCATGCTGAACAGTGTTCTCCGAGCCCCTCTACGCTGGCTGGATACCGTCCCGACCGGACGAGTTCTGAACCGCTTCACAGGTGATTTCAACCTACTTGACTCGAATCTGGCTGAAGTCTTCTATGTGTTTGCTGGATGCTTCTGGGAGGTCATGGGCATTCTGGGCGCCGCCATATTCATCTCGCCGTTCATGGTCCTGGTTGCGCTTTTCCTTCTGGGAGTATGTGTTCTGTTTGGGAGAGGCTACGTCAGCGCTGCCCGAAATGTCAAGCGACTGGAGTCCAACAGTCGGTCGCCGGTGATCTCGCATTTCTCTGCCTCACTGACTGGTCTTTCCACCATCCGGGCCTTCGGGGCCTCCCCCGAGTTCATCCAGCGTATGTACGGACTGATCGATACGTATGCCGCCTGCACGTGGTGCGACCGTCTCCTCTGGGGCTGGCTCCACCTGCGCATCGCCTTGATCGCCAGCCTGTTTCCCGCGGTGGTGGCGGCCTTCGTCATCACCTCCCGCAACGTCGATGCCGGTCTCGCGGGATTTGCCCTTTCGTTTGCCTTGCAGTTCGGCATCTCGGCTAGCTGGGGTATCCGTATCGCCACCCGCGTTGAACTCTCGATGAACGCGACCGAGCGCGTGTTCGAATACCGAGACCTGCAGATCGAGCCTCAGGACGGAGAGTCCGTGCGGGCTAGTTGGCCAGAGAACGGCCGGATCGAGGTCAACGAGATCGAAGTTGGCTACGCAGCGGGATTGCCGTCCATCCTGAAGGGGCTGACCTTCACCGCGGAGCCGAACCAGCGCATCGGTGTGGTCGGTCGGACAGGTGCCGGGAAATCGACATTGTCTCTGGCTCTGTTTCGTTTCCTGGATACACGCCGGGGCAGCATTATGATCGACGGCGTCGACATCAGCAAGATTAAACTGCACGACCTCCGCACCCGCCTCGCCATCATCCCGCAAGACCCGGTCCTCTTCTCCGGCACTATCCGGACCAACCTCGACCCATTGAACCAGTTCACCGACGACGAAGTCCGCGAAGCGCTCACCCGGGTCCATCTGATCCCGTCCGGAAGCGCAAGCGGAACCACGACGCCCCAACCTCTCCCCGAAACCACCTCTGGAAACACCAACATCTTCCTCTCGCTGTCCTCTCCCATCACCACCGGCGGATCCAATCTCTCGCAAGGCCAGAAGCAGCTCCTGTGTCTCGCGCGCGCTATCCTCTCTCGCCCCAAGATCCTCATCCTCGACGAAGCCACCTCCGCCGTCGATATGGCCACCGATCTGCTGATCCAGCGGTCTATCCGCGAGGCGTTCTCCAACACCACTCTGCTGGTGGTTGCGCACAGACTGAGCACCGTGGCCGACTTTGATCGTATCTTGGTGATGAAGGAAGGCGCCGCCGCCGAGTTCGGGACTCCGGGTGAGTTGGTGAGCACCGAGGGAGGGCTGTTCCAGGATATGGTCAGTAAGAGTGGCGAGGAGGAGAAGTTGAGACAGATGATGTTGGTGAGTGAGGAATAGACGTAGAGAGTTGCAGCCGCTTTGGCTAGCTAGCTTGCCTGGCTTTGGAAGGCTCAACCGGGCCTCTGACGCTCCTTTCGCCGGAGCGGTCTTCCTGCCAGATTAAGTGCATGGGATAGACCCACTGACTAGGGTTAAAATGACCAGACCCCTAGTGAGGTGTGATGATGATGATACATGTTTTGGCAGATTGTAATGTTTAATTAGGGTTTATAATAGATGATTTGGATTTCACGGCTTAGCTTGGCCCCTTCTTCTTCCTTGGCCTGCGGTTTGACTGGTAACGCCCGATGGGGGGGGGATTTGCAGCTTCTGCTCAACAAGAAAGCGGGGTTTTTTCATTCTCATTTTTTTTTTTTTTTAAAAAAAAAAATAGAGTAGTCTCGGTGTCTGGAGCATTTTCAACGCGTCCACTGTCCAGTTCAGGGGAGTGATGGTTCGAAAATCCAGACTAATAACTAGATGCAGGTTCAGTAAACTCGGCTCGTTTATCGTCTACATCGACCTGTGAACAGCTCTTTCTTTGAGCAAGGAATACTAATCAAAACAGTCATTCCAATTGATAACCTCATAATTCCTTCCACTCCCTATCCTGTACCCTAGGTAACCCCCCCTACCCTGTATCCTAGGTATCCCCCCCCTACTCACCTCACTCCCTCACCATCAAACCCATCTAATCCGTTACCGGACACCAATCGTAATTCCCATTCTCATTATTCCCCCACCACGACGGCATATTATGCGCCGCCCCGGCCGCCCCAAACACCGCAAACGACAGAATGAACACGACCGTCAGACTCGCCCCGTCCAAGGCGCCCGTGATCAGGTACGAGTCCTTGAACAGCTTCGGGTGCCAGTTCCGGAGATAGTACTGCACGAAGAAGCCCGCGATCACCCAGCTGAAGATCACGCACGTTTGCGATTGGTTGTAGGGGATGTAGCCGGCGTATTGGATGAATTGGGGCATGTTTACTTCGGAGACGTCGAAGCCTTTGATTTTGGGGTAGAACTGGGTGTACGTCAGTTTTTCTGGTTGTAATCCGTGTTGATGAGTTGATGAGTCGGGGGTTGATGTGGGATGTGTAGTAGTGCGTTGGGGGGGGGGGGGGGGGGGGTTGATTGGGTTAGGTGGATAGTTGGTAAGTAAGTAGGTGTAAGGAAGTAAGTATTCACCTGATAAAAAATCCGATGCACCACGACCGCCGCAGCCCCAATCAGCAGCCCTATCGGCACCATCGCGTACTGCATCCCGACCTTATATAGGTCTGCCGCCAGCGCCCACGACGTCGCAATAGTATTATACGACTGCATCGTCGCGCCACTCCACGACGAGTTGCCGTTGCCGTTGACGAGAAGCGCCTTGTTGGCCGACACGATCGAGATCATCACCGCGTAGTTGATGAAGCCGCCCAGGATGGTGCCGTAGATTTGGGTGAGGAACATGACTCGGGGCGGGATTTTGACTATATATGTCGGTCAGTATTGGGGGAGGGGATAAGAAGGGTGAGCTGAAGAGGGTGCTCCGGTGCTTACGGTATTCGCCCATCTTCAGGTCGTTGGACAGGCTCACGGCGTTGGAGATGACGTTGTGCGACCACGCGGCGAAGTACATGTTTCCGACGGGTCGTCCGGGGATCATGAGACCCGCGAGCATCTTGGACAGGTTGTTGGTTGCGATCCCGTTGCCGTAGCGGGAGTAGAGGATTGTGCTCTGGGAATTGTCAGGATGGGCCAGCTAGTGCAGGGGGGTGGTGTATTGGACACTCACGAACGGCGCGACGATGATCCCCACCACCAACGACACGATGTACGCCCAGACAGGCAGGGAGATGTCCTCCTTCAGCACCACCACCAGCCCAAGCACGAAGCTGATCACCAGCACGGCCACGTACCACCACCACGGCGTCTCCCTGTAGTGCTTGGCCATGTGCTCGTGGTGGCGATCGTCGTATCTGCCCTCCTTGGCGCTCTTGTACGCCCGCTTGATGTCGCTGCCCCAGAAGAGGATGCAGTGCATGATCAGGGCGCCGATCTAGATTGAGTCAGTTTGAGATGGGGGGATGCAGATTCAATCAGCACTTACGGCAGCATTGGCCATGAACATCGAGAACGCGAATGTGCCGGTCAGCTTGGGTAGCCCGTACTCGGCCAGCGCCGCCTTGTCGAGCACTCCGCCAGGGAACACATCGGTGACCGGGTATGTCGTGCCGTTGGCCATCAGCAGATCCGTCGACATGAAGGGCAGTGATCGCGAGTTCCAGCCGTTGCCGTAGTAGATTCCCGCCATCGCGATGAAACATGCCACGAATCCGAGACCCTGATGAACCTGCAGGTTCAGGGGGAGGGAGGTTTGGAAGGAGGTGATCTACGTGGTCAGTGTTGTTGCTTATCTCATTGGGGGGAGGTGGGGGGAGGGAGGTGAAAGTGTATCAAGATCTATTTGATACAGAGAAGTAGCACGGCTGCATTGGCCAGGGGGGATCAGGAGTCTTACATATTGCCAGTCAAAACTCAGGGAGAACAGCCCCATGCCCTCGTTGTTCGAGGCTCCACCGAAGACGTTGGTGAGAACATCAGCCGTGCTCCCCGTTGCCTTTTGGGCCGCCAGACACTGTTACCATTGATCAGCGACATTCCTCGAAACATAAACCCCCAGAATCAGGCAACGGACCGGGATGGAGACCGAGTTCAGCCATGGGAACACATAGGCCGGGATGATCTCATACAGCGACATGCCGGTGAAGGCATACCAGAAGTATCGCAGCGGCTTGGAGTTCTTGACCTGCTGCCAGTGCAGACCCTGCAGGGTCTTGATCGTCGGCAGGGTGCTCCAGTAAACCGCCTCGACGTGCCACACGGCGATGGGCCGCATGATGCCGCACAGCCCGTAGCCGAACAGGCCGATCGAGATCGTGCTGCAGACGACCGTGACGGCGCTGAGGGGCATGTTGTAGAAGAGGTTCTGGGCCGCGAAGACGACCGACGAGTCGGAGGCGTTGGACGCGGACGTGGCCGTGATGGCGCAGATCGAGTGCTCCTTCAGCGTCCAGGGCCCCGGGTTCAGGAACTTGAGGATCTTGATCTTCAATGGCAGCTCGCCCTGCCCGCCGTCCGCCCGCCACCGGGCCTCGAACTTGTCGCCGCGGGGGAGGAAGTTGGCCCAGGCGTTGCCGACGAAGTAGGCAATCAGCACGATGAAGGTCCCTTGGATGGTGACCGCCGTCGGTTTGAACTGGATGGGGTCAGCAGAGGGGGGAGGTGTCAGCGCAATAGGTCTGGTACGTTGTAGATCTGGTTCATGACGGCCTGGAAGCAGGCCAGACCCGAGGCCAGCACGATACTCCGGAAGGTCAATGACCGGTCGAAGTCATCCCGGAGAGGCAGCAGGTAGCGAGCAGCGTCCTGCCCAGTGACGATGATCTCGTCTCCCTGGCCGTCATCGTTGCTGATCTCCCCGTCCGTCACTTGGACCTCATCTTTGCCGTCCACCACCGTGACGGTGGTCTTCTCGGTCACCTCCTGGTTGGAGACCGTGACCTCGCCCTCGATGGGCGCGTTGGAGCTGAAGATCGCCATGTTGGATGCCGCGGGCTACGGAGAGGAAACGCTCGTCGAATTGGTCGCCCAGGCTGGATACCCTCCGACCCTGGAGGCCTCTCTTATAATGCCAGGGGTGCCACAGACCTGCCTTATCGGGCCAATGTGATCCGCTGGGGGGGATGATACCACCCCCCCTTCCCGATAATGAGCATCGCGACGAAGCGACGAGGGTCTCCTCGCCACAGGCCGAGCGGTGCTAGTGCGTGGTGGCTCCCCCCCCCACGAGCAGGCCCTCGCGCCGTTAGCTCTGGTCCTATCTCCCCCCCCCCGCATCCTCCAATTGACTTTGCCTCTGGCTCCCAGGGCCTCTACCCCTCCTAGCAGGTGCACTGATAGCGGGGTGAGGATCATTGTACTCGCAGGTACTCCGTAGACAGCAACAATATAGCCCGCCCATGGACACATGAACCGTGAACGGAGAAGTCGTCGACGGTGTCGAGTCGGGCGCAGTGGTCAGGGTTGACGCGAATGCCATCGCGAGGGACTCTGACGCCATCCGCGGTAGTCAGGGTAGCGAGGTTGGTCTGAATCCGTTGGGAGGGTACACAGGCAAGGACACCCGGAGGGGCAAGGATGAAGAGAATGAATGGCTATCAACAGGCGGGGGGGTCTGGACGCAACGCATCGGCTGGCTCCGGAGCTCCCACGGAGTCCCAGCGCCACTTTCCAGGGGTCGCACCACTCTCTCCCTCTGTTGTAACCCTCCCTCCGTCCGCGGCTGTCTCCGATAACGCCATGTCTACCCTAAATTGCTACTACCGCCTCCTACCATGGCGGTCACACCTGACGGTCCCATGTCCTGGACTGTCAAGTCCCACCGGCGAACAGGTTTACTACACAAATGGACAGGGGTTGGTTATAGTATTGGAGGGAGGCTAGGTTCGCCGCCGTCCCTCTCCAGCAAAACACAATACTAATTGGTTGGTTACATGGCGAAGGGAAAATGTGATACCCACCAGCACCCATCACAGCGCGAAGGACTATCTAGATATCGCTGAAACCCTTACCCACCTGGTCGCTCGCGTGACGGGACTCGTCTCCACCGGATACTCTCCCAAGTCCCAACTGCAGGTCATTGCCGGAGACCCACGTGGATGGACGGATGCCCTTGCTGCGAGCGTTGTACCGGTCAGCACGGTTTTCTTCGCGCAAAAGCTTCTCTCTCGACTCGGGTCCTGGGTGGACGAGGCCATGTACTGTGGTGTCTGATTTTGAGACATGTTCTTTCCATACATGGGTCTGGCTGCTAGGCCTGGTTTATCCATTCGCTAAGTCGATGTGGTCCTGGAAAGGGTCTGCCGCAGCACCATGTCGATTATTTTAAACCAGAGAGTCAATCACAAACAGACCATTTCACATACTGGATCAGGGTTAGTAGTTCTTTCTGGCTTCAAATGTCGACAGGGACTTCCGGTAAATAACACGCAAGTACCACCGGAAATCGCGTGAGAGGTCATCTGGATATCTCATTCCAACACTCCTCCATTCTTCCCCTCTCCTCCCTCCATGAATATTTCTCCTCGTACTTCCCCAACAGGGCTGGTCGCAGCGAGCACGCCATTCTGAGCGGTCATGTCTGGCGAGGATTTTTCAAACGCTAACGAACCAACCAGATGTCTGGCCTGGAGTCTAATGCGAAGCGAGCTCGCCACTGAGACCTCGTTTAATCCCACCGTGGATTGGATTATCGGCGTACTGTCTTGATATCAAAGGGAGAAATATTAACAGCGAGATGAAAACGCCGAGGCAACTAAACACATGAACCACAACATCAACCCGTCGAATCAAACCCCATGTACTATACCAACCCCCCCGTCTGCACCCTCCCCTTGCTCTTCCCCAACAACGCCCGGATATCCGCCCACGCCCCCCCGGAAATATCCCGCAACGCACCCGCACTCTCAACCTATACCTGACTGTTAACAACCACCCTTTCACACACCTACCCCCAACACTATGCAAAAAAAGACAAACTTACCACGGGATACACCACACAAATCATCACACTCGCCCAGATCCACATCAACGAGACCACCACCCACCCCGTGAAAAACCCCTTGCTGTAAACGTAGCGCGTCCCGAACAGGGTAAACGGGACGAGAATCACCGCGACGGCGATGAAGAACAGGTTCGCGGATAGCGCGATGCGCTCTGCCTTGCGGACTTGCGTGGGGTCCATCGGTGCAGATTGTTCTGTTTCGAGGAATTCGACCATCTCGTTCTTGGTTGGGGGTGTGGCTGTGGATGATGATGCTGATGCTGATGCTGTGGCTGGGGGGGTTGATAAACCTGTCTCACGTCCTTTCGTCGCCTCTGTCTCCATGATATCCTCCACCGGGTGCTTCCCCGGAAACACCAGACTCAGCACCACCGCCGCAATGGTCCCCACCCCGAACGACGCCAGATTCCCCGCCACGGCATTCGTCACGTCGCCCGTCGTGGCCACGCTGATCCCCCCGGACCGTTTCCACGAGGTCACAAACCACACGATTACCCCCACCACGAACCCGATCCACGGCGCGGCAATCGCTCCGACCGTCGACATGGGCTTCCAGAGAAGAATCAGCCCCACCGGTACTGCAGCCCCCCCGACGATCACCCCCAGCACCGTCAGTAACCAGGTGAGACTGAGTCCGGCGACGTTGAGGATGGAGCAGAAGGCGGCCAGGATCAGGGCGTACAGGACTATGCCCCAGTGGCTGACGCGGACCAGGGCTGCGGAGTCTGTGTCCGGGCGGAAGTACGTCTTGTAAACGTCGAAGGTGAGAAGGGAGGACACGGCGATGAGTTCTGCCGACGTTGAGCTGGTGACGGCCATGAAGAGAAGGATCAGAATCAGCACGGCGCCGCCTTTGCCCATCAGTGCGATCGCGGTGGCTGGTGCGGAGAGACCCGCGTTCACTTGCTCGGTTGTCAAAGGATTCGGGTATGTTGGGAAGGCCGGGTTGTGGGTCAGGGCTGCGCAGCCCAGGCCCATGGCGGTCGCGAAGCCGAAGGGGATGCCTGCATCACCACCATCAGAAACTCAACTGTCTTCCACTCCAGAGTGTAGGGCGAAGGAGGAAGAAGCAGGGCTACTCACCATACCACGCAATCCCGCCCAGCAGGTACGCCTTCACCGAACTCTCGGGTCGGGACGCAATCGCCCGCTGCCAATACGCCTGGTCGAGCCACACGGTCGTGAAGCCCGAGACAAACAGATCCACGGCGAAGATCAATCCCCCGACGGACCGAAACGCCAGATACGATCCGTCCGTGTTCCGCGCGATCGGCATCTGCCGCGACGCTTCCTTGAGCAGGTCGTACAGCTTCCCCGGGCTGCCGATCAGATCGCTCGTCGCCGACACCAGGAGCCCGAAGACCAGGATCGCGATGAACAGGATCACCGTGTGCGTGTAGTCTGCGATGAAGGTCGCGCGGAGTCCGCCCACGATGACATATGCGGCCACCACGGCCGAGATGAGGCAGTTGGCCGCGTACACGTTCATCCCCGTTAAGGCGGAGACGACCTGGGCGCCGCCGAGGACGAGGATGGCGCTGACGAGCAGGTTCGTCGCGAGCCCGTTGTAGAGGTAGGTGAGGTGTGCGATTGGGCCGTGCCGCGCGAGGACGATCTCCGGCATGGTGTGCGCGCCGGGCGCGTTCGCCTTGATCTGCACGGCGATGAGGGCGAAGAGCAGGATCTGGAGGGTCCCGATGGCGCCGTACCACATCGGTCCGCATACGCCGTAGCTGTACGCGAAGGTGGAGCTGGTGAGAAGCGTCGCGGACCAGGTCCACGAGGACACGATGCCCGAGGATATGAGACCCGGCTTGACGGAGCGGGACGCCGTGTTGAATTCTTCCGCGCGATGGGTCGAGAACTGCGTGTAGCGGTTCTGCAGCCACGAGATGCCCATCATGAACAGCGCGAAGACGCCCCCGATGCCGATCACGATGCCGTAGCCGGCGCCCGGGGGAAGCACCTGGAGGTCGTGCGCCATGGTGGATTCAGCTGGATGCGGGTGATCACTGCGGAAGGGAATTCCCCGTGTGGCCTTCTTTATAAAATGGTTCGATGACGGCTGCATTGCATTCCTTGCATGAGATGCAGCGGCTTATCGGGGCGGGAGACGAAGGGAGGGGATGCACAGGCGCTACGCAGCATCCTGGCTCGCATGCGCCAATCCAGACGGTGGGATCGCTCTTATCAGCAGTTGGAGACGAGTCCTGTCACATCATTTGGAGGTCGTGCAGTTGGAGTAACCCGGATGCTGTCCGGTTGATCAGTTGGTTGATAACCATGCTGTTTTATCGGACGGTGGCTGTTCTAGGGCACGGCCACGCCTACCCCTCGGACTTGGAGTCGTGGGGTCGTGATAGTCTGATAGATAGTGGTCGGGGATTCCACACATTGTTTATCGAGAAGAGAAGATTCCGGGTTCGTGCAAGATACTATACACCCAGATGCACGGACCAGCTACTCCAACCGGTCAGTTCCATCCTCCTCTGGCTCCCTAGCTCGCCACCTCGCATCCAACAGTCTCTCCGGCCTCGTTTGCTTCCTCTTTCTGTTGTATTCTCCCATCATCACAACCCCATATCTAAACCCCGGTCCATTGAAAGTCTTCAGTGACCGTAAGATCAACAGCGCCGCAAATCTCCCGCGACGAGAGGCCCACATGCACCCTATACTTCCCAGCAACCGCCTGCCAGCACCGTTCAGACGCATGGTAGAAACTAACACTGTACTTATCGAGAGTGATGGCCACTCCCTTCCTCTCTCCGGCATCTAGCCTGACTTTCTGAAACTCCTTCAGCTCCTTCGGGGGCCTCCGGTGGCCGATCCTGACGGGGGGGAATTCCACGTAGTACTGCACCACGGCCGCACCGCTTCGATCGCCGATATTCTCCACGTCGCAGACGACAGAGACTGTATCACCTGGGCCGGATAACATTCCCTCAACTACCTTGACATTCTTGACGTCAAATTCGGTATACGACAGACCATACCCAAACGGAAACAGAGGCTCCGGGCTGTCTTTACGATCGTAGTGCCTGTATCCCACCGCCAACCCCTCCTCGTATCGAACAATGTTATTGTCGTCGCAGGGAAAATTGCCATGAGAGGGATTATCCTCATCCCTTCGCGGCCAGGAAAACGGAAGCCGACCACTGGGATTCACAGCGCCATTCAGCACCCGAGCGAGAGAATGGCCGCCTTCTTGTCCCGGGAACCACGCCTGGATGGCAGCAGGTACGAGCGAGAGAAACTGCGTCAGTCCGACCGGCCCGCCGGAGAAGTTCACCACGATGGTTCGCGGGTTATGTGCCGCGATGGCGAGGATTTGCTCGTACTGATGGGATGAGAGGTCCATGGTGTCTCGGTCGAAACCTTCGGATTCGATCTCGCTTGTGGTGCCGGTGCAGACGATCGCGTAATCGGATTGCTGGGCGGCCTGACATGCGGCGTGAATACGAGCAGGGACGTCGATGTGTTCGTGGAAGCGCAGGGAGGAGCCCTGGAACATGCGACCGAAGAGGGGCTTCGCGTGCAGGATGGCAGGGTCGGTATTCCAGCTCTCCAGCACGAGGGTGTAGGATTTGCCGGCCTCCATGGGATGGGTGAAGCGGCGCTCCAGCTTCGATTTGAAGAAGTAGAAGGACTCTGGTCTGAGGTCTGTTTCCTGTGGTCGGGTAAAGATCTTCTCCCCGTTGACGTGGACGATGGCCGGCCCGGTGGAGATGACGGAGAGGATATGGTCACCGCTGGTTACGGGCCAGACGTCGAAGGTGATGCGAGTGCAGTACTCCGCTGTGAGATAGGATGGCCACTGTTCCTTGATCATGTACTCCGGAAGCGCCTTCCACTCCTGATGGACCAGGTTCTCCCCGATGACTCTCCCATTGAACCATTCCACGCGAACCGACTCGGATGCGTCAAGCACAGAGGGATCCGCGTGGGGGAGGGCCCCAAATACGGGGATCCCGGGGGATGCATTCACTGCAAAGCCGGCCTTCGCCAGGCCCTCGACGGGGCTCACGGCGTGCAGGGAATCCACGCGGGCACTCCCCCCGCCGCCCAGGCTGGCGTTCAACGCATGGTGCCCGATGAGTGCCACGGTCGCATTGCCCGGCAAGGGCAGAATCCCCTCGTTTTTCAGAAGAACCATACTCTCTGCGGCCGCATCACGAATGAAGCGATCGCGGTCGGCATTTTCCACGGCCCGTTCGGGTGGTTCGTTAGGGTTGTCGAAGCGTCCGAGGCGGCGCGCCAGCTCCAGGATGCGCCCGGCCGACTCATCCACGGTCCTCGGACGGACTTCACCATCGTTGAGGGCCTGGATCAGTTTCTCGCCCCTCCATCTCGTCGGTCCGGGCATTTCCAAGTCAACGCCCGCATTGATGCTCGCCGCGGTGGAATACACCCCCATCCAGTCGGAGATCACCGAGCCCGCAAACCCCCATTCGCCTCGCAGAACACCGTTGACCAGGCGAGCATCATCCGCAACGTACGTGCCATTGACCCGATTGTAGCTGCATCTTGTTCAGTCTTGCTCTTGACTGACCCGCTCTTATCAGGCTCACCTCGTCATGAAGCACCACGGATCTGACAGCTTCATCACCAATTGAAACGGGAGCAGATAGATCTCCCTCAGCGTCTGCTCGTCGATCTCGGCACTGAGAACCTGGCGACTGTTTTCCGTGTCGTTGGCGACGAAATGCTTGGGCGTGGCGGCGATGCCAGCAGACTGGCATCCTGCACAGATTCAGTGACTGCCCTGTTATCTCAAGATTGACTGGCTCTCACCTCGAACAAATGCCGCTCCCAACACCCCCAACACAAACGGGTCTTCGGAGTATGTCTCGTAATTGCGACCACCTGATACTCCGTCAACACCGGTTCTGCGTTGTCATTACAGACGTACCTCGCGGCGAGCGGATGACGTTGAGTGTAGGTGCCAGCAGGACATTCGCAGCCTTGGTCCGCGCCTCGTTGGCGATTTCCTGGCCGTTGCGATACAGCAATTCCCGGTCAAAGGACGCCCCCAGACTGGTGCCGCAGGGGAAGCAGGCGGCCTTGATCCCGCTCACATAGCTCTCCCCGCGGGCGCCGTTGGGGCCGTCGGTCGACTGGAGTGGTGGGGTCAGTGAAATGAGGACGACAGACTCCAGAGGAGGACAGACTGACCTTGATGTGTGGGACAAAGACCTCGTCCCGTTGGATAACCGGGGTGCGCCACCAATCCTTCGCTGCCAGCAGAGAGACCTTTTCTTCCTGTGTGAGTTTGTGCAGCAGCACCTCAATGTCGGGAGATTGGGATTGCGATGCCATTGTGAGCAGTGTCTCAGGGGCAGTCCAACCGAGCAGGGACTCAGGCAGGGGGATGGCAGTCCAGACCCCCAGCTCGTGAGCTCGTCATCTCGGCCATGATTGAGCACTCGCGGGTGGGGACTATTGATAGCATACGGCTGGCTACTCCGCACCACTCCTACTTGAGTTAGGGCACCCGCCCGTCTGGCGTAGCCATCGGGAGACAGACAGGCTGGAAAAAAACTAACTACACCACTCAGGTGTGACAGCTACATCTGACAGGTGCTCGGATGCAGGCGGGCTCTTGAGCGGCGATCATTGTGGCGTAAGTGACAGGGCTTCCGCTCTAGAACAATCCTAAACTTTCCCTCTTGGGGAAAATCTTCGAGGGCTGGACAGTGTATTGGCTCAGGAATCAGGATGCTCACTCATGACATGCAGTCTTCGAAGATGGCCACTGACTTGACTGCTGCAAAGTTGGGGAAGAAACCGGTACTTCCTTACAGTCCGGGCTGACTAATTTCGACCCCAATTCTGCCCCAATTCCCCCCCGAATTCTTCATCTCGCACCACGACGCTGTAGAGCACCTCCATCATACAATCCACTCCAGCTAGCTATCGTTCCCATGGCGAGGGGAAGACCCAGATCCCACATTGCTCCATGCCGCTTTTGCGGGAAGGAGTTCAAGCGGTTGGAGCACCTGCAGCGCCATGAGCGCACGCGTGAGTGGCCCGAGCTGGACCCGCATATTCCACTCCATCCTGCCCATGACTTGGGGAAGAAAGACTGACCGTCGCAGATACCCAGGAGAAGCCGTTCCAATGTCATTGTGGTCGTGCATTCTCGAGACAGTAAGCCCCGGCCTGACCCGCCCGCCAATGGCGTCTGAATGACCGTTGTAGGGACCTGTTGAGCCGCCACGAGCGACTGTCGCATCCGCCACCGGAGGCAGCCGACTCGAGGCTTGATGCTTCACTCCTCCAGCCCGTGGGCACGTTTCCTGGTGGTCCTCTCCAAGCTCTGGATGGTTCAACCCCGGACGGGTCCACCAGCTTTGTCAATGGCATCGCTCCCGAGCCCGTTCTGGACCCCCATCCGGCTCACCTCCCGGACTTTCTCACATCCATGTCCTTGGAGAGACCACCCCACCCCCAATCAGCGACCGAATACGGCTCCATAGATGCCTCCGCGGCTGCCCCGGGTGCTGACTTTGGGTGGGACAATTTCGCCTTCTCCTTCCCCGACTTCATCCCGTCCCAGTTCCTGGACACGGACGTTTCACTCTCCGATCTCCTGGAGCAGTTCCCCACCCAGGAATCGGAGCCTCAGCTCCCTTTCCAGTCGCCATTGCAATCCAAACAAAACTACCTCTCCTCGTTAGAGGATCCCACGCCCTTTGATGCGTCCCAGACCGTGCCGCGGCGCTTACCGTCGATTGACGACCAACTGCCCAAGACCGGGCTGGACACCGAACTGGACACCCCCGGCAATCCATGGGCACTGTCCGCTGCCACTTACAAGACCATACTGGAGAAGGTCGCCCACAAGCGATCGGCTCTACCAGACTTCTCGCTCCCGTCCCGATGTGCCCTCGTCCGCTACCTCGAAGGCTACTTCCGCGGCTTCCATGACCATCTGCCCTTCATCCATGTCCCGACCTTCCACCCCGAGACCATTGAGCTGGAGCTTCTCCTGTCCATGGCCGCCGTCGGTGCGCTACATCGCTTTGAACATGTCCGCGGGCACGGCCTGTACATGGCAGCGCGATCTCTCATCGATCAAGGCGCCGAGCACCGTCGGAGACATCTGGTCGGGCAGCTGGCACGTCGGCCACCCTCATATGGGACCGCGAGTCCCGCTACCTCCCACTCCAACACCTCGCACAGTCACACAACCCCCGGCAGCGTGAGCCCCAGCGAGTCCCAACCCTCCGATCCAGGGCCACCCTTGGGCTATCTCCAACAGGCCCAGTCGCTGATCATCCTCATGGCCATGAGCGCCTGGGGGGATGAGATTCTCGTACCGGACAGCTTGGCGATGAGCAGCCAACTGGCGGTTCTCGCGCGCTCCCTCGGAATCCAGCGGCCCGACAGCTGCGGTAATGAAAACCTGACGTGGCGAGCATGGATCGCTCACCAACAGCGACGCCGTACCTTGCTGGTAGCATACTCCCTGTTCAACCTCCAAAGCATCATCTTCAACATCCCCCCCATGATCCCCACCAGCGAGGTCGGCCTCTGTCTCCCATCGTGTGAAGCAGAATGGAAGGCCTCGTCGTCAGCAGCCTGGGAGCGCCATCGCGCAGTGTCCGCCCTCGGCGAGCGTTCCTTCCCCGCAACCCTAAACCAACTCCTCTGCGGCCAAGACATCACGCAAGGCGGCCTCATCTCGCCCTTCTCCAACTACATCCTCATCCACGGCCTCGTCCAGAAGATCTACTTCGAGCGCCAAGCCGCCGACTTCATCCCCCAGCAGACTTTCCCGATGCGCCCCCAGTCTCTGGAGAATATCGAGACCGCCCTGAAGTGCTGGCAGTGTTCCTGGGAAGCAACCTGGGAGTCGACTTTAGATCCGTACTCTCCGAAGGGTCCACTCGGGTTCAACGCCACCGCGCTGCTCCGTCTCGCGTACATCCGTCTGAACTGCCACTCCGGCCTCTGTCACGATCTCTTGTCCGGCGACCCCATCCGCCTCAAATCCCTCGTCTCGGACTCGCACCTCGACTGTCTCTCCCGCTCCCCCTCCCTCGACAGAGCCGTGCTGCAGTGTATCCACGCCCTCAGCATCCCCGTGCGCGTCGGAATCCCCTACCTCTCCCGCACGCAGACCCTCCACTGGAGCGTGCAACACTCCATCTGCCATCTCGAGTGCGCCTTCCTCCTCATGCGCTGGATGCAGACCATCTCCAAAGCCGTGGCTATGGGCGGCATGGCGTCGCTCCGCGGGGACGAGCGCAAGCTGATCACCATGGCAAGACATCTGATTCAGGAGACCGATTTGGAGTTTCTCATGGACGGTCAGGATGGCGAGTTTGTCAATCTGGATTGTCTGACCGTGGCGACCGCGCGGCTGTGGGCGGAGATCTCCGGTGGAATTCATGTCTTTAACATTGTCCATCGGATTGGGGCGTCGTTGTCGAGCATTGCGGATGCGTTGGAACATTTGCTTGTGCGGTGATTCTAGCGAGCAGGTCAATTATCTATCATGATAGAAAATCCTTTGGATTGTTATATCAATGGTGGGCTATGGTGATTTCGAAATCCGATTTTGATCGGATGACGTTGTGGTTCGAAGATCTGTGGGGCACGGATATATATTCGGGATTGATATCCACCATGATTCGGAAATAGAAATAGAGAGAGACCATGGCAGTTAAAATTGACCGAGTGAATACCTAGATATAGAAAAATAATCATCCGTAGAGAAAGCAGAGGGTTAAAGCAGGTGAAGTGGAACGGGACAGCAGAGCCACGTAGACCGACTAGACGACAATTCACCACCCCATCATAAAGCACGATAATTAATAACCCTACATACCCTATCTCCAAAAGAGACCCCCTCCCCACAACCTCACAATCTGGCCAAAAAGCAGAACCAAAAAGAGAAAATCGCGACATCCCCGATTCGAATCCCCATTAACCCCCCCCCCCCCCCCCTTTTGAAATCGTCATCATTCATCATTATAATTGGAGAAGAAATAAACGAATTTCTACCCCAACATGCTCTATCCACCGGTTTTCTTGGCTTCGTGGATTCGATCGCTATGGTTTGGTTCACCACGGCTTAGAAATATCAATGCCCGCATGGAGGATCCATATATTATGGTGATCTCATATTCGGTAACTATGGGTACGTGGTGATTGTTAAGCCGCTCGGTGGGTGTGTTTGAGTTGGGTTGGGGTTGGGGTTGAAATGGCGAATAATAATAATAATAATAGCAGCAGGTAGAGGTGGTGAGTATATTTAACTGGCTGGATGGATGGACATATTGTTGTCGAGTATCTATAAAATCGGCTTCTGAATAACATATTTCTTTGTACGCGTCCTCTTCATACACATCTCCCCGAGCTATACATACTATATCCATCCCCCACTTGACAATGTCCTCCCAGACCGTCCTCCGCCATACCACCCGCACGACATGGGACAACCTCGTCTCCGTGCAGGAACCCACCCCCACCGCGGGAAAGCACGAAGTCCTCGTCAAAGTGCGCAGCGTGGCCCTCAACTTCCGCGACATTGCCATCTCCGTGGGCAAGTACCCCTTCCCCGTGAAGGAGGACGTGGTCCCCGGCTCTGATGCCGCCGGAGATATCGTTTGCGTGGGCGAGGGTGTCGCCGGCTTCGCGGAGGGGGATAAGGTCGTTGTGGCGTTCGATCTCGCCACCGCGTATGGCCCGATCAAGGGCTGGGGAAGTGGGCTGGGTGGGCCCGTGGATGGTGTCTTGAGGGAGTATATCGCCGTGCCGGCGCAGGCTGTTGTCAGGGTTCCCGAGGCGTCCACGCTGAGTTATGCCCAGTGGGCGAGTGTCGTCTGCACGGGGGCGACGGCGTGGAATGCCCTGTATGGGAACCTTCCTCTGCGGCCGGGCCAGTCGGTGCTTTTCCTGGGTGAGTCGAGCGGTGTCTGTATCTGAGAGGAGGTGTTGTCACTGACGACGCAGGGACCGGGGGTGTGTCGATCACCGGCCTGGTGCTGGCCAAGGCGGCCGGGGCCACCACCATCATCACGTCTTCTTCCGATGAGAAGCTCGCGCACGTCAAGGCCAAGTACGGCGTCGACCACACCATCAACTACAAGACGACCCCCAACTGGGCTGCCGAGATGAACAAGATCACCGGCGGGAACGGTGTGAATTATATCCTCGAGACCTGCGGTTCCGGGACCATCAAGCAGTCCCTTGAGGCGATCGCGTATGGTGGAATCATTTCGGTCATCGGATTCCTCTCGCCCGCCGCTCAGGAGGAGATGCCCGATGTGGCCGGTCTGGTCATCGGCAAGGGCGCCGTGGTGCGCGGCATCATGATCGGCTCGAAGCAGTTGCTCGAGGAAGCCGTGCAGTTCATCGGCGCTCGGGATCTGGCTATCCCCGTCGAGAAGACCTTCGCTTTCGGTCGCGATCAGGTCGTGGAGGCGTTGGGATATCTGGCCAGTGGACAGCATGTGGGCAAGGTCTGCATCGACTTCTGAGGGTGCATGGTCGTTTCATGGTATCGAAGGGAGTTGTTTGGCTTGATTGGTGTATAGATATATAGAATATGGTTTATGCTCTGTCTATAGGATTCTCGATCATTAGGGGTTGGCAAGGTATAATGCAGTTTATGCTTTCTCTATCGATCCGTGAGATATAGACAAGATATAATCTGCTCTACTTATCGTGAAACGTGATTCTCGCAGGCTTGAAGTGCACAGGTCTAACACCCTTCCCCCCTCATCTATTGTCTATCCTCTCGCACCATATTGCGATAGGGATTGTTCGGATCCTGCTCCTCCTCCTCCGCCGAGGGGACAGTCTTTCGCACGCGACATGGGTTTCCGACCGCGACGGAGAACGGGGGAATGTCCTTGGTGACGACGGACCCAGCCCCGATGGTCGAGCCCTGACCGATGGTGACACCCGGCAGGATGACAACATTTCCCCCGATCCAGCAGTCGTCCTCGATGCGCACCGGATGGCCGAACTCGACGAACTTGCGGCGCGAGAGCACGCTGACGTCGTGGCCCGCGGTGAAGATGTTGACGTTGGGGCCGCACTGGACGCGATCGCCGATGATGATCAGGCTGGTGTCGAGGGCTGTGAAGCTGATATGGTCAGCATGGTCAGATCGGATGGAAAGGGAACGGTGAGGTGGGTCGGTGGGCGTACTTGAAGTTGAAGAAGCAATCGCGACCGATGCTCACGTTGCAGCCATAGTCCGGGTTGAAGGGGGGCTCGATGAAGGTCCCCGACCCGACGTGGCCCACGATCTTCTGCAGCAGGTCGAACCGCACGTCCGCGATCTTCTCGTAGGGGACGGATTTGGCATCGAGGTTGTTGTAGTCCTGCGCGACGCCGCGGGCGCGGTGCCGGCCCTCCATCAGCTTGGGGACGAGGGGGTTGTAGCTGAGGGGGAAGGGGTCAGCCTCGCGATGCGACCATGCCTGGACGGAGCTCGAGGCCGTGAGTGATCGTACTCACAGCATGCCGGAGATCATGCGCTCGTATTCTTCGCACAGGGGGACATGGTTGAGGCCGCGGGCGATCTCGATGATCTCCGGTCGCTTCTCGGTCGCGGCGACGGACATGGTGGGGGGTGGTACGGTCGGGATTGTTGTGAAAGATGGGGGGTTAAGAAGAGTCTAGGTGAGATGTAAGGGGCAGGGGGCAGCTGGGGTTGAGAGTTGAGGGTCGATAGGATGACGGGTGATGGTGTTGATGGCGAGGTTGATGGAGTGGATGGAGGGAATTTGGGGAATTGGAGAATTGCGGGGAAGTCGCGCGGGTCGTTTTGCGCCCTCCGTCAACAAACAACCACAACCCTATCATCCGATCTGGTTGTGATTCACTCTCGTCGAATAAGTTCTCAGTTGGACCGTGACCGAATTGTATCTGGACCCCGACAGGGTCCTACCCTGATCCCTCTAAAGAAACGACTGACCTGAATGATCTGATCTGATTAGAACGGGGCATGCTGACGGGCCTGGCACTTCTGAAGGGGTACGCAGCCTGCCAGCCACCGTACGTCGCCCTTGTGGAGCCTGAGCCCTGTCTCCCTCCGAAAATTCCCCGACGCCCAATGAGACTTTTGCGTCTGATTTGGGCGGGATTCAAGTTTGTCGTCGGAGATCGAGACCAGATTCCAGACAGCCTGAGACGGTCCTGTCGATGTTTCAGCCTGCGTGGATGAGAATGGGCCGTCCTGACTCAGCGTCGAGTCCTTCGTCTTCTCTTCTCCCACACGGTCAGATCGACGTGTGAGGCTTCGAAGCTAGACGGTAGCCCATCGTTAGTGGAAACGCCCCTGCAAGCAGCACAAATGTGTACGGAGCAGAGCAGTGGAGGAAGAACCGCATCTCCCACAACGCATACGCATCTCATGATGGGCCGTTGGGACATGTCCGACGGACGTACATGCTTGATCAGACAACCGAGACAGACAGACTTGGCGAGCAGTGGAAGGATGAAGATAACTGAGGGTGAGACATCACTCTCAGCTGTCACCGTGGACGGCAAAAATAGCAGCAATGGCGGATTCGCGCCCGTTCCTGGCCGTTCCCATGCGTCTTGCTGATCCCAATATCTGCCCTGCAGGGACTGCGAGGGAATGCAGATCACCGCGAATAGTCCAGACACTATCTTGCTGGCCCAATATACCACCCAGTCTCTAGCCTATCTCGGATCTTTCTGCTTGAAAGTAGTGTGATATACGAACAATATTGATGATCCTGGGAAAGTCTGCCTAGCATCAGGGAGCTCATGGGGATCACTCGAACCTAGCCTCTCTCCTGACCCAAGAAGGACTTTGCTAAAATGCTGAATCCTGCGTCGTCCTTCCCTTCATGAGCACTTTCCCCCCACCCCACCTTCCTCCAGCGAAGGAATCGGAACCATGTCCCGTCCCGTGCAAACCCCAATCCAGGTAGCTGGTCGATGACAGCAGTCACAGCAGTCCCCGGTTGAAGGCGCGCGGGAGGCACGGCATCGTACAAAAATAATCCTTTCCACGCAAGCCGTCCCTGATGATAGCTGGATCGTTCACTTCGATCTTCTGGGCCGGTGGCTACCCTTTAGGCATACCCCCACCAGAGCAGAATGTCGGCTGCCATGGCTGGACCCACGCCTTGTTATCATCACCCAACCGGTGGGGACGTATGATGGCGACAGGTGGCTTGGGGTCTACGTATCCTGCGTCCCACCCGGCCAGTAGCGTCCAGCGAAGCCGTGGGGATCTTATCATATCCTGAATCTGAGTCCGACTACAGAATGCACCCTGCACGCAACACATCCAGCATCTTGAAGAATGCTGTTGCCTGAACCTGGTGCGATGGCCAAGGAAACGGGAGTTGTAGGAGGCTTTCATGACGTGTGTATACACTGTGATTGAAGCTATACGGCATCCGATAGCGGAACCTGCTCCACATCTGCATTGGCTTTGGTGCTGTCTGGATGTTGAGAAGCGATTGAGGCATACCCCAGTGACTACGTTGCTCTGCTTGCCGGGCGATGCCGGCGTCGTGTGAGGTCCTCGCCAAAATCTTCCATTTTGGGTGCGTATGCGGATTGCCGGGTCGGCACTACTGGATACCAAGCTGCAGCATCGCAGTTGATGATGTTCGGAATGCCGGACATGACTTGTGAGCTGGGATATTGATGCAAGCAAGCGTCAATTCCATTAGAAGCCTGTGCCTCTCGACATGGATGCAGTTGAGATCGTTACTAGATTGCCCACGGCAGGGTTGGATCGTGGCGCAGTCATCCGTGGTTCGGAGACGGGAGCATTGATTGATTCATCCAACACTGTTGAACAGAGATACGTCGTATACCAGGGGGGTGTCCCGTTGTTCTATGGCCAGGAACGCGAATCCCGACTCCATAGTAGACAGAAATCCCTGGCACCGGTTGTACTTTGGCCAGGATGACGCTGAGGGCCCACCCGACCTTCCATCTAGAGGTTTGCGTCAAGGAAAAGGCGTTCAATCGTGAGACGCGAACATCCCCATTGTTTCTGTCCCGTGGATGAAACGATGCCCGACAGTTGTCACAGCAGCATCTGACGGAACATTGACAGGATCGTGCCTGCGCGTCTTGCCCGGTGTCAGAGCCTGGCCAAGCCAACCGACGGAAAAACTTGGCATTAGCTGAGAGGAATGGTCGGTTGTCGCCAAAAGGCCAGACATTGTGCACTTCAACAGTCGAGTAGTCCAGCATCGGTTACATTCTTGTGTTTGAATCCGCCACCATACAATCTGTTCCTACATCTCTTCGCCGGAAAGGTTGCCGCCATCGCGACCATGTCACTGCTTCGGCCGGGTGCCAGAAATTTCCTGCGTCGCCAATAATGCATGCCGAGAATCAGGGCCAAGAAGAAAGTTCCATGGTTTGTCTCGCCGGCCGCTCCGCCCGCTTAAATTCATATCCAGGACCCCACGAGCCACGGACAGCCGCGTAAGATCCCAGATCAAAATCTTGCAGCCTACCGATCATTCCAGGGACAATTCCCCGGCGCGACCCTGTGAAATCTGCGCCGTCTACCCATTAAGCATAATCGTGGCTGTTCATGGGCGGGCCCGATTGCGAGTCCGGCCGGGTCTGACCGGGGATGTTTCCGCTTGCGGTCGAGGCCGTGTGGCTGGTGAGGTGCGCCAGATCTGAGACCGTTTGCAGAGTACGCGGCGGTGGGAAGGATTGGGAATGACACCCCCCCCTGAATATCCCGGTCCATCACGGGTCTTGATCCGTGATCGGCGGGATTTTGCCCTACGTATGTCCCGGATGAAGGATCTGGCAGGGTTTGGGGACCCTATGTTGGAAGGTCCTTGGCACTTGGCACCTGTGCAGCATGTCTAGAGGCATTGTTCAGGATCTCAAGACGAAGTCGCTCTGAAGGAATGATGGTGTCGTGGGCTGTTCTTCCTCCACGACATCCCGGATGCCTTCAACTGAAGAGAGTTCGCGTGGACCCTGAAGAGCTTTTTTCGATTAAGCTCGGCCCATCCCCATCGCAGTAGGGATCGACGTTTGAGGCGGTGCTTTGCCCCTGCTGGACACTCTCCATTGGACCGTTATTTTCTCTTGCGATGATTTACATTCCTGCGAGGGACTATTCCGGACTAGGTTCACTAATCCACCCGACCATACGTAGATCTGTCTTGCATCTGGTATCTGCAGCTCTGTCTCCACAGCTGAGCAACTGCCGCTTACGAGATCATCGTCTAGTCCGATTCCGACCTCCTACTGGCACGGTGGTAGGTAGTTACGTAGCGGCCATGGCTGCGGGGAAATGTTCTCCGGTTACAGTCCAGGCAGATGATGCAAAAACGGCTTCACTCGACCCTCACTCAGTCCCTAAAGCGATGCGCCGTATTGAATCTCCGCGACGTATGTCATGAGGCGTGTCAAACCCAACCGACACAGATTCTTGGGCGTTCCAGCCTGATAGGGCCAAGTGATGATGACGATGTCCCGAGATCCACTCAGCCCTGCAGGCAAAGTTGGTTCCGAGGAGACGCCGGCGTGCAAAGCTAATTGGGGATGCCTCCAGAAGTTCCAGTCCAGCCTCGCCACAACCCGTGACGAATTTGCCCCAGTTTTCTCCGCCCTTCCTCTGCACCTCTGCATGCTTTGTCCGGCAACACAGTCTGGAGTACCGCTCGCTGCCATCCGCCGGGACACGCACGCGTTCTTGGCCAACCCAGTGCCTCTGGTGGATCCAACAATGGGTTGCACTCTGCCGCCACCAGCACTTCCAACCTCCGCCCAGGGATGGTTGTCCGATCAGGGCTCGTGATCTTCGTCATTATATAAAGGCCGCATCACACCCCCCCCCCCCTGAGATCTCCTCTCCAGACACAACAAACAGCCCATTCTTTCCTGAGAGCATCTTGCCTCTCCTTGTCCTGCTTTCCACTCCTGTCACTCTTTCAACAGGACCATCATGCGTCGTGCTGCGTTGACAGCCGGCCTCAGTGCCACCACCGCCTACGCGGCCTCTCTGGCCGATGTCTGCACCACCTCCAACGTCAAGGCGGCCCTGCCTGCCTCCGGTGCCATCCAGGGACTCACCATGATCCCCTCTTCCGTCACGGCCTCCCCCGTCTACAACGCCTCCTCCAGCGGGGAGGTCTTCTTCCCCGATGCCACCTACGACTACTGCGGTGTCACCTTCAACTACACCCACAACGGCCGCGATGACACCGTTGCCCTGACCTACTGGCTCCCCGCCCCCGAGAGCTTCGAGAACCGTTTCCTCGCTACCGGTGGCATGGCCTACATGATCAGCGCGGGCTCCGCTTACCTCCCCGGTGGTGTCATGTACGGCGCCGTCGCCGGTACCACCGATGGCGGTTTCGGAGGCTCCCTGGACACCGTCTTCCTGCTCGCCAACGGCACCATCAACTACGAGGCCCTCTACTCCATGGGCTACCACGGTATCGGCGAGATGACCATGGTCGGCAAGGAGTTCACCAAGAACTTCTACAACATGACCGATGACAACAAGCTCTACACCTACTACCAGGGTTGCTCCGAGGGCGGCCGTGCCGGTTGGTCCCAGGTCCAGAAGTACCCTCAGGTCTACGACGGCATCATCCCCGGTGCCCCGGCCATCCGCTACGGCCAGCAGCAAGCCAACCACCTCTACTCGAACGTTGTCGAGCAGACCCTTGGATACTACCCCCCTTCGTGCGAGTTGGAGCGCATCGTGAACGCCACCATCGACGCCTGCGACTCTCTTGACGGTAAGGTCGATGGCGTCGTTGCCCGTACCGACCTCTGCATGCTCAACTTCGACCTCAACTCCACCATCGGTCTCTCCTACTCCTGCGCCGCTAGCTCCTCCAGCGGCATTGGCCTTGGCTTCGGCAAGCGCAGCGACCCTGCCAGCAACGGTACCGTTTCTGCCGAAGGTGTTGCTGTCGCCAGCGAGATTCTGAAGGGTCTGCACGACTCCCAGGGCCGTCGTGCGTACATCTCCTACCAGCCCAGTGCCTCGTTCTCTGATGCCGCGACCGAGTACAACTCCGCCACTGGCGAGTATGAGCTCGACATCGCCTCCACGGGCGGTGAGTGGATCGTCCGTTTCCTTGAGCTCATCGATGCCGACAACCTGTCCAGCCTCACCAACGTGACCTACGATGTCCTCCGCGACTGGATGGAGCTGGGCTGGAAGCGTTACGAGGATGTGCTGCAGACCACCTGGCCCGATCTCTCCGAGTTCGAGCAGGCCGGTGGTAAGATCCTGACCTTCCACGGTGAATCTGACCCGTCCATCCCTACCGGTTCTTCGGTTCACTTCTACGAGTCTGTCCGCAGCATCATGTACCCCGAGCTGGGCTACAACGCCAGTGTCGATGCCATGGGTGACTGGTACCGCCTGTACATGGTTCCGGGCGCTGCTCACTGCGCCACCAACGACGTGCAGGCCAACGGTCCCTTCCCCCAGACCAACCTGGCTGTCATGATCGACTGGGTCGAGAATGGCGTCACCCCGACCACCCTCAACGCCACCCACCTGGCTGGTGAATGGGAGGGTGACAACGCCCAGCTTTGCGCCTGGCCCCTTCGCCCTCTCTGGACCGAGAACGGAACCCAGTTCAACTGCGTCTACGACCAGCCCTCCATTGACACCTGGAACTACACCTTTGACTCCTACAAGGTCCCTCTCTACTAAGCTTGCTTAGTTTGACCGTTCGAGGCTTCCTCCGGTCCCTCCGACACGACGATTTGATTCCTGTACATTACTGTTGTGCCCCCACTCGCTGTTTATAGATGTTTGCTGTAGCGATGATCTGACTGTGCCCCGGATGAGTGTCCGGGATAGCACTGCTTTCTTTACAATATAAACATTTGCTATCTGCATTTCATTCTCGTAACTCATATCTACGCCGTTAGATTCCGTTGATCACGGTACTGTAATGTCAAAAAAGTAGTATCTTCGTCCCTCTGGGGTCTTGATAAAGCTTCATTTGATATTCTTCTGAGAGGTTTGATTGAATTTTATTTATTTTATCCATCAAGAAAAAAACCAACGCCCAAATCTCAAACGCACGAAAGAAGAAAGCACTCATCCGCATTCACTGAGTTTGTTAGTACCCATCACCGTTTGCAACGCATCACAGCACCGACACCGAATCCGTCCTATCCAGAAATGCAAAACCAACTCCCCACACCCACACCCCCCCCAGTATCCGGAAAGTTCGCCAGTACCCATCACCACTGAACAAACTTTCGAAATCGATTTAATCCACAGGAAAGCAAAATCAAACCATCGCCCGAATCCCAAAAAACGAAGTTTGTCAGTACCCATCACCGTCCAAGCAAATCTCAAATATTTTCAACAGCCATTATATCTTGGCTTGAAAATAATAAACCTTCCAGAACCACATTCAATTTTCGAAACTTTCGTGAGCATCCCGTCACTGTTCATCCGCATCTCAAGTCCAAAGACCAAAGTCTCCTTTCCCGAACAACAGAAGTCACCAGTACACACCACGATCGGGCCAGGTGTCAAGAAACTTGAGCCTCCAATCACTCTTATCCAGCACGACGAAATCAACACCCATGTCTTCGAGCGCCTTTCTCAGATACATCAGACCGCGGTAGACATGCAGCTCAATATCCACCTCTGCTTTCCTGTTCCCATCCATAGCCTCCATCACCTCTCTGGGGTCGTAGAGCTGTCCTGTGGGATGAGAATATGTGAGGCGATCTTGTTCATGGGACGGTTGCTGGATGACGAGCTGGCGTAGGTGCGGGAGATGGGAGTTTCCAGCGGCTGCGAGGGGTTGCAGCTCGTCGATCAGCATCGGCAGGGACGGTCTCGCGCATTCCTGGATGAAGACGTATTCGATAGAATCCGGCAGCGTGTCGAGAAGGGATGTCACTGGGGTCCTGCCCACATCTCCGTCCGGGAACTCGAGCAGGTTCTGGAGTCGAATGCGAAGCTGGGTGAGGGCCTTGAACTCGCGAAGGGATCCGAGAATCTGAGCCGGACACTCTCGGGTAGAATGCAGACTTGGGTATCTCCAGCTGTCCGAGGCGAGGGTGATCCAGAGTGTCTGTAAGGTGGACCGGCGGTTGAAAAGTGCGCTGTAGAAGAGCGACGGGTCCAGAATGCCTTGCCTGCGTCGCCAGAGCTTGTAGTTGTGCACCTCGGTCGATGTCCATTCTCTGTCGCTTGTCGTGTAGATGACGGGGTGCCGGACGAGTCCGTCCTGGTGGTCGTACTTGAACGATTTGAGAGTCTCGCAGGACGTGATGAGGCTCGCGAGGGTGTTGATGCAGTTGCTCGAGTCGATCTTGATATGCGTCACGCCGGAGGGCCCGATGGGTGGGATGACTAGATCTCGTTCATCGTAGGAGTCCATCGCGGACGTCACCCGCAATCGTCGCATGGATGGGAGTCGCACCCACGGAAACGCATTGGAGAGAAACCATGGCAAGTGGGGGTTGTGCGCAAGGTTGATATCGAGATTGGTGAGGTGCTGCAGGCTGTTGAGGGGGATGCGTTGAGCGGCTATTCCTTGCGCAGCCCGATCACTGTACGTGCATGTGTCGTCGGGGAGGTGACAGGTCTTCATTCGCAGACTGCGCAGGTTGGGGAGGTGCAGCAAGAGAATGGCAAGCCAGGCATCATCCTGCCCGAGGAAGAGCGCAACCATCCAAGGCAACTCTTCATTTGGAGGGAGACAGAGGGTCCCCAGCCTTTCTCTGATTAGTACCGGATTCATGCCGAGGATCTCTGTCGATGTCTTCCCGAAACCCCAGCATTCCACGCTGACTTTCTGGACCGAGGAGGCGATGTCTTGATTGCGAAGAATCAGCTGCGTGAAGGACTGTATGGTGGCTAACCCTCTCATCCCGACTTTGAATTTCTTGTACAGGACCGGCATGAAGAGGTTGTAGGATTGACGGCAGACGCGCAGCAGGGATGCCTGGTCAGCGTAAGGAAAGTCACTTTCAATGCCCAGCTCGTCCCATATCTGCAGCAGGATCTCGTTGGGGAGCGTAAGTAGCGCCATCGTGGGCCTGCAAAAGGTTGTGGATGTTTTCAAGGATGGATGGGAGAACTCATGAGCTGAGAAGGAGGGGATTTGATCGCCGGTTCAGCGGAGGATGAACCCGGCTATCTCTTGGTCCAAACTGGCTGTGAAGCATGTCTGTTGCTACCCCTCAGTGGTATCCATCCCGCTTTGGAGTGACTGTGAAACCAGACATCCAACTGCAAGTGTTGGTCTCTGTCACAGCTGGGCTGTGCCTGCAGTGGGCGCATGCAGTGACTGCCCTCCGCGGCCCTGTGCATGTCTTGCAGCCATCAGCTCTCTCTCCCTCCCTCTGCCATTTCCAAGTGACAGCCATTATTACCAATGATGCTACGGTCTCATGGGATTGCTGTAGGCTCCCGCCATCAACCCGCATGGACAGAGGGCTTAGCCGCCTCGTTCTGTGGTTGTCTTTTGAAACAGTTTGCTTTCACATTGGGCTATGACGACATTAGTACTCACATCCATTCACGCCATAGCAACAGAAACCTGGTACATGCAGTTTTCAGATTGGGATTGGTTGGAGATGTAGTCTAATTAACATGATGTTTGGAAGTCCATCAGTTTCTCCGATGGATTCACTGCCTGGTTTATACTACCGCGTACCACTCCCATGTGCTCTGGGCAAACATCCTGACTCTGGTTTCAGGTCATGCACTGTCAGCCATGGATAGAGTGAGGAGAGTGAATTATGCCAAGGCTCCCATCCCAACCAAAGCTGCGGCAAAGAGCAGGACACCACTCATGCCATACATGGTGCCGCCCGAAGTAGACGTCGAGGATGATGAGGAACTGCTACTCGTGGCCGTGGACGTGGATGTGATAGTAGTCCGAACACCGGTGTTGGTCGCCGACTGCAGAAAAGGATGATTAGCCTGATTACCCCAAAGATAGACAGGGGTGGTAATTAGGAAGGCAGTCTCTGAAACATACGTAGTTCGAGGCGGCCGTGGCCGTGGCAGCAGCGCCGGTGGCAGAGGATGCGCTGGGTGTTGCGCTGTCACCGCAGGCCTCCGCTGCAGATGCCACCTCGTCGCCGTAGTATTGCCAGATGTTGTAGGTCAGGGCGCACTTGAGACAAGCGCTCAGTTCGGATTTGTATGTCGAGTTCGAGCAGTAGTCGCTGTCCTCGGAAATGAGAATAACGCCTCCTACAAAGTTTGATTTCGTCAGTCAATCGCAGGGATTATACAGCGACAGAGCAATAGCCCACCCTCCCCCTGGCAGCTTCCCCAGATCATTGAATGCTGCATCGGTATTAACAAGGGCATATTACGTACCGCAGTTAGCGTGACACTCATACAGTGGGCTGCCGGGCTCGATCGATTCTCTTCTGATGATGGGAAAGGAGCGGGGGAAGCTCCAGGCAAAGCTCGAAGTGGCCAAGGCTGCAATAGCCAAAACGAAGAGGGCAAGTCGGTGCATTAGGGGAAAACACAAGCAACACGCACTAGATGATCGGGTACTCGAACGAAGGAAGGTAATGTATGGCTGAGTTTGAACTGTAACGGATGGCTTGAAAATGGCTTGGAAGGTCAGAAAGCAAGGGTGATTTCCTTTAATCAACAGAAATCTCGGTGGTTTTATAGTCTTAGAACCTGCCAAATGAGAGGTTATGCCAAGGGCACGCCTTTCGAAGCATTTCCGTCCGTCGCTTCTTCCAGGCTAGCAGAAATCATCTCGTATCCAGCGGGCACCGTAGAGCTGACCGAACCCACCGCTGCTTTTGCGGCAACGATCCGAATTCTGTCAGACCACCGACCTCCGGCCCCTGCCAACTCCCCCGACAAAGCCCGCACCACCCTGGGTCAATCTTTATGCACTAGTGTCAATTGCTGCCCTTCGTAGGGCAGTATGCCGTAGTATCCGGGCGGGTAGTGTCATAGCTAGGCTGTATCTTATCGATGGAATCGAAGAATTGGCACGGACAGTTTGTCAAGTTAACTGGTCGTTGGCAAGCAAGGTGAGGATTTGTTAGATTAATCCCGCAGCCGATACTAGTGTCTTCGGGCTGATGCGAGCTCAAGCTCGTTCATTTGTCTCTTCGTACTAGTTTAGCTGGAAAATTTAGATAGTCCGGTCATCGGAGGTAAGCCTGTCTGCGGACGAAAATGGTGCGAGAGGCAGGGATCCTTCGAGGCGATAGATACTCGGGCCAAACCTTCAGATCTCTCTGGTCACTTCCATGTGGTACCAGGCCATGCGACGAAGCGAGTTCTTGGTCCATGGCTCCACAGACTCTAGCTGGGTACGAGTATAGGGAAATTCAACCAGCAAATGCTCTCCTCATAGAACCCGCGACGGCTAAGAGTCGGCCATCGGGAACCCGCTTCGCTTTCGGAGGAGTTGTACAAAGAGAGAAACCCGCTCCTCCCGCGGCCATTGAGTCATTGTGAGGGCCGGCGTCTTGGCAAGCAAGCCCAGGATATTATCCTGCCAGCAAGAGAGGTCGCAGACCCCCCCCGGCCCACAATTTATCTTATCAGATCCTGACCCAGGATCCACTGCTGCCGCCCTGGTGCCACCAGTTGCCCTGTCAGCTGTCCGTTCCCTGCCAGCAAGCTAAATGCCAAGGGTAAAGTTTCTTTCGCCGCAGGGATTGACCCGACTAGCCTGGGACTAGAGGGACGGGATCTTTGCTCTCATACGTGCTTTATCCAACCGGATGTCATGGTGGACCCGGATCTTATCAATCTGACATGATCTGATGTCGGGAATTTCCCCTTCCGGATGCTGTTGCTGGCCGTGCCGGTGGATGCGCCCTGTTGGGCCCAGCACAGGGCAGACTAGTGGCCAGGGATTGATACCCAGCCCACCGTTAGTGGATTGTGACCCTCCCACCACTGTCCTCCGAAGCAGCTCGCAAGCCCGCTCGGACTCGATGCACTGGAAGAGTGAGAGGGCAAGTGGAATGGATCACATGTGACTGTTAATGCGGACGAGGATCCGATTGGATCTGTCGACGAGCCGTACTCGCTGGGTTGACATGGTAGAGTGCGGTTGCAATAGATAGTGATGGATGGGTATGAAAATTTCCGGTTGTTCGCACCTATATAAGGGCTCTCGCGATGGACGAAACAGGTTGAGATCATCCGTCCAGCCCTGCATCCTCCTCCCAGCAGTTTGACAAGTTTCATCCCTCGTCGAAGGTCATTCAGCATCTCATTGCTCGAAAGGTTCCCACTTCTCTTTTCTCATCATGATGTCCCCTGTCACCCTTGTCACTGGCCTGCTGGCTACAGCTAGCCTCATGGGCTGCGGCGTCTATGCCGCGGAGGCGACCGACATGGGAGCTGCCGCTTTTCTGTGGCCTCCGGACCGTGCCTGGGGAGCTGCGCAGGACACCACCTCGCCATGTGGTTCGAGTGCAGGCGTCACCAACCGGACTGACTTTCCTCTGAGTATGTTTTTAACCCTCCGCTCTGCGTGTGTGTTATCGGCTAGCGATCCCTTCTTGTATGGATGACTGACACTTGATACTCTTTCAGCCAACGGTGCCGTCGCTATAGTCCTCCAAACCGAGTCGTACACCGTGAATCTTGCCATATCGTACGAAGACAGTAAGTCTCCGCCTTCCTTTCCTTCCTCTCTGTCCACCGTACATGAGCATCCCTTTGACATCTGTTCTGCAGACCCCACCAGCAATGCCGACTTCACAACCGTCGTATCGGGGAAGAACTTCCCGGACCTGGAACCAGGCCACGAGTGCTACTCGGTCCCGAACCCTCCCTCCAACATCACCTCCGGAGCGAACGCTACCCTGCAGCTGAAGTATGTGTCCGACTTCGACAACGACGGCAACGAGACCTACTATGCCTGCGCGGATATCAGTTACGTGACGCTGAGCTCGTTCACCACCGACATCCCGTGCTTCAATGTGTCGGAGGGTGATCTGACCAGCTCCTCGTCATCTTCTTCGTCGACCTCCTCGAGCAGCGGCTCGAGCAGTGGCTCCAGTGGGAGCAGTCTCTCCAAGGGCGATATCGCGGGAATTGTAGTCGGATCGGTTGCTGGAGCCGCGTTGGTCGGGGCCGGAGCGTTTTTCGTGGGTCGGTATTGGCAAAAGAAGGCGCAACGGGATCATGCGGTGGCCATGAACATGATGAACCCGGTGCAGAAGACCTGGTCCGCTTCCACGGCTGGGCGGCAGCAGCAGCCGGCGCAGGTCTGATGGGACCAGCACTGGTCTTTCAGGATGGGACGGTGTCATACGACCGGACATCACATCTGTATAGAATAATTGCCTGAGATGAGAAATGAGAGACGATGTTATCACGTGTATGAGTAGCTCTGGTGGTCTGCCCTCGGTGGATATCACTGTAGAAGCTTGAAGTACTAGTTATCATATGCGAGGGTCAGCAGAGATGGGGGAAGGAAAGAGCGAAAAGAAGTGTTCCCAATCCTGTCCGAATATACTATCCGGTGAAGTTGAAAACATATAGAACCCGCCCCACCCCCATTCACTGCGTACCCCGCCCCTACAAGGCACAAGTGGTAATTGTGGATGAACAGCAAGTAGCCAACTAGTTTATCACAGACCAGAACCGTTGTATGCAATAGCACTCGACCCCCCTTCCCCCGACTCTAATCCGATCACCGGCCGAGTTCGAGTCCCGCCGTGAGGCCTCATTCTGATCCTTTTCTATCTTTGCTTGTCATGTAACCGACTCTCCAATACATATATTCAAAGGGGGACTGAGAAAATCAGAGTCAATAAAGATAGTACACCTCGATCGGATCATCATGAACATTCACCGGTTGGCGAGGAATTGATGGGAACGGGAGGTAGATTTCAGTGGATTAATTTCCGGTTTGGCTGTGAAGCGGTGACAGCGGGCATGGTAAAAGCCTAAATCAAGAATAACTAAATAGAGAGAGGGAGAAGATGTCCAACTTTCTATGATACAGTACGAGTGTCCGGACACCAACCTCAACAACCACCGACTACCATTAACTATTTAGTAGTGCGTCCATTACTTCCAACCCCAGCAACCACCCCTTTGAGCGGATGATCATCCACCACCACCGCTTCGGTACAAACACACATGCAAACCAACACCGTCGATGAGCTTATTCGAACCTCGTGTTCGAGCCACCGGGTCCCCCCCCCACACCCAACACGACGGAAATGCCAGCGACCACTCAAATGCGGGGTCCTCCGCCACAGAGCCCATCCATACCCTGAAGAGCGCTCTGGAGCATCGTGATGAGCCATAAGAAGGCTGGGAAATTACAAAGACATCCTCGTTGCGTCATCTCAACCGCGGTCTTATATTCCCCGCCGCTGCCATTCAGTCATCCCCGCTCTCCACGGCAATACCCATCCATATACGGTCTATCAGTACCCAAAATGAAGGTTACTTCGGAAGTCACCCAGGAGCTCGCTGCTCTCCTCACCGACTCAGTCCTCCTGACGCCGGACTCTCCTGACTATGCTGCGTCGGTGAAACGATGGTCTCAGTCCGCGGAGAAAGAGGCGGTTCGTCTTCCTGCCTAGCGCGTGTGAGACCACTAACTAGTGAACAGGGTCTGGTGGTCATCCCGGCCACTGAAGCCGACATATCGACCGCTGTCGAGTACGCCCACCTATCCAATATTGACCTTGCCGTCGTCGGAGGCGGACATGCCACCTCTGGCTCGGGATCTACCCAGGGCGGCATCCTGATCGATCTGTCTCGCATGCGAAAGGTGACGGTGGACGATAAGGCCAAGACTATCACCGCCCAGGGAGGATGTCTGTGGGAGAATGTCGACCGCGCGGCAGGGGAACACCATCTGGCGACGGTCGGGGGCGTGATCAATCACACTGGCGTGGGAGGATTGACCCTGGGAGGAGGGTATGGATGGCTGAGTGGGCAGTATGGATTGGTGGTGGACAACCTCATCTCGGCGCGGATTGTCATCGCGGATGGACGCATCTTGACCGTGTCGAAGGACGAACACGCGGATCTGTTCTGGGCGATTCGAGGCGCTGGCCACAACTTCGGGGTGGTCACGGAATTTACCCTCCAGGCGTTTGATCAAACCGACCAGGTCTCCGCCGGACTGGTGGTATTTCCCCCGGACAAATTGGAGCAGGTCATTGAATTCGCCAATGGATTGGTGGCCGACGACACCGACGGCCGAGCTGCATTGTATGTGTTTCTGGGCTGCCCCCCGGGACAAACCGACCCGGCCATCACGACGGTGGTGTTCTCGACCTTGTCGGAGGAGGAGACCCAGACGCGATTCGCCCCGTTGATGGCCTTGGAGCCGATCCTGAATACCGTCACCCGGGTTCCGTATCACGAGGTGAACGGGATGCTCAATCCCATTGCGGCCCACGGTGATCGGAAGGCCATGAAGGGCTTCTCGTATACACTTCCCCTCCAGCCAGGATCCGCACGGACGTTGCTGGAAGAACTGACCTTGATCATCAAGAATGACCCCGACCTGATCCGATCGTTTGTCGTGTTCGAAGGCATCAATGTCAGTCGGATCGCCGCAGTCCCGCGCGAGGCGACGGCCTTTGCGAATCGCGGGCACGCCCGTAACGGGGGCATCTGGATGTGGTGGACCGACCCGGAGAGGGACGTGGCAGCGCGTGCGCAGGCTAGGCACCTGAAGAGCCTCACACAGGATCTGGAAAGACCTACTGAGGAAAGCGTCGCAGTCTACTCGAATTTCGTTGAAAGTAAGCGTCTTTGGCTTCTCCGTTTATCTCAGTGCTGATTCGAATCTGTATAGCGGGTGATCGCAGTCCGCGGGAACTATTTGGGGAAAATCTGCTCAGGTTGCAAAAGCTCAAGGCAGAGTATGATCCGGACAACGTCTTCAACAAAACTCACCCCCTTCATGTTGGAGTCAATGATTAAATGGCTGGATTTTCAAATCAGCCGTCAGTGTTCTATCGCCATAACCGGTGTCTAAGCCGTCCATGAAAATTGTTTCAATCGGGTAAAGAAGAAAAGCATGGGGGGGCCATTGCGACGGTGAGGTCGGACCTGTACGTCGCTTACGTTAGTATGAGTGTTGTGATCTAGTTACGTGGAATTGGCTTCTGCTGAAGTTGGAGGAAGTCGTGATGTATCAAGGCTGATACGGATGACGATGTAATACTTTGACAATGCGAGGGGAGTTTGAGTGTTTATAGCTGTAGCAGGTGACTATTAGGAATTGTATTTCGTCTTGCCTTCGTACTAAATCAGCCTCCAGTAAAATAGAGATCAACTCTCTGCTGCGCTAAATTCCTGCTGTGTCTCGCTCCAGAGACGCACCTCTCCACAGTAGTATCCTACCACCCAACCTTCCATACAAGTCAACACCCACTCGGATCCTACAATACTAACCACCCAACCAAACAAAACCTTCCACAGAAGACCAAATCTGTTCTATTCTAGCTAAACGCAGACGAGTCCTGCTCATAATCATAATGCACAAACGAGACCAGTCTCGACAGCACCGCAAACTCGATCTTCAACTTCACGGTATAAAAAAACGTCTTCAGCACCGTCTGCAAGATAAACAGGTCGAGATACTCCAGCACCAGCAGCGAGATATCCATCAGGATGATCATGGTGTTGATCCCGAGCAGCTGCTCCATGATCCGGGTGCGGCGCTTGCTGCGGTGCGGGTAGGTGTAGAGGAGTCGGAAGGTCTGGATGATGAAGATCGTGGAGATGATGATTTCTTGGACGAAGAAGCCGGTGAGTTGGACCTTGGCCCAGATGTTGTAGATGTAGCCAAATTGCGGCGTGCTGTAGACGGCGCCGTAGGAGACGATGATCTGTGGGATTTGGAGGACGATTGCGTCGATCACGATCATCCAGAGCACGAAGCGGAGGACGTGGTTGTTGCGGACGATTAGATGCAGTCGCGAGTAGAGCACCACCGACTGCCCGGTCACCATCACGGCCCAGCCGATCGTGGAGAGAGTCACAGACAGGCCGATCGGGGCCAGGTCGAAGTATTTCAGCAGCAGGCCCAGGGCCTGCGGGAGGATGCCGACGGCGGTGGAGATGAGAAGACTCCAGAAGTAGAGGCCGTGGTAGACGTGGAAGGCGAAGAAGATGACCACGACGAGCTCGATGGCGCCGTATATCGCGCATCCCAGGAGAGCCGCCAGGGTGGCCTGGATGGCCAGGCTATCGCCCGTATAGGCCCCCGCGATGCCCTGGACGGGGGCCGAGTAGTTGGCCATTTCGATGCGCCCGGAAGAGTGGCGATGCAGTCCGCCAGATACATGCTCTGCACGCTTTCCCTCCCCAATTGTGCCCCTGGGGATGGATATATCGCGTGCTGGATCGGCAAGGGACGACGAGGTCGGAGGTCCATCCGGGGGAAGGGGAGAGCCTGTCCTCAGGTGACCCGACGAACCGTGGATCGATTGACACGACCCCCGGAATATCGCTTGCAGCGCCAACCAGGGTGGTTTGCGTCTCGCCGGAAACTGGGGTAGAGTTTGGCGCGAAACCCAGACCTCGTCGTGTTGCACTGATCCGTCGCCGTTTAGGGTTCGGACGCCACCGGCGACTGGAAGTCTATTGCTGGGAGGATCCCCTCGTCTGCTGCCTCTGATCGGGGCCGTCTTCGCTGGGAACGCGTCCAGAGCAGTCCGGCGCACGGCCTCGTGGTCGTTCTCGTAGATGTCATACCTGATGGCGTGGGAAGGGCAATGTTTGTGGCGCTGAGGCCATCCAGGTCGAAGGAAGAATGTCGCCTCAGACAGGCCCGCGGGTGCGGCAATGCTCGGGCGAGGACTCTCGACGAGGAGCCCTCCCGACAGCCGGCTGGTTGTTTCAGGCAATGATGAGCGAAGAAAAGGAATGAGGAGGAGGGTACGGATGCAATGGTGAGACAAACCACTCGACTAGACACTCAGATGGGTGTGAAGATGGGTGTGAAGATGGGTGTGATATCGAGACCCTATTCAGACGACTATTTCAGTGGGGACCATCTTTTCTGCCCAAACACTCTCACAGTTGACTACCGGCAAAGGCAATCAATCCCCCCCAGACTACCTCGGATCTGACAGAAGGTTGATCATGAAAGACGGGCCCCTGTGGTTGGCTTTGGGTCAGGGGTGAAGTAGCCGTTGCCACCAGCGCAGGGGATACAAACCTAAGTACTCAACACAACCCAACAATCCTCTGGTTCGAGGAAGGTTCTACATGCATTCTTCCAGAGCCACCGCCAGAACACTCTGGACCTCACGTAGCCTTTCCTGCCATATGCCAAATGCGACCGTAGCGATATTGTCGCCGTGGTAGGCGAACCGAAGGAGAAACATTATGTGAGGGCATTCCAGCCCAGACAGGATGGCAAAAGCACCACGTGATTGTGTCCTCTTGAGGGATGTTCACTCTCATATAGGCAATGACCTGCATCGATTTGGTCTCGACAAGTCTGTCTTCCTCTCGCTCAACCCAGTCGCTGCCCTGAATAGATGATCCACGCGGAAAAAGCGACGTGCCAGACTTGGAAAAGTGGAGAATTCCGTTGCCAGTCGGCTACTTGACACCAACCAGACACCAACCAGACACTAACTAAACACCAACCAGGTTAATGGCAATGATGATTCTACCCCGCAGGAGACAGATATCAATTGCCGACGACGAGTTGGGATCTGAATTGGACGATCCCCCGCAAACCCTTCTACCGGCACCTGCGCCATGCCCTTCGCCAAACTCGCCTTCGACGACCTCCCCCTCGACAAGACGGGCCCACTGGGCAACGCCTGGGGCCTGTTTGGCCCGGACGACGAGTGTGGGATGCTGAATCTGTTGACGCTCGAGCGCACGAGTGCCGCGGCGCGGGAGATCCGCCGATGGAGGGCGCGTCTCCACCGACTGGCCGTTCGACCGCATCGCCACGCCGGCCGTTGGTCGCGCTGCCTTTGTCCAGGCCATCCTGACCCACGCCCCGGAGGCTGTCAATGATGAATCCTTGCAGTTCAACCCCCACAGCAGCTCCCAGTGGGACGGCCTGCGGCATTACGGGTACCAGGAACAGGCCCTCTACTTCAAGGGCCGGACCCTGGACGATCTGCTGACCACCAAGGGTAATGGGATTCACGGTGCGTGTTATTCCTCGGAGAAACTGGATAAGCGTTTCCTGATCATCCACAGCGTGGGTGGAAAAGGGTGGCATCGTGGGTGGCGGCGTCTTGCTGGACTATGCGGCCTGGGGGGCGGAGGCGAATGATGCCCCCATCCAGCCCTTCACCTCCCAGTCTATCCCAGTCTCGGTGTTGGAGCAGATTGCCACGACGCAAGGCACGGAGATGAGAACGGGTGGTATTCTGTTCCTCCGCACCGGCTGGGGATGACCACGATGCCCGCCATCGGCGTGGAATCCTCGCAGACGATGCTCGGTGGCCGGTGACATGCCCAGCTTCGAGGCCTGGCCGTGCCAGGACACCCGCTTCTGGCTGCATGAGTGGCTGCTGGCCGGCTGGGGGCTGCCCATCGGCGAGATGTTCAATCCCGAGCAGCTGAGCGAGGAGTGTCGAAACCGTTCTGCTTCAGCAGTGTGCCGTTGAAGGTGAGTCCTGCTGGAAAAGTGGAAGATCTGTTACTGACTATCCCTTCGTCGTAATCAGGTTCCGGGGGGAATTGCCAGCCCTCCCAATGGGGTGGCCATCTTCTAGTAGTAGTTTCTCGAACTGAGTAAGGGGAGTCCTTGTGTGACTGTGTTCTGCAATCCTGTACATATCTGTCAGACAACCAAGGGACTGTCATATCGTGGTAAATATACATAAAAGTGCTAGTGGCTGTGATATGCCGTAAAAAAAAAAAAAAAAAAATCAAAACAAAACAGAGAGGCTATGCAACGGATTGGAGATGGACCGTTCTGAGATGGTAAATCCAGAATCGAGAATGACATCCTGGCTAGAACTATGAAAATTCGATTCATTCTGCCCCAGGGGTGAATCAAACCACCTCAACATATCCATTCACTCGACCTACTGTGGAACCCCCCGAGAAAGAATCGACACACGTATATCCCCTCATGGATCCCACGCCCCCTTCGCCCGCTGCCCAGTCAACAGCTCCGCCTCTTCCCCGTCCCGGACGAGAAAGATATCCTCATGACGCACCCCAAACCGATCAACCAGGTACACGCCCGGCTCGGAAGTGAAGGTCATCCCGGCCTTGAGGGGGGTGCCGTGGTTGCCTTTGTTCAGGTAGGGGCTCTCATGCGCTGGTGGCTGTCAGCATGATCTGTATCTTACTGGGATTTCCTGTGACTCATCTTTGATGCCGATCCCGTGGCCCACGCGGTGGATGAACGCATCGCCGTATCCGGCTTCGGTGATGACATTGCGCGCTGCGATGTCGATGCTGGCGGCGCTCGAGTCGACCTGGAATCGTGTGATGGATTGCGTCTGGGCTTCGCAGACGGTATCCCAGACCTGAGTTATCAATGCACCCTCTTTTTGCTTCCTGGAAACGAACATACCTCCAGCGTCTCGCGCAAATGCGCGGGCACAGCATCCGGAGGCGGCTGCTCGAGAAACGGCGGGAAGAAGCTGCGGCAGATGTCGGACGAGTACCCGATGAGGTGGGCTCTGTTGATATTACTACTTAATTCTGCTTGGGATAAATATCATCAGAGTCCACTCACCACACATCAATCAGCACGAACGTCTCCGGCTCGAGCACCTTCGAGCCATTGGTCCCGCCGTGCGGATTGGCAGCGTTCTCGTCTAGACGCTGTCAGCTGTTACGATCCACCATTCCACCAGGAACAATGCACCCCCCCTAAGACTGAGTCCCTATCTCAAGCACGCCTCCCGTAAGATGAGCCAGTTGAACATACCAAACAAGACAATATCAAAGAAGGGCTCCATCCCCGCCGACCGGAGGGTATTATCCAACACCGTGGCGATCTCATTCTCCGTCAATCCGGGGTACAGACCTAACATATACGCATTCGTCAGGATTAATGCTGGAATATAAAGGGGTGAAACCTACCTCCCAGACCTCCCATTCGAGTTGACTGACGATCGCAAAGTACTTGAACGTGTACCCAGGCTCGACCACAAAGGCGTCCGCCCCATCGGCGAGCAGAGCCCGCGCGAGACGGTTGCGACGCTCCTCAAATGCATCAACGGAGATGGGCGCAGCTGTGTTGAGAAAATAGTATCCCGTCTCGTGGAGGTTTCGAATGGAGCATTGCTCGACTTCCTCGTACTGCGGTATTGCAGCTGGATACGGGTGGCGGAGGGGATCAAAGCTCTGCGGGCTGTTAATATAAACTCATAAACTCCGCGAGGAGACTGGTCTGGACAGCCCGAAGTCAACCTGCCTGCAACAGGGTGTAAATGCCGAGGCAGAGAGCAATCGCACTCCCGTACTGCCAGGCAGACCGCGAGGGATTCCGAGGCCGCGTCGGCTGCACCACAGGCGAATAGGCTTGTTTCTCAGACATGGTGTTGCGACGGACGAGAGAACCGTCCATCGGCCAACACCGTCGTTTTTATTGTGAGCGCGGGCTCTTTTCCGTCTGAGAGATCCGAGCGCTTGTAGAAGCTGACGAGGGCTTGAGAGGGGAAGAAAGAAAGGAACACAAAGCCTTTTCCCGTCGGCTGCAGGCTTATCAACGTGGCCGCGGCTGGTCGATGCCCCTCCTCGGACAGATGGAGAGCTTACGCCTCGTCCCAAATAGGCTGTCCTGTCCGAGGCTTATCAACAATGATCGTCAGTACCTGCCGGATAGACAGGATAGACAGGATCGGCCGACGGGCAGCGATACGGACAGGCCATATAACCATGATGGGGTTGCCTGTTCGGCGATTGAAAGCTGACACTGCTCAGCATGGCTATCGAGATCACAGACACAGATGGGGAGGATAGATCGCCTCTGGACGAGAAAAAGGAGGTCCGCATAGCCGCTCACGATGCTGTGGATGATGCGGCATTCATCGAGGGCTCGTCCCGTCCGAAATCCTCCCTCCAAACTGTCCGTTCTGCTGATGGTCGTCTTCTCAGGCCTCGCCATCGGCTCTGATGGCTTCAACTCCTCCATCATCGGCAATCTCGAGCTTGCTCAAGAGGAATCTGTCAGTATCATCAGTCTCATCTCAATCTCCCAACCATGCCTACCATCGCCAGAACATGGAGTCTTGCCAGAGCCGCCAACAAGCCCGCGGAATCGTCCTTCGGACTGCACGGGGAGGGCGGCGGGTCCGTCTTCAAGGATGACCGTCAACTCGATGACCCTCGACACTTCGCCCCGAGGGGGGGTATCGCTGTGAGATGCGGTCGATGGTCGTCGCAAATGCGAATGGGAATGGGACGGCCTCGCCCGGATCGTCGGTTCAGGACTCGCCGTATCCCACCCGACGGTCGACGGGGACGCTCGAAATGCCCAGTCGGCTCAAGGCACAGCGGAGCCAAAACTTCTACGATAAGGCGGTTGGCACCGTTAAGGGTAAGCTTCTCCGGTCCCCGATCGCGATGAGGAACGGAGAGTCAACCAGGCATCAGGGTATCCGGAGTCACGGCCACTGCCTAGGCCTGTTTACCAGACCGGTTCGACCATCACCAACTTCTTCTCTTTCGCCTCAACCTCAGTCATGGCTCATTCGAGACGACACTTTGACACAACCAGGATGGGCTGATGTGGGCGACGGCTGAGACACAGGCTTGAGCAGGATGAAGTTGGGTTCAAAGCTATGAGTCGGGAGATGCCATGTATTCATGTTTAGGATCCCATGAATAATTGGTCACTGTAACTTTGGATATTTTCGCTACCTCCGTAGAGATGACACAGTGAGTCCTGTCACGAATACGTGGAGGGGTGGAGCAAGGAACTAAGGAGAGGAATGGTTGGTGGTTAGGCCATGCCAGCTATGCTACATACATGAAGACAGGATAACATGACCACAACGGCTGCAGGGCTGCAGCTGGCTGGCTCCCAGAACACCAATCGTAGGACAAAGGAGTCCTCGTGACAGCTAAAGCTCATGTGCCACACCAATCCCTATTCTCTCGGTATGCTGGTCGCACTCGGAGGTGCCGTGGTGACACTCGGCTTTTTATTGATTGAGAATCTGGGTACTGTCCGGACTTCCTGGGAAGTTCTGAGCTAGGAGTTGTCGTTTTGCCTCGGGTGCTTTCCATCAGTACTAGCGACTATCTTGTTGAAACTTATGTCTTACTATGACACGAATAGGATTATACGTGGCCAGGCAGCTCAAGTCTCATTTCCATACGAGACGAAACAGTAGACGCAACACCGGTAGAATTCTGATAATATTCGCTTCTTGTCATGAATGATCCCTCTCATTAACACAGTACCAGTCCCAGTACCGTATGACAATTCCATCTATCTAAACGGCACCGGAATAGGCAGCACAACAGGGGTATCACTCCGCGCACTCGTCCGAACGAGATGCTCGAACGACGGCGCACCCTCCACGCGCGCGTTAAACGGGGCAAAATCCCAGAGATACCCCAGAGTGCGCAAGATCGACGAGGCCGAGTACGAGACTATCTTCCCCTGCGCATCCCTCCCTTTCTGCTCCACGTACCCCTTACCAACCCACGGGGAGATCAACAGGGTGGGAATCCGGCCCCCTAGGCGGTTGAACTCGAAGGTATATCTCTCCCCACTCGGGGTTCTGGTCGTGTAGGTCCGATTGTCGGGTCGGAGGGCCAGCGGGGGAGGGACGTGGTCGTGGAAGCCACCCGTCTCATCGAAGCTGAGGATAAAGAGGGTGTCGTTCCATTGCGGACCGGCGCGCAGGGCGTCGTACACGCTCTTGATGAGTCGCTCGCCGTCGGAGATCAGCCCGCTCGGGTGCATCGAGTTGGTGCCGACGCCGCAGCAGGACGGGTTGATGTAGGTGAATTCCGGCAGGGAGCCCGCGGCGGCGTCGCTGTAGAAGTTCTTCAGCGGCCGGATCTTGTTCGTGTTGTTGGTGTTGTACGTCCAGTTGAAGAACCCGGCATCTGGACCGGTGCCTCCCGCAGTGTCGTAGTAGTTGATCCATGAGTGCCCCGTCTCCGTCAGCTGCTGGAAGATGGACCGCTGGGGGAAGGCATGCTTGAGAAAGGCCATGTCGTTGCTGCCGTGGCCATAGGATGTGCCTGACACCAGCGCGGCCCGATTGGGATCGGTGGGCTGCGTCTGTCAGTTATCTTCCGGTGCAGTGGTCGGGCTCACGCACCCCCGGAATGTCCGAGTGCCAGTGGTTGAAGACGACAAAGTTCTGCACCAGCGTGGTCAGGACGGGCACCTGCTGCTCGGTGTAGTAGTTCATGACCTGCGTGGACAGCTCCGTGCGGTTGGCGGCGGCGCTATACAGGCGGAGCTGCTCGTGGACGAACCCCTGCTGGCTCGGGGTCAGCTGGCCCCCGGCGATGCGGGCATTGTCCGGGGTGAAGGAGCCGTAGAACTGGAAGTTGTTGCCGTAGATGGCGTGGTCAGGGTCGTCCGTGATGGAGTCGTAGTCCCTGGAGGCGCTGCAGACGGTGCCCTCGGCCGGGTTGGTGAGGTTGTACGGGTTGCAGTACGGTCCGTTCTGGATGGGATTCTCCAGTCCCTTGAGGGTCTGCCCGCCGAGCAAATTGTCGACGGACCGGTTCTCCATCACCAGGACGACCACGTTCTTGATCTGGGTCTTGAGGTTCTGGATGGAGGCATCGGAATGGGCCTGGCGGGGGGTGGCCGGGATGGCAGCCGCTGCGGCCGTGAAGGCCAGCAGGCCGAGGAGAGCACTGGCCTGCATCGTCGTGTGGAGGCGGGGGGGGGGGCTCTTGTGAGAATACCATGTGCCTGGTTAGGGGACGTTGAAGGCCGCAATTCTTATAGCTGCCGCTCCTCCATTGCCCCGTGCCACGGTGCCTCTCCCCATCCCCGCCATCCGACAGGGGGGCTCATCTCCAATCCAAAAAGGACTCTTTCCAGTCGCACGCTCCAGGCCGGTTCTCACCACCAGGCCGCCCTCCTTGACGATCCGTCTCCAATGGGACGGATCTGCAGGGCCACGGGGATGGCGAGCTGTCCCACGAGATAAGGGCCGTCATCTGGATGGGCGGCCTAATACTGAGGGTGAACAGTCATGCTGGACCGCTCCGAGAGCCGGAGGGTTGCACGGGATGATCACTCTGTGCGACATCTCAAGAATGAGGGCCGCAATGCGGACGGGCAGGCCCGCCTGATGGTCTGTCGCATATGCTCTCCCAGGCTTCTGCACTGTGGCTGCGCTGCTATGTTGGTGTCGGTGGGTAGTTAGGGCAACTCCAGAGCGGGAGCACCTCAGGAGATCATCGGCCGCAGCACAGCAGACCCTGGCTCGGGTGCCAGCAAGAGGACCATTGTTGTTGCAGCTCTTGTCTCTCCTGGGATGTTGAATGTGTTCCCATCACAGTGAATGGAGATGGATGGGTGGGTCTCAGTATAGTACTATATCTTTGCCGCCCTTGCAAACACACAGGTTGCCAACACCACTGAATCGATAAATCTGTCCATACTCAGGTTCACATCAGACTCATGAATATCAAGTGCTGCCGCTTGACACCCACATATATAACACCCCCCCACACATAGAAAGGTGATACACATGGATACTATGCAGCATCATACATGCATAATAACACTTATGCTACTCACGTGGGGTCAGTTGTGTGCATTGCAAACATAGGCAGCAGGCAGCAAGGCAGCAAGGCAGCAAGGGTTGGCGGCAGCACCCGCCCCGCAGTGTTGCCCAAATCGGGCAAGCCGCCCAACCTTCCGGGACCATCCGACCGGTCGAGCCAATCATCCCATCCTCAAACCACACCACCTTCAAGGCCATGCCAGATGATCTCCGACCCGCCGTTCTTCTTCTGTAGATGATGATGATGATGATGATGATGGTACTACGGCGAAAGGGAATCAATGAAATTTGAACCTGTCTGTCTGCATTGCATCTCTGGTGGCGACAACCCCCCCGCGTACTCCTTTTGGGTGGATATTCGTAAACCCAAACATATATTCTCCAGCTTGCAATCTTCCTTCCAGGCCCTCAATCGCATTCCGGCTTCCGACCGTGGATAAAATGCGCATACACGTAGAGCTGCTTGCGATCGCCAAACTCCTGACGCACCTTCGCCATCAGCTCGCGACACTCTTTCTCCGGCCATCCCAACACCCGCAGGAACAACGCCAGGGTCAAGGGCTCGACCGAGTCGATGGCATGGGCCTGCATCCATTGGCCCAGCTGCTTCAGATTGCGGTCCTTGGGCCACATCCCGATGGGCACCTTCAGCACCTCCTCCTCCACCCACTCGAAGCCCGCCTTGACCATCTTGGCCTCCAGCTCCTGCACCACGTTCAGCGGCTTGCCGAACTCGGTCGACCCCTCCGTCAGCAGCCGCTGCCACCTCGCGATGCCGCAGTCGTCCGGCAGCGGGGGATCCTGCGCGTGGAACCAGACCCGGAACTCCTGGATCTCGTAGTAGCCCCCCGGCCGCAGGTGCTCCAGCGCCTGCGCGAACAGCCGGTCCCAGTCCTTGATCGCCCCGACCATGTTGCGCTGGTGGATGAAGTCGAACGCCTTGTCGCCGCTATACGGCCATTCATCCTCGACGTCGTCCACGAAGAAGTCGCAGTTGGAAGGGACCCTAGATGCCGTCAGCTGCGCGCGCGCTCCTGTGTCTGAGAGCCCGGGTGGGTTTTTACAGGTACGGCTGGATGGCACTCAGGTCGACGCCCACGACCCTGGCTTCGGGGAACTCCTCCGCCATGTCCATGGCCCAGATGCCCGTGCCCGTGCCGATGTCCAGGACGCGCTGCGGCGCCTCCGCCAGGGGCGCCATGTAGAGGTTGCCGCCCAGCATGAGGCGGAAGATGTGATGGAGCATGTCCAGGCGGCTCTGCTCCGTCTCGTCGTTGGGGAAGAGGTACTCGCCCTGGCGGTAGGAGTGGTAGCGGCGGCCATTCTCGTAGACGTAGTCGTTCAGGCTGGAGGCCAGGGAGGAGGTGAAGGACAGGGAATCTGGGTCGGGGCCGTCGTGGTCGTCCAGCTGCGGGTCCGCCTCGATATCCGAGCCCTCCAGAGGCACCGAGGGCCCGGTGCCCCCGTCGTCGCTAGCGGGGGCCGTCATGATTGATGTCGATGGATCTCGTGAAGGGGCGGGTTGCCGGGGAAGAAGGGGAGTCCGCGGAGGGAGCGACGGGGATAATCAGGATGCGGACGAGTGACGACCCTTCGGTGCCGGATGGTCCAGGCGGTCCGGACATCGGCTGTGGGATGCCCGACGGCCAGACTAGCAGCAACTAGAGCGATTTCGAGCAGCGGGGAATTCCATCCGAGCAATCAGACGGCCGAGGGCACGGCCGTCCCCGGCCTGTGTGATCCATCAACTCGAGTCATGCCCGGCGCTCCCCTCCCCGGCCAGACCCGATGGCCCCGGGCAAGAGCTCCCTTGTCCTGGCAAGACTGACTCAGGGCTCTGGGGATAGAAATGCCGTGCAGAACTGCCAGTCGGACGGTCTCCACCGCATCCCTGCCACGCTGTTGACACTTGACTGCCGGCACAGCCCTAATCGGGCCGCACCCCTGCGGCTGTCCGAGAAAAGGGGGCCATCCCAACGAGAATAGATATATTTCCCCTACGACGTCCGCGGATCTGCATTTCTATCCTCCCATCGTTCCCGCCGGCGAGGTCAGCCCCGGGTTTCCAGACGTATACCGGTGGCCGAATCGAGGTTGGCGGACGTGAGCTGACAGGCTGGAGATCAGGACGAAGCAAACCTTTATGCGTGGGAGATGTGATAAATGCGCCTGTACTATCGCTTCCCGGGTATCGATGAGGTCGATCATCGCCGTGGCAAGCAGATGAGTTCCGCATACAGCCCACGGCTTAGGTACATGGGTGGCAGTCGCTTCCGCCATGCCGTTGAATCGATGAACCGACTGCATACTGGCGAAAAAAAAAAATCAAATCTTCCTACGGGCTCGAACTGATAGGTCGGGTTACCACAGGGGCAGGCGTCCAGCCGAGGATACTGAATCGTTCATTGCGCCGATGACTGCGACTGGGCCGCTTAAGTAGAGTCACTCCCTTTGCAACTGGAGTTTCCCGACAATATCTTGCCATCCTGCTGCAAGAAAACATCGGACGCCCTATTTGTAGCTACCCCTTATTAACCGCAAACGGTCTGTTCTGACCCTGATACCACGATGGCTCGGGAAAACGGGCATCCACATCTGAAGAGCCACCGCCGAGCCGGCTTGTCGAAGGAGGTCAGTTTCTTTGCCGCCGTGAGGGGCTGGAAATCCCCCCTGAGTGGCAGTCTAGTGTGGAGGGAACGGTGAACACCCTCGACCGGGCCATCCCAGACTACTGCTCTTGCTCTTCGTATGCCTGATTGCCCGGGTCCAAGATGCCGGGGGCGCCTGCTTTGTGGGAGCGATGTGCCAGTGAATACTCTATATCCTTCCAGTGAGGGAAAGAAGTGAATGTTCAGGGCTCTGGGACATCTTTCTCCCTCATTTCTCCTCCTCTCCAATCCTCCATCTTTCCGCTCATTTGGTGTCAAATCTTTCCCATCTCTCTCTTACTTCGGCCACTTCACTCATGCCACCGCTTGTCTCCACCGGGGCGTCTCGACTCGAGCTCCACGACGACATGGCACCCCCCGAGGACCGCCCTGAGTGTGATCCCCCCGAGTCCGATCCTCCCTCACCCCCGGGACCGCGATACAACCACTACTACAGCGTGCGCGACCCGACCAGCGCCGAGTGGCAGGCCGCCTGGCCGCGCCTCGTCCTCGACCTTCGGAACTTTTTCGAGGCAATCCTCTCTTTTTGGCTGCCACAGCGTCCCATCATCGGCGACGAGGGCATCTTCGTGGACTGGCGCGGCGACAGCGCCCGCGACAACCTCGAGATCACCCGCACCGGACCGACGAGTCTTCGGGTGGTCTGCATGTCGCGGCGCGATATGGACATGGCCGTGTCATGCATTCTGTTGCGTGCCGTCACGCTGGCTCCGGCCGAGTTCCAGCTCAGGTGGGTGTCCCCACTCAGACTGGCAAGGCCGGAAAGGCGCGACTGATGCCAAAATAGATCCGATGGCCCCTGGGATGGCGAGCACTGGCTCCGAGCACGATTCATGTCCCGACGGCAATGGCCAGACGAGGTTGGCGACGACTGCCCCTGGGCGCAGTACGAAGAGGCCGTGCATAGCGAGTAGCCGGGATGGCAAGTGGCGACAATGGAGGATGGCAGAAGGCGTTGGCATTGGTAGGGAGATGACCGGAGGGATGTCTCCAAGGGCCACCATGAATCAGAAATGGGACGGGATGGGCTTTCCTCAACTGGAAGAGTTATGTGCAACCATACTAGAGTGGTTGATGGATTCCATACTCCTCCTAGACTTTGCTCCTGGCTGGATGATGTGTTTAACCTCTCATTCCATCCACCGCTGAAGGTATCTCGCCCTATTTCTCCCCCCGAAACGTCACAAACACCGAACTGGTCACCCCTGGCGACAGAGTAGAAAACCCTCTCCTCTCCTCTTCATTCCTCATTCTCCATTCTTCTACAACCACCATGTCCTCTCCGCAATCACCTTGGACAGGCGATGGACAAACCACCCCTGACCCCCCTCCCCTCAGCCAGCACATTTTCCTTTTTTAAAGTTGGCGGGGCCTGGCTACGACGCTTCGGTGGACCCGCGATGCTGCATTGGGTTTGGCATCCCCGGTTTTCTTTCGACCGTCTCCAATCAGCCCCCTGAGTGCCGCCGCTGACGACTCCTCCCGACCCGAGCCTGGAGACTATCTAGAGACCATCACTGCTAGGACCCGCGACTCGTGAATTGCACGGATCTGCTCGATCTGCTGGATCTGACTCCTGTCACACCCGTGGTTCACGCCATGAGTGTTAAACCATCGCCACTGGAGTAAACAGGGGTCTCGACAAACCACCTACTTCTGGCATTCAACAATGAGGCCCAGGTTTATCGCCCGCCATCCACAGCTTGCTACCCCCGAGGCCCGCCAATCCGCCTGGGGATGGCCGCGCCAGGCCAAATACGCCAACGTCGTCTCGTTTGAGATCTCGGACCCCATCCCATATGTCGTATCACCGGGGAACAACTCCTGGTGGGCGAGAATCTGTTCCCGGATCGCCCGCACCTTCCGCCGCTCCAGAAACAAATCCGTCGACGAGCAGCCGCACGCACACGAGGCGTGGATCCCCGAGGTCCTGCGCAGTGCCTGGGTCGTCGGGGCCGTCTTGATCCTCAATATCGTGCTGACCCTCATCGCCCTGGGCCTGAGCTACTCCCGAACTGTCAATCGCGGCGCGTTTCTGTCCACGGAATTGTACGCCGGAAACTGCACCCGTGCCACTGACTGGGCCACCGGGTTTCACATCGTCATCAACCTCTTGTCCAGCGCGCTGTTCGAGTCCGGGGGCTACGCGATGCAATGTCTGACCGCACCCTGCCGGACCGAGGTGGATCAGGCGCACCGTCGCCGCCGCTGGCTCGATATCGGCGTCATGAGCGTCCGCAACTTCCGCGTCATGAGTGTCCGGCGAAAGTTGCTGTGGCTCGTTCTGCTGGGAACCTCCCTCCCAATCCACATGATGTGCGGAACCCCGACGGGAGACCCGTGTTTCCCTGTGGCATGCTAACCAGTCGGTAGATACAACTCGGCCATCTTCTCCTCCAGCTCATCCTTGGACTACGGGATGATCATCGTCCCAGACGACCTGACGCCTCAGGAATCTCTCGTCTCCGCGCTGGGCGCCGAGGCATTCCTCGCGGCCGTCGGCAGCTCGCCCGAGGTGATCCAGGCCGAGCTGTTTAACGGAACCTTCGGCAATGTCAGCAACGCCAAGTGCCTCGAGCAGTACAACGTGGAGTATAACACGCGCATGGGGACGCTTGTCTTCCTGGCGGAACGGCTGTACTTCCCAAACAACACCAACAGCCTCACCGCGCGGCTGCACGGGTACACCGCCGTCTACGACTATGTTGAGAACGTGGGCAAGGTCTCGGCGGCACGGCAGATCCGGACGGGCAATTGGACCGCGGAGGGGATGCCGTGGACGGGGGATGTGAGTGAATGGGGAGACACCTACGATGCATCGGGCTCGAACTGATAGGTCGGGTTACCATCACCCGCTGCATGACCAAGACGGTCCCCCAGCACTGTCGCTTGTTGTTCAGTCCCCCGATCGCGCTGGCGGTGGTGGCACTGAACCTGATCAAGGTGGTCTGCATTTACTGGACCGCCCGGACACGCCGCACGGAGATCTTCCTGCGGGTCGGCGATGCCCTCGCCTCCTTCCTGGCGTATACCGATCCTGCCACCGCCGGTCAGGGCCTGCTGTCGCGGGCCGACATGGCACAGGGCCCGCATCAGTGGCAGCCGGAGCCGCGAAGGAACCGACTCTTCCGCCGACGAGGGCGAGCAACCCCCCCGGGGGAGTCCTCGGAGAACCGACGCATGTTGACGCCTCCGCTTCGGACGCGCGATATCCCTCCGAGGAAGCGATGGTTCCAGGCCGCGAGTGTGACGCGATGGGTGTCCTCGGTACTCTGGTGAGTCTCTCCTTTCGCCCGTGGTGCTGACGAGGCCATCCCCTGACTGACTCAGGTTTCTCCTCTGTATTTTCTTGACCGGCTTCATTTACTGGAACGTGCAATACGATGATGACTGGTCGTTGACCGAGGAGTGGCAGCTGGGATTCGGCCAGGCCAACGACAAGACGAACCTGCAGTTCCCCTCTGGGGGTGTCGGACTGCTCCTGGCGCTGCTGTTCAGCAACATCCCGCAGCTCTTCCTCTCCGTGCTGAATTGGCTGTGCGGCAGTGTCCTGTCGTGCATGCTGGTCACCGCCGAATACAACGACTATGCGGTCGAACGCAAGCCGTTGCGAGTGTCGTGGCCGCGAGGGGAGCAGCGCACGTCCTATTTCCTCTCGGTGCCCTATCGCTACGGCGTGCCCCTGTTCATCGTGGGGGTGGTCTTCCACTGGCTGCTGTCGGAGAGCTTGTTTTATGTCAATATCCTCGAGTACGATATCCTTGGGGAGCTCGTGACGAGTACGGCCATCCACGGCCTAGGCTTCTCCCCTATCCCGATTTTCGTCTGTCTCCTGCTCCAGGGGGTTGTGTTCGTCGTGTTCGTCGGGCTCGGGGCGAGGAGGTTCCGTGCGCCCATGCCGCTGGCGGCCCATTGCAGCGTCGCGCTGAGTGCCGCCTGTCACCCACCCGCGGACGATCTCGACGCGGGTCGGAGGGCCGTGATGTGGGGGGAGGTGACGGGGGAGGACGAGCGGATCGAGGGATATTCCCATTGCACCTTTACGTCACACGAGGTCACTCGGCCCTCCGAGACTCGATTCTACCGCTGATGCGGACAACACGATCTGGACAGCCACTCAGTTTAGACACGCAAGCAATATATCGGAGGGATGTGCAGACCCCTCCCGGAACCAAGGTGCAGCGCGAGAAAGGAGATCGCGACCATGTCCTAGTCATCAGGCGAAGGAAGCCTACCGACTATAAAAGTGTCGAGATACCAGCCGGGGTGCGATGATGATGATGATAATGATACAGATTTTGACACATCACCGTCATCTATCGCATCCAACGGATATGGGAAAGAGTCTCTCCCTGTGCTCCAGCGGTCCTCACCATGGCCGCACCCAACCTCGATTCTACCGAATAATGAAAGGAATATCTTTTTGATATGACGGATCTACCAGGGATACGCGCGAGTGGCGATAGAAATAATGTACAATGAAACGACCCCTACAAATTCAACTGGAACCGGGGACTGGTCCGGATCCGCGCCCCATACCGACTGTAGAACACGGGGAAGAAGCAGAACACCAGCGCAATGAAGGCCAGCAGCGAATTGCCCCAGCCGAGCCCCAGCGAGCGGTACATCGAGGGACCTGCCAGCGGGAGAAAGCACCCGACCAGGGAGCGGGTGACGGCGTTGGCGGCCGTCACGGAGGCGGCGTAGCGGAGGTAGGAGTCGACCAGGTAGGTGTTGATGCATAGCTGCGATGTGAGAGGTGTTAGAAGCCGCTTTCACGCGTGGGTAGTGGAAGGTAAAAGAACGTACGAAGATGACCATCAGCCCGCAGCCGAAGATGCCGGTGCCGATGATGGGCATGATCCAATGCAGATGCTTGTCGGCGGACCAGCCGTACCAGAACAGCCCGATCGGCAGCAGCCACGAGCCGTACAGACAGGGAATCAGACGAGATTCCGGCACGAAGCAGCCGCGCGCCGTGTGTTTCGCGGCTATATCGTTAGCCACCCAGCCCGTCACCTGCAGCCCCACGATGCATCCCAGCCCGAAACCGAGGTAGGCCAGTCCGCACATCTCCTGCCGCCAGCCATAGACGCTCTCGAAGATCGAGGTGATGGTGGTGAACATCAGATACAGCTCGCCGTAGGAGGTGGCTCCGAACAGGGTCATCAGCAGCACGATGGGGGAGAGGAAGAGGAGCTTGAACGGGCGCACCCCCGCGAGCTGGAAGATCTGCTGCTGGGTCAGGCCGCGGTCCAGCTTCGATCGGTACTGCGGGTTGCCTGTCTCCTTGCGCAGCCGGGCGGCCTTGCGTTCCAGTAGGACGGGGGTGTATGTCTCGCGGTAGCAGAGCATCGTCACGGCCAGCATGACGCCGGTCTGCATGAACAGTCAGCGCAAGCTCCCTAAAAGGAACTGGGTGGAGTATGGACTGGACCCTGCCACGGTCGTGAACACCGTGGAGGGATGGGATGGGGACACTCACTGCCATGGCGATGATCCAGAACACCCAGCGCCAGCCGATGTTGGCGCAGACAAACGCACCCGCGATGGGGCCGATGACGGGCCCGAGGATGGGCCCCATGGCCCAGATGGCCATGACGCCGGCGCGCTTCTCCTTGGGGATCAGGTCGACGACAGTCCCGGACCCCAGGGCCATGGGGCAGCTGCCAGCCATGCCGGCCAGGAATCGGAACACAAAGAGCTGCGGCAGGGTGTGGGCCAGCGCGCAGGCGACGGTGAAGATCAGGAACAGGAAGTTGCAGATGTGGTACAGCTGACAGCGGCCGTAGATCTCGGACAGCGGCGCGATGATCAGCGGGCCCACCACGTATCCCAGCAGGAAGATCGAGACGACGAAGGAGCCCAGCGTGGTGTTGGAGGTGTGGAACTCGGCCAGGACGTCGGCCTCACCGGGGGCGAACATGGAGGATGACAGGGGGGTGAGGAGACTGTTGAAGCCCATGCCGGCCAGCTGGCGCACCTTCTTCCGCAGGGGCCACTTCATCGGGTAGTTGGGGTCGTCCGGGCCATCCCAGTCCACCAGGAAGGGATCGGACGGGGCCTCCTTCTGCTGCACCGTGACGGCGGCAGCCTCCAGGTCATTGCCGCTCGTCTTGGGCTCTTTCTCCATACTCATCGTGGGGATGGAGTCTTGGCTTGTCGGGGTGGTGCTGGTGGGCCGATGCCCGGGGTCGAGGGGGTTTTAAAGCCGACCCCGATCAGGAGGGGGATGCCATGCACTTGATCTCTTCCCGTGCACAGTGTCTTATGCCGGAGTTTGTCCGTCGCCATTGGCCGAACCATGGGGCCTGGGTGGGCCGGTTCCTGGTGGTTCCGGCCCACTTTGCTAGCCGAGGATGTCTGGAATCAGGATGGACGCCGGATGGAATCTCGCAATAATAATCCAGATCATGATCAAGCAGAAAACCAGGCCAAGTTAGGGTCCGGCTCGGAAGGAGCCGATCCCAGGAACCGCATAAATCCTGATACTGTGCATAATAGCAGAGTGGATACAGGGGTTTGTGAAACAAATGGGTCATCGAGGGCAGGGCTAGGGCTGGCCGCTTCCCGCCGAACATGATATATATCATATTGCGTCGACCGAAACTGCGGGGAAATATCAACCGACAGTTAACGAGGTTTGCCAAAGAAGTACATTCTCCGGTCCCATAGGATATGTATATATAGGGTCAGCCTGCGAGAAAAGCATATACCTAAAAATGATCGACCGTCTTCATGAAACGGCTAGAGAGAGCTCCCACAACCTGGATCTGGGTGAGTAACGATGGGTCCGAAAAGGTCCGAAGAGGCAGAGCTCGCAGCAACGGTCCATATCTCCAAGGAGAGTATCTAGTGGCCACGGTGCACCGAAGGACCACGGTTTGGAACAATGGAAATCCACAGGACGAGGACATAAATGTTGTTTATGATTTCGGTACAGAATCTACATGCAAAGCTGCTCCACCAGGGAGGGGTTGCGTTGCCAACCAGGGTGTCGCTACAGGGGAACAAAACCATGCTTGCCGGTTCCTGCCATACTACCATATTATCGGGCACACGTTGGGGCATTATATCAGGACGATGGCCGATCAAGCTTCTTATATTACTCTGCGAATTCCCTGACTTCACGAAGTTATAAAATATCACCCGGGCTAAGCCGCATGTCCTCCTACTCCGAAGCGTGCGGCGTCCGGTCGAGAAGATATCATGATATAGGTCCGCGGACAACCCTGATTCCCCGGGGCCCTCCCCCCATACCTGCTGGCAAAGCCCTGACTTGAACCGTTGTCCGGTATATCTCCGTCAGGCATGATATCCCTCCTAACCGTGCCCTGCACCCAGGCCCTGGCCGCGTCGGGGGAGCAAGGCTTCTGGGGCTACTAATAAACAAGACGTCCATCGCGACGTCAAAGTCCCCATTCCCATCCGCATGTCCGTGCTCAGACCTTGCCCTCGCGCACCCAGGCCGTGGTCACCTCCTCCCACCGGGCGATGCGCACGCCGCGGGTGTGCAGGCGCTGCTCGACCTGGCGCTCGATCTCGACCGCCGTGGCCCCGTCCGCGTCGTAGGTCGAATGGGCGCCCGCCAGGACGGTGACGCGGAAGCCGGCGGCCAGGGCGCCCTTGCAGGTGGCCTCCACGCAGCGCTCGCTCTGCAGCCCGACCGCGATTATCTCCGTGACGCCCGCGGCGCGGAGGCGAGCGGCCAACCCGGGGTTCGATTTGAAGGTGTTTCCTGTGGCCAGCGGATCGAGTCAGTAGGGGGGACGGACCCAGAGATGGCAGGCCAGGAGTCATCACGGACCGGTATTCTTAGCCACCAGGATCTCCTCGCCGACCTCCGGACGCGGAGTGAAGACGAGCTCCCACGCCTCTGAGCCCTTCAGCATCGTCGCATCGTCACCGGACTCCTCGTGCTGGACGAAGACGATGAGGCAGGGGGACCGCTGGTCCTGCGCGAGATGCGCGTCGATGACCGATCGGGCGGCCTGGAGGATGCCCTCGGTCGCAGCGGTCACCCGGGCGGCATGCGGCACGCGGGTCTTGGGGTCGGTCGCGAGCTCGTTTTGGATGTCGATGACGAAGAGGGCCTTGCGGGATGCCATGGTAGCGATGGGGTTGCACAGGGTCAAATGGGGTGGATGAAGGGAGAGAGGGAGGGGGGTATGGAGGGGAGGAAGGGCGCGGATTCTTGTATCGTCCCACCCCGGCTGGACCGTTGGAGAAGAGGAAGGAGCTACTCCAGGAAGGAGCTAGTGTGTGCGCTGACGAGCGGAGAGCAGAGAGTCGGTCAGATGGAAGGCGACTAGTGCTGACGAGGGATGAGGGCCAGATGCATCTAGGGCAGGAGAACGAAGGGAGAGGAGAGGGGGGGTGTCGGAGATCGGAGTTGGTTGGAGGGTCGGGCAGCAATTGGGGGGGGATCGACATGGGATGGATGGATGTGACAGTGACACAGCTGTTCGTCAGACTCTCACATGGACAGGGCTCGGACTGGGGGCATCGAACAGGTCGGTCGCCATCCTTGCTACTTTCATCACGGCGACAGGCGTTTCTCCGTGCGTGCCTCGAATGGGGGATTGACGCGTCCCCACGTGGGCGTGACAGCAGAGGTGATTGCTACGAACGGTCTGGAAGGAGGAAAGGCGGACGTGCAGAAGTCAACGCCACGGGAGCATGATGATGATGATGATGGTGGTGGTGATGGTATATAAAATAGGGTCTGATCATGCGTATGCGCAAGGGGGACGCGATGCGCCCTCGGACTACCGGGGGAATGATGCCATGTCCGAGTCCGAGTCGGACGAAAGTGAGGCACCCACACCCCATCCCTTCTGTTGACAGACTGCTCCCAGATGGACCTACACATCGACCTCGGTCGCCCGCACGTTGACCGGATCCTCCCCCGGCTTGCCCTGCTCGTCCCCCCGCAGCCCCTGCTGGTCCTCCCCCGGAAACCGCCCGATGATGCCGCGCGCCGTGTCGCGCTTCTCGAGATAGGCGATCACCCCGACCAGTGGCAGGGTCAGCGCGCCCGTCACCAGGCTGGCGATGTACCCCTTGCGGAAGTGGGGGGCGTCGGTGGCGGGGTAGAAGATCAGGGGCCACCAGGTGACAAAGGCGAAGTCGAACGAGTTCATGAAGCCCGTGGTGATGGCGCGCAGCTGGAAGTCGTGGCTCGTCACGTCGGCCATCCACGAGTACCAGACGGCCTGCGGGGCGAAGGTGGTGCCCAGCAGGTAGAAGGCGACGAAGTAGCCCGCGTCGGTGGCCGGGCTGGACACCAGGATGGCCGACCCCACGACGAAGGTCAACCCGATGGCCACCGACACCTCCCAGCGCGACTGCCGCCGGTCGGAGATGATGGCGTACCCGATGGTGCCGACGATGGCGGTGGCGTAGATGCCCGTGGGGTAGTTGTTCTGTTGGATGGTGGTGTACCCGCGCGAGGCCATCCAGTAGGCCATGACGTTGTTCTGCAGCATCTGGATGGAGAGGGAGTACACTGTACTGACCGGATCAGCCGGGGGGGGGGGAAGGGGGGGGGAGTAATTAGGGTTCATGGGGAAGGCCTACGCATGAAGATGAACGGCAGGAGCCAGAACTGCCAGCTGAGCAGCACGCGACGGAACACCGTGCGGTCCCAGGCCTGCTTGCGGACCGCCCCGAGGCGGGCGATGGCGTGGTCCTTCTGCTCGTCGGTGAGATACCAGGCGGCGCGATGGGCGGGCAGGTCGGGGATGAACACCCAGCCTGGGAGAAGTCAGTCAGTCAGTCAGTCAGTCTCGTCGAGCCGTTCGCATCACCAAGAAAGTCTCACCGAAGAGTGCCACCGGGACCGTCATGACCGACACGATGATGAAGATCCATTTCCAGGCGGGCATCCCCCCCTTCCCCGCGAGGGTCGCCAGCAGCCCGGCCTGGATCCAGCTGCCCGCCATGGTGCCCAGCTGGCCAAAGACGCAGAAGACGGCGGCGCGCATACCCAGCTCGGACTTCTTGTACCAGGAGCCAAGAATGAACTGGGCGCCCACACTGCGTCGGTCAGCGGGGGATTCCCGATATTGTGCAACCACACGAAAAAGGGGCCGTACTAGGCGATGGCGGAGAAGCCGCCCTCGAGGGCGTTGAGCAGGATGACCTGCCAGGCGTGGGACATGCGGTAGGTGATGAGGGTCAGGACGCTCCAGGTGACGTTGGCGGCGACGAAGACGTACTTGGGGCGGGCGACGGTGAGCAGGCTGGTGCCGGGCATCTGGCAGACGGCGTAGACCACCAGGTAGGCGGTGTTCATGTAGTTGTAGTCCTTGCCCTCGAAGCCCAGGGCCTCCTTCATGCCGCTGATGTAGGCGGACGAGTAGCTGGCGCGGGTGACGCCGAACAGGAACCAGATGAGCGAGAAGTAGGGCAGGAGGGTGCAGTCCAGCTTGGCCAGCAGGGCGCGATCGGGGGGGTCGGGGCCCCAGAGGCCGATGGCCAGCCGGGTGCGGGTCGAGGGCATCGGATCGTCTCGTCTTTTGCACGGCAGTCGATCACGACGGGATTGTCAGCGAGGAGGGGTGGAGGGGTTGGGGGTTGGGGGTTGGTTCTTTATAGGAGGAGGAGCAGGAGGCGGCCACACGCCATCCAGGCGGCACGAAGAATTTCTTCGAGTCTGTCTGACCGATAACTAATGGCGAGAGATGCGGTGCGGATGATGGGATCGGGGATCGGTCGCTGATAAGGGCGTCTCAGTCTGCAAGTCGCTGCAAGTCGCTGCAAGGGGGTTTATTACCTCCCATCACCTGTCTGTCCCCTTGGCTTCCAGTCCCTCCGCGGGTTGCAAAAAATGCCCGGGGAATGTACGGAGGAAAGGAGGAAAGGAAATACACCGAAAGTTGAAAGATGACCAGTTGACGGCAGGCGAGGGCAATTCACGGTTGAAGTGGATTCTCAGGGGTGTAGGGGCTTCCGGACGCTTGACCTGTACACGGCCTATGACCGTTGCAGAAGGTCTCTAATAAGAGAAATAATCCTTCTTAAAGTTGTGATATTAATAATATCAGTACTTGAGGATTTCTAATTCTAGCTAGTGATTACTGACAGACTCTTTTTATAAGATATTAAAATATATACTTAGTCAAAGATAGAATAATCATGTTCCACTCTTGGTAAGCCGGAGATGGAACAATCATGTTCCACTCGTAGTAACACATATCACCCTCCCAGACAGCCAGGCTCTTCCCCTGCAGGCAGCTTCGTCAACAACAGGCTAACAGCAGCAGAATGGCCGGCAACGATGCATCGTCCGCCGCCCTGCCCTACCAGGAGCCCTCCATCGCCACCCTCCTCAACCTGTCCGGCTTCCTGCTGGCCCTCAACCTCGCCCGCGTCGCCCTCGACCGCCTGCTGTCCTGCGGCCTGATCGGCCAGGTGCTGCTGGGCGTGCTCTGGGGCACGCCCGGCGCCCGCTGGCTGGACCGCAACACCGAATCCGTCATCCAGCAGCTGGGATACCTCGGCCTCATCCTGCTGGTCTACGAAGGTCGGTCCCCGCCGGTCTCACCTCTTTCCCCGCGCGTCCACTGACCGAGTGACAGGTGGTTTGTCCACTGCTGTCCGATCCATCCGGGCCAACGGGCTGCTGTCGCTGGCCGTCGCCCTCACCGGCATCGGGACCCCGATGGGCCTGTCCTTCGTGCTGAAAGCCCTCACGGCGGCCAGCTCCCGGCAGGCCTTCGCCGCGGGGGCCGCCCTCAGCGCGACCAGCCTGGGCACGACCTTCACCATCCTGTCCACCACCGGCCTCGTCGCCACCCGCCTGGGGAGCGTCACCACCACCGCCGCCGTGCTCGACGACGTGATTGGCCTCGTCATGGTCCAGATCATCACCAACCTGGGCGGGGAGGGCTCTCGCATCCGCGTGGGGACGGTCCTGCGACCGATCGGGGTGTCCGTCGCCTTCGTCCTGGGCCTCTTTCTCCTCGCGGCCGGCTGCCTCAGGCCCGTCCTCGCCCGGGTGCTGGCGATAAAGGACAAAGTCCCGTCCTCTCTGAAAACCCAGCAATGGGCATTTCTAGCCCAGACCCTCTGCCTCGTGGGGATCGTGGCTGGCGCCTCCTATGCCGGCGCCTCGAGCCTCTTCGCCGCCTATCTGGCCGGTCTGTTGGTGTCCTGGGTGGACGGGTGCGTGGCAGAGGATCAACAATCACAGCATGGGGCTCGGACCGTCTCTGAAGCAGAACCAGAAGAACCCGGACCCTCGGATCGAGGTAGTTCGGGAGGCAGCACGGACTCCCACGAGGAAGAACCCCCGAAAACCCGTCCAGCATTGGAGACGAGGAGACACCCACCGGGGAGAGGGTGTACGAGCAGTATTACCGGGAGCCCGTCAACCGCATTCTGCTTCCTTTGTTCTTCGTGAGTGCCCCCACCCCGTTGTGCCAATTCTCACACTGACGGGATGGATCTGCAGGCATCGATCGGCTTCTCCATCCCCGTCACCGAGATGTTCCAGTGGGAGGTGGTCTGGCGCGGCATCGTGTATGCCCTGCTGATGGCCCTGGGCAAGATGATTACGGGGCTGTGGCTGGTCCGACTGTCACTGGGCCCGGGGTTGAAGGTGGTGGGGACTTTGACCCGGCCATTTGCCCTCGTTCGTCTGCGGTGCATGTCCAAAGCAACAGACTGTGGGAAACAGGAGGAACCACCAAAGTCATCTGAAAGTCAACATGCCGCTCCTGACGCCGCCACCGGAAGTTCAGCGAGCACCACGGGCATCACAGAGACCACTACCAACGGGGAAGCTTCGCGGCGCACCCTTGGTCGGGAAGAACCGAAGAACGAATCCCCACAGCCATCCACCGCGACCCCAACCCTGTCCCTCCCCCCCAAGCCTCAGACCCTCTACCCACCCTGCATCCTCGGCCTGGCGATGGTGGCGCGCGGGGAGGTGGGCTACCTGATCGCCTCACTGGCGCAGAGCCAGGGCCTGTTCGCGCGGGACGAGTCTGGCGACACGTCCCACGTCTACCTGATTATCATCTGGGCCATCTCCCTCTGCACCCTCGTCGGTCCCGTCGCCGTGGGCACGCTGGTCCGACGGGTCAGGACGCTACAGCAGGCGCGGGCAGACTCCGGCGTGGACCCGCTGGGGGCGTGGGGGATCTGAAATGCCCCCGGGTTATTACTCTGGATCTACAAAGCTCGCCCGGGGATGTATTGGAGACGTCTCATCATATTCCGCCCCGAGAACCCTCATAGGGGCGCTGAGAACGCCGCTGGGCGATTGTGAAATACCAGGGCAAGGGTTGATCTCAGCGGGCTACCCGAAATGTCTCATCAGATGTCGGAGATCATAATCCCCCCCCCCCGGGGCGATTGAAGCGCTGGTCGATCTCTCACGTCGTATGCCAGAGACCCTGGACGAACGGGGAGATATGCAGCACGTCGTGCACCCACCAGCGGGATTCCACCGCCAGCTGTCCGTTGACGTCGAACTCGGGCCGGGCGATGAATCCGGTGGCCAGACCGGCCTCGTCCACGACCCAGTAGCGCAGACGGCGGGCCAGGAACAGAAAATGGGTCATGGGCTGGCTGGTTTGCGTCACTCGCTCTTTCGCCGCGAGGCAATAGCCCCCCGGGGGGGAGGGTCCGGGAGGGGTGCCCGCGACTGATAGCCCGAGCCCGGGGTTACCATGTGGCGATATCGGGGCAGACGGGTCATGTCAGCCGGCATCGCCACCACCACCATCACGGCGAGTAATAAGACAACCTTCTGTATGTGATCACACATGGGGTCGTCACTGGGATGGTCATGCATAACCCAGTGGAGCGGTGGGGGCCTTTGTGGCGCAATGTAAATCAGGCGGCTGCCCTGACTTCGCGGTGGATCCCGTTAGGGTAAGAATATATATAATCAGATACCATTGATCAAAAACCGCATTTCAAACCCCCCCGCGCACTGGATGTTGACTCAGATCGTGCATGATACGCTACGTTTCTTTCTTCATAAGGTAGAAGTTTATCACACTGGCTTCAATTCTCACCGATCCCGCGCAGATGGGTATCGAAGGCCTTCTGCGGCCCAATCCAGGAACTACATGGTCATGACCTGTTCAGACTCCACCTCAACGCGTGTGGATCACCGTCTTCAGCATGTCTGCCAGCTTCCCCCTCGGCGACACCTCGTCCAGGCCCACCAGCATGCTGACCACTCCATCGGGCCGCATCAGCATCACCGCTCCGTCCGCCATCTCAATGCCATACAAATCGTACGTGGATCTCGGCGCGATGAATGTTTTCATCTCCGCTTCCCGCTTGACACAATCGGGCAACGACCGCCAGTCCAGGTCATTTGTCGGGACATCGGTGGCCGTGTCCGTGGCCCCCGCAGCGTGGACAGTTGCTGGCAGGATGGTGACCCCTACGAGCACGCCCGCGACAAAAGCGGGAATGACCTCCTCGTAGAGCGACGCCAACGCCGTCGCGGAGCGTCCGTCCGTCCGGAGCAGATCCGTGCTGGCAAACAGCACCACCTTCCAGCGACCGTCGGGGATCAGCTCATCGTGCAGATCCCCGGCCAGGCCGTCCGCGAAGCGCTGGAGGGCCGCGTGCGACAGGCGAGTCCCCGGGCGGGCGGTCCAGGGGCCCTTGGCCGGATGGGTGAGATAGCCGGCCTCATACTGGATGCCCTGGCCGCTGGCAAAGCCGGTGATGCACCGCAGCAGTTCCGTCCGCCCCTGCGAGTAGTTGTCCGGCCGGTCCGCGTGTTTCACATCGTACTCGTAGCGGAACCAGCGCTCGTCCATGTCGAGCAGCTGCTCGGCCACCGCGCGGCGCTCGCTCCCGTAGCTGTCCAGGAGGCAGCGGGCGCGGGGGCTGAGACCGCGGAGGACATGCGCCAGCTTCCAGGCGAGATTGTACGAGTCGGCGATGCTGACGTTCATGCCCTGGCCCACCTTGGGGCTGTGGGTGTGGCAGGCGTCCCCGACCAGAAAGACGCGCGGCAGACCAGAGGCATCGGGGCAGGCAAAGCGCGAGGCGATGCGGCGCCCGACCTCGTAGGTGCTGACCCATTCGATCTGGGTGCCCGGCTTCATCTGCATGCGGTAGGGGGCGAGGATCTGCGCCATGCGGGCCAGAATGCCTTCCGGCGTCACTCGTACCGCGGCCCCCCCGGCCCCCGTCGGATGGTCCTCGTCCAGGTCGTTCATATTCACGTAGAAGCGGCACAGCCAGCCGCCATCGACGTTGCGCTCGCGGGGGAAATGCAGGACACTGCCGTGGCTGGTGTGGATGTTGCCCAGCCGGCGGATATCGGGGTAGTCGGTGTCGGGGACAAAGTCGATGACCCCCCAGGCCGAGGCGCTGGAGTTGCCCAGCATCTCGATGCCCACGCTCCGCCGCACCGTCGAGTGCGCCCCGTCCGCCCCGACGAGGAACCGACAGCGGACGGCCCGGTCGAGGCCGGACGCGTCGCGGAGCGTCACCCGCACGGGCCGCGCGGGATCCTCCTCGTGCACCTGGACATCGACCACCTGGGTCCCACGCTCCAGGGCCGACGGCGCATACCGGAATAGCTCGCGTGCCAGCAGCCGCTCGATCTGGCCCTGGGGGCAGGAGGCCAGATGCGGCACGCGGCTGGAGGGCATATGCAGCCCGGTGCTGTACCGGGCCGTGCGGGCAATGCCGGCGGACCCCGGCCCCTCCGCCCAGGCCACCGACTCGGCCACCTCCAGCCCAATCGCCATGACCTCCTCATAGATCCCCAACTCCTTGAAGGTCTCCAGGGTGCGCGACGCCAGTCCGTCCGCCCGGCCGCAGGGGAGCGGGCTGGGGCGGGGGTCGACGCAGCGGATGGCATGGGGGTCGCGCAGCCCCTGCCGGGCCAGCAGCAGGGCGAGGACCAACCCGGCGGGTCCGGCCTGGCGGGCGAACCGGTTAACCGCTGTCCGAGGGAGTGGCAAGGGCGGGAGGGACACTTACCCCGGCGATGACGACCTCGTAGCTCTCCTCCTCGGACGACGGCGCAGGGGGATGGGGGTGGGGGTGGGGGTTGCGATCCGGCAAGGGCGTGGCCAGGGCACGCTCATAAAGGCGGCCCAGCGCGACTTCGCGGCTCATGGTGAGCGGAGTGCTGGTCCCCGACATCGTGATGGGTCGGTGGGAGCAGTCGTGGGTGGTAGTGATCCGTGAGAAGTCGAGGATAGGATCTGACAGAGAGCAGGAAGGAAAAGGGCAGGCTCTGCAGGTGGCACGGGGGATATATCGTCTCACAGTGCCACCCCGGCCTGGCCATGCATGAGCCCTCCCTCCCATCCCCAACCGACTCCGGCGATCGTGACCTGCCGCATTCCATATAATGCGTGCGGACTCAGCATCCGGTGGTTTCTGCTGTTGCGGCTGGCCATGCTCTTACCCCCTCCTGACCCCCCCCCCCCCCCCCGGAGCCCGTCCTCGGGCCCTCGTGCAACCGGTCTGGGGCCACATCCGGGCCCCATATGCGAGGACGGGCCATCACGGCCATGCCCACTTTCCAACCGGACTGCATCCGTGCCACCAGCCCGTATTGCCTCGGAGAATACCGGTGACGATGCATGGATGCATGCCCCGGGGGGTTTTTGTCGGACAGGCTCGTGTCCACCCTCGTGCGACCGATACCTGAGGGGCCATCCGAGGGACCAACCCATGCTGTTCGGGTAGAATGAGGATCGCCGGGCTTCGGCGCTGCCGCAGGCCTTTGATCATTAAAAGCGCCCCCTACTGCGCTCGTCCTTCCTCCCGGACATCGCCATTTGCAAGCAACAACCCACCATGGAGGAAGCACTCACTCAGATCAAATCTCTGGCTGCCCAGGCCGATGGCGCCGCGCGCCAAAAGCTCATGGCTCAGCTGCGGGACCTGATGGTCTCCCTGGAGGATGCCGATGACACCGTGGAGAGGATCTCGTATGCGGTCTGTCGACACCCCCCCCAAACCTGTCCACCTGTGCCGAGGCAACTGACTGACGGCCTTCCCTAGATGCTGGAGACCTTCACGGCCCAAATCGGCGTCGACCTGGGCGTTTTCGAGCTCCTCGCTGCCAGCGCCGTCCCCCTGCCCTTGGCCCAACTGGCGGAGGCCACGTCTGCCGAGCCGGTCTTGCTCGGTAAGTGTACATGGAGCCCATTCCCCCCAGACGGGCCCCCCCCCCCCTGCTGACCGCGTCTAGGCCGACTGCTGCGGTACTGGGCCAGTGTAGCCATGGTGGCCGAGGTCGACGCCGACACCTTCACGGCCAACCGCGTCACGCACGTGTTGGCCTCGCGCAAGGGCAAGAACTACGTGCGGGTGCATTACGAGCTCGTGGCCCCCGCCATGTACGAGCTGCCCCGATTCCTGCAGCGGACCGGCTACGTGAATCCCACGGATCCCTTGCACCTCCCCTTGCAAGATGCCTTCCACTGGGAGGGCGACCTGTTCGCCTACTTCAAGGCCTTCCCCACCAAGGCGGCGCTCTTCGATGAGCACATGCAGGTGCAGCGCGATCGCATCACCAACTGGGACAAGCTCTCGGCCCTCGTCCAGAGCAAGCAGTCGGTGCCGGGCGACATCCTCTTCGTCGACGTGGGCGGGGGCGTGGGCCACCAGAGCCGGCGCTTCCGCGAGGCCTTTCCCAACCTCCAGGGCCGGATGATCGTGGAGGACCTGCCCGAGGTGATGCAGGCGGCCAAGGACATCCCGGGGGTGGAGAAGCTGGGCTACAACTTCTTCACGCCGCAGCCGGTGAAAGGCAAGTTCTCCCCTCGAAGACATACAGACCGAGACGGACGGGGACTAACAGACAGACCCCAGGCGCCAAGTTCTACTACTTCCGCGGCGTGCTGCATGACTTCACCGATGAGAAGGCCCGCACGATCCTCGGCAATACCGTGGCCGTCATGGGGCCCGAGTCGTCCATCCTGGTGGACGAGATGGTCCTGCCGGACAAGAACGTCCACTGGGGGGCGACGAAGATGGACCTGAAGATGATGGCCAATCTGGGCTCCCAGGAACGCACCCGCAGCCAGTGGCTGGCGCTGTTCGAGTCGGTGGGCCTGCGGGTGACCGACATCATCTCGCACGGGCTGGACGCGTACCAGGCCATCATGGTCACCACCAAGGCGGTTTGATGGCGGACAGCTCCCGATCGCCGCGGAATGGATTAGCTAGAGGGTAGACATGGTCAGCGAGGTAGACATGGTCAGAGCAGGTCTAAATTGCCAATGAATTATAAGCCGGGATTCTTCGCTGGAAATAAACATATCCTCTCCCGTAGCCGGTGTCGGGGACCGTACCCCCCCGGGGGCCTGATTAAAAAATAACCCTAATTGCAATTCCTTGGACTCTCTTACTCGCCTGGTGAACGAACCCATTCCCACGCCACGTCGTGTCGCTGGATCGGAATCGGAATCAAGGTGGTGAATGGCTGGTGGTGACGGGAAACTAGCGAGGCTCCGTACCAAAAGAACAGCCATGTCACTGCCACGGCCTACAGATCTACAGCTCCTCAAGAGCTCATGTAGCGAAGTGTTGAAAGGGCCATCTATTCCATCAGGTATAGTTGCAGGAAGCGGATCGACGCACGCATGGCGAGAATGGCTCCTACGATGGTCATGCTGTCGACCCGTCTTCCAAGCTACTTCCTGCCAGACTCGATATACATTAGCTTCGTGGTGACTTTTTCACTGCATGCCTGAGCACCTGTTAGCCCACAGCTTCAGTACAACCTTCTACTTGCCCCAGAGGGGTTGGGTCGACCGCGGCGGGACGTCGACAAAGGCATCAGCCATGGGCGGAAACAAGTCCATTCCTCTCCCAGCGTAACCCTAACTACTCCATCATTCACTGGCGACCGGCTACTCCGGGGTGTTCCAAAAAGGCAATCCACTCTCCACGCGCACCGCCCCATAGACCCCCGCGATGTCCGTATTTGGACCCCCCAGCTCCTGCGCGGCCTGCATATGCTCGCGGGCAGTCTCATAGATCTTGATGGAGGCGCCACACTGGTGGGCCAGATCCAGCACCTCGTCCATCAGCGTCAGCGCCTTGGATACCTCCACCAGGGGCGTCCCCGAATGGTACTCCCCGGTCAGCATCTGCCGGCTGTACAGGGCGTGGGGCGGGTCGGGGAACACCGCGGACATCAGCCGGTTCATGTTGTCGATGCCGATGCCACTCTTCTCCGCGAAGACGTGCGCCTCCGCCACCGTCTCCATGGTCGCCATGATGAGGAAGTTGCCCATCAGCTTCAACAGCAACCCGCGGCCGGGATCCTCGCCGCTCAGGTCGACCACCTTCCGACACATCCTGGCCCGTCCGTCCGTCCGTCAGCAACCCAGCGTGCAACAAGTTCCCGCCCCGGGGCCTTCGCATCGCACTTACACGCCGTTCAGGTAGGGTCGGACACGGTCCACAGACCCCGCGGGCCCGCTGGCGATGCAGATCAGAGACCGGGTCAAGGCCATGGGGGGGCCCCCCATCACTGCAGGAAGGTTTAGTCTGACACACGCTGCACGGGCACGAGCCCTGTCCGACATACCTGGTGCGGCCACGAACTCGCCGCCCGCGTCACAGACGCGCCGGGCGATCGAGTTGGCCGTGTCTGGAGTCGTCGTGGAACTGTCCACAAAGAGCTTCCCGTGGAGATCCGTCGTCAGGATCTGGTCGAAGGCCTCCTCCACGGCCTCCTGGTCCTGCAGGCAGAGCCAGACGATATCCGCCGCAGAAACCGCCGCGGGGATTGACTCGGCAACCTGACAGTCTCCCAGCCGGCGACTGTGGTCAAGGGCTTTCTCCATGGTGCGGTTGTAGAGCACCAGCGGCTTGTCGATGTCGCCATGATGAAGAATATTCTCCGAGATGCCCTGCAAAGGATGCGCGTTAGCCTGTCGAATGTTCCGGGAAGGACGTCCCAGATAGCCCTCACCAAGCCCATGCGTCCCAGGCCAATGAAGGCGAGTCGTGGAGACATTCTCGCGGTCGTCCGAGGGTGTGCTGGATAGTATCCGCTGGACGTACCCCCGTTCCGAGGGGAGCAATTTATGGGCAAGTGGTCGGCCAGGCCGGGTTCTCTGCCGATCTGGACGGCACACCTGCTCGCGGACCGTTCGGGCAGGCGCTTGCGCAGGCGCGAATTGCTTTCTCTCCGTGGGGGGGACGTGTCCTACCGAGGCGTGATAGGATCGCTCCAGGATGGGCCCTAATGTTTGCTCCCTTTGTAGCTGTGACACCGGCGGTCCGTGTGCGGGATTAAGCCTGACCACCCGATCTTGGAATCAGGGGGCTCTTGGATTTTATTGAATATGGACCCTGTGCAACCACGGCTGGCCAGGCTGACTGTAGAGATTCATAACGGGGCGATTGGCGCCGGGGCATGAGTCGCAGCGGCGGATACAATGCACGTAAGTTGTCATGACGTGCGCCGAGCGCGGTTGATGACCGTGGCCACCCTGATCCAGGGCTCGTGTCGGTCCGAAGGGGCAGGAAGCATTATCCTGGTGTTTGTCACGTTGCTTGTCAGGGTGGGATGGAACGTGGTTATCGCAAGAGCCCCGAGGCGACAGCCTCACCGTCAATTGCCTCCTGTACGCTCCGAGGCCTCGGAACGGTGACATGCGGCACGTTGCAGGGCACCCTTTCCATCTGTCGGCTCGTATTCAGGGATGCATAGCCCTGATGCCATGGCGGAGAGGAATTGCGGTTCTCCCCCGAAGCATATAGTATCTTCCCAGGGCAGGTCCCGGAGCCCAAGGGACGCGAACCGGCTGTTGCAAACCATCACCGCGCTACACATTCTCCTACCGTTATGTCCTTCCGCAACCTTCAACACTTGCTCGAGAAGGTGGCCGCCGAGGGGGGCAGTGGCCGCATCATCTGCTACCCCCTGGGCAGCACCACCAGCCCCAGCTCGGCTTCCTACCCACAGCTGTTGCAGGAGGCCCGGCGTGCCAGCTGGGCCCTCCGTGCCACCGCCCCGGCCGGCATCAGGCCCGGATCGCCCGTCCTGCTGCATTTCACATCCCACTGGGACCATATCGTCTGGTTCTGGGCGGTGCTGCTGGCGGGCGGCGTCCCGGTCATGTCCACGGCCCTTTCCAATAACGAATCCGTGCGGACCGCCCACCTGGCCCATCTCTCCCGAACCCTCCAGGGGCCCCTGTGCCTGACCCGGGCACGCATCCTCCCCGAGTTTGCCCACCAAGACGCCATCCAGCCCCTGGCCATTGAGTCGTTCGATCTGGCCAAGGTGTCCCCCGGGGACGACACGCCCATCAACCCCGGCCTGGCCGACACCGGGGTGATTCTGCTCACGTCGGGCAGCACGGGCAGCGCGAAGGCTGTCTGCCTCAGCCACGGGCAGATCCTGGCGGCCATCGCCGGGAAGATGGCCGTCGCACCGCTGCCGGGGAGGTGCTTCATGAACTGGATCAGTCTGGACCATGTGGCCGCTATCATCGAGATCCATCTGCTGGCCATGCTTGCCCGCGGGGACCAGGTCCACGCCCAGGGGGCAGACATCTTGACAACGCCCACCCGATTCCTGGACCTGATTGACACCCACCGCGTGGCGCGGACGTTTGCGCCCAATTTCTTCCTGGCCAAGATCCGCACGGCCCTGGAAGGCGAGGTCACCCCGGCCCCCTCCCGCCGGTGGGATCTCGGCTGTCTGCACTGCATCAACTCGGGGGGGGAGGCCAACGTGACGCGGACGTGCGAAGACGTCACGGCCGTGCTGGTGCGGTACGGGGCGCCCCCGAATGTGATCGTGCCGGGGTTTGGCATGACGGAGACCTGTGCGGGGGCCATTTTTAATATGTGGTGCCCCGAGTATGATCGGGCCCAGCAGCGCGAGTTCGCCTCGCTGGGCACCTGTATGCCGGGGATCCAGATGCGCATCACCGATGGCTCCCCGGAGAACGTCTGCGTGGCGCCGGGCGAAACGGGCAACCTGGAAGTGACGGGGCCCGCGGTCTTCAAGGGATATTTCAACACCCCGACGGTGACGGCCGAGTGCTTCACGAGTGATGGCTGGTTCAAGACCGGCGACCGCGGCTTCATCGACGCCAACGGGTATCTCAACCTCATGGGTCGCGCCAAAGATACGATCATCGTGAACGGGGTCAAATACGATCCCCATACGATCGAGATCGCCCTGGATGAGGCCCGGATTCCCGGCCTGGCGGCCAGTTTCAACTGCTGCTTCTCCTCCCTGCCCCCCGGGGGCGAGACGGAGGAGATCTGCCTGGTGTACCTGCCCACGTACGACCCCAACGACGTCGAGGCCCGGGTGCAGACCACCGACGCCATTGCCAACGTGGTGATGATGTCTGCGGGCGCGCGGCCCCGGATCATCCCCCTCAACGACTCCCTCCTGCAGAAGTCGGCCCTGGGGAAGCTGTCCCGCGCCCGCATCAAGGCCAGCTACGAGCGGGGCGAGTACCAGGCCCATCAGGATTATAATGATCAGGTCGTGAGGGATTTCCGGCAGCGCACCCGCGAGCCACCCCGTGACGAGCTGGAGGAAACGGTCCTGGCGATCTTCGTCGATTCCCTCGGACTGGACGAGGATATCGGGGTCCTGACGCCCATCTTCGACCTGGGGATCACCTCCATCGAACTGATCAAGCTCAAGAAAGACCTGGATGCTCGACTCAAGCTCCACGAGGAGGTTCCCATCACCGTCCTCCTGATGAACCAGACCGTGCGGGCCCTCAGCGAGGCTCTCCGGGAGCTGCAGGCCCCGCGCGGCTACAACCCGGTGGTGATGCTGCAGAGCGCCGGGACCAAGACGCCGCTGTGGCTGGTGCACCCCGGGGTAGGCGAGGTGCTCGTCTTCCTCAACCTGGCCAACCTCATCAAGGACCGCGCCGTGTACGCCCTGCGCGCGCGGGGTTTCAACCCGGGCGAGGAGCCGTTCGCCAACATCGAGGAGGCCGTGACCATCTACCACGCTGCCATCAAGCAGCAGCAGCCCCGGGGGCCGTATGCCCTCGCGGGCTACTCGTACGGGTCCATGCTGGCGTTCGAGGTCGGGAAGGTCCTGGAACGCAACGGGGACACCGTCGGGTTTGTCGGCTCCTTCAACCTGCCGCCGCACATCAAAGCCCGGATGCGCCAGTTGGACTTCAAGGAGTGTCTCCTCCACCTGTCGTACTTTCTTGATCTTATGACCGAGGCCCGCGCGCGGGAGCTGGCCAGCGAGCTGCAGGGGGCCTCCCAGGACCAGGCGTTGGCGGTGGTGATGCAGAACATGGATCCGCACCGCGCCGCGCAGCTGGCCCTGTCCAAGGCCGCGTTGCTCAAATGGGCCACCCTCGCGTTCGGCCTGCAGAGCATGGCCGTCGACTACGAGCCGTCCGGGTCCGTGGCCTCCCTCGATTGCTTTTACTGCATCCCCTTGGCGGTGGTGGCCTCGTCCAAACAGCAGTGGCTCGAGGAGCATCTGAGTAAGTGGACCGACTTCACCCGCTCGGCGCCCCGGTTTCATGGCGTGGACGGTGCCCACTATACGATGTTGTCGCCGGAGCATGTGTTCAGCTTTCAGAAGACCCTGCGGCAGGCCCTGGAGAATCGGGGGCTTTGAGGAGGGCACCCAGGCGCGGGCCTGATCTAAAAAGGGTGGGTGAATTTGTAATGCTATCGGTATTGTGCCGGACCGGGTTCTGTGTTGTCCCGCGGTAGCTGGGCGGGAGATGGTCGGATATAAGTTATATATAGAGATGCCGCACAATACCTTGGAGTAGGTCAATAAAAATGATAAAGAACGGTCTCTCCAGCAGGGCACGAGTTCCATGTTGAACACCCTGTCTCAATAGCCAGAATTTCACGCGATAATACTATATTTACTTTGTACTGTATAAGTCAAAATACAGCGTATTCAAAACCAGGGTTAGGGTTAGGGTTTAGGGTTTAGGGTTTAGGGTTTAGGGTTTAGGGTTTAGGGTTTAGGGTTTAGGGTTTAGGGTTTAGGGTTTAGGGTTTAGGGTTTAGG